CGAGAGAGATAGAGTTTTAGTAGAGTCTTAGCAAAAGCCAACCACTTGCTTGTACTAACTACTCGCTATGCATCTACGTTATATAGAAGTATAAAGTACTTACAAAGAGCGCTAGAGAGAATATACTAGCTTAAGATAAAGCTAACTAGTAGATTGCTTATAAAGAGCGTTAAGAAAAAGCGTAATTAGGCCTTAGCTAGCGCGCTTAAAGGCGCTGCACTAGGTGCAAGAAGACTAAACACAACTCGCGTATATATAATAGTAATACTATTAATATAGAGTAGTCTACTATATTAATATCTAGCAATAATATTATTGTGTTGTTAAGATATATCGCTTTAAAGTTGCAAAAGTTAGTGGGGTGCGCCGCTCGCTTGCCTGCGCCGCTCGCTTGCCAACCATGTTATCATGGCACGTTGAGAGGATGCTAAACAAGAAGCCTTGGCTTACGTCATATGCCCGCAATGTCCGCCAAAGCGCCGTGACGGCTTGGCTCTAGCTGATTCTCTCACGTCACTTTCGTGACTACCTTTCTATCTCTCGACGCCATGTTTCTGATCATACCTTCGAAGGAAGACACGCCATCTCTCCGACAGGAACAAGAATCAGCCGTCGCCGCAGCTGGAAACGAAGACCAGCCAGAGGAGATACGCAGTCGCGTCAGGAAGGCATGCAACCGCTGCCGCCTTCGCAAAGTTAAATGCAACGGCCGCATACCGTGTACAAGATGTGAGCGCGATCATGCAACCTGCAAGATCGACTCCAACATGGTCGGTCTAAAGAATCTGTCCAGAAGGTACAGCAAATTTGCTCCTAGTAAGATCATACTGACTTATGTATGTGCAGCTACATCGCGTCTCTTGAGGAACAGCAGATTTCCCTTCTTAGCGCCCTGAGAGAGCTTCGACGACAGGCGCCAAATGATCGCGTCGTCTGCGACACAATAGATCAGCTACAGCGCAAAGGCTTCGATATTGACTCATTGAAATTCAAAGACCAGCACATGGATTTGAGCCAGAGCGAAGCACGTACTGAGCAAAGCGAGACTGTACGACCAACTTCCATCTCTTGGGACTACAACCAGATCTCCATGGACGATATACAGTCGCTTCTGCAGCAGCCTGCTACACCACAGACTGTCTCAGACCTTTTGTGGCACTTCGGGGATGTAGCAAATCAGGATCTCAGTCAGAGCCAAACGCAATCGATGCCTTTGCAAGTTGATAATAGCTACCCTGGCCCAGCATTCCAAGAGAACAAGATGGAGCCAATGTCAGATTTCTACATCGATCCAATGACGGTTTCCTTTGGTCTCACCGATTCAAACACAGCTTCCAAAGACCAGAGTGATACTTAAGAATCATGCTTCACCCGGAAGTTCTCGCCCGCGTACAGCGCCTTGTCCCCAATTCGCATCAACTCTTCTTCAATATCCAACAAGCGGTTGTACTTTGCCACACGTTCGCCACGACACGGACTTCCAGACTTCAGGTGTCCAGTGCCCAACCCGACGGTCAGATCGGCAATGAAGTCGTCAGTCGTTTCTCCCGAGCGATGCGACACAAAAACCGACCAGCCGTAACTGTACGCCTGTTTTGCTGCATCAATCGCTTCAGTGATGGTACCGATCTGGTTGATCTTGAGCAACAAAGCGTTGCAGGCTTTTTCTTGATGGGCCTTCTCAATGCGCCCCCTGTTCGTCGCGAGGAGATCATCGCCGACCAGCTCGATGGAGCAATCTGCATTGAAAGATGTCCAAGCCGGCCAGTCGTCCTGCCCGAATGGGTCCTCCAACAGTACGACAGGGTACTGTTCAAGGATCTCATAGTACAGCTTCGCCAAAGCTTCAGCGTCAAAATTGACACCCTGCTCTGAGCTTTTCCGCTTGAATCCCAAGTCATACGAGTGATCCTTCTCATTGAAAAACTCTTGAGACGCTGGATCAATGCCGATCTTGACCTTCCCAGCGTGCCCGCTTGCTTCGATCGCTGTTACCAATAGGTCAAGCCCTTCGTGTGGAGTCAAGATCGGTGGAGAAAAGCCACCCTCATCGCCAACGCCTATCGCTATCGCGAGTCACGTCAGCTCATGCCTGACTGTATGATCCACTCCGCCTTACCTGATGGTCCATACTGCTTCACGATGACTCCTTTGAGTGATTGATAGACCTCCCCACCCATCCTGACGGCCTCAGTCATGCTGTCGGCGCCAACAGGCGCAATCATGAACTCTTGGAAAGCCATTGTATTGCCGGAATGCACACCTCCATTGAGGACATTGAAGAACGGCACGGGCATGACGTATGACTGCTGGGTGCCGCAAGATTGTTGCAGGAACTGGTAAAGCGGCACTCCCTGCATCTCTCGTTAGCAAGGAATGCGTCTGAGCAACAAGGGTGCGGGAATCGCATTTGAGGCGATCTTTTTCCAGACATACTTTCGCCGAAGCTGCGGCTCTCCATACAGCCATACTGATAGCTAGTATAGCATTGGCACCCAGTTTCCCCTTATCTTGAGTTCCATCGAGCTCTATCATAAATGCATCGATCTTGCGCACGTCTTCTGGAAGCTGGAAGTTCTTGTCGATGATCTGGGGTGCGAGAACCCTTGTGACGTTCTCGACTGCGCCAAGTACTCCTTGGCCATGATACTCCTTTTCGTTCCCATCACGGAGTTCGACAGCTTCATAGTCGCCTTTGGATGCGCCGGACGGTACAATCGATCGAAAAGTACCTGCGCTCAATATGTCAGCATGGAAATGAGGAGCTGAGAGAGAAGTCAACTTGCCCTTGTCGGTGCGAAGACAGACTTGCACAGTTGGGTTGCCGCGTGAATCCAAACGCTGGGATGCGTCGATCGAGAGTATGGTCGTCATCATGGATACTGCTTGTAAGCGTTGCTCGCTGCAATGCTAGAATAAGACTCGTATTATATCAACTATAGAGCAACAACGGACTAGTGAATTGTTACATTAGGATGACGTGAATGACGTGAATGACTTCCGAACCTCCCGATACGCTAATGGCGTTCTAGATTGCCCGAAAACCCCGATCCTTCACTTCCGTTGCGGGTCTTTCGGGACTTGCTCGCCGTATGCCCCGTGAGGCGGGCGAGGGGGGGGGGGGGGGGGGGGGGGGGGGGGGGTGGGAAACTTGGTTCAGGGACATTCAACATCAGAATGGCGCATTTGATGGTATTGTCTATTGCACGGTAACTTTAAAACACATGATAATTGATGTCTAGAAAGGAGTTGGCCGATACTCAGGAGGTCGCGATTCCTGAGCAGCGCCCAGATCTCCACCTGGAGATTCCGCTAGTTGCGTTCCAGAGATCCTTTCATTGTCTCGCTCCATTTGTATCATCTTTCGAGCAGGACTGATAATTTGTACCGGGACTGCCAAAGATGAGTGGCTCGACCATACCCCCACTACACGTATGTCAAGTAAAATGGAATATCTCAGCGAACAGGTCGCGCAAAAGAACGAAGGGAACAGACTACTATCAGCAGAAACTTTGATCGGTATCGTAGTAATCCAAGAGGCTGCCTTGTTGTCGGACAGTAGAATTGTACCGTGCGGGGTGGTATGGTTGTTGCGCCAGGCAAGGTGCTCGTATCTTTGCTGCTTTGCTAACAGTATTTCTGTACGAAGACCAATCTTCGAGCTTCCACTGGCATCTGCGATGGTAGGCATGCGAGCCAAAGGATGGGTCGCGCAGAACACTCGGCGCTGGAGACGTGAGCTAACCTCAAATTTCCAATCATACGGTATTGTCTTGAGCTTTACTTCAGTTCTGATGTGTTGGAAGGAGATCCTCAGGAAGACGGTCGTTTGTGATTGTGAAAATTGTTCCGGGAGCCGTATGACCTGAGGCTCGTCCGCTGAGAATGCGAGAGATCCGAAGGAGCGGCTGTAGAAACTATTGCGGAGATTGGCTCTTGCTACTCGCACGTACTCGCCCTCGAAAGACGTTGTATCAACGGGAGGAGGTGCAGCCGTGGTCGGCATCACCTTGATTGGTCTTGAGATGCAGTGTCGAAACGGCCTGGTTGTGACGTTCCTTCTGATGCTTGCTGATAGTGTGTACGTTATGAAGGGCTGTGCGAAGATCTTGTCATTGGCAGAGTCAAAGTATGTACGTCCAATTTTTGCTGACGGATAGAGGCCGTGATCGGCTTGGTCTTGACGCGAGTTGCTCCCGACCGTCTCCGCTGGTATCGTCGAAGGAATTTGGAATACGAATGGTATGGTTTGAAGCGCGGGCCAGGTAACAGCATATCCTGTAGATTGATGCCTCGCCGGCCTCGCCTCAAGACACTGTACTTGCAGCAGGAACTGCCCTTGTCAGCGCCACTGCCTGAACTACCGTACAGACCACCTACGCGATGCTCGTAGGCATGAAAATGCCCGATGTCCCTGTCTGGAAGCCATGTTCGACACACACCTGGTTTCTGTTAGTACCTAGGGTACAACAAGTGACGGAAGGTTTCAACATACCTTCGAAATAGAGTTCAACCAGTTGACGTCGGTTTGAGTTTAGTTTGATCGTGAACGTTCCTGCCAGCGTATCGCCACCTGTGCGAACCGCACAAAAGCAGCCACCGACTTGAGCCGGATGTCCACATTTGGTATCCTCAGGAAGGCTCAGTGACACAATCCGGGCCAGAGGTTCGGCGCCAGAAGACATCGACGCTCGTTAGTAGCGGTGCTGCTCTCTGACGAGTACCTGTCTGCAACTTGGGTTGGGTGGTCTTATGGATCGCTCAATCCGCCAAGAGCCTTCCGCGAGTATACCGTTCAGCTCTCATGGCCCATACGCTTTACATTTTCCCCTGCTGGCTTAAAAACGAAAAAGGTAACCTGAACAGCGACCAAGGGTCGTCCTGAGGGCTCGACGGGACGTTCGGATGCGCTAACGCTCTAGTGCCAACTTGGACTAGCGCACCCGCTGGGCAGCCGCGCCCCAGCGCAACGAACGCCCCACTTTCTCTTTTGTCGCTGTGCTTGGTACGTGAAGCTTAAGATCGTTGTCGCTTGAGCCACTGCTCAGCACAGCACCCACCATGTCTCATGGCCCCTCCATCGCTCCTTCTGATTGGCGCAGAGCCGTAAGCGCCAAGAGAGCGTCAATCGCGAATGCAATACCTCCGGCATGGCGGCTCAGCGACGACGAAATTCCATCTACTGAAATTCTCAAGGACCTAACAGCTTTCATCACGCGTTTCCTCTCACCACTGGAGCAGCAGATCACCACCGCGCCGGTCTCTGTTCTCACAAGCAACATCTGTTCTTTCCAGTGGTCAGCGGTGGAGATCACAAGAGCTTTCTGTCATCGAGCTGCTCTGGCTCACCAACTTGTAAGTGGGAGCTTTCCGGACGCTGGATACCGACGACCGATACTGAGACTATATGCAGACGCCATGCCTTTCCGAAATTTGTTTCGCAAAGGCGGAACAGCGAGCTGAAGAGCTTGATACAATTCTGCGAACGTCCGGTCAAGTCGTCGGTCCACTACACGGTATCCCAGTCTCTCTTAAGGATCGCTTCCACATGGAAGGCCTTGATAGCGCGTGTGGATATGTTAGCTGGCTTGAACAACCCAAATCTGCAGTGGATGAGGGAGTATTAGTCCGGCGTCTTAAAGAAGCTGGGGCTGTGATCTTTGCGAAAACTAACGTACCAATGTCTATGCTTATTGGCGAGACAACTAACAACATAGTCGGCTCAACAATGAACCCCTTTAACAGGGATCTTTCCGCTGGAGGAGCATGTGGTGGAGAAGCTGCCTTGCTCGCCCTACGAGGATCACCAATAGGGTGGGGCACAGACATCGCTGGATCGATACGCATTCCGTGTGGCTTCAATAGCTTGTATGGCATTCGCCCTTCTTTCGGGCGGATATCTGCGACAGGATTAGCTGACAACTTGTCTGGGCTGCCCACAGCAGCTAGCGTTGTAGGACCACTCTCCTCTGATCTACCATCGTTGATTCAATCAATGAAGTGGATCATCAATTGCAACGCGTGGCAAGAAGATATCGAGACAATCGACATGCCTTGGAGGGATGATAATTTCGCAGGTACCTCCAACCGAATTTGTCAGCCTGGCCAGAGCAATGGAAGTCTGGTTTTTGCAATTCTGAACAACGACGGCGAGGTTAACCCTCATCCTCCTGTGCAACGAGCTTTGGGCTTGGTGAGGAATGCATTACTTCAGCGTGGCTACGAGGTAAGCCGTTATGAGCACCCCATTCCATGCTGTTCCATTGACAAGATCAAGGTGGTTGACTGGAGTCCCGGCTTGAAACATGACCTTGCGACAGACGTGCTCGTAAGTTGCCGTTTGACCAGAACATGCACAAGTATTGTGATGCTGACGAGACTCCAGTTTCAAATACTCGGATCGACGGCTGGGAAAAATGTTCGAGCAGCGATTGAAGCCAGTGGGGAACCGCCCATACATCAACTAGCAGACCTGTTCAAGGGGACCGAAAGTAAACCTTTGCCAACCTCACAGTTCTGGGATCTCTGTGCATGGAGAAAGCAGTTTCAGAGGCAGTATCATGATTACTGGAGATCTACGAGGGAATTGACTGCGAGCAAAAGAGCTGTGGACGGAGTAATCATGCCAATCGCTCCTCACACTGCTGCACCTGAGGGCTCATTCAAGTACTATGGTACGTTGAATGATGATCAAAGCTGTCGAAACAATTTGCTTACATTCTCAAGCATACTCTGCAGTTCCTAGCGTACTGGATTATACGACCGGGGTAGTGCCCGTGACCTTTGCTGATCAGTATCTTGACTACGGACCGTTTCGATACATACCTATGAGTGACAAGGATCGAGTCAATTGGAATCTCTGTAAGTGATAGTGCTAAGGGTCTCAATGATCGAGCTACTTACCGAAAGACAGATGATAAGGAACTCTTTGACGGCGCTCCAGTTGGTGTCCAGGTGATGGGTCAGCGACTCCAGGAGGAAAAGGTTCTTGCCATGATGAGTGCGGTTAACGACTCACTGCAACAGTATCAACCTCTCTGAACATCTCGGATGAAACAATGACATCATGTAATTACGGTCTTGTCTTCTTACATCGATCTGGCAGCTACCGACATGCAGGCGCTAAAGTGCGAAATTAGGTAGCGTCAATGAGACTAAAATACAAGACGCACTATGCGTTCTCCGATCAATCCGTCTCGAGCTCAGATTCTACCAGGCCCGTGCGGTTCGGGTTCTTACAAGCGAGATTCGGTGCCTCATGCACGGCACGGGTGGTGCGGTTGCGCTAGTCCCAAAGAGGAGATCACGTATCTCTGAAGTCATAAAGGTCCAGTCTGCACCACACGGATGTTCTGGAGTCTCGATCCCAATCAACACAGCCACAGAACATGGCACCATCAGTCATAAACGAAGAGGCTGAAGACAGCGCACTCGAGGACTACGATCAATTCGAGGAAGTCCGCAAACCTTCACCACAGTCCGCAAGGCAACCCAACGAAGACAATTTAGATGAAGCAGAATCCGAGTTGCTCAACGAAAACGTCGATGAAGGTGTAGATGGACTTGATGAGCTTGCTGTACCCGCTCCAGATGAGAACCCCGACGAGGAGCGGACCGAGTACCACCGAAGCCTTGAAGAAGAACGAGAGATTGGCAGTAGACGAAGTGCGATCCATGAACATACACGCCAGGCGACCGAACGACCTTCCTTACAGCAAAGGCTTCTGATACAGCTCTACACACACTCCTGGCTTGTGCTCTTCTCGATTCTTGGCACGCTGGCAAGACTAGGAGTCGAATGGATGACATACTATCGCAATGCCCCGGTGACTACGAACGTATTGTGGGCAAATTTTGGAGGATCCCTAGTTCTTGGGTTCTTGCAAGAAGATCGCGCCTTGTTCGCCGAGAAAAGAGGTCGCCACTTACTCTCGACCACGCACTCCAGCTCCAATGGTGACGACACCGACGAAAAGGGGCAGCGGGACTCTCAAGCCGACCAGACTGCCAGGAAAAAGTCCATACCACTATACATCGGGCTGGCAGTTGGCTTCTGCGGATCATTCACATCCTACTCATCCTTCATGCGTGATCTTTTCCTCGGGCTGTCCGATGAGCTGATTGGCAAAGACCAGGTTAAGAACGCCAGGAGCGCTGGTTGGAGTGCCGCATCAGTCTTGGGTATGGTCATCACCGAGGTCACAGTCTCGCTTTCCGCCCTCTCATTTGGCGCTCACCTAGCGATTGCTCTCTTACCTCTACTTTCGAGCATTCCCCGAATGAACCTGGGCAAGATCACAAATCCCTTGGGCGTCTTCCTAGGATTGGGTTGTTGGTTTGGTGCAGTATGCCTTGCCATCTGGCCTCCGCACAATGCGTGGCGTGGACAAGTTGTCTTCGCCATCGTCTTCGCACCTATGGGCACTATAGTGCGCTATTGGCTCTCTGTGCAACTCAATCGATGCATTAAGTCATTTCCCATCGGTACATTCTCTGCGAATATGCTGGGTACCGCACTTCTTGCTATGGCTTACGATCTGCAACATACAAACCTTCAGGGAAACATTGTGGGCGGAAGTGTAATCGGTTGTCAGGTACTGGCGGGTATCACAGAAGGTTTCTGTGGATGTTTGACGACAGTAAGTACATGGGTGGCTGAGCTCAAAAGTCTGCGAAAGAGGCATGCTTATCTGTATGGTGTCACAAGCATCGCAATTGGCTTTTCTTTGATGATCGTCATTGTGGGAGCTCTTCAATGGACGTCAGGACTGAGGGCACCGGTGTGTAAGGTTTGATTGCCTTGTAGAGATAGAACGGTGTAGCAAAACCTATTAATAATGTTAAGCAATGTTGTGCACACCAGGATGCCAATGATTGTGCACAAGTAGCAATTGTCATGACCTGGACATGACAGGTGGTAGATGTGAATTAAGCTGATCTTAAGCTGAAACCAGACCAGAAGCTGCACTTTGACGCATATCACTTCCTGAAGAAAGTATCAAAGCATGCTGTCTTGGCCAAATGCCGCAAAATGCAAAGACTTCAAGGGCTGACAGCGCAGCATTTTCATAACGTCTGTGTAAAATGCTCATATCGAATACAATATGATCAGAACCTCGGTTGAACGTATAATCTTTCCGTCTTCTGTCTATATGCCGAGCCCATCTTTTGTGCGAAACCGGACTGTGACACTATGCTACTCATGGCCCCAGTGGGTGTCGTCAAAACCCTCCCAATTCTGCGGAAGACTCGTCATCCAGGACTCGATATCCTGAAAGTCATAACCACCGTCGAGATCTTTTTCGAACCGACTTGAGAAAACCTCTATGACACGCCCATTTACGACAATACGCAGACGATCCTGGCCGCTCTTGTTCTGATACTTTTCAAACCCAACGTGACCGAGGTATGGCGCAAGCTTTGAAACAAACCAGCTTCGACCCGTGTCGATCCGGGTTAGATCTGGCGTCCAGCCCTCTTTGTGACCGATCCCTAAAAGACAACACAGATAGAGTACTTCCTCTCTGTGCGTGAAGGACACATGTAGAGGAAATGTGAATAGGTGGTTTGGTCCCGACTTGAGACTGCGCACTACTGCCACCAGCTAAGGTACAGCGATTCCGCAAGTATCGCTGCCATAACCTTCACTGTAATGGTATTTGGTGTCTCTGAGATATTCGAAACCTATCCAGTCTGCGGGTGTGAACCATGTTTCGAAGGGTAATTTGCGTCCCGAGACGACATCATAGCAATGGAGAAGTTCAATGGCGTGTACGTCTTCGGCTCCAAATTCTTGCGAGCTGGACCAATCGCAGCGAAGTCGTTGCAAGGCGTCCCGCGTCGTGACCTTCATCAGCTGTTGCATCTCTCGGTTGCCAGCCTGTTGATCTACTTGTAGCGCTGCATGCCATGCAAGGTTCTTGCAAGTTCCAGGGGTATCGGACAAGTCACTGACATTGACTTGGCAATCGATCAAGGGAAGATTGTCGTTTGCGTTTCCCACGATGGTCCCTGCGGTCGTATATCAGCCTTGAATGATCTGACTGAGAAAAACTGATCTTATCCCGATGCATTTACCTGAGAATGCGTCTGCAAAGGTTATAGCAGACAGCCGACATCGTGTCGCATTGTCACTCCATACTCTCATAATCGGTTTGAGATCACCCTCTTTGACTTGGAAATCCTTGAGAACCTGGCTATAACGTTGTCTAAAGTGTCTGCCCATATTTGCACTCTGTGACAGACCTGCGCCAGAGACCATGCCCACATGTGCTTTGCTAATCCAACTTCGATACGTCTGTAAGGCCGCCAACTGTCCCTTGGCGAACGGTCTTCCTGCGCCTTGCAGGACCTCAATTCTTCGCAGGAAAAGCTGGACGTAGGTGTTGAAGTCATTGTGAGACACGTCGAGAATACCATGGCGAAACAGGTACACGGCTCCAGAAACAGTGTCGGACGCGAGAGCTGGCGGTTGTTTGGAGATCTGAAAGTACGGAGACAGAGCGGCGAGATGCTCTTGGAAGCGCTGAACAGACATTTCGGTGCATCATCCTGATCATCGGAACCCAAAAGATCAACCAGACGGCTTTATGGAATAGTTTGAATGTTATGCTTGTCTTGCCCGCAGTACCCGTGCGCTGATGATTATGAGGTGCGCTTGCGCACCAATCAGAATACGATGCTCATGACCCCGCATGGAAAGCACTATGGCGTATCCGAGGTCACCGATGCATCATATTTTCGATCTCTGCATTTACATCAAGCCAGCCTATCACAAGCTCCGGAGCCAGCGACTTCCGCACAGGTGTGACCAAGGAACATCGGCAAGCGCATCACGGTTCGTCGCTTCTCTGTTCGGACCTCAGGAGGCAATTTAGCATCACTAAGCACAGCAATGGCGCATATATGTATCTTGATCTCGTTTCTGAGGGATTGTTGACCTTTGCAACAAACGCCCAGTACTGATCACAATGGATCCTTCCGCCGCAGAACTTGGCCAGCCGCAGCAAACACAACATCACGATATTTCATTGCATCCACCGAACGACGTTGCTGTAGAACATGCAAGGCAATGTCGAAACAAACGGGGCTGGCGAAAAGTCGTGATGAACCTTACGCCTGCATGGTTCAGCGTAACCATGGGTATGTTGCGAACCTCCATTTACTCCACTGCCTATGCCACCCCCACCAAGTGGAAGGCACACGCAAATTTGCTCCTTGTCATTCAATCAAACTATACTTACTACTTCATGCCACTGCCCCGCTTTTAACGTTCCTGCCAGGTACCGGTATTACCTCTATACTCCTACACAATCTCCCATATAATGCGACATGGCTATACTGGATCTCAGTCGTCATCTTCGCAGCGAATGTGCTCATATTCACGCTGTTGACAGTGCTGAGCATCCTGAGATATACCCTGTTCTCAGGCATTTGGTCTGCGATGCTCGCACATCCAGTCCAGTCCCTATTCCTCGGTAAGTAGGAAGTACATAGTCTGAAGAAGATCGAGCGCTGACACCAAACAGGCACTATTCCAATGGGTCTTGCAACCATCATCAACATGATCGTTTTCGTTTGCGTGCCAGCTTGGGGCCCTTGGGCTGCAACATTAGCCTGGACACTCTGGTGGATCGACGTCGTACTCTCGCTTGGTACGAACCTACTTCTGCCCTTCATCGTTATATACAAACATGAGGTATGTGAAGCTTCCAATGCTGACATTGCATTGCTAATATAGGCTCTACAGTCCCAGCTCTCCAAAATGACAGCTGTGTGGCTCCTGCCCATCGTTGCGACCATCGTTGCTGCTGCAACAGGCGGAATCGTGGCTGGTGTTCTCCCCGATACGCACGCCTTATGGACGATCATCGTCAGCTACATTCTGTGGGGGTGCGGTGTTCCTTTGGCCATGTTCACCATGGTCATATACTTTCACCGATTGACGATGCATTCTCTTCCGCCGCGCGAAGTCATTGTTTCAGTGTTTTTACCTCTTGGACCAATTGGTCAAGGAGCGTTCGGCATCATGACTCTGGGACGCGATGCCTTGAAGGTCTTCGGTCGAACAGATACTGTTCCTGCCGCCATGGACGACCTGGCTGGCAGACTTTTCTATGCCAATGGACTCATGATTGGGATAATTATGTGGGGTTTTGGTGTAGTCTGGCTATTTTTCGCCATCGCCGCTATCACACGATCCAAGTTTCCCTTCAACCTGGGATGGTGGGGATTTACATTTCCGCTTGGTGTGTACGCAACTGCGACCGTAGCCATCTCTCAGGAGCTACCGTCTCTCTTCTTCAAGGTGCTTGGAACAATTTTCTCGTTATCGGTCGTGTTATTGTGGATGGTTGTCAGCATCGGAACCATTCGAAATATCATCAAGGGCGAGATGTTCGTCGCACCTTGCGTCAAGGGATGGGAGGCACAACGTACAGAGAAAATCCAATGCGCAGGAGCTAGTGAGCAGAGCGTCTGAGCAGTGGAACTAAAAGCAAACTTCGCGCGCTCAAGTTGTCGTTCCGACTTTGGATTGGTTAAATTTCAACCTCTCTCTCGTTACAAGAAAGCGTATTCAAGCCTCAGTGTTCTAACCCTTATCTCTAGAGTGAAAGACGGTCGTGTCGTGGCAGACGTGGTGCAACAAAATGAAGGCGTCGATCATTACAACCCTTACATTGTAATATTGTGTGATGTGATCTTCAGCGTTAACCACAGGCACTCTAAATGTGTGTGGAAATGCTCGGCATACGGTGCCGTGAAAGCTTTCAGCGTTCTTTGGTACTATACCTTCAGCACTCGCTTACAGGTGCAGCTGATCTTCTAAGCGGCTATAATACAGGATGCGGTGGCATGGCTGTGGTATACTGTCCGTTCCTGGTAGTGTGTGAAGAGACCTTCGGCATACGGTGTCGCTAATATCTCCACCAACCTTCCACCAAATGTACCTCAAACATGTTCTGTCCTCTGCAAATGTTGCACCTACCGATGACACTGACATTGGCACGCACTAGGGACGCAGCTTGAGCTTCTTATCACTTTCGTGACGTAGCGAGAATACTTGGAATAGAGTATAGAGCTACTGAAACCAGGGGCTGGTAAAAACACTACGTCTCCTCTCCACATGGCTTGGGCGCCTCTAACTCGCACAAGTCTATAATCTAGTAAGCTCTTGTAGATTATCTTTTAATCAAACTTTGCATATAACTCTATCACTTTGCTCTACCTGGACGCATTTTTTCCGAAGCACAAATCTCTACACTAGATCGCTCGAATACCATCTATTGCAGCTGGAAAGTGGTTCATCTAGTCTCAGCATATACTGTCAATCTACTGTCATCGACGTTGTCCAATTATTACACCTACACACCCACACCCACCCACACACACACACATACACATACACACATACACACACACATACACCCACACCCACACAGAGTTAAAGAACTAAGATCAGCATCCAACTATAGGTCTCTGGCTTCAAGTCTACCTCTTCATATCTCGGCTAGCGCTTGCACGCTTCGTTAGCATGTATCCGGATCGGATCTTACGCAAATATAGGGAAGTGTTACTATGGTTGTTGTTACTGGCGAGCTATCTATTTCCTCAGCAAATAGTCTTGCTGGAGGTCTTTGGATTCCTAGCCTATCTCCGCTCGGAGGGAAATTTGCACAATAAGGCGCACAAATGCTCGTAAACGGACAACTGCTGACTAAAATTAGTGCCTGATGCTGGTGACGATATACAGATAATTAGTATAATAGCGTTGACGGTGTTATGCCTGTTTACACCTGAAGACATGCGGTCAGCATGCGTGCCTTATCTCTTCATAGGTCTTTTTACTAAATGGTCGTTTATGTTCATTTGGGGTTCTTGGTCTATTATGCTCTTGTTTTTGCGGGTAGTGTTTTGGCTTGTATAAGAACAATATGGAATCGAAGTCCGTCTTTGCGTCGCACCAATGAACACTCTTCTCTGAAGCTAATTTACTTCCCTAGATCAAGTGAATGAACTAAACAGCTATTTGAGGCTGACCGCAACATTGCTTGGAAGATCCATGGCCATGTCATTAATTAGTCCGAAGCGCTCGCCGCTCGCTTTATTATACTTGATCAAGGTTGCCCCCGATAAAGCTACAGGATGGAGCTGATCCGACTCTCGATGCGCGCTTGGTTTTCGCCCCTTCCACATCACTAAGCAGAGTCCGCAACAATCAATCCGGATTGTGAGATTGATCTTGTGAGATTGCCAGATTGGAGCTATAATCAAACCAAGAAGCTAGTCTTTAGATTAGTAGCTCAATCAATCAATCCGTGACATCCAGATTGCCAGATTGATGAGATTGTGCCGCTGCGGTAGGGGTGGAGGGTGAAGGATAGAAAAAGGGTGGAGTTTCTCGTGTCCATCCTCCGCCCATATCTTTCGTTCTTAACAACGCGTTGCAATGCCTCCCCAATCTCAAAAGAAGCGCAGCGGCGCACCTACAATTGCTGCTGAAGCTGCTAAACGACTGTGCCTATCGGAGCGATCGCTGTCGCCCCGAGAAGCCCTGGCTAGCCAGGCCACCGAGTCGCCGTCTGAGCCAGCGTGGGAAACGCAATTTTTGGAGTCGCAACCTGAAGCTGAGATCCCCGCGCCCACCGAGGGCATTGAAACGCACAGCGGCGACGGCGACAGCAGCGAGAGCTTTACAGACGACTTACTGGCACGAAAGTACGATATATACAACTGGGCAGACTCGTTAGAGATCGTGACTCTAGGGGAGTGGCTACACTACCAAAATCTGAAATTTCTGACAATCAAGTCAAGTCAAGACAATCTCAACTGCCTCACGACACTTCAATCTGCAATCAAGACAATCCGTAGGGCTGCTCTCGCCTAATCAAGTCAAGCATAAACACTTGAATTGTATCTGCAAGAAGAAGGCAAAACCACAGTCTAGGGAGTGGCCCATAACGTTTGCATTCATTCTCATCTGCAGCCAGGCGCCCAATTGCAACAATGCGTGTAAATCGTCCCGCCTACGGCACTGCGTGCAGACTCACCGCATCCGTAATGCTCCTTCTCAACGCGTGCTTCTTTCTCGCTGATGCGCTAACCCATCCACATCAATCAATGACTAGGTCTCCGGCTCCAGCTCTAGTAGTATTAACGTTTATATGTTTTAGAGGGTTCGTAGGGACTATTTATCAGGTTAAGTAGGGCGTCAGCAAGAAAACTACGTGTTTCTCTCAGCTGTTTGTACATGACGCGCTGATAGCCAGGGCCACTTACTGTTAAGACCGCGCACGAGCAACGTGCTATGTTGCTCTCTAGTGTCGCGATTAATGTTGGCGTCTCTCTCAGAATGCTTGTGCGCGCTCGTGCGTAGGGTAGGATGAGCCGGTGCTTCAGGGGGAACCTAAGCGCCAGCACCGCTGCTTTTCGCAGCTTTCGCAGTAGCGCTGAGCTGTCATGTTGGTGGCTTACTCCGCTAAGCGACTAGACCCAGAAATAAACCTTGGCGTACGGTACCGGTAATGTGTGTTAATAGCCCACATCCAGAAACAGCACTACGCCGTTCAGATCACCGCATACAGAAAAATTAAGGGCTTTTGTGGCAGTCGCATGGGTGAAAGCAAGGCTTCCCGTCCGCTCAGCCATATACAAGCATGATACCGGCGGATTAGTAGTTAGGTGGGTGACCACTAGCGAATCCCCGCTGTTGTATGTTTTATTTCTTCGTTTTTTGCCCACGACATCTACACATACCGAGCCACACCGCAATCGGCTCCAATCACAGTTAAAATTGCATGCTCTTTTTTGTTATGCGGACTGAGTTGCCAATGGCTGAACCGCATCTTTAAAGCTGCATTCGAACGCCAGCGGGAGTGGCGTAGTTCTCTTCTACTTATCATCAACCCATCCGTCCTTCAAATTTCCAATCTGCATAGAAAAGCCTACTCTGGAACACAACGCGACGGAAGAGAAAGAGATGAATTTTACTTACCTGCCGATTGCCAAACCAATCCCCTTCGAACAGTTCAATGACCCCGCTTTCTGGAATAGAAACCCCCACGACTAGCTGCCTAGTTATGGGGGACACGGCACTCTGGAGGTTTTACAAGTTACACAGTTACTAGAGAGAGCTGGCATTACCTGTTATATAGTTGGTCCTTCTGCTCTGATGTACTACGGCGCCGCAGGACGTCAGAATGTAAGCTGAAAATGGCAATCTATTGTCTGTACTGCTTCCATCATTGCACCACCGACCTGGAATACTAGGACTGGACTGTGTGCGTGCCCACAGAAAAGCTTGGAGAAGCGTCTTCACTTCTGCATCCAGCCGACAGTTACGAAACCTTTCCGCCTCGTCCTCCACGCCCGTGGTCACTACTCCACACGTTCGCACGATTCAGACCTGTAGGCATAGCGATGGCCATTACTTTGGTTCCCTCAGATGATGTGCATATTGATTGCATAGCCCCCAATATCGAGTGTAGCCAAATGGGTCTCCCGTACCCGGTCCTGGAGATATTCGCACAGTCGCCTCAACACCTACAATATGAGCGCACTCCAAGACCTTGTAGACGGCATGGATTTGACTGAACAATGGGGCTTAGACCACCTGAAACTTGACGCCGAAAACGATGTAGCGTGGGCACGGCGAAAGCATGAGAAGAAACGAGCTTCGGTTCCACTTTCCTTCAGCTCGTGTATGATGGAAGTTACAACCAACCCCTTCAACCTGAAAGAGACTTAGAATGACACTGTCTGAACTAAGGAGCGTCATATTGGGATAGAGTTGCCGGAGGGATATTTTTCCACGCGATTCCGTGGGGTGGGATCCCCGGATCTACGGTCTGAAGAGAGGGACTGCGTATAAGGCAAGAGGTTCTTTGCGGTTACGTTTTGTATTTTACAAGCCGTGAAGTCCTGAGACTCTCCAACACCCTTCAGCAAACGACGACGAAGGTATTGCCTCGACATCTTTTGAACCTCCAGCCCAAAGAGAGGCAATAGTACCATGACGAATATGCCGAGTAAAGCGAATATTGCTTCTTTCGACCATTGCGAGTCTTGTACGGTGCGTATCTCGGGGTTCATTGGAGACGAATTAAGCGGTGCTGGACGATGATGTTAGTATCTATCATGCACTGAGTCCGTACAGGACGAAGTACAAGCTGCTGCCTGGGGAGCATGATTCTTGATGATATTGGTCTGCGCTCAAAGTCTCAAGCTTCGGGATACGCTAGAGCCACAACTGGTTATCAAATTGGTGCAGTCGATGACAGCGAACACGAGAAGAGGACGACGGCGATGCGAAGCGAGTTTAAAGGATCTCTTAGTACGAGTGGCAGTGAGTTAGTAGAGAGCCTGAATTTGCTGGAGGTTGTAGTCTTATATGGGCCATACGGTGCTGCGCGCAAGGCCGCACGATACACTCCCACTGTGTACAACAATAGACAGTTCTTGCATCGCTGGATCAGGCGGGTGTCGAATACATGAGTTCGGGTAAATCGGCAGTCGGTCGCAGTCGGATACCAATGCAGTGTAACAGGCAGTGCAAGCGACTTGTCCCACCCCCGACCTCTACTTAGCCTTTTGAAGTCTAGGCATTTTGTGGCACACCTGTACGCGTTGTAATGCTTGTGAAGGTCATGTACTTACAGTATTGTTGAAAAGAGCTCTACAGACTTTATTGGCCACTCAAAAATGATGCCTGCGACCCGGCAGCAGGCGAACCGCTGGTGCTTGAACTCCGGGTAGTAATACGTTGTGTCACTCGTTCGAATTCAGGCTTGTGGCACCATAACCGCACGATGAAGGCTGGAAAGAGAGGTTTCGTCGGGCCAAAGAACCAAGAAGCGGCAACTTCACAAAGCCCTCTTCGTATATTCTATCTTACACGTCCGCTTGTTGTCCGTCTATTGACCGACGTTGGTGAAGCGCAGGTACTTCTTGACCTCCCTGACTTCGCCAAACTTCTTCCTGGCATCCTCAGTGCTGACACTGGGTGGTACGATGACGTCTTGGCCCTTCTGCCAGTCAATAGGTGTAGCAATTCCCTTCTTATCGCCTGTCTGCAAGCTGTCGATGACTCTCAGAACCTCGGCGGTATTCCTGCCTGTGCTTGCGGGGTATGACATTGTAAGGCGGATCTTCTTTGCGGGGTCGATGATGAAAACCGAGCGGATGGTGAAGGCAATGCCGCCGTTCTTCTGGAGCGCATCGAGGTCGTCTTGCGAGATCATATCGTAGAGGAAAGCGACGTGGCGGTCGGCATCGGCGATGATGGGGAACTGCACGGTGGTGTTGGATGTCTCGTTGATGTCGGCAATCCACTGGTCGTGAGAGCTCAGGTCGTTGGCGCTCTGTAGCAAGGTTAGTAGGCTGATCTTGATCCGTCAATGAACCGATAGACGCGTACCAAGCCAATCATCTGGACGCCTCGCGCATCGAATTCATCCTTGAGCTTTGCAAAAGCTCCAAGCTCAGTCGTACACACGGGTGTAAAGTCGGCAGGGTGGCTGAAGAGGATAGTCCACTTGTTGTCCAAGAACTTGTGGAAGTCCTACTTGAAGTCAGCATGCGTTGCGCAGCATTCGTCGGAGAAGCTTACCATGTCGCCATGAGTGGTCTTCGCCTGGAAGTTAGGAGCTGCGCGTAGTCAGCATCATTGCTCTGAGATGTTTTCCAAACGCTACATACCAACAGATCCCAGCCTCAGTCGTGGCTGCTCAGCTGGAAGCGCGATTCCGCGACGTAGTAGCGGGGCAGCAGGACGCTGTGCCCTTAGGGCAGGGCGCGCCGAAGCGCGAAGAGCTCGGGAAGCTGCACGGGGGAGGAATGAAGCCATTGTGAGGTTTGCAGAGTACGATCAGGTATCCGAGATGTGTTCTGGAGCTTTGGATCGTGGCCCGCGGCGGTATCGTCGATTAGTAAAATGGGGACTTTTCGACATGGCGTCATGTCGAATCAAAGAGCCCCGTCGGTCCGAAATCGGCCATCTTTGCCTCTTCATGCAGTAATAACCCATCATCACTGAAGCATCCTGTCGAGCGTCTCTCGCAAGCATGTGGAGTTGTTCGAATTAATGTCGTGCGCGGACAGCAACTATTCTGCCACGCGTGTGCCACGCGACGTATCCAACATGACGTCAGCGTGCGTGCATTAGCACCAGTGAATCTAGCGACCATGTCTCATACACTTCCATCTACTTTTCCGTCTTTGATGGTCATTTCCAACTCGTCCTCTGAAGCCAGCATAATCGGAACAGTGAACCCATTCCACAAACGCGCGGGAACCCTGTCGCCTTCTCCCTCTTCCTTCTCCAGCTCACCACACCACCATCGGCAACCCTTTGGATGCATCCGAATCTTATATCGTCCGTCTTCAAGGCCTTTCATCTTATAACCAATGTCGAATACATTCATAAAAGGTATTCCAGGTTTCAAAGTCACAAGCTCGTCCACCTTGGCTCGCAGGTCGGCTTTCGAATCCCGCAATTGGCAGACGCTGGTATCGCAGGGCCTGTGCATCATTTCACCAGTCGCGGCATTGACGATGAAGACACTTGATACAGGCGGGTAATTTCGCTTTGACTGATCAATGACTCTGCGGCGATCGTCAAGGGCATCGGGCTCTGGAGCCAAAGGACCCCATGGGACGAGAAAGTTCTGGTGGCCCCGTGATTGTACTGTCACAGTTTCAGAGCCACTATTTACGACGGTGACTTCCAAGCATGTGTTCTTGACTAGACGTATTCTCGTCTTTAGTCGCGGTGGGAACTTCAGGTTGTCGATGACCCTGAAAGCTGCATGGCCGTGAGAGTAGCTGTTGACTAGTCTCGCTTCCTCGCCATCTCCGTCCCCGTCGGTAAATATCTCTTGGTCACTGTATGCCCATCTCTTGACGCCAAGGTCGTGGCCTGCGAGCCTCATTCTGTATCTCTTTCCCGGCTTCGGTACTAATGTTAACATGCTCTGGAGATTAAGTGTATACCGGTATACTGTGATATCATGTCTCCAGCTCTTTGTCCGATGAACCCGGGACGGAACTGAAATGCAACCTCGATTGCTCGCATCAACCTCTCCAAGCGAGCTTACATCCACTTCAACCCATTGTGTAGCTTCCCCGGGGCGTTCTTCATACAGAGTTAGCAGGCCATGCGCTATGGCGTATGGCACATCGAAGACTGAACCGACCGTGTCAATAAGCATTGATCGAGGGTCTGTGTCAGACTTTTGTACCCGGCAAAGACCAAACACTACACTGAATGGTAGCTTCCCTGATGCGTCGAAGACGTTGTAGCGGCTGTGGAGCTGAACGTGAATCGGAAATTTGGTCATTGTGGTTCGTACGTGAGAAGAGCAGAAGAACCTGTGCATACACCAGGAAGTAAGAGTGAAGGGCGTTCTTGAAGATAATTCATCTTGCAGGTTGCATTCGCGTTCCTATAGGCCTTGAGCATAAGCACGAGATAAACACTCGTTGTCTGCCCTCGCAGACATGCCACGCGAGTGCCCCACTCCAAATCTCGAACATGACGTCATTCCGCGTTGTCAAACCCCGAGCTTTCCACATGAAACTTGGTCGGGGAGCAGGGCCACGCGCCTCGCAGTGGAGAAATAAGAAATGAAAACCCGTTGAAGGCCCAGCCCCGCGCGTCGAAGACGTTGTGTTCACCCTCAAGTCATCTTCGGAAGCGCCTGCCCAGCTACACTCGCTTCCATATCGCCCAATATGTCCATAACGTCCTTTGACAACAAGCCCGGAACAGGCGGCTTCTTGAAATTCAACTCCGGTCCGCCGCGCATATATCTGACATGCGCTCTGCCAGCACCAGAGAAAGCGCTGCTGTCCTGGCGCGAAGAAGGCTACGACGCGCAATACCTGCCCTACGATCCCAACACGCAAAACCAAGCAGCCTATATCCAATCGCTCAAACAACTGTCCGTAACTCTCAACCTGGGCGAAAACTATGCGATTATAGCATATGGCGACGCAGCCAGCGTCGTCTTGAAAACCGCACAGAAACCGCTAGCGAAATGCTGCGCAATCATAGCGTTCTACCCAAGCTTGTTACCAAGCCCAAAAACCATGTATCCGAATTCGCACCAGCTGCAAGTCCACATAGCGGGGCTCAGTCAGTCTAGCCCAAGACCAGATATGTGCGAATGGAAGCTGTATCGGTACGAGAAGTGTGCCACAGGGTTTGCGGATCCATCGTCACGAGCGTATTCGGAGGTAGAAGCGAACCTGGCATGGACAAGAGCGCTAGCATGTGTGCGGAAAGGATTTGGGAAGAACGTGGACCTTGAACCGATTGCGCTGAGCCATTGGAACTCGAGGTTTGAGGACGATGACCCGGATCGCGCGAGTATGGGTGTGGTCAAGAATATGACGCAGGATAGCCCGCATGTCACGATCTTGCCGACCATGCAGGGAGGCGTGGGGAGGAAGAAGCTCGCGGAGTTTTATGGGGAGTTCTTCGTGCCTAGCTTGGTGGAGGACTTTTCCATACGGTTGGTCTCGAGGACTATGGGTGTTAATCGTATAGTGGATGAGATGGTTGTGTCCTTTACGCATTCCGACGAGGTTGACTGGGTGCTGCCAGGTGTGCCGCCAACGAACAAGCGAGTAGAGATACCCATGGTCAGCATCGTGGCGGTAAGAGGAGACAAGCTGGTTTCGGAGCATATGTACTGGGATCAAGCTTCTGTTCTTGTGCAGATAGGCTTGCTGGATCCCAAGATGGTTCCGAAGAAGTTGAAGAATGGCGGATTGAAGGCGCTGCCTGTCGTAGGGGCGGAGGCAGCGAAACAGCTTGTGGAGCCGCAACAGAACCGATATAACAAGCTGTTGCAGATGCATGGTCTCATGGATGGTTTAAATGGTAACTAGAGATTGTCGCATCTTATTTTCAGCGCGGTGTTCCGGAGTAGTGCTTGCAAGAATCGCTTCATCGAGCCTATGAGTTTTGCTGTAATTGCTCGATCAATTTTCCAATACTGTTCATAATCGAAGTCCATATTCAGATCAGTTCTCGGGATATTGTATTCTCAACCGATGAAACTGCATGTTGGCAGCTTGTACTCATTGAGTACCCAATACTTCCGCCTCACACCCTCCCATTCACCCTTTTCATCTAGATTCGGCACAGGGACCGTTTCCCACTCGGTGTCGAAACCAGCCTCGAAGAGATCGAACTCAACGATCTTGTTGTAAACATCGTAGACGATTTGGCGATCTGCTCCCATGCCGTTGAAGAAGCCGAACTTGCCTCCTTCGCCATCGGAACCACCAGCAGGATCGAGGAGCCCGATGACATGTTCTGTGAAGAACTCGCGTAGTGCTTTGTATTCTTCGGCGAAGGTATCAAAGTAGATCGCGTCCAACAGCTCGGCCTTTTCGACAAGACCTGGTACAATATCCTGCCAGCGGCCTTCGTGAATGACAACCCCCGGCTTCTCGTGCCATCCCTGCTCTTTCATGCGCTTGATGACATCTGGGTGCGCCTCGATGATGTGATGAGCCTTTGGCTTCTTCTCCTGCAAGATACCGTCGATGATTCCCATTCCATGACCGACGTTCAGAACGCGAAGCCCTTCTGTCGGCACCAGGAGTTCCGCAGATCTGCGCATAAGCGTTGTCTCCCACTCCATCATGACCCCGTTTGAGGAATCGTCCAGTAATCGGTCGCGGTCGAATGTAAGCTTGGAAGCGAGGTAGTTTGGGTTCTCAGTTGATTCGTCGCCTTGAGCTTCGTCCTGGCTGATGTCCACTACCTCAACGCCTTCAGCCACCTCTTCAACCTCATCTTCCTCCTCGTCCTCTTCCTCTGAATCATCGTCTCCAAGAAGCTGGTATTGCTCCATGCGACTCAGCAGCATTTCTGCACGCACACCTGCGTCGACGCAGAGCTCGTATAGCTCCTTGAGCCCCAGCCTATGCGCGATACATCCCGGCGTTTCGCCATTCGAATCCAAGTCGTTCCATATCGCACCGTTCTCGAAAAGGAACTTAATGGTCTTTACAGCGCTGTCCATTTCGTTCTTCGGATCTTCCGCCCCACTTGCTCCTTCTCCATTTGTGTTTCCGTTGACTTCCTTTGCGTCATCTTCTTCGGGCTCGCAGGCAGCGATCGCAGCGTGCAGAGGTGTAAAACCGGTCTCGGAATCTTGAACGTTTGCGGAGGAGTTGCGTAGAAGGTTGCGAAGGGAGGCGGTGTCGTGGTTTGCAGCGGCGAGCAAGATGCTCTGCGTCTGGAGATCAGTCTGCGTATCGAATTCCGGGTCGTCCATGATTACTTCAGTAGTGTTGGTGTTGTGTTCGCAAAGTATCTGGAGGGGCAGTTGAGGGTCCAGGAAATTTACTGAGACGCGAGTCATGCAGGGTCCAGCTGGTCGATGTCGCAGTGTCAGTATGATCCTCTCCTCAAGGCCACAGCAAGACTAAACACTGCATGAACACCAGAATAAGGTTGCAGCATAGACTCAAATTCGTATACCTCATTTTCAGTTAGTGGGTGACATATTCCCAGCAAACGGCACTACCTCATCCTTTACAACTCATCGATAACACTTGAGTCCAACATCTTCTCCAACTCCTCCCTCGGAGTGATCGTCCTGTTATCCTGCTTCGCTAGATATCCATCCTCCTCTACCAAAAAGTCAATCAACCCATCATCCCACTGTCCACTCCACTTATGATGCTTCCAAACAGCCTCCACAACTTCCACTCCAGCATCAACAGTCTTGGCCACATACTCAAATACATTCTTCTCCTTCGGCGAATGCGAGAACACGTCCCGTGTCTTGTCAAGGGCCCTCACGAACTCTACAATGTCCTTACGCTTTGAGGGATTGTCGAGAGCCTCTATAGTAGAGAATAGCGCATAGACTTCTCTGTAGATGGAAGCGTTTTGGAAGATTATCGCGTCGTCTCCCAAATCCATAGCGCCAAGCTCAACGGAAGTTTCCCAAATACCGTACGCATCCAGGCTCCCGTTGTTGAGGAGGTACGGGAGAGTATCGTTTGCACACGGCGTCTTCATGCACCACCACGCATTAATTCCTTCGTACTCATGGTCCTGCACACCAACACTACTCATCATATTGTGTACGAACACTTCCGCACTCGAACCCAGAAAACTGCCAATTTTCTTGCCCTTCAGATCTTCAAGTTTATCGATACCCTTCCGTCTATCGGCAATGAGGCGGTACGAGACCTCGCAGATGATGTAGATGAGGCGGATGTTACGGTGATCGACATATTGTCTGAGACTTGGTGTTTCGGCGTTGGCGCTAAGGTCGATGCTTTTGTTAGAAAGGATATCGGGGACACCACCTGATATGAGAATTGCAGGCGTACTGCCGTTGTAGAAGTTTTCGATGGCGTAGGGCTGAGGCGTCCGCTCTATCCAAAGGGGGTAGGATGCGATTGTAAGTCCGATAACACAGTGAAGTCGGATGATAACAACGGCGTGTAGAAGGAATGAAAACATCATGCGTCGTGTGAGCGATGAGCTATCTGATTGTGACAATGAATGACAATCCTCGAAGTTCGAGCTTATATGTGTCTACTCGCGTCTCGATCGCTGTGAGAGCTCTGTTATGCTGGGTCAATATAGAGTCTTGGTATTCTGCATGCAATTACAGCATTCTGACCGATGACGTCGAAGCAGGGATCAGTGCATTGCAATGGTTACCCATACGGTATTATTGCAGGGTATATCGCACCACCTTGGCGTTCTACACATAGGCTGTCAGTCTGGGGCGTAAAAAAGACGCACGATACCCAAAGCGACGCGGAACAGTTGAAGATCTGTTGCATACCAATTTTAGTCTATCCGGAGGAAGTTTACCAACAGAGTGCAAGAACATACACTCAGACAGAAAGTCATAGAAAGCATTATCAAGACACAAGCTTTCCATGTCTAATAGGGTTGTTGACAAGATAAAATTCAGATTTGGCTTCCGCCATGCCTACCTACCATAACGCCAGGATACCAAAATATTCGAGTCGGCTGCGCATTGCATGCATGCATGGGTGAATGAATGCCAGAGCACTTGTATTCGTTGTACAACAGCCCTAGTGAGACTGTATCCAGCCCAGCATTTGACCAAAAGCTTGCGCTTGTGACTGTTTGATCTTGGCATCCTCATAATCTCCGTAGACAGCAAAACCGTGAGGCACACCAGAGAAGACCTGGATTTCATGCTCGACTTTGTTCGTCTCCATGGCTCTGCGACCTGGTGTCAATGCGTCTTCTTCCGAGAACATGGGATCATCTTTGACAGCGGCAATGTAGACGGGGGACTTGACAGCTTCGAGGTCCTCCTTGTATGTCATGGTTGGGTGCGCAACAGCGCCGGCCCTGAGAACGGGCTCTTTCTTGACAGTGCCTTGCTCTTCATCTTTCTGAGTTTCTTGACCCCAGGCAACAGTGTCGGGCAGCTCAGATGCCAGCATCAGGATGTACTTGGCACCGAAACAGTAGCCGATGCCATAAATGCCTCCACCGTTGGCAACAGCATCGGCGTACTCTTCCTTTGCACTTTCGACAACCTTGTGAAGCAGTGGAAGGACCTTTTCGGGAGTATGCCGAGCGAGCCACATGTCAATCATGAATGACTTGATGCCCTCTGCAGTCCTCAGCTTGACCGATTCTAGCCATGACGCTTCCTTGGGGATCTCCGTCATATCAACAGTATTCGGCGCTGGATCGTTGTCGAACTGATCGGGCATGACGACGAGGTAGCCTTCCGAAGCGTACTTGTCAGCCTGCAGCTGGTTGTTTGTGGACTTGACGCCAGTGCCGCCTGTCAGCATAAGCAGGAGCTTTGAGGGCGAGTGTGGGTAGTCAGCCGGTTTTGCGATGTAGCATTCGACGCCGCCGAGCTTCGTAAGGTCGCCGGTAGGTTTCTCGCCGGAGGGTGTTGGACGATCCGTTGTGCAGTGTTCCTGAATAATCAGTATGTGGAAGCAAGAATCGGGGGCACTAGATGAAGGCATAAGCCATTATCTTCACCAGAAGCTGCATATATCTGCTCAAATTTCTTTGAGCAATGAGAGCAGGCATATGCAGCTTCCCGTGAAAATAATGGCTGGACTTACACCCATGCTTGGCCCTTCTTGCGCTCTGGTGTCTCCGGGGAAGACGCTCTCTGCTGCCTCTTGGGGCTGTTCTTGAGGCTTCTCCTGCGCATCGCTCTCGGGCGCGCGCGTCGCAATGTCGTTGTCAGCCATGATGTTTGTAGGTTGTGTAGTGGTGACAGCCGATATACGTGAAAGCTGGTGTCAATGGGCTGCAGCTGGCTGTGAAGGGTCCAGGCCAATTACATAGCCCCGCACAGCCCCAGAGCAACTTGGAGGCGCGGATGCGGTTAGAGCGGGGCCACAGAGTCACGTGGCGAGACGCGTCGACGCGCTTTCTCAACTTCTACGTGTGTCCCGCCACCGACACACGCCATCTCAACACCACGCAAACACACATACACAGTCACCATGGCAGAGGGAGCAATCACCCAAGGCGCTATCCAGTGAGTAGTGGCATGATGAATTCCGTGTTGCACTCTGACACCACCTAGGAGCATCTTCCAGCCCAGCGGCTGCTTCGTAGAAAATCCCGTCCTGCAATGCGTGCAGATCAAGACGATGGAGCCCAAGGCGGGCGAGGCGAACCCAGTGCAGCGCTTCCGTGTTGTGTTGAGCGACATTCGCAACTTCATACAGACTATGATTGCGACGAGTAAGTCAGCCGCAGGCAACATACGGACACAGCTAATCGCGTGCAGCCGCCAACGACATTGTCACTTCTGGTCAGCTTAAGAAGGGCTCGATAGTTCGCCTACTTAAGTACAATCCTCAGCGCGTCAAGGACAAAAAGTACTTGTTTTTACAGCTCACAAGACTTCTTCTCTAACCATTGCCAGCATCCTGATCATCATGGAACTGGAGGTCCTGTCGCAATACGGCGAACTCGACAAGATCGGACAGCCCGAGGCTCTCGACACCAAGGCCGCTGAGGCACAACCTGCAGCCATCTCAGGCAACAACTTTTACGGATCGAAGCCCGCGCCTGCCCCTCAGCAACAGCGGTCCCTCCCTACTCACCAGAGCAACCCCGGTACTTCCTCGCATCCCAATCTCTACCCTATCGAGTCTCTTTCGCCATATGCACACAAGTGGACTATCCGCGCACGATGCACCGCCAAGAGTGATATGAAGGAATGGCACAACCAGAAGGGAACGGGCAAGCTATTCAGCGTAAACCTGCTCGATGACACTGGCGAGATTCGAGCGACGGCTTTTACCGAAATCGCTGATAAACTGTACCCCGTCTTCGAGGTGGGCACCGTATACTACATTTCAGCACCTTGCCGCGTCACGCTTGCTAAGAAGCAATTTTCCAACCTGCCCAACGACTACGAACTGCAATTCGAACGCGATACCGAAGTTGAGAAGGCGGAGGATCAGGAGAACAAACCACAGATTCGATTCAATTTCACCAAGATTGGTGATCTGAACACGATCGAGAAGGACGCCACGGTCGATACTATTGGCGTTCTCAAGGAGGTCGCAGAGGTTACTACGATAACATCGAAGAATACCAACAAGGATTACAGCAAGCGAGAGTTGACACTAGCTGATGATAGTCAGACGTCTGTCAGACTTACCATCTGGGGCAAAGCTGCCGAGAGCTTCGAAGCGCCGCTAGAATCCATCATTGCATTCAAGGGTGCCAAGGTCTCCGACTTTGGCGGACGAAGCTTGAGCCTGCTGAGCTCCGGCACTATGATGGTAGATCCAGACATTGATGAGGCTCATAAGCTGCAAGGATGGTTCAATGCTGCTGGACAGACTGCTACATTTTCTACACACCAGAACCTGACTTCGGCTTCAGGCGGATCCAAGAACGAAGTCAAACCCATCTCGGCAGTCATCGAGGAGGAAGCATACCTCCAAGACACACCCACATGGATAAGCCTCCGAGCATCTGTCTTGTATGTCAAGAATACTACGATTGCGTACCCCGCGTGCTCGACGCCCAATTGCAACAAGAAGGTTATTGAGGAGAACCCCGGTACCTGGTGGTGCGAGAAGTGCCAGGCTAACTTCCCTGAACCTCAATACCGCTATGTGCTAAGCGTCAACGTTGGCGACCACACCGGCACGCTTTGGCTCAGCTGTTTCGACGAAGCTGGACAAGACATTGTCGGCATGTCGGCAAACGAAGTCATGAAGATCAAGATGGACGATGATGAAAACAACACACAAAACTTCATGAATGTCATGCAAGAGGCTACATGCAAGACGTTCAATTTCAGGGTGCGGGCGAGGATGGAGACATACCAGGATCAGCCAAAGTAAGTATCCTCCATATCAGGGTCTGACATCTGCTAACATTTTCCAGGCCGCGGTACCAGGTTCAGAACTTGAACAAGCTCAACTACGCCGCCGAGGCCAACAAGCTGGCTCAGCTCATCAAGCAGTACAACATCGACGACGACACCTTGTTCGTCAACTAGAGTAGGGCATATCTCTTTCCAGCAACTGCTTTCCATCTGGTAATAATTAGCAATGTACATGAGAGCTTCGAATGATGGATGTTAGATAGATGTACACGTTTCGCGCGGACAAACGCACGAATGAAGCAAGTTGTACCATTCCATTATGAGTGTTTATTGCCGCGGCCTATATTGTCCGACACCACCCCGCCAAAGCTCAAGCTCCATGACTAGCGAAGCTGCCCCTCAGACGTCATTACCAATCATTTCCGTAGCTGCCGGAATGGCCTCGGAACAGACTATCACTTCCCTTACGCGTTTCTGACCCTTCTGACTTTCTGACAATCTCTGATAATCCTTGACTAAATACAAAAGCGCGACCTGTTCACACCTCGATCTACTTGTAATCAATTCCAGAGACCAACAATCCCAACCAACCTTTACAATGAGCGACACGATGCGCGCAGTAGGTGTGTACAACCACTAGCATACTCACACACTAACCCTGCTAACTTTGCAAAGACATCAAAGATGGTAAAGGCCCAATCGAGAACCTCCATATCACCGACATCCCCAAGCCGAAGCTCGGAAAGTCGCAAGCGCTTGTCAAGATCAAGGCTTTTGGTCTGAATCGCATGGACCTATTGCAACGCGAAGGGATGTATCCAGTACCCCCTGGCGCTTCCAAGATTCTCGGCGTAGAGTTCTCGGGTACAATCGCAGAGTTGAGCGCAGAAGGTGGAGGCAAGGAGGGTTTCAAGGAGGGAGATGAGGTCTTTGGCTTAGCATATGGAGGAGCGTATGCCGAGTACATTGCAGTGTCAACACATATGCTGGTGAGGAAACCAAAGGAGTTGACTTGGGAGCAATGCGCGGGTATTCCTGAGGTAAGTTCGATGTCGTTTCATAGCTAGTAACCTTCATCCGCTAACCAAATCCCGCAGACCTGGATCACAGCAACCCAAGCCATGTACCTCGTCGGTCAGTTCGCTGCCGGCAAAACCATCCTCTGGCACGCCGCCGCTTCTTCAGTCTCGATCGCCGGTATCCAACTGTCCCTCGCCGACAACGCCTCTGCTGTCTACGCAACCGCACGTCAAGACGCCAAATGCGACTTCGCCGTCAAAGAACTCGGCGCCACCGCTGCATTCAACACAACATCCCAGAATTGGGCGGAGGAGGTCATGAAGGCTACAGACAACAAGGGCGTAGACATCATCGTCGACTTCATTGGTGCATCCTACTTCCAGTCGAACCTGGATGCTATTGCCAAAGATGGTGTCATCGTCAATCTGGGCTTCATGGGCGGAACCAAGGTGCCAGAGGGCACTGATATCAGCGCATTCATCAGGAAGAGGTGTACCTTTGTGGGAAGCAGTCTGCGGTCGAGAGACGAGGACTACCAGGGCAAGCTTAGGGACCAGCTTGTGGAGCATGCGTTGCCTAAGATGAAGGATGGGGGCTTCAAGCTGTTTGTAGAGAAGGTGTTGCCGTGGGAGAAGGTGCAGGATGCGCACAGGCTATTGGAGGAGAATAAGACTAAGGGCAAGGTCATTTGTACAATCGATTAGGGGATAGCCCGGTATGGAATTATACTTTGGAGTATGATATTGGAACAAATCATATGATGTCTTCAGATATATTGCCAACGATTAACAAGACATCAAAGATCCAAACCCGTCTCTTTAAGATATACTAACTGTTGCCCCATATGCTTCGGCAAGGCCATATTTGTTTGATATTCATGCAGACCTTACATTGATGTTCGAATGTCAACCCTGCGACCAAAAAACAACCAAACCTCACAACACCTGCATAGCATCTGAACGCCACCACCACCACCAACCCAAGGCCACCGCTACAGCAAAAAGACGACGTTGGCCAGATTCGAACTGACGCTCCCGAAGGAACAAGATTTCTAGTCTTGCGCGATAACCACTCCGCCACAACGCCGGGTCTGCGACACCTGTGTGATTCGAACACACGCTCCCGAAGGAACTGGCTAACTTCCCTCGAACTGAGGACTAGCAGGCCAGCGCGTTAACCACTCCGCCAAAGTGCCCGAGCATTTGATTGCTGATTGATGAAGAGTTGTCGGATTATTATCATTCTATAATTAGTCGTCAAATGCCGGCGTTAGGGGTCGACAACTGAAATCTTGAGGAATTCTGGTGGAGAATGACTAGAAATGTTGAGTTGTGGCGATAGGAAAGGTGGGACGTGTCCGTGGGGCTAGAAGTTTGATGTGGACGGGTAAAAGGGCGGTAAGTGCGGGGACGTTGAGCTGGACTTGGACTTAGTAACTTCGGGCATCTCTTACCATCACCCCTTCAATAGTTGATAATGGGCCTGTGAGGAATGCAAAGCTCCGCTAAAACCTGGAACTTGAATGCTGATTCATCAAGTATATTCTTTTTCGAACGTACAGTAAGATAATGGTTGTTACCTAGCCTAAGCTTACCGTATACCAAAGCACAATCTCAATGACCAGCCCGAACCAGGACCAGACAGCAGTCTGAGTCAAAGGCGCACTCTATTCTTTCTGGACCTAGCCTAAGCTGTCATCCAATGCGAATAGGGGAAGTAGAGCCCGCATGTAAAGTTACGCACCTAGGTACTTAGGCGTTGCAGAACACCCAACATTTACAAGGCCCGTTGCCAAAGTACACAATCCTCAACCTTGACCTGACCTCAGGGTCGACCGACAATATTGAAGAATCGACACCATTATCCTATACACGGAGGAGCGCCGCTACCTTACCCCTTATCCCGCGTCATACCTCCGCTTTCACCTCCGTCTCGAAAACCTCCATCCTCTCAATGAAGTCATCCCTTCTCTTTCCGAGCTGACGCGCTAACTGCTCAGACAATACCAACAAGGACTCCAATCTCTTGCGCGACTTCTGGATATCGTTGCTGACGGCTTCTGCGTTGCTCGCAGTTGTCGTCACCCTTCTGAGATGGATTTGTAACACCTCCAGAGCCATGCGGAAGCCTGGGCTCTTAACCAGGCTCACGGTCAAGCGGAACTTCAGCGAATCAAACTCACTGCACTCCTGGATTTCCTTTTTTGCCTATTTCAGGAATTCGGATGTGTCCGCTGGAGGGTTCTCGAGCTCGATGTAAACCGGTTCAACCGTCTGGTCAGGAGTCCGTGGTACTTCGGTAGCCGTATCTGCTTCCTTCGTCCTTTTCGGAGGTAGATTTGCATCATTACCAGGGTGTTTTCTCTTCAAGTGTGTCGTATTTGTAGACTGCAAAGGATGCAGGTGTTCCGAATTGGCGTTGTCGCTGTGGGAAGAGCTGGGAGTAATGCTGCCTGCGGATGGAGGCTTTGGAATCACGATCTGGATGAGCCCTGGGAAGTGCCCGTTGGTGAGCTCCAGCGCGTATAGTGTGAACCTGGCATTCGGCTGCACAATCCCGGGAGCCTCACGCCACGCCATCGCGTTACCAGAACTGGGATCAGCGCTGTTTGTTCGGTATCCATCTCTTTCCGAAGTGCAAGTCGCATAGGATGGGGCGAGGTGGTGTGAGGACAGGCAGTAAGAAAAGAGCGGAAAGAGCTTAATTGGTCGCGGTAGCGTTAAATCTGCCTTCACTTCTTCTCGTCTCTCACCTTCACCTACGAAGCAGGCAGTCGCATCGGCCTTGGCGCTTCTGACAGGGTCCAGCGGAGCCCTCGACTGACAGAATGCTCATTTCAACGAAACTCAACTTACGCACAGTGTGAGCGTTGGCGCAGGAGCGTATTGCGAACAATTGCAAAGAGATAGGTGAAGTCTTCGTTCATCAGACCTCCGGAAGCCTACCGGGAGGCCACAGTTCAGCTATATGCGACGAGCCGGTACATCAACTACCTTCCAACAAATACGATACCGTGGTACTGTCAAAATATGCGCCTCTCTTTGGACCACGAGGGCTACATGTCCGGCCCCGAATCTCTACTGGGAGCTATCAACACCATGGAGTCTTCCTTGTACTCTTTCGATTCACCTATGTCACGTCATAAGCGCTGCGACACCTGAAGATACGGGCGAGAACTTACTTAAATCCACGAGTTGCTCCCTTGGCGGAGCTGCTAGCTGCAAGTGAGCTTCGTTCAGCTGCTCAGGAACTCCTATTTAGAGAGCATTTCTTGAAGCGATCTGCGCGTGCGGCTCCTGGCAGATGCCACTTCTGAGCGACCAGATCGTCTCGACTTCGCCCCGCAGCAGGCCTCAGAACTCATTGAATCTGTACCAAGCAACAGCATGGACGGCACGACCGTCAACCACATCCCTGGCACTAACGCAAGTGCAGCCGACTTGAACTTTGAGGCCACCAACCCTTTCGGTGACGAGGCTGACGCCTTCGTAGGTGTCAGGCTTTAATCATACGATGTCTTCCAGGGTTGGCTGACCGTTCTAAAGCCAGAATCCAACGACATCGCATGTGCGAAGAGGTATTTGAAAGCAGCGCTCGGAGTTGATGGCGAGATCATCGACCGGCTACCACTGCGAAGGAGTGAAGATCCACTACGCCCCAGTGAGCAGCGGGAAACGACGGGTTCGCTGACGTAGTACCAATGGCGTACGCCGTTGTGCAATCATGACTGACAACGCCAAAACCTTTGTTTGAAGACGTTGCCAGGTCCAAGATGGTCCTGAGAGGGCAGCTCGGCAACGACGCCGAGATCATTGAGCGCCTTCCGCCAAGGATGAGCGAGGATCCATTGCGACTAGGTGAGCAGCGGTTAGGAGACGTCCACAAACCCCACCAGATCTGCGGCCTCCACTGGTCGATTCTCGGAGTACCTGTACCAAGCCTTACTTTGTTGTGACGGCTGTGGTATCGGTAAGACCCACGAATTCAATGAGTTCTGCAGGCTATTTGATGACCCGTTGTCAAGTTCAATAACAGCTCAACGTCTCCAATAATAGTTCAGCAAGGCCGCGCGCCATCGCCGCCAATGGGACATGTTTTCTCCCGACCTACTCTTGTTCTTATCAACATCTTGAGCAACAGCAGTCGTATTCTTCTGGCTCACTCTTCACGATTTTTAGTACTTACATGTGTTGCGTTGTAGCTTTCTGGTTAGCCTCTGTTAAATAGTTGATGCTCTTGCGATAATAACCGTAGCCTTCTGGTGCGCGCATTGATATCACTTATTGCTATGTACGCTGCAACGTAGTCTTCTGGCTAGCTTATGCGTGTTACTTTTGAATTCTCGCGATAGCCGTCTTCTCCCCATAGCCACGAGTGTCGCTAGCCGACTGGAGCTGACCAAAGGCAGCAAACATGCAGTTCGCTTTCTTGATCATACCGGCTCTATGAAGCCTCTAGTAGATCTCTTTGATGAACAGACGCACAATCAGAACCGGCCTACTCTACCAATCTGCCCTCGTCTTTCTTTTGCCCTTTGTTATGGCCTCCTCTTTGGAGGACTGTACATCCTTGGCGTTGCGGTCTCGCACACGATTGCGGATTATGCCGAATGCTCCCCTCACCCCATCTTAGCTGGTCATATACCCTCGCGGTTCTCGATATCCTCACTCGCAGACTGGAGCTCGCCGAAAGCAGCAAACATGGAGGAAGCTTTCTTGATCATGCCAGCTCCATGCAGCTCTTGGTACGTGCCTTCTGTGAACAAGCGCACGATCTCGACCTCTTGTTCTTGGCCGGTTCGGTAAACCCTCGATCCTGCCTGATGCTCCGTGGCCCAATTGAAGGCGGGCTCGACATGATGCACGTTTGCACATCGATGTTGTGCGTCGTGGCCGGCGATATTGAGGGCGTAAGTGATGATAAGGACTTGCAGAAAGTCCTCCTCGTCAAAGCCTCGGATGTTCTTGTGACGATCATACGCGGACATATTCCTGTCCAGAAGAATTGCACGGGCGCCCACGAACTCAACGAGTTTGAGGAACATCTCGCCCGAGCGGGGAAATTGGAAGGTCGTGAGGATCTTCCGGTGGCTGTTGGATGGGCTTGGTGCTACCCAAGATCACGCGCTGGATCTCCCATACAATGAAGCGCATCATGGGGAAGCCCCATAGGAACTGGCGCAAGACTTCCTCGTCACTGTCGAGCGGAGCATCTTTGGCTTTCGGGGTCAATGCATCCGCCCTCTTCATCCGGGCAGAGAGCAGAGGGAGACCCTCCCGTCGCTGCGCACGGATCGATGAGGTCGACAAGCTCTCGAGGCCAGAGAAGCTCATGTGAGTGCAGATGACCGACAGCTCTGCGAACTTGAAGCTGGTATTTTTATGTACTGGCTTTCTGGTCTTCTTTGGTGGCTGTACGCTTCCACGTAGTTACCAAGGATGCTGACGTCAAGTTGCCAAACAGCTGGCGATGAAGTGTATTCTTCCGCACTATTCATGTATAAATACCCGATACTTTGTTAGGAGACTGTAGACTTCTGGGTAAGCGTACTTCCAGGGATTGAACCAACGACAAAGCCAATGTCCTCCTCAGGCTCGTCGATACACTCACTGACTTAGTTTCCTACAGAACTGTAGGACTCTGGGTCTGTTTTTTCCGGCGGTAAGACCCTCGACAAGGTTATGGTTTTGCTAGCCTTATTAACGACTGTGCTGAATAGGTTTTTTTGAGAGAACCAACATCTCAAGGATCTTCTTGACCCTCTCGGCAACGATTCTCCCATCAACGTCTTCCATTTGTGACTTGATAAGATGCCTAGCAGTGTAGTGGCGAAAGGCGACCGTTGACAAGCACTTGATGCTGTTGAGGTTGTCGGGATGGTAGAGGTCGTATGGGTTCTCATCGAACAGAGCCGGAACGTCCTTCACGACGGTACGACCGTTGATCTTCGTGCGATCTTTGCGCTCCAGGCTTTTTGGACGATCACCGTTACATTTCATGGGCGCAGGCCAATGAGAGCACTGCTACCCTTCCTCGATGGACTCCTTGATCTCTTCCGCATCTAGGTCGTTCACGGAACTACAGTCGCTGTTCCAATCCACGGGAGACTCAAAGCGGTCCCTTTCGACGGAGCGATGTAGTGCTTGAATGTGTTGATTGAACAGCATTTGATGCTGTCAGCGCTGCTCAGGTGGTAATAACCATACGGGTCGTCATCGAACGGGGGTGGTACGTCTAAGACGATCATCTTGCCGTCGACCTTCTTTCGATCTTTGCGTTCCAGGCCCGTTGGACGCTTGCCGTTGTGCCTGATCAACGCCGGCCAGTGCTTGCACTGCCAGCCATTGGCGATCTTGATGTTGATGGCTTCGTCGTCTAGATCATCGACTGATTCGCATTCGCTGACCCAGAACTTCGTGTCATCGGAGTTCTCGCCACCATCGGAATGCTCTCCTTTCACTGGATGAGCCAGTCTGACTTTGAACTTGGTATACTGAGAGCGCATGGGCTCTTCTCGGTGAGGGACGTTGAGGTCGCTGACCTCATTCTAGAAGGATAATTCCAGGAACGCTAAGTAGCCATCAAAGTCCAGGATGCTGTTCACGACCGGCAAGCCAGTAAACACGGCCTTGAAACGAACGTGGAACGACTTTAGAATGGCCCCATGGCACTTCTAATCACACCTGCGGATACACTGAGCCTCGTCTAGGATGATTCTCAAGAAGATTCTGTAGCGCTCTCCTCGCTCCTTCTCCCCGTCTTTAAGACTTGAAGTTGCGTGTAAGTCACCACCACGACGGTATGACCTGCCCTCTTCGAGTTGTACACGGGATGCTTAGGGTCGAGAAGTAGACACTCTTTCCGGACGCCAGCTTTTTATCAATACTTATATACATTCCAGTCGACACCAAGTTGATCTCTAAGATATAGGTAGCTCCTCTGCAGTAATGCGGTGACCCGGTGAATATAGCTTTGTAGGTGGCGTTGAACAACTTGAAAAATGGTACCCTGCCTGATCTGATCACACCTTCGGATGCATTGTCCTTCATTCGTAATGATCCGCAGGAAGAGTCCATCACGCTCCGCGTGTTCTTTCTCGCCATCTTTGAGGTTTCGTAGCTGCGAGTATGGGGAGACTACGACGGTATGACTGGCTCGGGCTGACGTATATGTAGGGTGCTTTGGATCAAACAAGAGCCGCTCCTTGCGAGCTCGAGCGTGTTGGCCGTACTTGTAGACCTCCCGGTCCAGTTCTAGCTAGCTCTGGTCTCGTAGACCTACATACGTCTTCTCCAGGAGTGTCTGTGGGGATCGTATCTTCATATACATTGCGCTTTGTCTACTGCTACCTGGGTTTAAATAACTCACTTCTCGCTTTCCACTAATTTGAGTTCTTCTCCACTATATGTCGCTGTCTTTTTGCTTTCGACCACTAACGTTTAAAGACTTTGACACAAAAGTCGGACAAACAGTGTATGTACATCCCCTCGGCCACCACGAAGGTCGGAATATTTGACTCCTGATGCAGAGAAATCGCCTTTACCTAGTGGCCACTACTCTTCAGTCACGCGATTAGAAGAACACGATCCATCATGAAATTTCTTGTGATTTAGAAACCTAGACCCCGAAGGATACAATGAAAATACGTATTTTATCCGCTTTTTGTAGACAACCATGTATGATCGACCCTCTACTGTCTTCATCAGGATGAGTCCCATTAACGCCTATGTCGCCGCCTCGTATAGACGAGACCGTAGCACGAAACACACTAGTCTTCCACCTCCTTCTCACCGACTATTCTAGCGAGACCTTCCCAACTAACATCGTCCGAGAGTTCTTCGCCATATGACATCGTACATGCTCTTCCCGTGTAGCAGTTAAAACAGATATATGGTATGAAAATGAAGAAGTAGCGAGGGCGTCGTGACTTAGTAAAGTCGTAAAGATTAGATATGGTGTAGTCGTGATGATTTAGATGATCGATGTCGTTGCGTTGCTCATGCTGCTTCGAAAACGTTGGTGATAACGCCAATTAGCACCACGGGCGGTCTTTTTGGGCCTCGTTTCACCTTCTTGAGCACACGTTTGTGATCGCTGTGACGCTCGTTCAGACGACTATCTTGGTAAAGACTTTCATCTTTCTAGTCCTGGCAAGCCTTCCGGGCCGCCAATAGGTTCTTGACGGCGTCCTCGGCGGCCTTCTCCGCGGAAAGTGCCTGACGTAGGTCGTGGGACTCTAAGAGGCCATAGTAAAAGCGGGACTCGTGCTGAGGGAAGTACGTTACCTGCATATCATACACCAATTTATTCTCGCGGATAACGAGCGTGAATGGCGGTGAGCGTTGGAACCATGGCAGGATGAGGTCTGGCTTGCACGCGAAACCATCTAGGCCGATGGAAAGTAGGATGGGCTTGGTTCCACGAGCGACGAAATGCTCCAAGATTCCGTAGATAGCATGCGTGAACTTGTATGCGCGAGCATTGTACAATCTTAGGGACGGGTCGATGGTCGTGTGCGCTTGGGAGAACTTCCCCGTTGGCATGCATGAGGTATGGACGTCGCATAATGCAATGAATGTGGCAGTGACATCCATGTCGCTAACGTAGTCGTCAACAAATGTGTTGAAGTCGTTCCTGGCAAAGATCGGTATGCCATCCGTCAGGTGCTCCCCTCTCACTTTTCAAGCCTGGGGTACGGCACTGGAAGACCTTGCTACTGCGAGCACGCCTCTCGCTTCGCCAGTCGTTGGCTGAGGTTGGTATTCGACCCGATCAACGCCGTCGAATCGTGCGTTTTTTTGAGTCTTTTCGCCTTTGCATCCAGACTCGTGGGAAGCTAAGAGGTAGAGGTCGTAGTAGCGGTTCTCGCACTTACTGCACTTGTACAGTCCTCTCGAATCGTATAAAGGCATGCTGGCATGAGTGCCGTACGCTCGGATGATCTCGCCCTGCTCTTCTTTCCTTCGCTGTCGTATCGTTATCGGCGTCCGGCTAGCAGATGAAGACCGCAACGGGGGAGCATTCGCCGCTTTGTCGTCTTCCGCATGAGTCATTTGAGAGACTAGGTGGCTGCAAATCCCGACTTCGTCGCCAGGGTAGTTGTTGCCAGTTCCTTGGAGAACTGAAAGTGTCATGTATCCTCCTGCCCTCCTCGTACAAAAGCACCCAGTACTTCCCATCGTAAACCAAAACGACAACTATCCCGAAGGTGTTGATTGCAGTACAGTTGCTATGGAAAGGGTTACATTTGCAGTCTCGATCTAAAAGGGGAATCATATAGTAACTAGCTACTCGCATTTCGTCGTAATGGCATCCGTAGCTCGAAGAAGATTACACAACGCCGACCCATGGCGATGATCGTGATCATCACCAAACCACACCTATACGTTTAGGAAATTTACCGAAGTATAACAGCTGCACAGCCTAGTACGGGCTATTCACAATCTCGTTCCTACCGAGATAGCTTCCGCGTACGCCGCTCCTCCTGCCAGCACCAACGCGACTCGGCATCGCGATACTCTCACGTGTCGGTCGCTGCAACGCCCTCTTAGCTACCATGTCGACTTCATTTGGTAGCGCAACAATAAGGTTCTTGTCTGATCCGAATTTGAAATTATCGGCCTTGACTTCCTCGGAGTAGCGCTTGATATTGTACGGGTCCTTGCGGTTAGCCAGCACCTTCTTAAGGCTCCAAGTAACGATGAAGGGACCAGTGGCACTGATGATGGTGGTTTCCTTGTCGTCGAGGCCTGTATTGAAGCGCGCGGTTGTGAAAGAGATGGGTGCTTTGGTCTCGTGCTGGAATTGGGCGACGTGGGCAGGTGTGAGGGCAAGACGGCGTGGTTGGGGCTTGTCGTCTTTGGCGAAGGACTTCTCGAACCCAAGCTTGCCATCGTTCTTGCCACCCTTCTGGAGAGCGTCGATGAGGAGGAGGTAGGTTCGGGTGGTGGCGAGCACCCAGCGACCATCGGCTGAGACGTCCATACCGATGATAGGGTCACCGAGCGCGGGAATGAGAGTCTTTGCATTGATGCCGAGTCTGTCAAACAGACGGATGTCTCCCTTCTCGGACGCAACAGCAATATGTCCCTTTTCGGTGGTCGCGGCGGCAGAGAAGGCGTTCTTGGTAGCGTACTGCTTGAGCTGGTCGTCGACAAGCTTGTTGCCAGCTAGACGAGGATCGACGCGGTAGAGTGCGTTATCAGAGAGACCCAGGAAGGTCTGCTCGCCGCTCATTTGAGCAAATTTCTACAAAACGTTAGCTTGCGATCGGATGTGAGCGGGTGTATACATACGTTCTCTGGCGCAAAGACCTTGACGGGAATGTCGTCGTGCACCTTCCACTCATCCACAACGGTACCAGTCTCAAGATCCATTCGGTAAAGGTTGTTCGGGTTATCCAGGTTCTGGAGGATCATGTCGCGATCCTGCTGGTGCAACATGACCTTGTTCGGATTGAAAGCCTTGCCTCCCGGTGTCTTGATGTTGGAAATGGTCGTGGAGAACTGCAGCTGGTTCTCCGGGGTGTGCTTGAAGACGCCGATCTTGTTTCCACGCACAACGAACGACCTGTCGTGCTTGTAGCCGACCGCCAACTGCGAGTTTTGATCTCCATCCGTGGGACCAGTCTCGACGTCATCCTCAGACTCATCCGAGTCGTAGTGTTCGCTCCGCTGCTCATTGGTGCTCTCATATTCTTCCTCGTCCTCGTCTTCTTCCTCTTCTGGCTCCTCGTCTGGCGCATCTTCCATAGTCAAGTCCTGGAACGCCTCTAGGACATACTCCCGATCCGTGTCCTTTGCCTTGCCCCATTTGACCTTGTTCAAGTGCTCCCAGAGTGCTTGCATCACACCTTGTTGAATGTTCTCGAGCTCGTCCTGATCCTTGAACTTCAACAGCCATGAGTATGCCGAACCGTCGTCTAGGTAGTGGTTGAAGATAAAGGACTTGTACTCATAGTTGAAGACGGGGTTGATGTCTTCGACGATGGGCTGTCCCAACCACTCGCGCTCTTCTCCAGCAATATGCAGCCAGTAGTTCCAGTCGCCAATCTCGGTGACTGTGACATTGACTTTGTCATCTTGCTTCATGAAGGTGCCAGAGGGGAAATCGAAAAGATGAAGCTCGGCGTCTCCTTCGACCAAGGTCTCAAGAGCCTGGGGCTGGGCGGCAGAGGGCGGCGCGGCCGTAGCATCCTCCTGCTCCGGAACAGTGCCCTTGCCTGCAACCTTCTTCGCCATCTTTTCCTTTGTAGTGTTCGGGAAGAGCTCTTCGGTAGTGGGGGGTTCGACGGGCAGGACGCGGGCGTTCGAGAGAGTCGGGCTAGCGATGGGGCTCGCGTCGGGGATAGGCTCCTCGTAGTAGGCTAGGGCAGCGAGGTCGTCCTCGGTTGCGTGCTCGTGGCTTCTCCTAAACTTTCTCTCGTACTGGCACTGCAGGGCCACGCGCTCAAACAAAGAAGCGGTCTCGGGCTTGACTGACGGGTCGCAGACAAACTCCCAGAGGTCGTCGACGTCGCCGCTGAGGTCGCGCCACGCAAAGATCTTCTCGCCGGTGGAGCGTACGTCGTCGCGGAACTGGAGGTCTTCGTCGAGCAGGAATGTCTTTTCGTCCTTGTCGCCGGCGAGCGCGTCAAGTGCCGCGTCCTCGTTCTCTTCGGCTAGCAAGTCTTCCTCGCCTTCTTCGTATGCGCGCTGGATGACAAGTTGGTACTGGAACTCCTGGCCGGTGCGGCGGATGGTAGCTGCAGCGTCCTACTAGGCTGTTAATGCACATGCAGTCCAGGATCACGGGCTTGCGTACCTTGAATATAAGCTCCGAGTATCCTTTCACAGAGCGAGGTCGGACGAGGTAAAGCTGGCCCTGGGCGATTTCGACGATGGTTTCCTTGGAGCTGTCGCCAAAGACAAATTTACTGACTGGTGGTACGGGTTAGTGTCGTCGCAGCAACGGAGGGGGAGGGGCAGCGGATCGGGAAGGAGAAACATGGCAAACAAAGCTCGACTTACGGTTCCGGAGCATGAACATGGCGGCGACTGCTGAGTGGCGGGGCAACTCAAGAGCTAAGCCTTCATTTAAGCTCAGAGGAAAGGCGCTCGCTCAAGTCCATCTAGGTGACGGCTAGGGTCGTTTGCACGGGATATGATGATGATGCAGGGTCTAGGCAAACACTCGCAGCCGCCTCGCTTAGCGACGTCATGGGTAAGGCTGACAGCAAGCTTTCACTCGACGCGGGCAATGTGGGTACGAGTAGGGCACCTCTCCGGGCATTGCATTCAAGTCATTCGGTTCGAACTTATTAACTAGTGGCCACTAGACTGCAGTCCAAACTATCACTCGCGATACGAAACTTGTTCTCACATGCCTATGGCTTACTGAAATCGCCTCTCCCCTTCTGACGGCATTAGATTCTCTCTTTCTGCGCAATTATGCACCAGGTTGGAAGGCAGCCAAACTGCTCGGTGTCCAAGCAATGATGGCAACCTGTTTGTTGCTTCGACTTTTTTATTCGACAGCGCTACATGTCGCTCTCACATCTGGGTATCATGACTTTTGTTTCACTTTTCGACTAATCTCTACACTCCTCGTCTTCTCATGGTGATTTCTGCGCACCCCACACGATGCTCTCCATAAGCGCATACGGTGAGGAGTCGAGATCCAAACCGAGCAGTGGCGACTGCGAGAACATATTCTCAGCATCGCCATTGAGGGCATTGTTGATATCCTGTGCAGTGAAGACGTGCATCGTGGGGGACGCCTGTGAGCCTGCTTCACTTGCCTTGCGGTTGTGCGTCGTGGTAATTCTCAGCAGCCGCTCGAGTGCTGAGACGGATCGCGTGATGGGCGTGGCGAGCTCGGCAGGATCAACATCTTTTGTGACATCTGTGAGGACTTGAATTACGTTCTGCAACAGACTGCGCGCCCGTTCGTTGCGGTTGTGTTCGCCAAGGATACCCAGCAGTAAGGCAGAGCTCAGGGAGCGATGCACAGCGGACCAGGAACGGGTAGCAAACGGTGTCATATTTTGCAGACCGAGGAATGCTTCGACCGTGTTGGTGAGGCTGTCGATGCATGTCTTGCGCAGCGTCTTGGAAAGATCGAGATTGACGGTGGCGGGGCTGATGGCTGGTCGACAGAGCTCAGACGTGACGTACGATATGTGCAGATATAGCGCCCAATGCTCGAGCTGATCGCGCATGGACCTACATCTTCTCGAGTCTTTGAGATAGTCTGCAGCATCTATCATAATCTCCTGGAGTTCGTTGCGGTGTTCAGTTATTCGTATCAGGGCATCATGCGAGTTCTGTGGCCGTTGGCGCTCACGGACGATGTCAAGACCCACTTTGCACAGTCGGTACATACTCTCGACATATGTTCTCGTCCCCGGCGCTGTGTGCTGGCTCATGGGTACAGTATGGTCAATAGTAGTGGTCGACGACGCTCTGTCATAGGAGACAGACAGCAGCGAGTCCTGCCAAAGAAGCGCCCACCATGTCTTACTCCGGATAACCCTTTGCTGCACTGGCGTTGACGGAGGACACTGTCGGTGTAGCCCTAGCGTCTGCGAGAGGCGGACTGTTAATCCCATCAGACTCCAAGCAACTCCGGCGTTCATGTTGTTTGATATGACATTTCCAAGGATAAGAAGTGTCTGTATGTTCTCGATGGTGGCGTGCGATAGAAAATTGGTGAAACGGAGGCATTCGAAGCTGCAGCAGACGTAGACCTGGGATGTCAACTCCCTCTCTTTTCGTGACAGGCTCGAGCATTGACATCCTGAAGCTAGTATGGCAAAGACCATGCCTATCCAATGAAAATCTTTGCCATATATTTGCTGGTCTGTGATGCCGTTGGTACCCTGTGAGCTTGCGCGGTTTATCAGGAAGAGTAGAAGATCAGATTCGATGGCCTCGATGTCGGCAACGGCGGGGTATACGGCGTGCGCGGTTTCGCGATAGCTGCGGAAAAAACTCAGGCATTCAGAGTCGCTCGGCAATGCGTTGGCAAGCTCATGGGCGCGCGCTATCGATCCGTGTGGTAGCCCCCAAAGATCGACGAAGGGGTATGTAGCGCTTTCGTTGTCCAGGCCAAATATCGGCAGCATGCTCTTCTTGCCCAAGAGATCCTGCACACCCGGCGCCCATTGTGTATCTCCTCTCCCTAATGCCATGACGAGTGCTGGTACTGAGCTGGGCCCGATGTGTATCGTTTGGCCGGTGATGTCGTTGCGCGTGTGTATTCCTTGGGTTCTGACGTGGCTCTGCTCGCCGTCCATGGGCGCTGCTGCGGCCAAAGGAGTGTTTCCAGATCCATCAGCAGGAGAGAAGCCATTCATGGGTGGTGGTATCTCTGCAACGCTGCCGACAGCATTCTTCAAGTCACTGAGCGACTTCTCAGCTTGTTGCAGCTTCCCGCAGATGCGTTCCCAGTCCTGCTACGGTCAGTATAGAGCGATTCCTCCTATCATGTGTTTGCGCACCTCTCGAGGCAGCGTGACCGTGCCGCCATGTATGTGGACCAGGCCGTTGGAGAAGTCATGGCCGTTGTTCTGGCCAAGTCCGAGGTTGATTCGTTTCGCGGGCGGGTGCGACTCGCTGGGCGGGTGGTAGGTACATAGTTCGGGGTGTTCGCGGACGACGCATGTCTTGCAGGGCACGTTCTGGTCGCACTTGACCTTGCGCTGTCGACACGGATAGCAGGCCTGTAGGGAAGTAGAGCGTCAGCGCATGTTCGTGGGGCAGTAGCTCCTGCCGTGATGGATGCGCCGGGTCCTGTAGCCCAATTCGGCAATGCAGAGAGGCTTCTCTTCCAGCGTGCCCATACTAATGCCCCTCGACCCCGATAGCCTGCTCTTTTCCATCGCTGCATCGATAGCGCATCATCTCAACGGCGTACCTTGTACTCTCGCGCCTTCCGCTTCCGTCTCAGGATCTCATCGACATCGGCTCTTGGCGGCGTGTCCTGCATAAATCCATTTGGCGCGTTGGAGTTGTGCTGGTCCTTAAGCTCGTCCATGGTCGAAGCTCGGGGGAAAGTCGTCAAAGGTCTGTCTGGGCCGGATAGTCGCGCTGGTGGAGTGTCGACTTCGGTCGGCCTTTCCGCTCGCTGGAGCCCCACTCCTGGGCAAGGATGCCGATCGCCCTCTGCTGACCCCGGCTAGTCACGCGACTAGGAAGCTTGACATTCCCGGCCAACGGTGGAAATAATTTCGTCTGTCCATCGCATCCACTTCTCGTCAATCCGGCCAGGGGCCTACGATCATGCCATGACATCACCGTTGAGAGCTCTTGCCTTCATGTCGCCATGAATCAACTCGCTCACTCACAGTTAGCTGTCTAAACACTGACAGGATTGCACGCAACAGGACTTGGGTACAGATTGGAAGTTGGAAGTTGATAATGATTATGAACAACTGACATACGCTATGGATGCTGAAAGAAGCCCTTCGATCCCAAGACCCCTCCAACGGTCTTTCCCCGGTGGAACACCAAGCTCTCCAAACGCCCACAACGCAGCATAACAAGAAAAGTCGAAGAAAGCTTGACCATAGGTCCACGAAACAAAAAAATGATCAGATTATCATTCTCCTGACTAAGCTCCCAGCTTCTCCTCCTTGTTCTTGTCCTCCTCACTGTAGGCGTAGTGAGAACGCTCGCGAATCTTGGCACCGTAAAAGTAGAAGAAGAAAGGAATCGCGCAGCAGGCCAGCCCGATGAAAGCGATGACTGAACTGGCCCACTGATCGCCCAGACGCTCGTACATCTGGTTAGTGAACAACACAACAGCCGCTCCCCAGAAGCTGCGCAGGAATGTCTTCGCCGCCAGCGCTGACGCAGCCTGGTGTTGATACGAATCGACGAGATAGTTGTTGGCCGAGTTGTACAGGAAGATGAAGCCGAAGCCCACAGAGCCACCTCCGAATGCCGGACCTGCCCAGTGGGTCTCGGGCTGACTTGTCCATGCGAAGATGAAAACGCCAACGGGGATGAACCAGCATGAACACATCATGGGGATCAGACGCGCTTCCGCTGGCGGGTGACCATTGTGCTTCTCGACCAGCTTCATATAGTGTTTGTTGACGAGCGGTGCGCAGGCAGCAGAGAGCAGCACACCGCAGATGAGCGGGATGAACATGAGACCTGTTGGTCCCGCGCTCCAGCCCTTGCCCTTCTGGTAGACAATCGGGTATGCGACGAAGAACATGTACAGAAGTCCGTACAGAACCGACATGTAGAGTGTGATCAGGAAGACGATGAGCTCACGGAAGAGCAGCTGGAAGGGTCGAAGGAGGAAGAGCTGAAGGCGCTGGCTGAATGGTCGCATATCCAGATCCTGTTCCGTGACAAACTTGTCATCGCCAGTCTCTTTGCGCATCTTCTTCGCTCTCCTGGCCAAAATCTTGGGCGCGTAAGTCTCCGGTACGGTAAAAGTGATGAGGATCCAGACGACAAAGCTGAGAATGAGTTGAATCCAGTACAGCCAGCGCCAGCCACCGGCTTGACTGAGGTAACCGCCAACCAAAGGTCCAACACCAGGGCCGATGAACGGCGCCGCACTGAAAGCGGCCATAGGAACACCTCTCTCCTCCGATCTCCACATATCCGCCAATGTTCCACCGACAAGCGTCATGGGTGCTGAGAACGCCACACCAGCAATGAAGCGTGTTACCAGTAACGTTCCGATGTTCTGCGCGACAGCTCCAGGGATAGTGAAGATGACAGCCAAAGCAAGCGTGACGCCATAAACCGGTCTCCTCCCCCAGATCTCAGACGCGGGTGCAAATGCCATGGGTCCCACGCCGAATCCAACAACGAAAAGCGTGATAGTCAGCAGTGCCACCTCCTCGCTGACTCCAAACTCCGCACTCACACCCTCCAGATCCGCTGTGATAACCGCCGAGTTGAACGCAACGACAAAGCACGTTGCTGCGACACACATGGTACACCACCACTTGTACGCCTTGCTCCAATTCTTTGGGTTCTCCTTGTCGTCAATGGTGAAAGTGACCAAGTCGTACTTCTCGACCTTGCCTGCGTTGGACCGAACTTCGCGCATCATCTGTCCTGAGATGGTTTCTTGTGTGTATTCCTCGAGGTTGGCATCGTTGGATAGGGTGCGGGTAGGTAGGTTGACTATGTCTTCGGCTGTTGGCGCGCGGTGGAGAGGAGCAGGCTTTTCGGCATCGAGCGTCGTGGTATCTGATGATGATGATGAGGGACGGCCGGCGGGTGTTGGGTCGTTAGACGGGCTGGCAAAGTCCCGCGTCATGGGGAACTGTATGCCTTCTGTCGCCATGGTTGCTTCGGTCAGACCTCGAGGTCTGGAGTATGAAGTCGAAAATCGGAGTGACGAAGATGTCCAGTAGGTGGTCGTAGGTAGCGCAAAAGAGCTTGATATACAAGGAGTCTGTCAATCAAACCAAGAAGAGTAAAAGATCAACGACTTTCGTAAGACTGATTCTTTGCATTCGAAAGCCTGGTGGCCTGATAATCAAGAAATTAAACACCAAGGGTGTATCGCAACAGTGATGCAATCCGAAAAGCTGATCATCAACATCCCCAAGTAAGGTGCCGGCACCCCTATATATATACCCACGCACGTCCTCGCAGAAGACTCCCTGATAGACCCCTTCCAACACTTCGTACGACTAACAGACCTCTGCAAAAAAGTCTCATCACTCATGACAACCGCACCCGGAAAACTCTCGGGTCTTGGGTTTCAACGGGGCTCTGGAATAGTTCGACGGGAAGGGTCTGAATAGCGCCCGCACACTAACCCTGTTGCAGTAACGCGCCGTGCTGATGGCTGCAAGTCCATGCACATGCTCGAAATCCGAGAGATGTCCGGATGGAAATAACACTGGATACGTTAAAACGAGTGAATAGGTCTCAGTCTTTTGGAACGTGCATGGGCGTGTAGGATGTAGGGCGGCAGGTTCCCGTTGTTTTGCTACTGTTGTAGACGCTGGACACGCGTCGGAGGATTGTGGGTGTGTGTTCTTATCGGAGGGAGGTGAGGCGCTGACGTCATCGTGGAAAATGGGAGAAAGAGTAGGCAATCATAAACATGGAAAGAGGAAGAAGAGGATTCTGCAAATATACTAGGGATAAAGAGAACAGAATTGGAAAGTCTATCAGATTGGTCGGGCATCAAGACAGCTGGGAATGATAAGGCTGGCAGAGGGATAGGCTAACGACAAATGAGTGAGTACCTCTTTATCAAATTAGTGGGTTTCATGGGATGCGACAGTTTCCCAATATCGGTCATAGCATGCGCATTCATTCGCTTGATCGTAGCACTGAGTCTAGATTTACGCTCATATGTAGCTGATTAATCTAAGATATATACACGGGTAGTCTCTCCGCGTAAAGAATGCCTTGTTTGTATGTCTATATTGGTAATGATCGCTCGCTACTTGACGGGTCGAGATTCAAGGAAATAAAAGCATGATGGCAGTTCCCCACTACTATCTTACGCTCAGTCCACCTTGATCGACCTGTAGATCTTGAGGGTGAATAGCCAGCTAGCGAAGAAGCCGATGGTACCTATTCGTATCGTCAGCACATAGTTTACGAACAGGAGACTGTTTTGCAACTCACCAGTGAGAATGAATACCAGCGAACTCAGCAATGCCGAGTATCCTAGGTAGACCACGCCACTTGTCCAGCTAGTCCAGCTCACATCCTTGATCCAGTACAGTAAGCAACTAGCAAACACGTACGCCGCACTTGCACCAGCAGTGAAGAAAGACCTCCATTGCCAGTGGTAGTTCTCCGCGCAAAGCAAAAAGTAAATCATGAGTACTGTGACCGCCGCCGAGGTGATGATCATGAGCCCAAAGCAAATGAACAGGAAACCAAACATGTAGTAGACTTTTGAAAACCAGATCGAGTTCATGATGAAGTAGAGTTCGACAAAGATGGCGCCAAAGGGAAGTACACCGGCCAAGGCCATGGAAGGAAGAGGTCGCAGGTAGCCTCCCACAGGTGGAATCTGGCGTGGGATCTGGTTTGTGCGTACGGGCGGCTCAATGGCGGCTTGCTTGAATCCAATCCAGGAACCAGCCACGCTCAGCGGGACGGAGATGACGAACCAGATGATGACGACTACAAGCATGGTGGTGAAGGGCACAGCACCGGATGCGCCGCGACCCCAGACGAACAGGTTCATGAGGAAGAAGACGCCAAAGACGATCGCAGGTAGAGCAACGGGGGTATAGAAGAAGCACAGTTTCCAGGACTCGCCGTGGAAAAACTTGTAGGTACGTGCTGCGGTGTAGCCACCGAAGAACCCGAAGAGCGTGTAGAAGATGATGATGACGGTTCCGAGAGCGCCGCGGTTGCTGGGAGAGAGGAAGCCGAGAAGCGCGAATACTGCAGTCCTTGTTAGCAGTGAATCGACATGCTGATGTGATCAGGCAACTTACCTATTGTCAACGCTGTCATGGCAAAGAGCTGAGCTCCGTTGCCAACCAAGACCGACAAAAGCAGTGGGTTCTTTGGTGGCCTGAATACATCGCCGTGTACCAGTTTCCAGCCAGAGTCATCCGCAGTATCATCACCGTCGCCGCTCTCTCCAAAGTCCTCGAGCGCAAACTGGTCCAGACGGTTGTAGCGCGCGATATCCTTCTTGAGAGTGCGCACAAGGATGGTGCTGACCATTATGACGAGGAAGACGACGATGACGGCCGAGTTGATAAGAGAGAACCAGTGGATCTTGGGATCATATACGTGTAGGTACTTGTCCCATCGGGTCGCAAACGGGGTCGGACTCGGTCGCCAGTAAACACCGTAGGTGAAGACGACCAGGTTGTCATCCCCCTCGCCCTCTTTCAGAATGACCGGTGTCTGTCCATTGCACGTCGCCCCATCGTCGCCCTGCCTCTTCGATTCTGCCACCGAGTATGGATCTACCAGCACACCAACGACACGGAAGTTACCCGGCGATGCTTCGTGGTAGTCAATGACAATGTCGTAGTGGTTGTTGAGCATAGGCTGGTCCTCGTCTACAAGACCCAGCGCAAAGCCTGGTTGATAGAAGGTCTGGTCTGAGCCCGGCTCCCTAAGTGATTGTGCTGCAGGCAGCCCATCTATCAGCCAGTTGAGGTCGTAGCCCTGGTATATCCTGCTGTTTACAAACGCCGCGTCTTTGCCCGGATACGGCGCCTCACAGAGCAGTTTACACGTCTCGTTTACGCCCATCTTCAGCTCGAATGGACTCGTCTGTATCCGGTCGCCAAACAGTATGCTTCCCAAGCTCTCCCGAATTTCTTTAGGGCCATCTTTTGGGCGACAAAAGTGGAACGGCGGGTGGTAGTAGTCGAAGGAGAAGACGGATCGTAGCTTGGGGTCATTCTGCGAATCGGCGGGTGTCAGGCGATTAACGTATAACGGAACGGCGTCTCCGGTCTTATACGAAGTTGGCGCGGTGCCTGGGAAGTAAAAGGCCGACGCTGGGGAGGCAATGGCTAGCAAGGCTGCCAGTGCTGCGCTGCATGTTGATATCGCGGATCGCGGCATTGTGTATGTGTGTCTGCCTATATAAACGAGGCGCGTGAAAGTGGCTTTAATACGTGGTGGAGCCCACGGGCCGGCGTCAGCTTGAGATGCTGGGCGGAATGCCGAAACGTAGCGTCGCAGCGCAAACGTCGCCAAAAGTCGATAGTGGATGAGAGAATGATGGCGTGTATTTAGACAGGTAATTTGTCCATAGCGTGTGGCCGACGACGGTACGACAGCAAGGCGGCACGGTACTAGCAATGTGTTGTTCTCAAGCTACCTGTCCATAGCTCCCTGGAGGCCGCCTAAGAAAGCGTCCCGCAAGGTTGCGTCACGTCAGAACACAGACCCGACATGCCATGCAGACGCTTATTTACAAATTCGTACTAACCAAACCCAAAAATAGGCTTCTATGGGTGAGGCTTACAGTCAGACCAATATGGGCAAGCAAGGAAATTTGAAATTGATGTTGCATTCTCGACTGCGGAAACGAAACGCGCACTTTGTATACATCATTCATGATGTCCGGTACGCCAAGGCGAGGTCATCCACCCTAACAGCAAGGGAATAATGGTATGCCAATCCCACAAATGCGCTGTGATACCGACTATAACGAAACAAGCATAGAAAATGACACTGGGTATCGACCCTCTTCCTCACACAAGACCATCGTACAGAGACAAGGCGGAAACAATAGTCTCGTCGCGCTTCGAGCCCTCCTTGAACTCAGCCATGTCTAAGCTGCCGTTCTCGTCCTTGTCCATCATGCGGAAGATCTTCTTAACGCGCTTCTCGGGGGTGTCTTCGTCTTCCGGGAGCTTAACCATGGAGCCGACCTGCATATGTCAGCGATGAAGGCGCTTTCTAGGGCGTGACTATGTACCATTTTGTAGATGGCTTCTACGATTGCCAGCATCTCTTCGTAGCTGATCTTGCCGTCTCCATCAATATCGTACAGCTGGAACGCCCAGTCTAGCTTGTCCTCCATCTTGCCGCGACTCGTGACGCTCAATGCGCAGATGAACTCCTTGAAGTCGATTGTGCCGGACTTGTCTGCATCGAAGACGTTGAAGACATAATCTGCAAATGACGACGGATCCCCGAACGGAAAGAACTGCTTATAGATCTTTTGGAACTCCTCCTTGGTGAGCATGCCCGAGGGACAGTCCTTCAAGAAGCCTGTATGTACTCAGTCACAGTCCGATCCAGTTGCCCCCACTGCGTGCGCACCTTTGTACCATTGCTGTAGCTCTTTCTTGTCGAAGTGTGTCGCTTTCTGGAGGTCGGCCAGCTCTTGCTGTGATAGTTTACTCTGGCTATAGCGATATACAATCAGCTGTTGGTTCTGCAAGTCCAAGCACTTGATTCCGCAGCGCGACCCCATTTCGTCTTCCAACTCGCGTATGGCATTCGCCAAGGCGATTTCCCGCATATCCTTGTAGTGCGCATAGCCGGACTCGTCATGACGGGGTACGTCGCTGTGATGGCGGCGCGCGAACCGCAGAGGCGGGTGGTGGTGCTCCAGCAGCGGGATTCCGTGCGCCTGTGACGGGATGTGAGGCAGCGGAGCTGGATGCGCGGGCTTCTTGGGGTCGTGGATGTAGAGCTCTTGCAACATGCTTGTGCCGTGGGCGATCGAGCGCGGGAGCGAGCGGGCGGTATTTGCGCCTGAGTGAAGGGTCCATGACGAGTTCCGATCCAACGTGTGGCCTTCGCTCGACGACGCGCGTGTCCGAGGTGAAGGGCAGGAATGTCCAAACGACGGGGTGGTAGGCGCGACGGCCCCGCATTACAAAGCAGCAAGGAAAGAGAACTTACGATTTACCCATGGCTGCTAGATGTGCGGAATATCGTGCGTGGAGGATTTAGGGGTGCACCGGGGTATGTAGGGAAGAAGGCCAGGCAGTCGGGAGAATTGGTAGGCGTTGGAAGGCGGAGCAGCAATCAGAGTGGTAGCTGGTTGTAAGTGGCGGGCCAATCGACGGCGGGGTGCTCTTCTGGGTGACGGAGGCGCAGCACGCTGGAAGAAACTTGGAAAGCGGATATGCTGGGCGACAGGTGCGAGACTAAGACTATGGTGTAGACAGACAGAGGTAAGGGAGCGGAGGATATATGCTGCAGGCTGGTCGTCGTGACAGCTCGGCTTCCAGCCCGTCGACGCAAATAGCGGCCACGCCGAGAGGGCCCTGGCAGCCCTGGCCGCTTCGTCATGTCCCGCTTTCGCATGCATCTTGGGCGGGCAACCCCGCGAGTCTAGCAAAAGCGCCCGTGGGTGATTCGCGCTTCAAGGCCCGGTTTCACGACTGTATTGTGAATGCCGAACTGCAGTCGCTGGCCACTCAGCTCCGCCCGTCTGGCGCGCAACCTGCATACACGTCCAGCCCTACGACCCCATCTGCCACCGCGTATGTAATCGCGCATGCCTCTTCATGTCACGTGTATGCGCGTGCTCCACCCGATCCACGTTCGCTGACCCTGCGCTGTTCCCTCTTTCGACTGCACAGCTGGTCCCCACCAAGCAGCCATGGAAGACGTCCTGAACGAACAATTTGAACGCGTCGAAAAGGCCTTGACTACGCTGGTCGACTCAATCGCGGCCTACAACCCGGCCACGCAAGCTGCCGTCGATCTGCTAGCTGCTGACGACGAGCTCAGTGAAGGCCTGGACCAACGTACGCGAACACCCACGTCTGCTGACATTGACGACTGACGCACTACAGTCGCCAAACACCAGGCAAATCACATTCGCATCCAAAACCTCCGCGCAGAAGCCGATGCGCTCGAAGACCAGCTCAAGACGTCCGTCAAAAAGCTAGCAGAACTGCGCCATGAGCTCTTTGACACGCCCGTAACCACGTTCCCCGAAGATTCACGCGCCGTCCCATTCGACGAGCTTCTACAATACGCGACAAACATTTCCCGACACACCGTCCCACCAACGTACCGTGAACCCGTGCCTGCTGCAGACAAAGAGAAAGATGACGATGAAGTCGCCTCAAGCGGCGCTCCTACCAATGGCCTGAATACACCTGCTCTCGCACCCGAGACAATAGAGCCAGCGAGTGAAGCTGCGCAAGGACAGAAGGAAGGCGAAGATGCTGCTGGCGCCAAGCTCGAGATCACCCCAGAGGAAGAGGAATGGTTGAAGAAGCTCAAGGCTAGCAACCTGCCATGGTACCCGTGGCCCAGCAACGAGAAGATCCGCGCGGGCGCTCTGTTCAGTCTCCAGTATTGGCGAGAGGTATGTTTGGCACATCCAAGATTCATACGAGACACATACTGACCCCTGTCTCTTTGTGTAGAAGGGCAAAAACTTAGACGAGTTCAATATACCTGCACATTTGGAGGTGGCCAGGGAGAAGGCGTTGCAAGAACAGGAGCAGAATGAGACGGTTGCACAAGACGCGTCTGCACAAGACATGGCTGCACAGTCTCCGAGCAGACCAGCTCAAGAACAGGCCCCACCTCCAACCACGTACCGTCCAAAGGCAATCGGAGTCTTTGAGGGTCTTGACGATGATGATTGATCGTGGTCATCAGGAAAGTTTGATATGTCCACCTCGAACATAGGTAGATCAGCTTGGTTCATTCAATGCCAAGGTCTTTTGTTCCTCAAAACTACGATGACTTGCCATGTTATGTGGTACTATGTAGCGCATGATGTTGTAGCTGCACTTGCGTGATCGAATCCTAGAGATGACTTCATTGCAAAATCATAGAAAATGTGAACCTGGTGCAGTATTCTACTAAATGCGAGACTGAATCTCCAATGGATGTGCAGAGCGAGTTCGCATGCTCCCAACCTTATGCAATGGCGGATCTCGCGATGCCTGGACCCTGACCAACTAGTCCGCATTCGGTTAGCATCCAAATTTTCCTAGAGCCGTGCTTGACTTTTCGCGAAAGTCGCATTGCGACAACGTCCAATACACTCTTCAGGAAATCAGTAAAAGATGGGTATCAAGTTACCCAAGAGAGAGCGCGAGGTGGATCAAAGCGAGAAAGTTGACGAAGCTCCTGCGAAGCGGCGCAGAGAAAATATCACGGACAAGGTGAAGCTCTCTAAGCTTTACGCAGACCTGGCAGCCGAAGAGGACGATGTCCGTCTTGAAGCCGCCAAACAGATCATCGTCAAATTCTCGCCCGAAAACAAGCCAGATGCCAAAGATGTGGAGGACACGTTAGTACGCCTGATCAAAGGTCTTTGCAGTCAGCGCAAAGCAGCCAGGGTCGGATTCTCGCTCACACTCACCGAATTATTGCGACAACTATTTGCAGTAAAGCAGGATGCCATCGAAGGTTCGCAGCTTGATGTGGCGGCTGTCATCAAGATGGTAGAGGAGAAGACTAGGGCCAAGGGCAACGTTCCAGGAAAGGTAGGGACATTGGCGCGCTGGATGTCGCAATGCTAACAAGTGCAGGAAAAACGGGATCATACCATTGGAAAGCTCTTTGGTTTCAAGGCCATCATGCAATCATCGATACTTATCGAACCGGAACTTTCGCTGGATGCCTGGAACAAGCTCTTGGACAATGTTTATCGAATGGCACGCGACATACCCTGGCTCCGGGAAGAATGCGGCATGGTTCTCGTCGAAGCAGTGAGGAGCTTGAAAGGCCAATCGCAGTACCAAAAATGTGTCGAGGAGATACTCGAACGTCTCAACACGTTCAAGCTCGTTTCTACGCCTGAAGGCGTAGCTGTGTGGCTTACCGTCCAAGCAAGTTATCCAGCGACATTGCCTGAAAGCGTTTGGCACGACAAAGATCCTCTGGCAAGGAAGGAACGCTCGCGACTTGCTAAGATTCTGAAGGAGGACTTTAATAAGAACGAATTGGAAGATGGCGAAGAAAAAACCGTCAAGACCGGAACCTCGAACTCGAACCCGTCTTTCACCTGGGACTTGGTCTTTGCCGAGATCTTGCGAAGAGACGAACATAGTAAGAGTAGTTCCAAGGACAAGGCGGAATTCCCGCAGTTCTGGATCGACACTGTAGACAGCAATCTGTTCTCTTCCTCGGCATCCCACGAACGTAAAGCCTGGGGATTCAAGCTGTTGAGCAGTATGATCACACGTGTGCCGGAATGGGCTGTCTCTGCGTTGTTCAGCCCCAATCTGATGCGCACCCTGATCAATCAAAGCAAGAAAGAAGACCGGTTCCTTCATTCCGCTGCGCTGGCTGCGTTGAGCTCCGTCCAGCTCAAAGTTGAGCAAGAAGATGGGACAGCGCTTCCTGTCTTCGTTGCGTTGACCTCAAAGTTCGGTAACATTGAGTTTGATCGGATTACCAGGACTAAAACGCTTGAGCAGATCCTAGCGTCTGCAGATGACAAGAGTTTAATGAAGATTGTACGCCATCTCAAGTCGTTGATCCTGCGTCCTGAAAGCGAGGAACAGGCCGTTGCAGACAGCCGTCGCCAGGCCATTGCAGACCTGCTTCTGAATACGATCAGACAGTACAAGCGATACGAAAAGTTCAACGAGAAGACCTTCAAGAAGGACATCGCTCACATACGGGACGGTGGCGCTGCAGAAGACCGAAAGTCCAATTGGCTGCGGGAGATCTTGGAGACACTGGTAGAGTGTGCTTACTTCATTCCCTCAAAGAAGGCGGATACCAAGAAAGTGCCTCTTCCTCTTCTCAGTGATCGCAGCCGGACAATGTTCCAAGAGCGGTTGTCATCCTGTCTGACTAAGTTATTGGACGTAAAGTTGGGTGCTCGGTCAGATGTCGCCCTCATGGTCTTGGACATGATAAGAGCTAGGAATGGCAAGTCCGCAAAGCTGGGTCTTGCTTTTAAGGCAGATGAATCGGTTTTGAGTACCATGGAGAAGGCGCTCAACACGATTGACACCATCTCCGCAACAGTACGTACACCACCTGTTTGTTTTTCGTTTGACTAACGCAGTATTACAGGGGTCGATAGCTGGTAACGAGCTGGCAGCACAGGGCTTCATGCTTTTGTACTCGCTGACTCTCTTGCAAGCCTACAACGGTGAGGGTGATGCCGTTATGATGCTTGATGACCTCGATGCTTCCTACAAAGCATTCGAGGCGTCGCGAAAGGCATCATCGAAAAAGAAGAGCAAGACTTCAACTTCCGACGGTCAGAATGCTTTCGTTGAGATCGTGCTCTCTTTCTCGGGAAATGAACGAACGTTGTTCAGACGAATCGGAGAAGAGGCTTTCTCCATATTCGCATCCGAGATCAGTGCTGAAGGGCTGCGCTCGTTGACTGAGATCCTGGATACTGAAGAGAACCTTGAAGGACAGAAAGAGCTGTTCAATCAAGGCGATGAAGACACGGAGGAGGAAGGCTCAAGCGATGACGATGAAGACGACTCGGACGTTGAGATGGTTGATGGAGGAGAGCCAGACAGCGACGATGCTTCCGAGTCAGGCTCTGATGATGAGGATAGCGACGCAAGTGAGGAGGAAGACGCAGAGCTGACTCAGTTCGACAATATGCTCGCCATGACCCTCCAGACTTCGAAGCCGACCACCGACGGAGAGGCGGCAGATGAGACATCTGACGAGTCGGACATGGATGACGACCAGATGATGGCGCTTGATCCACATCTCAGCAAGATCTTCAAGGAGCGGAGCAAGGCAACCAGCAAGAAGAAGGAGCGGGCGGACGCAAAGCAGAACGTCGTACAGTTCAAATCAAGGGTTCTGGATCTACTTGCTGTGTACATGGAAAAGCAATACTCTAACCCGCTCACTCTGGAACTCCTCCTTCCAGTACTCCGTCGTACGCGGGCCAACGCAAACAAGCAGACGGCAGACAAGGCGGCCAAAATGCTAAAATCGTTCTTCGACACCCGCACGAAGCGTAAAGCACCTCTCCCGAAGCCAGAGAACGTCGAGGACGTATGGGAGCTGCTAAAGGGTATCCACGAAGAGGCGAAGCTAGGCAACGGCTCGAAGGTCCATGCAGATGCGTGTGGTTCCGCCAGTCTCCATGTCGTCAAGGTCCTTGTTGGGCTCGACGAAGGAAACTATGCTGGTGTGGTGGACGTTTATGCTGAGACGCAGAAGCAGTGGTTTGCGGACAAGAAGTCTCCACTACAGCCTGTGCTGTTTACTCAGTTCCAGAACTGGTCTGTCAACGCACGACAGCAAGGGAAATAAGTGAAAGTGTACAGATACAGGCGCGTGGTTCTAATAGCGTGTTTTGTGTCATACTCGATACATGAAATCAATGATACTATTCCAAGTCTCGCATCCTGTTCCTGTCGGATTAAGACCAAGAAACAGCAATTCGATCTTGTCTGAGTCTAGACGTGACTTTTGAGCAGAGTGGAGCTGTCGCGTGGTGCTTGCCTCTCTTTCTGCATTGGTAGCAGGGGCCCACTTCTGTTTGCCCCGCCGCGGGGAGGAGCTCTAGAAGCCTAGCCTATGTCATAACAACCGAATTTACGTGCAAACCGTCGCGACCTTCAACACCGTACCTTGCCCGCTACAACCTTGCTCAAACATGGCTTGTACGCACGTAAACGCGCCCGGTAAGCGTCCATAACTACCACCAGACTCCAATCTCGAGTAACAAGAGAAATGAAGAGTGGCAAACCTGCTTCAGGCGCCTTCATTTGCTCTATGGCTACATCCTCACCCTAGACAGTACTAACAAGCATCAGAGCTTCACCCACCAGGGCCAACTCAGTCCGTGTACCGGGAGGACTGCACCCAGTGCTTCGACTCGATCGACGACCCCACCGGCCTCGACGTGTGCCTCTACTGCTTCAATGGTGGGTGTACGAGCGATCGCAACCACTCTCTGCTTCACGTGTCGTCCACAAACCACCCCCTCGTCCTCAACATCAAGCGCACGCGAAAGAGAGTCAAGCGCGATGAGCCTCCTCAAAAGATGACCAAGCTTGCTGTCGCAGCTGAAACCGAGTCAGACCGCTACGATACCACAACACAAGTCAAGTGCTACGAGTGCGGGGTTGACGATGTAGACAAGAGCTCGGGAAAGCTACCTGGTATTGTGGATGCAGTTCTCAAGGCAAACACCTTCGCGAAGCAGCAAGAGGTCAAGGCGTGGGAACAGGAGCTGACCGCTTGCGAACATACTCTCTGTCTGGAACAGCAAGCGGCGCGACAGATCGAATCACAGAACCTGGGACACTGCTCAGAGTGCGAGCTTAACGAAAATCTCTGGCTGTGCTTGACCTGCGGTAATCTGGGTTGTGGCCGTCAGCAGTTCGGTGGCGTCGGTGGCAACTCACATGGTGTAGGACACACCAAGTCGACTGGTCATCCTGTCGCAGTCAAGCTCGGGTCACTCACGGCAGATGGCACGGCGGATATCTACTGCTACGCCTGTGACGAAGAGCGCATCGATCCAGAACTACCGGACCACCTAGCACACTGGGGCATCAACATCAAGGACAGGGTGAAGACCGAGAAAAGTCTTACGGAGATGCAGGTCGAGCAGAACTTGCGCTGGGACTTTGCTATGGTGACCGAAGACGGCAAGGAACTGCAGCCATTGTTCGGACCAGACTTTACAGGCTTAAAGAACCTGGGCAACAGCTGCTATTTGAACAGCACCCTGCAGGCCCTGTTCTCCATTGAAGAGTTTAAAGACCGATACTACCTTCCCAACGAAGCTCCGCCGGAGACGCCGCTTCCTGCCGAGGATCTGGAGACTCAGCTGCGCAAAATTGCGGACGGCATGATCTCAGGTCGATATTCAAAGCCAGATAGCGACGTCATCACCAACGAGCACAACCCAGAGATTCCGCACCAGCGCGGCCTTGCGCCTGCCATGCTGAAGCACCTGATCGGACGAGGTCACGCCGAGTTCTCAACTATGCGACAACAGGACGCGTTTGAATTGCTTCTGCACATACTTCAACTTGTTTCACGCAGCAAGCACGTTGAGCCTCATAAGGATCCGGTCAGTGCTTTCCGCTTTGCTATGGAACAGCGACTACAGTGTGTCAGTTGCAAGCGCGTTCGATATAAGACGGATGAGCAGGAGAACATTTCGATTCCAGTCCCTATCCGACGGATACCGAAAGACTTGCAGATGGACGTTACCAACAGCGAGGGCAAGAAGGAAGAAAAGGAAGAGTTCGAGCCAGTCACGCTAAAGGAATGTCTCGACATCTTCACGGCCGAAGAAGTGGTTGACTATGATTGCGGTGCATGCGGCAGCAAGAATGGTTTCACGAAGAGGAGCATGTTCAAGACCTTCCCTTCAGTGTTGGCCGTCAACGCCAGGCGCTTTGAAGTGTTCAACTGGGTGCCTACAAAGCAGGATGTTCCTGTCATCGTTAACGATGAACCGTTCTCCTTCGACGCGTACAAATCCAATGGTTTGGTAGAAGGGGAGGAGCTTCTCCCAGAGGATGTAGACACAGGAGCGTCTGGCGGTTCGAAGTGGTCACCTAACGAGGCGGCACTTTCGATGCTTGAGGCTATGGGATTCCCTAGGGTTCGATGTGAGAAGGCGCTTCATGCCACTGGCAATGAAGATGCCGAAGCAGCGATGAACTGGCTGATCTCACATATGGAGGATCCCGACATCGATGACCCCGTCGACTTCAACGCTGGTTCTGGGGGAGGCGCAGCCGCTGCATCTGTTCTCGACCCAGAAAAGATCGAGACCCTAGGAGCGATGGGCTTCAACGCTCCCCAGGCACGTCAGGCTCTGAAGGAGACAGGTGGTGACATGGAGCGTGCTGTTGAGTGGTTGTTCAGCCACCCCGATGCACCGGGCGATTTTGACGAAGGCGGTAGCTCCGAGGCACCTGCGGAGCCGACAGAGAAGAAGTTGGCTGGTAGTGAGACGCTGCCTGCAAACTTCCAGCTCCAGTCGATAGTATGCCATAAGGGTAGTTCGATACACGCCGGGTAAGTTTTCTGCATTTCGACCCTTGCGGGAAAGCATTCGCTAACACGCCATAGACACTACGTTGCGTTTGTGCGTAAGCAGTTGCCAGGCGAGCAGGCTGCATCATGGGTTCTCTTCAATGACGAGAAGGTTGCCAAGGCGGCCGATATTGAAGAGATGAAGAAGTTTGCCTACGTGTATTTCTTCCGACGTTTGTAAGACAGCGGGTCTAGGTCCCTCACAACGGACTAGCATAGCGAAAGCGGAGTTGTGTCGGGTTAGCATTAGCATTGATGAAACGGCGAAACGAGAGCGGATTGGGAGCATTGCGGCGCAAGCTGCTAGATAGCATCAACATGGCTGTAGGCGATATGAATGGAGCCGAAGTTCCATCTGATACCAGGACGAACGGAGATAGCACTCGTTCGCCGGTGAACTGGACCTGTTCTCCGAGATGATTCCATAATAAGTGTGGGGTATGTGTGCGCACGGACATTACGTCGCCGGCGGCCGGGCGTGGCTTTTCATCATTACTTCAATAGTCCGTCGCCATCCACCTCCGCTACACCTACACCAACATCGAACCGCGACCGGAACTATTGCCAAAACTCACCGACGATACTACCAAACCTCAAAACACCACACACATCGATCGCCACCATGTTTAGGAGAGTCGCAGCAGCAGTGCCCGCCCAGGCCGGAAGAGCGCTCGCAACCGCCGCCAGGCCCAGCATCGTTTCGCCCATTCGCACAGCAGCACCTGCAGTCTCAGCAGTCGGTCGGCGGCAGTACCACGAGAAAGATATGTCGCCCGCCCCTCTCGTTCGAAGACTCAACGTGGTGGCGACACACGAGTTTGATTGGAATCACCTCGTCATCGCGCCACCATCTCTGTCGAATAACATGTGAGAACGCTCAGCTAACATTCACAGCACTGCTCGACCACTACAACAAGCCTCGCAATGTCGGCTCCATGTCCAAGACGGATAACGATGTCGGTACTGGACTAGTCGGCGCACCCGCATGTGGCGACGTCATGAAGCTCCAGATCCGTGTCGACCCCAACAGCAACACCATTAGCGATGTCAAGTTCAAGACCTTCGGCTGCGGCAGCGCGATTGCGAGTTCGAGTTACCTGACCGAATTGGTGCGGGGCATGACACTGGAGGATGCGTCGAGGATTAAGAACACAGAGATTGCAAAGGAGCTCTGCCTTCCACCTGTAAAGCGTGAGTTTTCCATAACACGAAAGCGAAAGCTATGATCGGGATACTAACTGCTCGCAGTCCACTGCTCTATGCTTGCTGAAGACGCCATCAAATCCGCCATCTCCAACTACTACACCAAGAACCCCAACGCACGGCAAACAGATCTTGGCGGCAAGTCGGCACCGCTTCCAAAGGTCGAGATCGAGACTGTATCCTCAGCGACGGCTTAGAAAGGATGATGACAATGATGATGTAAATTGATACCATGGGGACGAGAAGGAAGGTTGGAGAGGAAGTTTCCTGATGTTACCTGCATTCAGTCTTTCGCTACTCAATGTACCGGGTATGACTTGGGCGTTTGAGCGTTACTGCGGCTGGCTTCCTGTATAGTAGGCTGAGAGTACATATGTTTTATCGCAATGAAGAAAAGTCCTAATGCGAAGCGATATGTTTTGGCTACGATGTGATGTGTAATGAATGAACGGCGGAAGCAACTGCTGGGGAGGATGAAACTTAGTGCTAAATCAGCTGTAGTACGTAACAGCGGAAGTCGGCTCGACGATCATCTTATGAGCTGAGTGTCACGCCATGTAGGTGCTCTATATCTGATGATCCTACTCATCAGATAATGCATGCATGAAAGCGTACTGTAGTTTTGTAGCACCTCCTTACCCCAGAATCGCGTCTAAATTGAGTTTTACGTGGATGGTTCTTTAGTCATGCAAACGATGTTTGGCCTCCGTCATAAAGTTGCAATAAAAGTGAGGGAGCCGGTGACGCTTTGGACCCTTGCGTGGTTCACGCCTCGGCCTATGTAGTCCTCGGAAACTCTACCTCCAATCCACCCACGCTTCACTCCCGACTCTCTCGCAACTGCCCAGCATGTCGACAGCACAAGAAGACGAGGCAGTCCCTGCTATTCGATTTAAGCGTCGCAAGATCGCGCATCCGAAGCGCGTGTATACCGAAGACGATGCGCCTACAGCCTCCGCCCCAAATGCGCCCATTGCTGCGACTCCGAAGGACGCGCCTGTCTCGCCGACCGAAGCCAACGATGAAGAAGAGTCGGTTCCGAACCTGAAAGAGATATTGCGCAACCGAAAGCGGCCACGCGACCGACTGAAGGAAACTGCGCGCAAAGCAGAGCCGCCGCGGACAGAGCTGGTGCAAGTAGAGGCGCCCCGGCCAGACCAGTATACCAGCCGCTTCGTCGCGCAGACGGGACAGGTGGTAGATCGCGATGACAAGCAGATGTGAGTGGGCTCTTCGGCAGATTCCAAAAGGCTTCAACGAGGGCAACGTCAAGCATGGAGGCTAATGTGCCAGGTCGGAATATGTAGAAGCTCGCATGGCTGAAAAGAACTATCGCCAGTACGGCTGGCCAATACCAAACCACCTCCAGGCTTCCGTAGCAGCCATCGCGCCAGACCTGCGGCATACCTTCACCACCAGCTCATTGGCACATGGCACGACGAGTAGCACCGAGAGTCCCGCGGATAACGAGCATAGCAACCGGTTGGCGGCAGGCCAGGGAAAGCTTCAAGAAGTAGACCTGGGTCCAGATGCTACAGCGCGCACCGAACAAGCCTGGAAACGATGGGACAAGGGCGAGCCAGAGCCACCAGCAAGCAAAGCGCGACGAGATAAGTACGGTTACGCGTGGCGCAAGCCCAAAGCCAACGGCAAGACGGAAGAAGACAGGCGACGCGATCAAATGGTCGAAGCCGTACTCAAAGAAGCCAAACGTACGTTCCCTTCCCATACTAATTCTCATAACCTCCTCACTAACATATCCAGTCGACTTCTTCGACTCCACAACCCCCGCAAACCCTCACGCCAACACATCCACCAACACCGACGACGCCCTCGTCGAACAGTTCCGCACCGAATACTACGAATCCATGGAAGCGAAACAGCAAGCCCGTAAACCACCCGCCCCTCCAATCAAGGGCGCGCCACCCCCTATCACAGGACCCAAATTGGGTGGCAGCAAGAGCGCAAGAGCCAAGATGCACAAGTTACAGCAGGAAGAGGCTGCGAGGAAGAAGAGGTAATGTTTGCTGTATATGGATTTTCGCGTTGCTGCGGTGTCTCCGCCACGAAGATGTGTGTTTGCCATGTAACGGAATTTGATGCACAATCCTATTGGATATTTAGTTTGGATATTTAGTTTGGATACTCCTTCTTCGTTTTGTTTGTTTCTCGATCTTTCAGAAGGATTGAGGTATTAACGCTATTTTTGTTTAGTGGTGCGAGGACGAATGATGGACGCGTGCTTGCACGATCGGAGTGGAGAGATACGCAGGTGAAGAAGACGACTTGGTATAGCGGTTAGTGAGATGGCTGTTTGAGATGTTGAGTCTTCTCGGCATAATGGTTAACACTGGCGCTCACGCAACACTTTGCTGACGCATGGGATGGACTGTTATGCTTGAATCTCAATGATGGCATGCTGATATCTTACATAACGCCAAATAAATACCCAAATACCCTGGTCATACAATGATGGGAAGAAACTATACTTTCACTCTCATAACAATCATCTCAAAGCTTCCTCGGAGCAGCAGTAGCCGGTTTCTTCGCAGTCCCATTCGCTCCACCCCCTATCTTAGCAGGCGCCTTCTTCGCCGGCGTCGATACAGTATCCATCTTCTTCGCCAAATCACCCGTCTTCTTCACAGCCGGCGCTTGTCCCTTGCTCACCTTCTCGGGCACTTGCACAGCACCACTAGGCGTCACCTTGATAGGCACACCGCCTGCCGTCATAAACGTCGTTCCCTTCTTCTCCTGCGCCTTTTCAATCTCCTCCTTGCCGACCTTGATCTTGACGCCGTTCGCCATGGTCAGTGTACCTGTTTTCTTGGCTTGTTCGACCTCCGTTTGAGGTACTTTGATCATAACGCCTGAGGCTGTCATCATCTCTTTCATGGGACCTGTGGGTTGCGGCGTGGAATTTTTGGTTGCTGCCGCGGGTTTTGCTCGGGCCTGTGCGGCGGTGCCTGATTTGGGCGTTGCGGCTGTGGGTTTCTTTGCTGCCGATGATGATGATGTTGGCAAGTTTACAGCGCTTTGGGCTCGCCTTGCTGCTGGAGTTGCAGCAGTGGGCGTTTGTAGCGTCTTGGTTATTGGTGGTGGTAGTGCTGTGCTTGCTCTTCTCATTCCGTTGGGCATTACGGCGCCGCTTGCAATGGCTGTTTCTTTGACTAGTTTGGCGAGGTTTTCTTGTGTTAGGCGCTGTACTTCTGGTACTTCTTTGGGTCCGGCGGCTTGTGCTGCGCCCATTTGGGCGGCGCCTTCTATCATCTTTTCTAGTTGCTCGGGGCTTGGGAGGCCTTTAATTTCGCCTCCTTGGCCGAGGAGCGTTTTCATGTGGGTTTGGAAGAATTCTTTGGCGCCTGGTATGGGTAGGTCTTCGGGTGAGGCTCCGTAAGCTACGGTTAGGGCCATCATGACCGAAGTTATTGGAGCGAAGATCTTGACAAACTCGTTCCAGTTGCCGCTCTTGACTTCCGTCTCGATCTGTACTGCTGGTCGTGGCACTGTTCGAATAGTCTTGTTTCCGTTTCCTCTACTGCTCTCACTCTTGGTGTCCATATCCAAGTGGTTCTTCCAGAAATCTTCTGCGGGAAAGCGGTTGTGGCGACTGAAGTATTCTAGCATGTAGTCCTTCTCCCTCCAACGGTTCCTTAGCCAGACCTCAAAAGCGTGTGTGTTCTCATATGGAATGTCATCAAGGTGGAACCGTCGCCAGTGCATGTTGACTGACTTCGGAGGTCTGCCTTCGAAGAAAGAAGATCGGAGAGTGAAGATGTCCTGACCGAATTGACCTTCTGGTACACCTTCGTATGCGATGGTGCAGTCGTACAGCCAATCTGTTGTTTCCCTCAGTTCGTTAAGGCAGAACTTGAGACCAGTACTGCGTGGGAGCAGCTGATGCTTCATGTCCTGCAAACCATTCTTCTTCGCCCATTGCTGGCTCTTTTCGCGCGTAGTCTTGGATAGGTTTGTTCCTTCGGGAAAGATGATGAGCCACATGGGGTCTCCTTTCTTGTTCAGCTTGCTGAGATGTTTCTTAAATGTACGCTGGTCTTCCTCCCATTTTCTAGATAGAAAGATGAAGTTGTAGAACTGGGCGCCCCATCCAATGATAGGAATGTTCTTCAGCGACTCCTTTAGAATGATGTAGATGAAGCCGTGCATGTTGTTCGTATATGCGATCCACCAGATATACAGCCAGTCAGTGTAGAGTTGATGGTTTGCCATGAGGACCATGCGATCCGCAAAGTTGCATTGTAATGATCCGTCTTTGCGTTTGATAAGTTGACCGACCATGCTGGAGTCGCCAGATACACGGACGACAGTCGGAGCCCACCATTGGGTGAGACATGTGATCAGGATGGCGAAGCATTCCTTGGTGTAGGCCATGTACCCATCGTAGAACTGCGGGTCAATCAGTTTTAGTGGTGCGCCTAGAAACTGGGATGCGCTTATACTGCCAGGTATTAGTTGGGTGTATTTGGAGGTGGACATGGACGTGCTTACGCCAGAACGCCGGACAAGAACGTCGAGGCTAACGTGAAGGCCCGTTCTGCCTGTGTCAACTCGCCAAAGCGCGGTGGTCCAGCCGGATGCGCTTCGACATTGTCTTTCGAGATTCGCAGTCCAGCACCAAGGTCATCTTTTTTCTTCCTCTTAACAGCAGCTGGTACCGGGGGCTTGGACGCTGATTGGCTCGCAGGAGTCGGCTTTGAAGCAGTCGGCTTTGGGGTCGTCGCCTTCTTCGCAGGAGGTTTGGCAGCCGGCGATTTGGCAACGACCGGCTTCTTCGTAGCAGTAGCAGGCGACATCTTCCACAGTTGGCACACGAGCGAACATCGAAGTCCAAAACGTCAAACACGACTATCAGCACCAGTGACGGGCTACCCGCGACGTCAGTGCAGGCTAACGGTTCCAGGTTCGAGATCAAGATGGATGCTCCACATACGCGTCGTCAACCCCTGTCAGCGAGCCGTGGCATGACGTTATGTGTGGCGGCGTACAACCAAGTCAAGCAAGCAAGATATTCGAGACACACCATTACCCCTTCCTTAGTCTCTGGGTCTACTCAATAACACTATACTCGCTCCGCAGTAGATACCAATTCTCCAGGCGTCTCAACTACATCCCTCTTCCAACAATACCACCATATTCGCAACATAACTACGGTACGTTCAATTGTGACAGCTGTCGACCCTGGCGCATACTCGAGTGGTGCACGCGAGCAGCCGTCCATACACATTTGGGCTCAAGACTGACACATATCACAGAATTAATCCGACACCACACCTCGCATCTTTCATCATGCCCGCAGCCTCAGTAGCATCCGCGCCGGCCAAGCGCACCACCAACAAGGCCACCGCTTCAAGGGCTCCCAAGAAGGCTACCCAGAGCGCAAAGAAGCCTCAAACGAATGGCGCAACCAACGGAGCGTCGCAACCTCAGATGTCACCATACACTATCATGGCTTCGAGAATCGCAAACCGCGTGGCTGAAATGGCAGAGAACATGACATTCGTCGAGCGCGAGAAGTGAGTATCTCCGAACTTCCCTGAATTTTCCCCTGGCGTACTTTCTCTGGTTCTGGCTGCGACGGCGTGGAAAATTAGGGCTGCACTATGCAACTGCCGACCAGACTTAGGACCCCTATCGCGTAGTCACTGATCCAGACGTACCTTTGCTAACAAATTGCGGTAGGCCCCAACAGCAAGCGCAACAGCAGCAGCAACAGCAGTCTGCCCCTTCAAACTCTGGAAAGAAGCCTCCCAGGAAACTCGAGATGCGCATGCCCAACAACGGCGCCTCGCCTACCAACATTACCTTTAGCGCACCTTTCCTCGACAACACACTCGCCAAGCTCCTCACGCTTCAGAACCGCATGCTGACAGTCAGCAACGACATCGCAGCGTGCGAAGACGTAGACGACAAGACTAAGCAAGAGCAGTTTGCGCAGAGCGCAGAGTTGAGCCGCATCATTGCCTTGATTTGCGCTGAGAAGGCTAGACAAGGTGCTTAGTTTGTTACTTTTGTCCAAAGCAATGAGTAGTTACGAGCGTTTTTTCTTTCTTTCTTTTCGAAGGCGTTGAGGGTATGTAATCAAAAGGGTTTTACTGTAGCAGCGCACTTTGTACGAATAGTATGATTGACGATAAACGTAATGAGTTGACCACGAGCACACTTCACCGTGATATTCAGCCTCAACGCTGTACCGCCTAGCGTACTAGTGACATGCCACGGCAGGAAGCTATTACACATGCTAAAAACCTGCATCAAAAGATCGCCAGCCAGCACTTTGGTTCAGGCCCACTCCGCTGTGCCACAATAACGTCATTTGACGCGGGGCGGCAGCGACCCCCCTGCCTGCGACGGGTAGCGAAACAGGTTCAAGCTGCGGTGGCGTCAAAAGCTATGCATCATCGGAGAACATGATCTGGGGTCCAACAGTCTAGAACTAGACAGCTCTTTCGATACTACCGTAGCTTCTGCGTCGAACCTAGCCCTCGACATCAATTGCAGTATTGAGATCACTATACGTATTAGACAATGACGAGCTTCATCTCGAACATCATCTGGAACTCGGTGGAGGGCTTTGTGGATGCAGGAAAGAAGACGGCGGGTGAATATGGCGGAAACGCCTTGATCAAGGCTGGGGACATGATTGAGAACAGTGGAAGGAGTGTGGGAAATGGTAAGCCACTCTTTACCTCTCGCATCCTATTTATGCCTCCAAACACTCACTGACATGCGCCGAGGTATCGAGAAGAAAGCAACAAGCTACGGCACCGCAATCACCGGCCAAACCTACAAACCCACAGCCAAAGCTCTCCCTTCCACAGCACGAAAGCCTGTAGTCAAGCGTTCCAACTCGACTCCTGCAAGCAACAAGCCAACCACCAGTGGAACGCCTCTAGGCGCGAAGAAGTACCCAGGCAGTAACCAAGTTAATGGTGCTGTCGGAGGAGCGAAGAAGACTGTTGGAGGAACTGTAGGAGGACTGAACAGGACTGTCGGAGGAGTAACAGGCGGCGCATCGAAAGTCACCGGAGGAGTGATAGGCCGCGCCAACAGCACCGTCGGTACCGTTACGAACAATGCCACAAAGGCCACCGGAGGCCTCGTAGGAGGAGGTCAAAGAGCCATTGGCGGAGCCACGAAATCTATTCCTCCCTTCAAGGGCCCCGGAGCAACTCCTTTGGCCAACCAGGCTCTTCCGAAGCCTTTCCCAGATACCAACGGCCTTCCCAAGCCCGCGTACCCGATGGCAAAGAAGGCTGCGGTCAAGCCTGGCCAGCCGAAGCCTTTCACGTTGCCTACCGAACAGAAGAAGCCTGATCCGAAGAAAGCTTACCCTGGGACGAATACGCTGCCAGGAACAAGTAGGACACCGGTACAACAGCAGAGGTTGAAGCCGTTGCCAAAGGCGGCGCCGCAGGTTGGACAAGGGCAGACTATGACGCATCTGGCTATATAGAAACATAAGGAAAAGTGTTATTTGACTTGATATGGGTTTGGTGTGGCGTTGAGGTGATTGGAGCTATGGGTGTAAGATTATATTAAGATGTGTTGGAATTCCAAATAGGCAGATACATGAATGGAATCTGATCTCTGCCTTACTCAATCCACCATGCTGACGACGACAATTTATGTTTGGATCTATCCATGAGATGCTTGGATTATCTGCAAACATGAGACGCCCAGTGAAGTGCTCTTGGATTCTTGCTGTTGGGTATTCATTGCTGTTCAGCAAACAATATGGGGACGATGCTTACTTGAAGCAGCTTTGTAGCATGCAGCGAGTGTAAAGACGTCGCGGGCTTAACAAGATATCAAGGCCAGAAAGCGCAGAAGGGTCTGAGCGATATCAGGATGAGCTTTTGGTCTTGGTGGTACTGGGTTGGAGAGGATCATATTGCAATTTTCATTCTTGTGATATCCAACTACTTTTTCTTATCATTGTTTTTGTTGTGACGTTGGTATGACGGAAGCTGTGAGTATCTCGTCAATGGGTCGTCGCAGTACCGTCGAGTGAATAAGCATTATTGCGTTGATTGATCATTGACGGCGTTGATGACGCTGATGGATATCTACCGAGGTAGATACGTACACGGGTGCTTCGCGAACCTCGCATGACGGCAGTGTTATGGCGTTGCGTTTCATTGACAAAAACGTTCAGCCTCAAAGACAAACACAAGGGTGCAGGTAGCAGTTTGAACTCTACTTCGTTGAGAATTTCGGCCGGTCTGCGGTGGGCGGGCCTAATTCCGTTCCGTCCACGATTGTACATCCCCCAATGTCGATCTCCCCACCCAGCCCCACCTCATCACACTTTATCCCCAACCAGCTCATCAGACCGCCTATCATGAAGCCGTGTGGTGGAGTCGTACCGATCTCGGCATTTGGTTAAGCTTCGGCATGGGTCTTGGAAGTGCTTATATGCTCACTTCCCCTGCTGCACTCCCGCGCGCTGCCGTTCTTGCTTTACTACCCGCAAATTTGAGACTGTGCGCGGATGAAGATGCGTTTCTTCACTTCAAAAGACCCCGAAAGTGTGGAGCAGAATGAGGAGAAGAACGTTGAAATGATGAAAGAGGGAGAAGGAGACGCAGAAGCTGGGCCAGTTGCACGGGTGGAAGATGAGATTGACCCGGTAATCGAGAAGCGCGTGCGACGGAAACTGGACACCCATATCGTTCCTTTGTTATCGGCACTGTATCTGCTGGCATTTCTCGATCGGTCAAATATTGGGTATGAAAAACATTTCCACGATAGAGAGCATAGCTAATTTGGCTACCAGCAATGCGCGAATCGCGGGCATGGAAGAAGACCTCGACCTGAGTAGTTCGCAGTACCAGTGGCTTCTTACCATATTCTACATTTCCTACATTGTATTCGGATTCCTCGCAATCATGTGGAAAGTCGTACCGCCGCATATTTGGGCTGCCGGCTGCGTTTTCGTCTGGGGCCTCGTTTCGACCGTACAAGCTGCGACAACTTCATGGGGAGGGATGATGGCACTGCGGTTCCTCATGGGAGCTGCAGAGATTGCATATGGCCCCGGCGTGCCATTTTTGCTTTCATTCTTCTATCTGAGGCATGAACTTGGGCTGAGGTGCGGTTTGTTCTTATCGGCTGCGCCACTAGGTGAGTTGTAGGCACGAACGGCATATGAGACGTACACTAACTTTACGCTTCCAGCCAACACGTTTGCAGGCGCTCTAGCCTATGGAATTACGAGTGGTAATCCCGGAATGGCGAAATGGCGCGTATTGTTCTTGGTAGAAGGTTTGCCTACAGTTGTTATGGCTGGAGTTGCATTCTTTTTCTTACCAGACAGCCCGGAAAAGGCGAAGTTCCTGAACGAAGAGGAAAAGGCGGTTGCAAGAGCCCGTGGTGTGGCACAGGCTGGTGCTGCAACAAGAATCGGGAGTATCAACTGGGAAGAGATGCTGGAGGGTCTAATGGATCTAAAAGGTTGGATACTCGGTGTAAGTCTAATAATTCGATGTAATGATTCTGAATTGACATCAAACAACAGCTCATGTACTTCTCTGGGAACGTTGCATTTTCGTCATTACCGGTGTTTCTTCCTACGATCCTCAACGAAATGGGGTTCTCGAGCGTTAACGCGCAGGGCCTCACCGCACCCCCATTCTTCGTATCCTTCCTTACAGTAATCGCCACATGCTACATCGCGGACCGGACGCAACAGCGAGGTATCATGATCGCTATCCTCACGGCCATTGGAGGGATTGGTTATGTTATCCTGGCAACCACGAAGAGCGTAGCAGCGAGATATTTCGGAGTCTTTTTGGCTGCTGCTGGAATTTTCCCAGCTATAGGCAATGTACTGCCTTGGGTCACGAATAACCAAGGTAGTGATACGAGGAGAGGTACAGGAATAGTCATCCTGAACTTGATCGGCCAATGCGGACCTCTGCTGGGTACCCGATTGTATCCCAAGTCAGAAGGGCCGCTATACGTCAAGGGTCAATCTGTATGTGCTGGATTCATGTTTCTGTTCTGCCTGCTATCTCTCTTGCTGAGGACAATTCTCGCTTGGGAGAATAAGAAGTTGGATCGCAAGTACGGGACCTTGGCGCAGCAAAGAGAAACCGGCGGAAGCAAGAGGGAACTAGGCGAAAACTATGGCCCAAGATTTCGCTACGTTTTGTAGGTGCAGAGCTACCAATGGCAAACCAAGCTGTTATCGCACTGTGGTGCCACTCGATATGCGGGTTGATGCGGGCACCTTACACAAGGTAGAAACTGAACAGGTGCGCTGCAGTCTACCTCAGCGTGATAAGGAATGATACCAACATGCCAAGGTAATGTAGACTCCTAGGTTGACAGCTTCAGTCTCCTGCTTGCATGTGACGCGGGGTACGCTGAGGCCAGGCAGAGAGACATGGAATTGTGTTTGATCGGCTTGATCGAGAACTGTCCCTTGCTCTTTCTAATCTATTGACGACTAGTGACGCACGGAATTACCATTAGAGGACGGGGTAGTGAAAACGAGCGTAATAGCGCCAAATCAAGCGCTAGGGCGAAGCATTGGCGCATGCAGGATTGCCATGTTCCCGAATCGGCAATTGACCACGCGACAGCTGTTGCTCAGAGCAGCCACCAACTCGCGCAGATAGATCGTTGCGATGGAGACGCAGATACCAGTGCTTCGCTGCGACAATCATGACAAATTTGCGTTTGTTGGCATCAGCGCCAGCGCGAGATCCACCGGATGGTTCACACATGCGAACTGCAAAGTTGGAGAGGCGAGGCCCGGGCGGGCCCATATTTCCAGGGCACGGACACGCAGTAACGTCACTGGTAGATTCAGGACGAGGCTCGCAGCAAATCCACACTCAGCACTTTCAACGCGCTTTTTCACCCGTACGCCTGCGTGTCTGCTTATCAGTGGCCCATCATTGCCGCATCCCCTTGTCATACAGCATTAGGATTGCCAATTGTTATCTTGATAGACGCGCTCCGAAATGGCCTCGAATCCGTCTGGCCCTGCTGGCCCCGACGCCGGCACTGCTGCCACTTCCAGCGGTCCTTCGTACGCAACAGCTGCAGCCGCACCACCCAAGAAGAAGAAGACGCATCGCGGTGGCAAGAAGCGCAAAAACAGGAGACAAAGTTTTGCAGCTGGAGCTGATCTCGCGCCAGGCGACTCCATAATGGAAGAGCGCCCGAGTCTGGCCAATGTCGCCAGCCATGGGCAGTCGCGAGGGAGCAACGGCTTTTACCGCACCCACAGCAACCTCAGCAACACCAGCCTCGAGAGCGAGGCTCTGCTGGACCACCGCGAGCAGCCTACCATCCGGACGCGTCGTCCCAGCGTGCCTGTAACGTCCATGTACCAGCCGAGGGCCAGTCAGCCCAGCGTCAACACGCCCCAGCGACTTCAAGCCTCAAACTCATACGGCCGCTCACGCCTTTCACATACTCCCGAGGAGAATTATAGCGATGGCGATGAGGATGCGAACGATAGAACGCCGCTCATGAGCTCTTCTCAGCGCGATATCCGGACATCTAACAGCTATGGCTCCAATAGCGGCAAACCACGACGAGGAAGCAAAAACTCTGCGAAAAGCTTCAAGCACATGCCCATTCCAGAACACAGGCCTGATTTGTTCACCCAACATCACCACACTACAACCAACCTCGATGACTACGATGTCAACAACCCCCCATCTGTCCCTACTAGCCCAGCTTTCGAGGCTAGTAGTGGTTTGGACGACGTCATGATCCCGACAGACCTGGACCACCTCTCCGACCCGGGAAGGTCCAACAGTCCGTCTCGGGATGCACTCATCGACATCGATGAGGACGCCCATTCGGGCACTCCCCCTACCCCAGGCGACTTCAGACGTCGCATGACCGGTTCAGCGCTTGAAGATGTCTGCTTCCCCCATGAAGCCATGTCAGAGATGGGACACGAGGATTACATGAACGCCCCTACGACCGGTGAGCCTACGACTCGCCGAAGACGCCGCCGCTGGCCAGATCTCGACGTTTTACAAGCTTGGGCGCACGAGGAGAAGGAGCAACGGACTATTGAAGGCATGCGCATGCGTAAGGTTAGCGAGCCGCTTATGGTTGAGGGACGCCTTCGTCCAAAACGGCGCGTATGGCATCGCGAGGACAGCGACGCTCCTTACCGTTTCACGTACTTCAACGAGACGTTTGACAACACGATCCATAGTCAGAGCATCAGCGAACTGTTGCAACCTGGGCAGAGCTTCAGAAACCTCTTTGTCCCGGATCCACCGATACTCGATGACGACAGCGATTCTTCTGACACAGAAGATGATATGCTTCACGCTGGCCCCAACGGCTATACTTCGCGGACAACAACGCGGTCGACTTCGAAAGCTGAGGGCAAGTACTCTTCTGGAGAACAGACGCGCTCAACAACCCCACGTCCTACGGATGCAGGAAAACCCGACAAGCCTGAGGGCGAAAAGCCGAAGCGTTTTGGCCCACGGCCTGCCTGGTGGTTGGATGTCATGTCTCCTACGGAGACTGAGATGAAGGTAATTTCTAAGACGTTTGGCATACATCCGTTGACATCGGAAGACATCCTCATGCAAGAGCAACGCGAAAAAGTCGAGCTCTTTAAACACTACTACTTCATCAACTACCGTACCTTTGAGCAAGATGAGAACAGCGAGGACTATCTGGAGCCCGTCAACCTGTATGTTGTTGTGTTCAGAGAAGGCGTAATAAGCTTCCACTTTTCTATGACGCCACACCCTGCCAACGTCCGCCGCCGTATTCGCCAACTGTCCGACTATCTTGTCCTATCACCAGACTGGATCTCGTATGCCATCATTGACGATGTCACGGATGCATACGCGCCCATGATCCAGAAGATTGAAGAAGAAGTTGATGATATCGATGAGGCTATACTGCGACTTCATTCGAGCGAAGAAGAACAGGAAGCAGAGAAGGAGAAATCGTACAGCTACAACAACCCGCACTACAAGGAGCCTCCCGAGGTCAAGTCGCAGCAAGAAACCGGTCGAGACATGTTGCGACGTGTGGGTGAATGCAGAAAGAAGGTTATGAGCCTCTACCGCTTGTTGGGCAACAAGGCCGATGTCATCAAGGGTTTTGCGAAGCGATGCAACGAACAATGGGATATTGCACCTCGTAATGAGATCGGCATGTATCTTGGAGATATCCAGGATCACATTGTCACCATGACAGGCAACCTAAGTCATTACGAGAAGTAAGTTGAACCTTGCACTACTATAGACGGCGAACTAATCAGCTCTTCAGCCTTCTGTCCCGTGCTCATAGCAACTACCTCGCCCAGATCAACATCAGGATGAACGAACGTCAAGAGAAGACGTCTGACATCCTTGGCAAGCTTACTGTGCTCGGAACGATCGTCCTACCAATGAACGTTGTGACTGGTATCTGGGGTATGAACTGGTGAGTCAAGTCTTTCTACCTGAGCGAACGATAAGCTAACCAAACGCAGTCTCGTTCCTGGCCAAGACATCGAGAACCTCAACTGGTTCTGGTGCATTACTGGAGGCCTCATCACCTTCGGTCTGATGTGTTACTTCATTGCGAAGAGGGTATACGGTATCGTTTGATCACGTTCAGGAAAAGCATAGACTGCCATTTGGTTGAGAGAACATATCGTATTGCGTGGCGTTGGTGGTCGGGTGTCGCTCGCGTTGAGTCGTCCCTGGTTTGGGTTGGACTAAGACAGTACACACGTTTGCTTTTGTACCACTACTACGCATAGGAGTCAGGCTTGTTGTCCGAATAATACATGATCATTTGTTTGCTTTCCAGTCTTCAATGTGCCTTCGCGAATTGCCTTTATACTTGTTATCTCCTCACAGTGAGACCGATGTTTGTGTACTCATTCGGCCCCCAATGTCGCCCCTCTTTGAAACACAGACGGGAGGCCACGTACAGTGAGTGTTATCGCCCAGCCGAGCTTACCGGCAGCTATGCGCCTCCGGTGAGCGAGGGGGAAAAGCGGGTACCCGCCTGGACATGGCTTCGTTTCGTACAGTCACTCCAGGTGGTGAGTCGTGTACGGAAGCTGAGACATATCCAATAGCAAACATGTGGCTGGTTTCGGCAGTGATGTAGTCACTATGGAAGGACAGATCTACTGGACTAAGAGGGAGAGTCTCACGGTGCGGGTCGTAGGGACGATGCAGATGGTGGTGAGGGTGTGTACCGGGTTCTTAAGGCAGTGCCTTGGACATCTGCATGGAGCAGCCTGTTGAATACTATCCCGATCTTCATGATACTCTGATGCACGCCTCAATCGATCGAAGTAGGTCAGACACAATGCGCTTCCTTGCAGCGACGGTCTGGGTTGTTGTTTGCAGGCCCGTGAAGTGTTCAAGACGTTGGGCAGGCGCCTTCTCCGTCACGATGCAGAGGTTCCGGCGAGTCCACGGTCGTGGAAAAACTCTTCAACGGTCTCATCGCTGTAGTTTTCTGTAGATCGCGTCAAGAACATGCTTCTTGCGGAGCGTTCTATGCGAGGTGGGCAGGGTGACCCTGGAAGTATTGGGTTGCTTCACTTTTGGGCTTTGCGTGCGGTAACGCAGGAAAATTACTGTCTTGCAGCTAGGTGCCAGGTTGGGCCCAAGCCGCCCGGGTGTCTTATCACCAGTTTCGTTATGATGGAGTCACCAGGCAGCCGGCAGACGATGGGGAGCGGGCAGTCAGCGGCGTGAGTCGTTGTCAGCCGCAGAAGCACCGTCCACATGCTCGAGCGCTCACCGCATGCGGGGCGATGCGCATAGGTGATGGCGCAATGTCCGGTGAGGTCTCAGAGCCCACAAAAAGAAACTCCTAGCGAATGTGACAGCTTGCAGGTAATGGTTCGCATGATGTGCGATGCGCGCGCTCCCGTCGTGGCTCGATGTAGGGCTGCGACGGCGCGGTGTGCCCATCACGTCTGCGGAGAGGGTACCTAGGTAAGGCAGACAGACTTCGCGCAGACAGGCACTGCCCGACGGCGCCCGTATGTATTTAGTCACTGCCAAAGCGGATTTGAAACACATGGTCCAACGTGCGGTCGGTTGAGGTGGTGCGATTGGATTGACGTCATCGGCTTCAGGGTGCCTCGAGCCTTGTGGGCAGGCCAGAATCAAGTCTTCTGACGGGGTCCGCTATTCCTGACACTTGACGTCGTCTGCCCTACTCGCGTTCACCCTCTTATTACCCCACCTCGTTTGCTATCGCAGTCTGCCAGCAGTGCGCTTCCCCAACGATAGTGAGCGTGTTGATCAACACTCTCGCCAATCACCCAGCCCCGCCGGCTCGCGATCGACGCCTGCGAGTACCCGCCCTCGCTCAGCCGTTCACAGTCACCCCCAGCAGCGAGTCACCGCGACTGGCTACGTAGGCGAGCACCCGACGCCAGAGTCTACCAACATCCCCTATCCTCTATCTCTCTCTCCTGCATTGCATTGCATTGCGCCCACTTCGGAGCCACTGTCAACTTACCCCTCCACTTCACTTCTTACGACTCCACGCCGCACCATGTCGGTCATCTACAAGAGGAGCGAGCGCGACCGCGAGTGGGACACCACGTCGACGCGCACCGGTGCCACTGGCTATACCACGGTGCGGCGCTACAAGGTGCCCGACCACAGCCTCGAGGAAGACACGTACGAGACCGAGATGCGCATGGTCCACCGTGGGCGCGACGACTTCGACGACCGTCGCTCCGTCAAGGACTATCATATTGAGCGCCATGAACAACCCGCTCCCGCGCGCGAAGTGAGACACTACCACTACGCTGAACGTGAGCGCGAAGTCTCGCCCCAGCGTTCCGAGTATCGCATCCAGCGCGAATACGAGCGCTCCCCCTCACCCGCGCGCACCGAGATCCGCATTTCCCGCGACTACGACCGCGAGCGCGAGATCTTCCCACGGGAGCAGCCCTATGAATTGGAGAAGTACTCAAGGTCTACTGAGTATTTCCGCCCCGAGCCGCTGCCCCAACCCCCACCACCCCAGCCCCAGTCCATCTACATCCGCAATGAGGCCCCCCAGCCCCAGCCCATGCAACATATGCAGATGCAGATGCAGCCTATTATTATCCGGGAGGAAGCCCCTCAACCCATCATCATCCGCGAGCGCGTACAAGAGCCATCCTATGAGCTTGTTGAACGTACTGAAGAAGACAGACAGGTTGCTCGTCCGCAGCGCCACGAGGAAGATTACTACTACGAGCGCAGAGTAAAGGAAATCGATCGTGGTGGCCGCTACGACGAGCGATACGCCGACGAGCGTGAATACGACCACCGATGGGGAGATAAGAACTACTACAGCGACGACGACATCTACATCCACAAGGAAAAGGATACCTGGGGCGGAAGCGAGACCCGCACCAAACGTGACGTTGCTGCAGGTGCTCTTGCTGGAGTCGCTGCAGGACAAATTATCAGACATCACCGCAAGAGAAAGGGTGAAGCCGCTGGAGGCAACATTGGCAATGCCCTTGGCTACGGCACGCTCGGCGCTGTGAGTGCTGTGGCTCTCGATAGATTTAACAACCGTGATAGATCTCGGTCTGTTTCTTCTGATCGTGGCAGGGGCAGCCGCCGTGCCAAATCTCGCCACCGCAGCAAGTCGAGGGTGAAGGAGCTGGGCACGCTTGCTGCCCTTGCCGGTGTTGGAGCTCTCGCCTACGCTGCCGGACAGAGGAACAAGAACAAGGTGGTCAAAGAGGAGACGGTCACGGTCATAGAAGATCGGCACCGAAGCCGGTCACGTCATGGAGGCAGATCGCGTTCTAGGAAGAGCCGAAGAAGATCCAGGTCCGCCTCAGTGGCTGATGACAGGGGTAGGTCTCGTAGCACGAGCAAACACCTAGACCCTGAGCATCGCAGCAACAGAGCAGCGCAAGTTGGTCTTGCCTCTGCTGCTGTAGCCGGTCTTGCGGCACGTAGCCGCAGCAAGTCTCGAAAGCGCAAGGGCAAGCGCTCACCCAGCCGGATCCGACAGGGTGTGCCAATTGCTGCCGCTGGCGTTGCCGGCGCAGCTGTCACTGGACTTTATGAGAAACGCAAGGCTAAGAAGGAGGCTAGGGCGGCATCGCGGTCCAAGTCAAGGTCGCGCTCAAGGTCCAGGTCAGTCCTCTCCCGCCTTACCGGACGCAACCGCAGCAGACGTGGAAGTACAGTGAGTGAACCTGTTTTAGTAGAGTACGGTGGTGATCCAGTGTACACCGATCGCGCCAGAAGCCGCAGTCGAAGCCGGGACCGAAGCCGTGCGCACCGTAGACGGCGAAGCTCTTCTTCCTCCGGTGGTCGGCATGGAAGCCGGAGTCGAAGCCGCAGCAAGAGTCGAGCACGAACGGTCGCGGAGACGGCGGCGGTTGCTGGTGTGGCTGGTTTGGCTGCTCATGAAGCAGCGAAGCGGCGCGACCGTAAGAAGGCCGAAAAGGAAGCCGAACGACGACGTGAGTCCACCCCACGCCCACACCGCAATTAGCATACTCAACATCACCAGGCGAGGAGGACTCAGCCTACTCCACAGGCACCTACAGTCCCTATGATAGTCCCACGCCCTCCAGTGCCACCACTGCCCATCCTAACGACTCCCGCTACTTCCCTGAGACGAACTACTTTCCCCCTCCCCCTAGTGCTCCAGTAGACCCCAACCCTAACCTCAACTTCAATCCCAACACCAACAACCCTTATCCTCCGTATAATCCAGCAGATTTCCCTCCGCCTCCCCAGAGCGCATACGAGCCAAACCATCCCTCACATTTCGTCAACCCACCACACGACGACCTGCATCTCGGCAACCCATACGCACCCCAGCACCAACAACAACAACAACAACACGAACCCTACTACGGCCAGCCACGACGTGGGGGTGACAATGTGAGTGCTCCAGTTCCTGATGGCGGTAAAGAGCACCATAACTTTGCGTCTTCGCGTGGTGGGTGGAGGCCGCTGCCTGCCCATGAATCTAAACAATTTGCTAATACTACAAAAGGTCCCGTAGACGATCCACCTAGCCCCAGTCCATCTCCGGAAGAGGAGAAGAGCGTTCATTTCGACTTGAATCCACAAGAACAAGAGGTGCCCTCACGAGAGTCTTCATCCGATTCCGATTCCGAAAGACAACACAGACATCGAGACGATCACAGTCACAAGCGACACAGGCGACGCGAGGATGACGAACGATCAGATGCTACTAGAGCGTCTGGCAGGGCCCGGAAGAGGCGCCACCGCTCTGAGAGTCCTGGGTCAGACGCATCTGATGCTACCATTGAACTGCCACCGCGCTTCGACGAGAAGGGGCGGCAGCAGCCCGAAGACCCACTGGCGGAGAAGTTGGAGAGTATTCTGCAAAACATTTTTCGATAGCGTCTCTTGTTCTAGCAATTCTCTCTTTCTTCTTCGGGTATATCCTTTTGCTTTACAAAGGCACCTAATACATGTTTCTGGCTTTTCCTTTTTTTTTCTTTCTTTGGGGGTTTCCGGGCGTTCCGAGATGGGTTGGATCATGAAGACGAAGTTACGATATCACTGCATTGATTTGTATTCCTGTAATCATGCCTAATACTCTTTCCTTCGTACAATCTATTATGAATGTTATGTTTTTAATGTTTGCAAGACTGTATCGACTGCCAAATGTTCCATCGTGACTGCCTGTCTTGAGAGACTACGAAAGCAGAGGTGAAGTCGCCATGGGACGCGCCTTCCTTGTTACACCTCAGGGTCGCCGTGGCTGCTCCTTCTGTAGACGTCCCAGCTTGGCACATGGATAAACTTCACCTTCACCCTCACACCCTCATCGCTTCAGCCACACCTTCCTCTCGTTATCGCATCAATCCTTCACATCACTCCACAGCTGTCTCGCTCAATCCCAACAACATGGTTGCGCTACGCTGCTTCTCAGTCTTTGCCGCGCTGTTGACGGTTCTAGCAACAACAACACTTTCCGCTGCTGCTGAATCGCCCTTTCTATGCACTGGGTAAGCTGGGAGACTCGTCTTCAGCAGGACCAGTAACGCTAATGCGCGCAGTGGTTCCATCTACTTCACCGGCCATACGGTCGATAGCCTGCTGTTCCAGAACCCGGATCTCTATCACGACCTCTATGTTTTCAAATGCGTCACAACCGTCGTCTTCACAGCGGATAGTGGTGGTGAAGCAGCCAACAATACTCGTGTGCAACAGCTAGAGCGCGGCCTTGAAGATGCTTACAAGTTCATGTCCGACGTGTCTTCTGTTAGGCCGGATGGCATGCAGTCCAGGTCCTATTTGAATGAGGAAGCACAACGTGAGGCGCCGCAGGAGCTTCTCATGCTGCACAACGAGACTGACCAGTACATTGCAGTTGGTAACGAGACCACGGTTCAGATCGGCAAACACACTATCGTCGCTTCTTCTCTACTTGGCCTATCGAACGCACAGATCCTCTACCTTCGTCTCCCGGACAGTACATACTTCGGGCAAGGGTACAAGGCTTACGGCGAAGAGTCACTCAAGAAGTTGTACAGCGCAGACATCTCGGAGATTACCACTACCGACGGGAAGGCCACGTACACGATCGACGATCTGAAGGACATCATCGCGACGATTCTTCGCGGTCGCTTAGCTAAGGATATCCGCGTGATGAACTACCAGTCGGCTCTTTCTACCGATGATTACGATGATCAGCTGGATCACGCCGACCGTGTCGTCTCTGCTAAGCTTGTAATGGACGTCGTGGAAGAGGAGGAGATCGGAGGAAACGTCACGGCGTAAGTTTGATTTCACGGTTTCTTCAAGGCACGCATGCTAACGGTGTCAGGTATGCATGCGACTCACTGCGTATACTGTCAACCAACAACCTCCACAGCCCGGACTACATCAAGAAGGTCGATGCGTTTTTCGAGTACGCTAAGCGTGATCCCGACATGGTAAGTTGAAGACGCACTGTGCAGTCCCGTGTACCTAAAGTAGTTCACTGCTAACTGAATCCAGTGCCAGAGTCTAGATGATTGTGGTCAGCGGTGCCAGAACATCAAAGATGTCTCCAAGGTCAATTATGACGAGGTGAATCATGTCGCTGAGTTTCTGAAGCGGGAGTACTACATCCGAATAGACACTGATGCCAGACACGGGAACATGTACTAGTACAGTTATAGCCAGGGATGATATGAGAAACTTTGCTCCATGATGGAAAGAATATTGTGGTGGATTGCGAGATGCTACATAGGATAGATACCATATGAGGAATGAAGTCATATGCCCACTACGCCATCGACACCTTCAATGCAAAACAAGAAAAGCTCACGCCTCCTCCTTCTTCCAGCCCGTCTTACGTTTGGTGTCAAATTCAGACGGACTCAGCCTTCGTGCAGTAGGCTCTTGCCCTGAAGGAGACCGAGGTGGCGAGACGTCCTTCTTCTCTTCTTCTTCTGCTTCCCAAGCCCTCCGCTTCTCCAACAGCGCTTGCAGCTTAGGATCAACACCTATGCGCTCCGGCACGGGCGGTGGCGCCTTCCTCGTCTCGCTCGTCCTCCTCAACCCAGCCCTCGAGTCCATAGCAGCCGGTTTCACAGGTGGGACCTGGCCCCTAACCTCCCTCACAACAGGGACGTCAGAAGCTGCAATAGCGCCACCAAGACGCGCAAATGGCGCCGGGCTCGTGGGTGACATGGGTATTCCAGACGTTGTAGGTGTGTCGGGGATGTCTTGAGATTCGTGGATAGGCACACGGCGCCCGCCCATTGTGAAACGACCAATCTTTTGGTCGCCAACAGCAGGGAGAGAGTAGTTGATTTCTTTTGGTGTGGGCTTGGGTGCTGGAGGGGGTCGGGGAGCGGATTTGCTGACGGCGGGTTTGGGGGCTGGGGCTGGGGGCGCAGGTGGTGTGGCGGGTGGTGATGGCGGTGCGGCAGTCCTTGATCGAAGCTGTGGAAGAGTGAAGTTAGTGACTGATGTCGACATGATATAGCACTTGAACTTACTAGATCCTCTTGGTACTTCCTTTCCTGCTCCCATTTTGCAGACTCCCTCAAAGCTCGCTGCAACGCCTCCTCCTCCTCCCTCTTCTTCCTTTCTTCTTCTTCCTTGGTTTTTTGGATCATGAGCTGCATATCTCGCTCCAATTGCTCGTCTGCCATTCTCTTCTCATATTCCCTCCGGCTTTTCTCAAAGGCTTCTCTCTCTTCTGCCATCTTCTTTTCATGATCTCTGCGGCTTTTCAGCAAAGCCTGTTCTTCTTCAGCCATCTTTCTCTCGTGTTCCCTACGCTTTCTCGCAATGGCCTCTTCCTCGGCTTCTTTCTCGGCCCGCCGCCGCCTCTCTTCCGCCTCCCTACGGTCTCTCTCCATAGCTTCTTCCTCGTCCCGCCGTCTTTGCTCCGCTTCCCGGCGGCGTTTCTCCATAGCTTCTTCTTCGGCTTTCCGTTCCGCCCGACGTTTTCGTTCTGCTTCGCGGCGGCGTTTCTCCGTAGCCTCTTCTTCGGCCCTCTGTTCCGCCCGACGTCTTTGTTCGGCCTCCCTGCGGCTTTTCTCCCTGGCCTCTTCCTCAGCTCGCTGCTTTTGGTCCGCTTCCCGGCGGCTTCTGTCCCTGGCTTCTTCTTCGGCTTGTTGCTGAGCCCGTCGTCTTTCTTCTGCCTGCCGACGGTTCTTCTCGAGAAGTTCTCTCTCTCCACGGCGTAATGCTTCTGCGGCTTCTTCGTTTTCTCGGCGTTTGAATTCTCTTTCTCGTTCCTCGTCACGGCGTATGGCGGCTTCTTCGTTGTCGCGGAGACATCTATTGCAAATTCCGTTCTGGTCTCTGGTTTTTACAATGCAGCGATCTTTTGTCCTGGGGTTGTCACGGTCACAGGGGACGGTGGTCCTCTCGAAGTAGGGGCAGTTGTAAGTGTCGGCATGATCATCTTGTTTGTGACCGCATTCGAGTATCGTGATTGTGTACTTGCACATGCTGGGCGAAGATGTGGGTGAGCCACGAGACGAACGCGGGTGCAGGTCGGCAGCGTAATAGTGGGGTAGAGCGAAGGGATGTTGAAGGAGATCAGGAAAGGCTATGATAGCAGCAATTGATACTTATACGGCGTAGATGTTGACCGCCCCCTTATACTAGTGAAGTGCTGCATGAGTGATGTACACGTACACGTAGTTGCATCATATGACTCTGAAACATGGCTGGAAGAAGCGGCCGGTGTTGTAAGCCTGTGATGATACCGAATTGACAGTGCAAACGTTAGTACAACTCATCAAACGGCAAGTCAGCTTGCGTCCGCGCAGAGCGCCGTCAATGAGGCGAACAGCGGCCGATTGGTCAGACACAATGGCTAGGGTATGTTTCCACCTACGGCGGCACAGAGGGAAGAATCCTATGCGTCTCTCAGTCCACCGACTGCTACTCCTAAGGATGCAATGTCGCGAGGTGCCCCCAGCGTGTGTGTTAGCAGACCCACAGTTTCATCAGACGTGGTTGACCGCCGTAGGCGCATTCCACGAGCATCGATGCGGCTCTGTACCGAGCCATTTTTTGCTCAGAGACTGATACGGGACGTTGCCAACAAAGGAATCCGCAGGCTAGACTGCCGCGGATGCCAGAGAAAAATGAAGCTTCCGCAGTGCGCAGCAGCGACAAAACGCACGACGACGGTGTCGGTGGGGATAGCTACGTGGCGAGCTCGACTGTACTGGGCATGGCTCGCTGCAGCAAAGGCGGTAATGTGTTTCAAGCAGCAAAGATCGTGGATCCATGTAGCTACGGGAGAGCGGCGATCAGGTAATGCTATCGATCACGCACAACATGAAGCGATGCTTGGGATGACCTGAACTATGCGGAGAAGGAGTGAGGAAGCGTAGAAGGTACGACAGAGTGGAGATGTTGGACGCAGCCAATCAGAGGCGGCTGATTGCAATGACCCCTGCACATTTACTTGGCACTTCGGATGAGCTTCATCGTTGACATCTTCAATCGACGCCATCGCCCCCAGCCCGCAGCACAATCCACCATGGCCTCAAGACTCGTCCCCTTTGCATGCAGGATTGCCCCACGGGCCTCGCGACAGTTCCAGAGGGCTCAATGGCGGGCTTTCAGCGTTTCGCGACCGTCATGGAACGAGAGCGGCTCGCTCAATGTCGTATGTATTTGATTCATCTTGCGCTGGAAGCCGAGCTAATACGCCTGTAGCACCGCGACACGCCTCAAAATAACCTCAAAATCCCATTCAAATTTACACCACAAAATGAGGAACTCATCCAAGAGATCGTCTCCCGATACCCCTCCCAATACAAGAAGGCCGCCGTAATGCCGCTCCTCGACCTCGGACAACGCCAGCACGGATTCTGCAGCATCAGCGTCATGAACGAGGTTGCGCGGATACTGGAGATGCCGCCAATGCGTGTATACGAGGTTGCGACTTTCTACACCATGTACAACCGGGACCCCGTGGGCAAGTTCCACGTCCAGGTCTGCACAACTGTGAGTAGGCACCATAGTCGGCGTTGAGGGCCGCAGCTGACAGGATCAAGACCCCATGCATGCTTTGCGACAGTGATTCCGTTATGAAGGCTTGCGAAGACGTATTGGGCGTACACCACGGCGAGACCACCGCAGACGGCCTCTTCACTTTCTCCGAGGTGGAATGCCTTGGTGCATGTGCGAACGCGCCCATGGTTCAGATCAACGACGACTACTACGAGGACCTCACATACGACTCGACAGTCAACCTGCTCAAGGCCCTCAAGGCCGCTGAACAAACTACCGGTGCGCAGCCTGGAGGCAAGGGTCTGGCATCTGGCAAGGGATCGCTGAACGTAGAGGCCGGCGCTGGTGAAGCTCTTGCTAACGAGCAGGGACGCCAATATGCGGCTGGCGGCCTCAAGCTGCCATCGCCGGGGCCATTGAGCGGAAGGAAGAGCTGTGAGCCAGCTGCTGGATTGACTTGCTTGACAAGCGAGCCCTGGGGTAACGAGACCCTGCGGAAGGACGGCGAGCTATAGAGGGTCTTTGTAAATACTGTAACATCTTCCCTTGCATTCGGAGTAAACGTCTTGGGGGCTGGCTCATCTCCCAACAGCACCATGTAGACCATCTCAAACGTCACATCAGTTCAACAACTTGCGTGATCATATGTCACATGTGAATCTTTGCTCCAATCAATTTTCCGCGCGCTTCACATTCAGATACCAAATACTTTTAGACCAGTGACTCCTCACCAGTTCGTACGACGACTACTGGACACGTAGAATACTATTTATCTATTTCCATATCCTGCTTCAACTCCGGAAGTCATTCGGTCACTCGGTCACCCGAATATCTCTATAGGAATCCAGCGACCACCAACCCCAACATCATGCACTTCCCCATCCAACCCGTCGCTGTACTATCCTACCTCCTCGTACTAGTCACGGCAACTACAGCTCTCAACCAGATATCCCCTTCAACACTATCCACACTCCCTTTCCGCTCTGTCACCGACACAGTCCGAGACTAAACGCCGACGAACGTCACCACAGCCGCCAAGAAACGATGTAACGTATGCATTGACAAGCTCAACACGTGTCACAATGTAAACATTCCAGATTCTTCTCCTGCGCATGGAGACACATATTTACATCACTATTAGAGAGGAAAGAAAAGCTGAGAATACTGCCGCAACGAGCAGTGTGATATTTCTTATAGCTTTTGTCATGGATGCAAGGGCATGTAAGTATTTCTATTGGCATTCCGAGAGAATGTGTAGATCGGCACTGATAGACGACAGTACTTGTCCTGAACGTGATGGACGTCGTGGTGAAGCGTTTGAATAACAGGCTTGGAAAGATGATTGGCTGTGCGGTGAGAAGGAGAGGTTAGTGTCGACATGTGCTCTTGTTTTACTTGTGCGTTGGGGATCTGAGGACATACTATGACGTGCGTGAATTCGGCGGTATATATCCACTCTTCTACACGTCGAGGGCCAGTGTTGATGTAAAGCAGTTCAGTTATTCCCGATTTCTCATTGGCAATCATCAACTATCTATGTTGTACAAGCCATGCCATATCATGTCCGTTTGTCGGACGCGAATGTGCTTCTATGTATGATCCATGACCGCTCGTCTCCGAATTCATTTTCGACTCTATAGAAGAGGAAGGAAAAAATGCATGCAATACTGTGCAATTTGCAATGACTCAAACCCTGTCAAACGCCTTCGCTATATCCATGGGAGGTCGTTCCCAAATCAGACCCTCGGGCCGTGCTGATCCTTCCCAAATGCAATGCTCGTATTTTGTATCAATCGCTATCGTTGACGTTATACAATGCCACTCGCTGTCGGTGGACGGTTTCATGTATCTTTTTTTCTCTTCGAAAGAGCCCTCATAATGTCACATTTGCTGTCAATGCCTTCTGCCATAGTCCGTTTCGACGATGGTGAAGTTAGGACTGTCTGTCCTACAAGAAGCCCGAGTTCCACTTGCCCATGAGCAGGTCTCGTGTCATCTCGAAGCTGAGCCAACTGCTAGCCATGCTAGGTGCGACCTTGAGAAGGTTGGGCACAATGCCCTTGTATAGACCCCGGAAGCCTTCTGTCTTGATGATCTGCTTGATAGCGTCACCAATTCCCGCGTACTGGTATCCCATGCCGCTCATAGTGTTGATCTGGAATCTCCGCCGCAAGACATCGAAGGGGTATGTGATGGTTTGCGCCACAGCACCGGAGACAGCACCCGCTCCCAGTTTGCCAATAGCACCCGGGTCTTTCTGACCCTCGCGTGTGAACTTGGTACGGGCGATCTCATACACCATGAAGTTAAGGCCAACATACGGTGCCACACCAGCCACTGTGGGAAGGATGCCACGGTATAGCGCCGGAAAACCGCCCTCAGTCTTGTACATAGTTGTAAGCAGTGCCCACATGCCCGGTAGCTTCTGGCCAGCCTCCCGCTTGAGATCAGAGAACGATGCGGACTGAATGGATAGGCGTGTTCGGACGATATCGAGTGGGTACGTAAACGTGACGGAGGTGATACCAGCAAGACCACCGCAGAGTAGTCGCTGGTAGGCATCGAGTGGAGCGCCTGGTTCGCTCTCGAAGAACTAGAGCAAGTTAGCTAGGAGACTTAGGGACAAACCATGCCCAGCGCGGTCTTGTTGGAGCTTTGTCTTTGTGTTTCTCTCCACCGCTTTCTTCGAGCTTTGCAACTGTCCAACTGTCCAGCTCCAAGATCTTTACCAACTTACCAACTTACCGCCCCCTATCATTCGTTCGCCTTCACCTTGTCACATCCTCCCCAATGTTTGAAAAACAAGTCGCTCGCTAAAACCAAGCAAACGCTAAAGAGAAGAAAGCAAACTTACCCGCTTGTAGACGTTGTATGCGCTGAACTGTACCGCCGAGTATGGTACAATCCGTATGCAGTTGGTACCGTTTCCGGCCATGAACCCTCTCCATCCCTCTTCCCTCCACATCTTAGCCAGGGCCTTGGGTACCGACATTTTGTATTCTTCGCGACCAACGCTCTGGATTTGGAATAGAATCTTTAGGCGTTCAAGCGGCGAGACGACGGTTCGTGAGACGGCGCCAGCTACGCCGCCGGCGACGAAGGAAGCCAGGACTGGCTGCGCAAAGACTTGACGTACGCGCTCGAGGCTAGTGATGTCGGGCGTGCCGAGGGGCTGCGATGAGGGGTCAATTGATTTCCTGCGACTAGGGATTCCACCTTGACTCACTTTTATGCCCTTGCCCGGTTCGTCGCTCATGATGGCGGGCGGCTGCGATTGCGGCTTCTCGGATGGTTTCGACATGACGTCGGTTGACGTTACTCTGAACGCGACGCTGTTGCTCTAAAAAGCAGGGGTTTGTTGTCCGAGCAAGGACAAGTTCTATCGACGGAAAGAAAAGGTCGCGCGACGTAATGTCGAGGTCATCGGAAGTTGGTATTGCGGAGGTGAAGACAGATTTCCGGCCGTATGAGGTGAGCAGAACTTGTCGAGGAGCGGTGAATTCGATCTTCCATGCAAGGCAGCTTTCAGGTGAGTGTTTGTATGTGTAGTCGCGCGTGTGTCATGGGCGTCGCTTCTCGGTAGGGTTGTCGTGTTTGGATCGTCTCTGGTAGCGGAGATTTGAGGATACCGCGGGAGGAAAGAGCGAATTTTAGTCTAGCGCCACGAATCGACGAATGCCATCAGCCATGCTTATAACACCCACGGTCCTCGCTGACAGCCCGGGTACTCGCGATCTGATACTTGGCTCTGGTTGACACCTGTCGTCTCCCTCCGGCATCAGCCCCTTGACGGGGCTGGCTGCGAGCCGCCATGATTCGACGCGCATCATGGCAACACGTCAGGGGAACACCACCTGGGCAGGGCAGATGCACGCAAACTGGCGTTGCGCCTCAGTCACCCCTTACTAGACGACGCAGTCAGCTGCGCACTGTCACTCCTTCTGCGTCAGCCGTTGTTGGAAACACTATAGGATGCTGTTTTAGAGTTTTGCTGCTCATGATCTTGATAGACTGTATCTGTCATGGATGGGTGTTGTCACATGCGGAATGGTACCGCCCGGGCTCTCCATCACCAGATACTGCGAATGCATCCAAAACGTACGCTCCGATGAGCACACAACCCCACCCCCCAACTGAGATCGCGTGCTCACTAGACTCTGGAGGACAGCGGGGTACAAACGTCGGCCGTGGAGGTTGACATATCGTAATGGTAGATTCGGCGTTCAGAGGTTGAAGACGATAATATCTCGGAGATGACCTCGCATCTCCAGTCCGAGATAATGAGCTATCGCGAACACAGTGATTGTCTTTCAAGTCAAACCTAGGTTGCTTGCAGCATGTTGTTTCCCTGGCTATCGCCACTTCTATTACTTGTGAAAGGGCGCGGACGTAGGGTGGCATGCTAGAAGTCGTTGACGTACGTTATCGATAAGAGTATATAAGTTCTGCGAGGGCGAAGGCGACACACAGCCGTTGCGCCTTCCCCATGCTATCACGTCGTGTATTTCGGCAGCTCACAGATAGCTTGCTACTGGAGTCTTCACATCATCCAGTAGCGCCAGCGTGTTTTGCCTTGAGACACGCGACTCGTGACTCTCACCAATCCAGTCACAGGCTCTCAGATCGACGTGCATCCTCATCTTCAACAAGATGGAAGTCACGCCAAGGCAGGGACTTCTTCTCCAAAGAAGCCAGAGTGCAAGGCTTGAAGAGTCGCGCTGCGTTCAAACTGCTTGAAGTAATTGCGCCTCAGTCTGAGATTGCGCACTGACTAACGTGCCACAGCTTAACACCAAGCACAAGCTTTTCCAACCCGGGCAGACTGTCGTCGATCTCGTATGTTTGTCGCCTTCACTGAAAGCATGATGCTAAAGGACTCCAGGGTTTTGCACCAGGATCATGGTCTCAGGTTCGCCAGATCCATCTACACAAGCTACCCCATCTTAATGTTTTCAGGTTGCTGCAGATCGTACTGCTCCAGAGGGTCGTGTCATAGGTATTGACTTGATACCCGCACAGCCCCCGCGAGGTGTCTCCACCATACAAGGCGACTTCTTGTCGCCTGTAATTCAGGACGAGGTTCGAGCCTATGTGCGAGATCCGGACCTGGGCAGACCCAGAAGACAAGTTTCTGCGAAAGCGAGCGAGGGACTCACTGAAGAAGAGCTAGATGACATGGAAAGAGGGTACATTGACATCGAACGACATGCTCATCTGGAGGGCGCAGAACTCGAACCGATTGGGCGACCAGCAGAAACCAGTGGCAGCGAACAAGATGCTCCGACTAAGCTCTCGTTGAAGGAGAGGGATATACAGCAGGGCAGAGCAGTAGACGTGGTGCTCAGCGACATGTCAGAACCCTGGGACCAAACGGCCGGCTTCTACAAGAAGAGCCTTAGTGACCCATATTTTAGGATGATGAACACCAGCGGAAATGCTTTCAGAGACCACGCCGGCAGCATGGTGGGTGTTCCGCCGATCACTCTTGATTCTACTAAATCTTGTAGGACTTGTGCATGGCCGCGTTGACATTCGCTTTCGACACGCTCAAGACTGGGGGCCACTTCCTCTGCAAGTACTACAAAGGATCAGAGGAAAAGGCGTTCGAGACAAAGCTGAAGCGTCTCTTTGCCAAAGTGTACAGGGAGAAGCCAGAATCGTCACGCGCTGTAGGTTTTCCGGCACGGTTGATGTTCCACACTGACTGGCTCCAGGAATCCAAAGAGGCGTATTTTGTGGCACTGCGCCGCAAAGAGACACCAACGAAGGACGAGGTCTTTGGAGAATGATTAGGGAGACGGCGCCTTACAAAGTGCTTATTACTACTGTATCTCTACATCTTACTTCGGCCCGAGAGGTGCAGATCCCAAGGAGCTGTTGAGCACGTTTTGCTATTACGACCAAGACCATACTCGTCGGCGCCCACATTACGACGTCATGCAGCCACATGGATGTATCACACACACCGAAGGAGCGTTGAGAAGTTAGATCCCGATTAAGGAACCCATCCACACATCGCGTGATGAGCTAGAGCTCGCTTACAAGTCGCAGCATGGGAGCCTATGATGTAGTTACACTCAGTTGCCAAGCTCAGCTTGAATACAACGTGGCGTTTTCAGAAGTGCGCGAGAGGAATAGGTAACAAGTGCATGCATGCTAGAGGAGGAGCGGCGTGCTGCCTCGAAGTGTGAACATGGCCCTGTCGTTCTCAAGAGTCAGTCACATGGCATATGCAGGTGGCGGCGGTTCATTTAGTTGGCGGATAAGAGCCTCAGACCCGGTATTAATGGCAGGCCGTGGTACCTGGTGACGGATCTGGAAGCGTCTCGTCCCATGTTCGGGAGATATGTCAAGCATTTTTGTGGGCCCATGCGACAAGGATGCTGGAGGTGTGAGGTTGCTTAAGGCACTGCATTAGGACATGCTTGCACGCTGGTCCGGTAGGGCGCCATGCGGGATTTGGGGGGTTTTGAAGTTCCTGTGATGATGTTGGGTGCGCTCGTAGAGAAGTGGCCGCGCTGGAACAAAGGGCGAGGACGGCCAACTTGACTCGCTCGGCTGGCCTGAGCTGGGGTTGCATAGCTTCTAGAGCCGAAACCCAAGCTTATCACGAACCGCACGTTTTCTCCCATCAACGGATCAACCCACCGATCAATCTAAACCGAGTTGTGCGACGTGGCCAATGAGTGCCGATAATGGATTTCAATAACCCTAATGCGTATGGCGGCCAGTTCGCCAATTCCCCGCAACACGCCCAATTCGATGCACAGGCGCGGCTCCAGCAACAAGCCAACCCACATGGGCAGTATGGGCAGTCCCCGTCGTTCCCGGGCATGGGTGGCGCTATGGGGAGCAATGGCATTCAGCCAGGAGCCCCGTATCTCCAGCAGCGAGGTAAGCCAGTGACGTGCGCGTTTCTTGTCCTGCCCTATCGCCGCCCGTGGGCGCGTTCCTCGCAGCCTGGCTGACATGACACCATGGAGCAGCCGCCATGCAACAGGCGCAGCAACAGCAGCAGCAGCAGCAGCAGCAACACCAGCTGTCGTCGCCGAGCCCCTACTCGAATGCGCCCTATGCGCAGACGATGCCCTCGCCTGCCCACCACCAGTTTGCCCAGAACCGCCAGACGGCCTCCCCTGCCAGCACCACTGGCCAGGCACCCTATGCGACACCGCAGCCACAGCCCTCGCCCAGCAGCATGCAGACCAACGGCCAGCAGACGCCCATGAACCTCCAGTTGCCCGTCAAGGCGGAGCCGCCCCAGGTCCAGACGCCCGTCAAGCAAGTGCCCCCGTCGCCAGTGTCGCCCGCAAACCCGGCGCGTAACGCAGACCGCGTCGCAACCCTCCTCGACATCAACAGCATCCTCATCAAAGAGGTCTGCGAGCTCCAGACCCAGGGCAAGGCAGGCCAAGTAGGGCCCACACCAGAAGGGAAGCCCGAAGGCGACAAACCGCAGCCATCCAAGGAGTATGTAGAGTGAGTGCTGCACACCCCCTGCGCGACACCAGCTAACGAGCCCAGCTACATGCGCCGCCTCCAGGCAAACCTCGCCTACCTTGCGCAAAATGCGGAGAAGGTTCCCAAGCCTGGTCAACAGTTACAACCGGGGCCCGCCATCATGTCGATACCCGCCTCACCCGCCGAGCTTGCCAAGCTATATACGAAGCTGCAGGAGCTGTTCCCAGGATGGAAGGGCCAAACCCCCCAAATGAAGCAGTCGCCCGGGCCGCAACGGATGAACTCGAATGCGTCACAACCACCAAATAGCGCAGGCCTGCAGCAAAACTGGGGGCAGAATGCTATGCAGCAAGGCATGCAGCAATCACAACAGCAACAACAAACCAAGCAGGAGAACCAATAAGGGCGGGATAGCAACCTCCATCGCAGGCGTATGGACGGCGTTACTGTACTTTTATACCTCGTGTAATATTGGCGTAGGCAACATGTGCTTGTTATGGTTTCTTTTTTGAGAGAATGCGCAGGGTAGCTGGACATCCGGTACTTATGGAATTATTAGGCACGAGCAGTCCAATTGAGGGAGCGTCTGTGGATAGGCGATTCATATTGGATACATCTCTATAATTCGGAATTCAAGATTGGTCGATACAGGCAGCCGCAGTCGCAAGAAAATATAGCTAACGAGATACTGGCAGCTCAGAAGTTACCAGAAAATCTGCATGGCGTCATGACGATTGATTTGGTACAGCACACGAGGGATGACAAAGCACGCTACCAAGCTTATGTCACTGGTTCTCAGTCGCACCTTTCTCTTCACAATCCCTGTCTGCATCTGGCCGAACAGCAACGCGCGGTAAATATAACTCTGATATTTACTAGAATATTAACGCTAGGCTGACACCCCGTCGGCTGCGTTTACGAGTGGAGTCCTTGTACGAGACGCATCCAATCACGCACTGTCATGTGCTGAATAACGCTTCATGGCGATGTGTAAGGTCGTTAGCCCAACGCCAATCTATGAAGGTGGAGAGATATGAACTGTGCCCAGTTAAAGCATGCTGACATACTTATCACTCAAGGTATCAAGATTATCACTACGTAGATACGAGAGGCTCATCATGACTATGCATCCAATGGCTTTCCATGGACATATATCTACATGGTAGTCAGACTTCTCATATGCATATCGTCAAAGACACAGCAACATATGATTGCCATCCGATCTTCTAATTCAGCGCAATGTCCATTAAGAAACTGACATCTCTACTGTCTTTGGCCTTGCTAGGTCTCAGCACATCATCCTCACCTCTCCCTGGTCCCACCCTTCCTCTCCCAGCTAGAACAGTAGCTCAGCTTTCCACGGTCCCAACCTGGCTGGAAAACATTGCCGTCCGGCCCAATGGTGATCTACTCGTTACCCAACTGGCTCCAATCCCTATACTTTACACCATCAAGAACCCGTCTCTAGGCAACGCAACCCTAGAACCCATCTACGAGTTCCGTGCCACCAACGTCACCGATCTCCTCGGCATCACAGAAACAGCCCCAGACATATACGCCGTCATCGCTGGAAATGCCACAACCAATTCAACTGGCTACGCTGGTACCTGGTCCGTATGGCAAGCCGCCTTCGCCTCTCCCGACATCTCCATACCCACAGTTCACAAAATCGCCAACGTACCTCAGGCGAAACTACTCAACGGAGTTGAATCCCTGCCCTCCGACCCTTCTATCGTCATCATAGTAGATTCTCAATACGGCCTTCTCTTCCGCTTCGACACCAAAACTGGGACAAGCGAGATCATCGCTGACGGACCAGAACTCAAGCCCTATCCGCAACTGCACAACGCTACTGTGGGATTTGGTGCTAATGGTCTCAAGATACGCGATGGATGGGTGTACTTCAGTAATTCGGATCTCATTGCCATATATCGCGTTCCCATCACTTCGAGGGGGTACATACCGCACAGCCCCAAGGCAGTTGTGGAACTATACGCCAACTTGAGCGCAGTGGCCGACTTTGTGGATGACTTCACGTTTGGGTCGGACGGTACATTGTGGGCTGTGAGCAATTACGAGAACACGGTTATTGCGGTGAGTCCAGGTGGGAAGAAGATGAAGGTAGTGGCAGGGGCAAAGGGGTCAGTGACGTTCGCAGGGGACACCGCGGCAGCGTTTGGGAGAACAGACAGGGATTGGGACGTGCTATATGTGAGCACTGCTGGAGGTTTGGCGATGCCTATTAATGGGAGTGTTGTGGTGCCTGGGAGTATCGTTGCGGTTGATACGAGAGGGTACGCGTGTTAGGAAGGACATGGTTGGCCTTGCAAGACTCCACATGTGTACGTTGCTGTGGCGAAGCCAAGCTGACTGCACTATCTCAATATAATTAGGACAAGAGGTGAGATTAAGATTGCTACATCAGTGCTCCGTCGGGTAGAACAAAGAAGAAGCAATATGGCAACAGCATCATTGGTGTTTGCATCAGTGCATACCTCTCTCCGACCATACAGCACCGCGTCAGCTTTCAGCAAGTCACAGAATGCAAAGGACAAGACATGATATCAACAGTCTTCTATTCGTCATATACATCGCTACACCAATCCACCACACCCCCTCAAACACAACTGTAACTAGAAGTTAAACAAAAAAGCAATATGCTGAAGCGATCGTTTTGCATCAGAGTGCTTGTACGTTCGTTCTATGCCATGATGTCCCCAGAGAACAAAGCCTGTCCCAAGGATATACCCAAAAATATACACAACAAACAGAGAAGTCTTTTACCACACAAAAACGCCTAAACCATCCGTCTAAAAAGAGACAGAGAGAAGTAGGTGCTTAAGCGGCACCAGCGTAAACCTTGCCAACAGCCGAGAGGCCGCTGCCAGAGTTAAGCTGGTTCTCACCGTCACCGACCATGAACCAGGAGTAGCCCTGGACCTTGTCAGAGCCGTCGAGGTAGGCCATGGCGTCCTTGAGGAAGCTGGCGGCTTGCTCCTCGGAGGCGCTGCCGGGGTTGAGACCGAACTCGGTGATCCAGACCTTCTTGCCACCCATGGAAGCGGCCTTCTCGACCTGCGCTTGGAAGCGGTCGATGGTCTGCTCATCGTAGATGTCGTAGAAGTGGATGTTGGTTGCGTCGACGATGGCGTCGGGGCAGCAGTCGTTGAAGCGGCTGAGCCAGTCGAGACCCATGGGCGCAGGGCCGTTAGTAACGGAGGGTCCGACAATGGTGACTTCGGGGTGGGCTTGCTTGACGGGGTTCATGTATTGCTTCCAGGCGGAGCAGGCGGCTTCGGGGCTCAGGTTGCACTGGTCGGAGTGGTCGCACTCGTTGAATCCCATGACGGCGGTGGTACCCTTCTTGACGGCCGTGTCGACGTTGGCGAGCCACTCGTCGGCGGTGGACTTGCTGGGACCGTGCATCATGGGAACGAAAGAGGTGCCAATGTCGTTGCTCTCAACCTGTCCCCAGTTGTAACCGAAGCCAAACTTGCTGCCGAAGGTGGTGCAGAGGTGAGCCTCGTTGTAGGCGAGACCACGCTTGACGCCACTGTAGCTGTTGCCAGCAGTGGGGGAAGGAGCAGCGGAAGAAGCGACGGAGCTGGCTGACTCGACGGGCTTCTGGGGAGCGGAAGCGGTGATCTCGGGGGTCTTGGAGGTGGGGGCCTCAGGAACGGCAGGGTACTCAGCAGCAGACTTGGTGGACGAAGCAGCAGGAGGAGCGGCGGGGTACTCGGCAGCAGGAGATGTGGTGGCCTCAGCTACGGGAGTCTCGACGGTGCTCTTGACAGCGGAGGAAGTGGGCTTCTCGACAGGAGTAACGGCAGGGTACTCAGCGACCGTGGAGCTTGACTCGGCGACGGCCATGACTGAAGAAGGGGCTCCGTATCCATTGCCAGCGGCAGATGAGGTGGGGGCAGCAGCACCGCCTCCGGGAGTGACGGTGACAGTGACCTTCTCGGAAGCAGTCACAGTGACGGTTGCGCCACAGACACCAGTGGAGGCATCAGCGGCCTCGACCTGCTTGTTGCCTCCCGCAAGACCGGAAGGCTGGAGGTAGACGGTCGAGTACTGAGTGGTGGTGGAGGTCGAAGTGGTGTCGATGGTGGTAGTCTGTTCGCCGGGGTAGGCACCGGTACCGGTAGCCTGAGCCATGGCAGTGGTGTTGGAGTTACCCCATCCGTTGACTGGGTAGGCAGCCCTGTGGTGGAACTTCTCGTGCTGGTAGTGGGGAACAGCCGCAACAGCGGAAGCGAGGGCCAAAAGGCCGGTAAACTTGACAGAGGCAGACATGTTGATGTTCGTTGTAGATTGCAGGTTAAGGATGTGCGTTGCGCTTGCTTGTAGGGTATCGAGGAGTAAAAGCAGATGCGGCTAACCTGAGCGCGAAATCGTTGACAGTCGAACAATGAACGTGGTAGTCAGAGGCGACAAGAGAATGTACCGAGCAGAAATGCTCAAAGGAGTGGCAGGCAACGACCGTGTTTGGTGTGAGTCTGAGGATCAGGATGTGACAAAAAACATCGGGGAGGGCGGGTGATTTTCAACTTGATATATTTTTCGCGGGGAATCCGGGCGCTCGATCCTTTCGCATGCACCTGGCTAGAACCTTTCACACCTTCAGACTCTGCGCAAGCGGGTAAGCCAGGGGTTCAGGTGGAAATAACCTGCTTGGCCATTCACAGCTCAGAAGCAGCCTGAGCCGCTAAGGTCGTGGTCCGTCCTGATTAGCTACCGCATGGCGCCGTGCGTTTCACATAGCCGCCACATTCAGGTACACCCGCTCACCCACGCATTGCCAGCAGGGGCCGTATACCGTTTGCGGCGGTTTCGGTGTCAGATCTGTTTTTTGCATCTGCAAGCTGCTCTATCGATAGATGTGAAAGTCCTCCTGTCAGACTGTCAGTCATGTCGCCCACGTGAATGTTGTCGACGTTAGCTGTGCGTTGGTCCCCACATAGTGACAGGACCACAGATCCTTCACATGTCTTGGTACTCGCGGAATCGTAAGGGGTGGGGCCGGGCGCAAAGACCGCGCGGGTTGATCGAGTATTCTAGACGCAGACGCTCTCATTTCCGAAAGTGTGATCGCCTCTGCGGGAGTCTGACCAGTTCTATCGAGCGATGACGAGGCCCTCATCCCAGCGACCATCGTCTTGTTTGTTGAGCGTTGACCGTGTTCGGGCTCGCAACCCAAAGGGGCTCAGGACTGGAGGTATGCCGAGAGGGCGTATGCGATGCTGACGAGGCTTTCTCGTATCGACGAGTCAACACTGAGGCGGTCCGATGCAAAAATACCAACCGATGTGGCACGGCAGGCCCTCCGCGCGCGGCGTCGTACTCAGCCGGCTCCCTTGCTCATGCATTTCAGCTCAGCTTAGCTCACCCGTGTTATCCATCGTTATGTTCGCAGCCTTCTGAAGTGTCGACAGAAATTACAAGTCACGATAAGATTATTCCCGGTGTACATGAACAAGGTGTCGTGTTGCATCAACGGTGGCCCTACACGCACCTACGTCAACCACAAAGACAACGTGGTACCCACGCGAAAGCGCTCCGCTATCCTGGTCCTTGTCATAATTACCGACATATCCCTCCCTCTATCGGGCTCCGAACGTCTTTGTTTTCTTCTGCCTGCCGTTGAACAGATAACGCTTCCACCGACGTCATCAGGTCACAACGAGAACTCCCTCGTGTGCGCCTGAAGATATTGCGCTCGAGATCTGCCTCCCCGATTTTGCGCCAGCAACAAGAGGATCGATTCTCCACGGTGAGGCACCTCATTCGCTGGCGCACTAACATGCATCCAATACGAGTCGAGGCGACTGTCAACCAGCCCTGCGCTATCGATATAGTCTATCGATAGGAAGGAGGTTCCTGCATAAGCGCTGCTGGGCCTGCGCAGCCTAACGCATGCGCTCTGCGCCCGGTGTGTCAAACTTCATCCCCCAACAGCTGGGCATGACATGTGCCTACGTTTGCCATTGTTTGTCGTTCTGAAGATGTTGGGGCTGGGAGTAAGGACGAGGTTGCGATACTATAGCTCGCCGCGAGGTCGTGAGTACACGTAATGATCTCCACTCCCTCCGACAGTTCTGGATCGTGGGCACGGTTCGGTATCGGAAGCAACGACCCGAGAGTGGTGCGTGGGTGACCTGGAATCCGCGGTCCAGATTCTGACAATCTGCACGTGATGTCGGTAGATCGCAGAGCACACGGTCTTTGGCACAAACCTACGAGAAGGACAAGCCGTGATGCAGGGTCTCTCTCCATGTGAGTGAATTGTACCGTGGTAAGCCCCGAAGTGTCGTGAAACTGCGACTCCCAGACTATTCAAGGTTGTTGGTCGGCTACGATGCACTGCCCTGCAGGTGACGTACAGTGTCGATCGTCAGGCACCTCTACCGGTACGGTAACTTTAGCCTCTTTGGAATTCCAAGGACTGGGACCGATCGCATCATATCCCTCCGAAGCAGTCGAACATGTGGTTCACTATGATAAGGTGTTTCAAGACAAACAGCGGTTCGCCGAATGCCAGCATCTTCCGAAACACTGGTGGCAACAGTCCGTTGCGCAAACTATAATCGGGGTGACTTTGGGTTCTTCGGGTTGATGTCAACGTGGTGAAACGTCGGCGTGAAGACCCTGTAGGCTTGCCAATGGGTGGCAACCCTTTACGTGTTTGTATAGAAGTGCCCTGTATAAAGAAGAAACTCAACAGACCCTCTGTAGTCTACATCAGCCTAAATATTGTAAATGTGGAAAGCCGCAAGACAATGTAGACTTCCGGGCTATCTATGTTATCAAAAGTAACGCTAGGTAAGCGACCGATCTTTCCCAAGTATGAGGTGGAAGGGAGACTTGGAGGTACGTAGGCGTAATATTATTACCGCTACCGACAGGATGAAGAGATACAGGACCTGGATGCCCTCACCGTACGCAGTGATTCCCTTCTTTGCGTATAACTCTCTCTTTGCACACCATATCGCAGCCCAAGTTCAGCGTCACAGCACACCCATCTATGCACCATGTATACTTCCCACCAGGCAAGCAAGTAACCTCTCCTTCTTGATCGCAGGCCAAGCACTGTCCCACCGCCCGTGCTGCAGGAGGCTCCGCAACAGCGAAGAAGCGGGTCCAGTAGTTTATCCCCCTTTTCGCCGCTGTGCTCTCTTCGTCTCGTCCCGCAGAAGGTGTTGCGTTATTCGTACCTCTGAACAGCGATGCATCGATGATGTACTTGGTCTTCAGAGCGAGGATGGAAGAATTGTTGGTGCTGATGTTGGTCGCTTTCATTTCCGTGTTTCGAGCTTTCACGGGTACTTTAGCATCGGAAGCCTGCGTAAATTTTGCCTTGCAACGCGGGTGAGCTGAGACGGCAGAAGATATGGTAGAAAGAATGGTAGGAGTTGCAATAGCATCAGACCTAGTACTTACATTAGGTGCAGGCATCGCTGCTGTTGACTCCACGCCGGTGCTCGTAATAGACGAAGTAGCTGAGCTACTGGTAGTTGTGGCGCTCCTGGTGGGCCAGTAGAATTCAGAGGTATCTGATCCAGAGACGATCGACATTGGTACTGGCCGTGCCACAATTGCAAACGCGGTGCTGCTCAATACCGAGAAAGTAGGGAGGCTTTCTGATGGTGTGTCCACGGATCTCGAGTGTGTTATCCAAGGTAACTCAGGTGTCCAAGGCAGATCGGTGCTGGAATTGCCAGGTACAATATGCGATACGGTATGTGAGCAAGTAGTACTTTTACCCATCGGACTGGTTGGGCTGGCAGACGTGGCAAGTGTGTCAGTCACCATCGTACTATCTGCACCTGGAAGAGATCCAGAAGCCATGGAGGTCGGCAAAGGATCATATGTAGAGGACGGTAAGACGAGAGAAGTGGTACCAGAAGGCGATATGGGAATACTGTCGGTGATGCATAGCTCGGTCAGATGAGGGCATATGAGAATAACCGCTGTGCTAGTGGGCTTACTGTAGTCAGGTCCATCGGACGGTGCTGTCACTGAGCCTGGTGATGGAGGGATGGCGAACCCGGAGGTGCAGTTGTCAGTCTCGTAAGGCGGCACGGAAGTTGAATAGCTTGTGGTTGTTACAGTAATGATAACATGCGTCGTAGAACCACCTATCGACGGCAGCTGATCGGTTGCTGTAGATGTTTGATTGTGATCCTCATCGTGGGGAGCTCCTAGCGTACAGTTGGCTAATAGTGCGGTGAGTGCGAGATACACACTGCGAGTGGACATGGTACCGGCGCTAATATGCTTGTAAAACGTTGATGAGGATCGGTAAATGTCGCAGAGAAAAAGGTGTTGGAGAGTCGTCTTATCGCCAACGGATGTCCACACTTGCTAAGTGCATCACTGAGTTGTCCATCGACGTGTCAACCACGTCTCTTGTGGTCGAATTTTGATACCAGACAGTCAGCAGTCGAGTGTCAGTGTTGTGAAAACGGAGGTATTCTCATTCAATCAGGCTGCGCGCCATATTCATCTCCCATTCATGTCCTGATTTCAGCGGCCTTTCTAAGCCGGTTCATGACCGCGGCGGCAATATCGTCGCCTGTCTTATCGTCGATACCCTCCACATATATCACCTCAACGCCTTTCTTGTCAAGCTCTCTTAGTGCTGAGAATAGGCCTCTGGCAACATCCTCGGTCTTCGCGCCAAGATTGATCTCCCAAACCTGGACTGCTTCGGGCTTCACAATGTAATGATCGGCGTGCGGTATCTGGTGCTGAGTGACAGATCGCAGAAGGTTTGAAAGACGCGACGGCGAGTCGTTGGTATCTAGAGATGCGGCCATGTCCGGTGAAGCGCATACTCCTGGTCCATTTGTATCCGATGTCTTCACCTTCTCTGCGCCCAGACCCAGCACATTACCCCAGCTCTTGGTCCTAATAACGCCAATACGCCTCTTGCTCTTAAGCTCGTCCGATGTAGGTTGGCTCGCACCTGCCTCGAACAGAAGAACCGATGCCTTCGGACTATAGTGTCTGTACTTCATCCCGGGCGCGCGCGGTTTACTCGAGTCTTCCGCTTGCTTATCCTTGTATCCAACAACTACGTTCTCCCACCCCGGGCATTGCCGTAACTGTTCCACTGTGACGCCGCCCGGTCGTAGGATCGCAGGTGGGCTTGACAGGCCGTCTATCACTGTGCTCTCAACACCCACTTCGCATGGACCGCCATCGATTATGAGGTTTAGTTTGCCGTTTAGATCATCGTAGACATGTTCCGCAGCAGTGGGCGAAGGTCGTGTGGACGCATTTGCGGATGGTGCGGCGAGTGGGCGACCGCATAGTCGTAACAAAGACAAGGCGATGATAGAACGCGGCATTCGTGCGCCGAAGGTAGGAAGGCCTGCCGTCACCTCTGGTGCGAGGATCGAATTTTCGGGGGCAGGTAGGATGATGGTAAGCGGTCCAGGCCAGAAACGCTCAATCACCGGCCTGTAGATATCTGGGATGGGATCCTTCCCAGCATCTTTGCCGTCTCCCACCGTATCTAGTTTCCCCAGAAGTAGTGCTCGGAGCTGGGGCAACGAATGTATATGGACAATCAAAGGATTGTCGGCTGGTCGTCCTTTGCTCGCGAAGATCTCCTTGACCGCCGCGCTTCTTGTCGCATCCGCGCCGAGACCATAGACAGTCTCTGTCGGAAAGGCGACTGGGGTGTTTGTATTCACAAGCTCCTTAGCTGCTTGCTTCAGCGTCCCGGCATCAGCCTGGCCCTCTGTATCGTCGTATTCTATGTCCCATGCATCGATCAAGTCCTCCGACTTCTTGAATGTGATGTTCCCCAGTTTCTGAGGATCCACGCGTCTGACGCTAGTTTCAGGCATGTTTGCGACGGAGCAGTCGCGGATGTTCGGCACAGTTGCAGTAACGGGCGCGTAGAGTTGGGAAGCGGTGGGCGTGAAGAAGGTATTCGGTCTTCTCAGCGTGGAACGAGGAATGCGGCGGGGCTCTGATGCAGCGACTTGCACCAAAGAACGTACGGGAGCGAGATAGAGTGAGTGTTTCGTGAATCTGACATTTGGTATGCGGGGATGGCGAGTGGGCATTAGAGTGATGACTGGTGAAAGCCAAAATTTCTCGGAACGTTGTGGGGCTCAGTTCCGATGGCACGCGACGTCATGCCGGGTGAGAACACGCCGGACGCGCTCAAACCTTTCAACATCGACTACACCAAAACACCACAGCTGTTGCTGAATGGCGGTAAATGCACGACTGGTATCTGAGCTTCACGAAAGAGATTGGAAATGCCTTCTTGGCATATGGCATCGTTTGTGGTACTCAACTGACGAGGCATCTATCGCGTACTCTATCCCCGCACTCTCCTCTCTTGCTACCACTCTGCTGTAACATCTCACTCAAGTCTTAGCAGATTCGCTTTCTCGATCCACCCCAGGTAAATGTCATTGGTCTGCAACGCCTAGCCAGTCGCAGCCAATTGTTCTCATCAGAGCCAGAGAACGCGGTGCCGAGGTGGGATTCTGATGCTTCGCAGCAACAGCTCTCTATAACGACCCTTTAAAAAGTTTATCATCTTTGTTCAGAGCTTCCATTAATACCTTCGCGACTTCTGTACTCCCTGCAACAAGGTTAGTAGCGTCTTCCTTACAGACCTGCTCTCTCTTCTGCACAACGTCAAACACGATGAGACCGTTGACCAGCTCGCCAATAGAACTATGTATTTTGTCGAAGTCTTCGTGAGGACCTTGTTGCAAGCGGTGAGGATCTACTGAAACAATGAGGATCTACACGGGGTGTCTCATACTCGATGTCTCTGCTTTCTCTTTGCTGACCAACGAACAGGCAGTAACCCGATGCTCACCCAAACCGGAGGGCCTAAATGAGCACCTAGCTAGTTGGAAATCTCCGCATCGGATACCATCAAATCGACCACACCAAGATCACGAATCTGCCATCCTATCTCACCAAGTACTGCGCAAAGACATTGTTTCTCAAGGCACTTATCATGAAAAAGCCTTTCCATGTCCTATAGATGCAAGCGAAGACTCGGCGAAGTTCACCACGTTCTAGGGCTAGTATTGGGCAAATGAGCGGGGAAGGCCTCAGAACCTCGGGAGTCTTACGGACGTTAGACGATGGCAATGGACCGGATACACTGCCGAACGCTTGTTGCTGATGTCCCCTTAGGCAAGTACTAGAAGTGAGCGAACAGCATGCCAAGCCTTGGTGCTGTTTACACTTTGTAGTATTTGAAATCGGTGTACATGTGGCGAGTGAAGGTCGAGCCTTTCCAGACTACGATATCACCCCAAGCAAGAAAAAAACCGAACAGATCTGCAGACTACACTTGGATAAAGTAAGCAAACTTAGGAAACTTTGTACTAAGGTAGGCTCCAGGGTGTTCAGTTTTTCCTAGGTTGCCGTGATATCTGTATGGCGGCGTGGCTGACGGCACCTGTTGGTCTTGCGCGCACCAAATTGCCCAGACAGACTATGGTTATGAATGAACCTTCTCATCGCATAGTTTGAACCTCCTCTCTTGTCGGGCGTTGTCTCATTCGTTGTCCTATTGAGGCACAAGGCTGTACAAAGTGCTTCTCTACCCATGGAATACGGTGGTACGGTGGTACAACAATGACGACTGCACCACGACGCGACAAATTTCCCCATATGGACTAGATGTCGGGTGGCCGATGCAAGACAGCTCAGTGGTGAACTCATAGCTACTGGTGAACAGTAAGCGAGGATACTGATTGGTATGATCTTCTTCGGTACTTGTTCGGCAACTGAGGGCTACACCGGTACACTTTCCCCTGGAGACTATCTAGGTAGGATTGCTAATTACTAATTCTCTTGAGAAGACGCCGAAGCCATGTAAGGGTCGCCGGCGCAGGGTGTTGTTGCTGGGACTATTAGCCAATGGTATGGTTCCCGTATGTCAGAATTGCCAGTCGTGGATCCTCCCATACACCATCTGGGCAATTTGATGGACGATCTGAACCACGGAATGAACGAGACCCGGGGTAGTTTCCGCTAGCGTCGCGCTAAAATACGATTTCGTCGAGCTTATCTTTACAATTGCGCTGGACGCCACGCCGCTCCGTCATCTTGATCAGATTCACACGGTGCCTGCCGTCTATAGCGCATGTTGTCAGTGGGTAAAACGGACTCACATCGTGGAGCCTATCCACACCTTGACAGGCAGTTTGCGGAGTTCCACCGGGTCTGTCCGCCAAGTGCCACTTTTGGCGTGCCAACAATGGATGTTTTTTTCATTGAAAAAGAACTAAAATCATCTCCAGGCTCCGGGCAAGCGGGCGGTAATAACAAAAGAGAAGTTGGCTAGGGGCATGTTGTAGATGACATCGATCATCGCTGGGTTGCACCGCGCGGGAACTACCCGATGTAGCAAACCGAATTGTTTCCCATCGGATGATACATTCTCCAGTTCATTTCGCGTCAAGATGACATCTGTAATCCACGTCAGGAGAAATCGAAAGCTGTAGGAGACTACTAGAGGATCTTCGCAAATTCACTTACACTCCCCGCAACTATCATGACTCGCAGTGGTGCTACTCTAACTTGGATCTATCCCCAGTCGCCTCTAAAGAGAACACCGCAAACTCTCATCACCTCCTTGCCTAAGGCCTTTTCACTACTACATCGGGATAACTAGGCAAACAATAGGGTCTCGAAGGGCACTCTGTCATTCCTAGACTTCTTTCGCAGCCAACTCAGGGTCTGACTATACTGCTGATCACGGAATGGAATCCGTTGTCCTTCAATAGCGCATTGCCGCTCGTAGCTCCAGTCTTGGCAACTATACCCCAGCCATGTGAGCCTTGCAGATCGACGTGGGCGATTACTGTCTTGGGACAATTCTACGATTACCCCGGACAATGTATCATGGTGGCCACCGAGGTTGTTGGCTGTATACTGACAAAGTAGTCCAATTACTAGCGGATCTACCATGAGAAGATACTAGATTTCGTTCGAGACGGAAGACATCGGGTATGAGAAGCGTTACGAGGGACCCTTAACTCCACAGTGGGGAACTTACGCTAGTCTGCAGCCGTGGTTGCAAAGAAATATAAGATAGACGAGATCTGCTCACTATCATCAGCATCTCTTCACCCTCCATCACTGTGTTACACAATGTTTGCGAAGACATCCCTCGTGCTCCTTACCGGGCCAGCCCTGCTGGTCTCAGCTTTTCCCGAGATAGCTCGTATGGTCGCTGAGAAGCGCATCCAGGAGCGTCAAACAACGCCCCAAATCATCGAATTCCCAGAATACCCAGGCACACCCAACCACGCCCTCTTCAACCAATTTGACCCTGCCCTCCAACTCGTCAACACATCTGGCGAGCACGAGTGGCGCGCCCCAGGCAAGGGAGACATTCGCGGTCCCTGTGCCGGTCTCAACGCCGCCGCAAACCACGGTTACATTCAGCGCGACGGTGTCGTCGATGCAGCAAGCATCAACACCGGTCTTTGGGAAGCTTTTGGCCTCGACAAGACAGCCACAATATTCCTCGAGACTGCGACAGCCTTCTTCAACGGCGACCCCATCTCCGGCCGCTGGAGCATCGGTCCGCATTCAGACAAGACCAGCTCTCTTCCTCCACTCGTCGGCGACCTTCTTGGTAACGAAACTGGTATCTGCGCATACGGCCATCTCAGAAGTGAGGGCGATGCCAGCATTACCCGCGGTGACTGGCTCGCACCTGAGATGAACTCCAACTGCCGCTCCTACCCGCAATACATGCAAGAGCTCTTTGACCTCTCCAACCAGCGTGCAGGAGGTCTGATCACTCCCCGTGTCCTCGCCGAGCACTCCAACAACCGCAAAAAGCACAGCATCGCTACGAATCCATTCTACTTCAGTCCTGCGTACGCTGGTGTTGCATTCACCTTTGGCGCACACATGTTTGCGTACCACTTGCTTGCGAACCACAGCGCCGAGGCACCACGCGGATTCTTGACGCAAGATGTGTTTATGGACTTCTTCAGCTACAAGCGCGACGCCAGCGGTGCGTTGACCTACAAGTACGGCTATGAGCGCATCCCAGACAACTGGTACAAGCGCCACCCGCTCGACCCGTGGACGCTTGCAGACATCGGCATCTCGACCGCACAGCAGTGCGCGGCATACCCGCTGAACTGCCAGGTCGGCGGCAACACTGGCGCGGTCAACAGTTTCTCGGGTGTCAACCTGGGTGATATTTCTGGCGGGTTGATCAACTTCGCTGAGGACCTGAATGACCCGAAGAAGATGGGTTGCTTTATTGCGCAGGCTGTTCAGGCGGATACCCCGTCTTTCCTCAGCAAGCTTCTTGGAGGTGCTGCTCTAACCGCTGCTCTGGCTGCTGTTGACAGTCGTCTCGGACCGGCACTGCAGCCGCTCAAGGATCTAGGCGGTGGATGTCAGGGCGTGCCGGCGGGCAGGAGTATGTTTGACTATGGCATCAACTTCCCCGGTGCCACTCTTGAAACCGAAGGCCCGAGATCCGGACAGTAGAACTAGTTTGTAGTGTCTGGCGTAGTAGCTGATAGATAAGAGCATTAGCTGTATCGGTATACAAATTCTTTAGTTCCATGCCTCCTCTTAGAGCTGCAATGAGTGAAAAGTGTCAGGCGTATTAGCAAGACTGATGTTAGCACAGGAGTGAGCAGTGTCTGCTTCCAGGCTTCTGTTAATCTGTTGAAAACACTCGTCTCGCAAAGCGGTTGGAGCATCGATAGACTTTATCGTGAAGTTACCCAGAAGCAAAATTCAGTATCTTCTCAACAATGATACGTGCGCAATCGACTGAAAAGGTGAGCAGGAAGGAGGTGTCGCGCTACAGACCTCGAAATTCCAGACCCACACGCGACCCATCTCCATTGGCCCTCCGCGGCCCCTCTAACGGCCTAGCCCCGCACTAGCCCCAACTAGTGCGGCGGCATCGCTGAACCCTGAATCCTCATCCCAACTTCCTCAAAACTTCCCATCCGAGTCGTCCCACCCCTGCTATCGCCCTCCCATATACAGCGATAGCAAAAGCTTTCCCCAATCATGCCTTCCGCAGCCGACATTCTCAGCGATCCTGAAATCGCGCAAGCATACGAAGACGTGCGCTCTGACAAATCCGAGACCACGTGGCTTATCTTGAAGGTACACGGCATTCACTACGCCAACAAGGCATCGTGCACCAAGATTTGATCGAAGGCGCCAAGTGGGAACTCAAAAAAAAAAGGGATGACGACTGACTGTCACTCAGTATGCATCCGCAACCTCAGATAACCTCAAACTCGCCGGCACAGGAAGCGGCGACATTGCCGAGATGACCGAGAGTCTTGGCGACGACGAAGCAGCATATGCCTACGTGCGAATGAAGCTAGGAAACGACGAGTACAGCGAGCGCGTCAAATTTGCTTTTGTTGTTTGGCAAGGTCTGTCATGTCCCCTACCTGCATATCGATATTGCTGAGACGTCCATAGGTCCCCAAACAAAGGTGATGCGCAAAGCCAAGATGAGCTTCCAGAGCGGTCAGGTGAAGCAGGTCATCCGGACCTATGCTGTCGAGATCCAGACAGGAGATAAGAAGGATTTGGAGGAAGAGGCAGTGACGATGAAGCTTAGGAAAGCTATGGGTGCGAATTGTGAGTACACGTTTTGCTATCTGTGTTGATGGAAGGGCCATGCGATATTGGTACAAGACCAGAATGGGACGAAAGAAGACCGTTTGTACTAACTGTTTGGACAGATGATCGCCAGAAGACAAACTACTAGAATATGTTGTGCCATATGGTAACGAATTAATCAGACTCCACGAGTCGACCTAGCGAGTCATATTGTGGTACCACATCGCCTTCGATGCCTTGCGTCTTACACAAACCTAAAAGCTGCTCTCTGGGCTCGTCTCCAAGCCAGTACCCCGTGAACAACCGGGTTCCCACGTCATATGTCAATTTCCTTAGCCGCGGTGTTGCGGCCTTCCACCCCGGTTCCCGATCTTGCGTCCAGTTGCAAGAGACACCCTCGTGAGGGATAAGTACGCCCGAGGCTAGTATTTCACCCGCAAGGTATTGTCGGAAGATGGCCATGGCGTTGAGATCTTCAAAGCGCATTCCGAGTGCCTCATATGCAGAAAGGTCATTTGTGATTGTCAACGTTTCGAGCGTCGGAGGGAGATGTTTCGCTAGCTTTGGCGTATTGTTCATACCAAACAGCACTGGGAATGACGTAGTCAAAGTCGTGAGAACGGGGAAATCGTGTAGTGGGCCTAGACCCTCTCTTACAGGTTCCGTGGCGTCAGTTGGGGGATCCCCGGCACCATCGTTGTTATAGTGCTTGTAGCGCACAGTCAGTTCAGTAAGCGTGCCGCGAATATGCTGTAGCGCGTCCTTCAAGATCGACAAACGGAGAGGTGGGTGTTCTGGATGCAAACAGCAATCGTAGTGGAAGACCTTGACGTTGGGCGTCTGCCTGAGCAGGTACTGGATAGTGAGAGGGTCCATCGAAGAAGGAGTAAGGCGGAGAGTCGTCAGTGTCTGCGATAGAGGGGGTGTCTCTAGTGGCCACTCAAATGAGCCGTCCACTCCATCTCCCTCGTCCCATAATCCGCCATAGTCATCCTCGTCCCCCCCTCTCAATGAGCACGTAATGATGTCGAGCGACTCTATCGCCGGCAGATAGAAGAAGTGAAGTAGAGTCTCTTGCTCGCTCCAGAAACTACCCTCCCACGTTGCGGCCGCCCCCTCCGTCTCTTCCAAGGTAACGCACACAGTTTTCAACTTGGCGAACCATGCAGGTTGTCTAACACCTGCTTCAGACGCTGCAGCATTCTTCAAGATAGCGTACTTCATCATAGCAGGAAACCACCTGTTGTTCAAGAAGAATTCCCATCCTATAGTCAGAGACTCCAAGTGCGCTTGACACGTGCCGATTAGCAGTGTGAGCAACATGTGCTGCGCCTCTTGTTTCCATCCACGGCCCCACGTCTGGAACCCTTCCTCTTTCACATGAGCCTTGAACATCTCGTTCTCCCACTCTTTGTCACTCGCATCATACTCAAAGTCTGGGAAAATAGCGCCGGCAACGTCTAAGTAGCTGTACTCAACACATCCCTTGGCGCATAACTCCAATTTCTTGACCAGCCTGATGTATTCAGGCTTCTCCGTGAGTGTGCGGATCAGAGACTGTATTTTAGGCGCTTTCTCAGTCCTTCTCTGCATGCCACGCTGCGGTCCTCTAGGAATTTCCTTCGAATAGGTGTTGTCCCACGTGAGGGTGATAGTATTGTAAGCTGCAGGCAGGGCGACGGCGTGGAGGGTCTTGCATGTCTGGGCCAGGTTAATGTTGTCGCGGCTACCAAGATCGGCGAGTATGAAATCGAGTAGTTCAGCAGGAAGCTCAGTGATTGATGCCATTCTGGTCTTTTCGAGAAAGGGCGAGTGCGAGGTATAAACGGGAAGGAAGACGGAAGGTGCAGACTCGGATTTAAGGGATTAGGCAGCCGTGTCAGTGCGCGGCTTCCATAACGGGTCGCCTTGTTGACTCGCATAGTACGCTATCATCATTCATGATCGTAAGATCGTGTATCTATACCCAATGTATCCATGCGTCTTGCGAGATGTCTATAACGAAGACTTGTTCATGTGCGGAAACACATGTCCTAGTCCACCACCTGGGTCCGTTTTCGTCTCGCTAGGACTTGCCCTTGACGCCGCATCGACTGTTGGTTGCAATTCTGTCGCGGGATGATCTCCGTCCTGATCATCATCCTGTTTCCTTGCCAGTTTGTTATCGACGTGGTTTTCGAGCCATTTGTGTTCCGCTTGGTTCAGCCTCAGATTCTCCTCCACTTCTCGTGTGAGCTTATCGACCTCATCTTCCAGCAACTCGTCGTGGCTCTTCTTGACTTCTTCCTTGGGCGCTGCGGGTTCCTCAATAGGCGCGGTTGTTGCCCAGAGCGCTTCCAGCTCGTCCGTCCACCCGCATGCCTCTGCCAGCTTTCTCACACCACTATCGCAATCCTCCAGCAGCAGAACATCGTCTCGCCGTGTTCCCATATCTCCAACCCTCTCTGAGTTTATGAGTAGGCGCGGGGTCTCGTCTTCGCAGAGCTGCGGTAGCGAAGAGAAAGGAGCTACGCTGAGCGACGTTCCCATGACTATGCACAGGTCGGCTTGGGCGGGAAGGCTTCGATTGTCGAAGAACGCGGATGGTAATTGTTCTCCGAAGAAGACGATCTCGGGCTTGACGAGTCCGTTACATGACGAGTCGACGCAGCGTGGCACCGATTTGTTCTGGATGGCTTCGTTCATGCGCTCCTTTGGGTATGACTTCTTGCAGTCGATGCAACATTGCCTGTCCTGAGTCAGTATTGCTTGGAGTTTGTACAAGAGGTTCTACTCACGTCGCAAAACTGCCATGAGCCTCTATTATCTTGTCGCCGGGGACTCCAGCCTCACGCTCCAGGCAGTCGATGTTCTGTGTGAACAACTTCAGTAGCAGCCCTTTCTGGTAAAGCAAGCTTATGAAGGAATGTGTTATCGTCGGCCTGAACTTCCCGGGGTATAGTTCTTGAGCGAGAGAGTAGAACGGCTCGGGGGTCTTGCGGAAGAAATCGATGTCGAAGACGGCTTCGGGGTACGGCAGATTCAGGCGAGCGAGATTGGCGTATAGACCGGTTTCTGGTGATCTGAAGTCTGGTATGCCGGCGGAAGTACTTATGCCCGCACCTGTCTTCTCGATGTCAGCACGCGTCTAACCGTGCTATCACACCCCTACTCACCATGACGACAATCTTCTGCGCGCGCCCATCCTTGATGTATTGCGCAAGAGCCTCCAAAGTGCGCGCCGATAACGTCTGAGGTGGCGCACTTGGGTCTACAACCCGTGACTCGTCCTGTCCCATCCTGCCTCTTTTGCCTTTGCCCTTTCGACCTTTTTCAGCGTTGCGCCACGGCTTGTTCTGCTGCGCCTGTTGGCGGTGCGCTTTATGTTTGCGTCCTATTTTGAAGGATGTGAATGCGCGAGTGTAACAATGAAGACGAAAAGAGCGTGTGACTGTGATGGGAGAGGCGGTGGGACGTATGGCAGGCGCGTATTGCATGCCGTGGTGGACGCCAGTGCCCCTCGGAAATTATATCTCGGGAGTCCGGCGGAGTTGCTGCGTCATGGTCATGCAACGCCAGTGACGCCTCGTCACCAAATGCTCCCACCGACACCACACACCTCACGACTCACGGTGCCACGCAATTTGTTGAAGCATTACTAGTCGATATCCAGCTTCTCGATATATGTAAACTACTTAAAACACGGCCCCAACTGGTACAAGCACTCTTCATTGGGACAAGTCCCCGTAACCTCCTCTCCCGAGCAACTCACCTTCGCCTCGACATCCTTCCCATCAATCGCGTCCTTCACGTCCTTCAACCGGTTATCCCGAGCACTTCTCTCGATAGTCTCTCGAATCGCCATGCAATCGAATTTCCCCTGGTCTGTTGCACCCGTGAACTTGAGAACGACCTTCATATGTGCGACTTCTTCCCCTCCTCCGTCCTTGACGCTCACTCGAACATACTCGGGCGCGTTGCACCACCTCAGTATCTGCCTCCTCGCATTGAAGGAAAGGCAGAATTTGGGGTTGCAGCCAGGGCAAATCGTAGACTTCTGGTCGAACTTGTAACAGTTCTTATCATCATCGCCACTCTTTTGAAAGGTATCTGCGATTTGGGCGATGAAAGTGTTTTGCAGTGACTTTCCGTTGTAATTAACCCCTCCTTCGTTTTTACCCGGGATATAGTCACTCTCAACTTTGACTTCAACGAAGTTTGTACGCTTGTCCACGAAACCGGATTTGTCTGAGTACTCAATATTGTCGAATTTGTCCTTCTTGGTTTTGCAGGTATTAGCGCCAGTTTCGTCGTCGTCGCAGCGATTCTTCAGCGTATCGGTCAGACCTTCGGATATGTAGCGACCGTACCATTGGCCGACGTGTTGGCGTTGGTTGCTTATCTCGACTAAGAAGGTATACGGTTGAGGACCTGAAGTAGGACTCGGGGTGGGAGAGGGTGAGGTCGCCAAGGTGATACCGGGAAAAGATGTCGATGTGCTGACTACATCGGACATGGAGATGACGGTCGAGGAGGCAATGGAGGTATTGTTTGACCAGGCTGACGAAGATCTGGTAAGTACAGTTGGGGAAGTTGGAGTCGACTCTTGCGTTGGAGCCATAGACGATGAGGTCGCTGTGGCGATGCTTGATGCTGGTGGTGGGCTGTATGTTACCCAAGTTGGTGGTTTGCTCGCTGGTAAGTCAGTTCAGCATTACACATTGGTCTTCTGGATGGCACTAACTTGCGCCCTTGTTTCCTCCCACAGTCCCAATGAGCAACGAAAAGAATGCTACGCCAGCGTAGTACTTCATCTTTGCAGTAGTCGAAGTTCGCATAATAGATCAATCAACTTCGAGGGTTGCGAAAATGCTGTGATGTATATCAAGAAGATATAGCAGCGTATTGGTTCAATATCGCAGGCTGTCAAATTCTTCACGTGAAGTCGACGGTTAGGAATGTGTCGCTTGCTGCTCAGCCATTCCATCACCACGATTTCAGTGATCAATGCCTCAGCACCAGAGACTTCACGCTACAGAGTTTGTATGGATGGGTATTTACATCTATATTCATCAACAGATGGAACTGCCCATTATTGCAAAAGTTGGAGCGAGTCTATCTGGTAAGAGTTTTCGTATTCGTACGTCTCGAAAACCTTCAAGGTCATCGTCACCCGGCTCAGCCTGTCGGCATGACGAAAGATACGAAGAATATACATACCTCAGCACCCTGTCTCTTCTTGCTTGTGTATACTCGTAGAAAGAAGTTCTACTAGGTTCAGTTCTGAGGGGTCGAAAGGGAACGGGCCCTTCCGAGATCGCCGCGCGTCGAGTCATGGACCTTACGCCCCGCCACTAGCTACACCACCAAACTCTCGCACAAGTACAACAGCCATAACAAAACACCGCATACTATAGCATCGAATCGTGTCACGACAACGCGGTACAGCCCGTGTCTGTCCAAGCTGAAAGTTCCGGTGGCCATCGTTGCTTGAATATTGGTAAAGGTGATAATTGATAACCTCCGCACCTCACCGCTAGGTACATAAGCGTTCTAGAGCTATACCGGAAAAGGACTTCCTTTCTCCATCATGGGAACGGTCCGAAGTGTTATAAGACCGTTCTAATAGGCTCGGAGGTTTGGTACGTCGATTGCTCCACTGAACCTGCGTACTAAACGGCAGTTATGCTGGCCATTTCGTTTCCTTTCGTTTGGTGTCGCACTGTTCGAAGAATATTGAAATACTTGTCGATTCATCAATTGTCAACAACGACTCAGCTTATCAAACACTGTTGAGCACATACCAGTCATCATGTCTCTCCAAGATAAAGTCATCGTGATCACCGGAGCCGCATCAGGAATGGGCCTTGAAACCGCCCGCCTGTTCGCCAGCAAAGGCGCCAAACTCTCGCTCGCCGACGTACAAGAGAAGCCATTGAAAGAGCTCGAGTGCGAGCTCCAGAAATCGGGCTCGCAAGTTATGACCCAGGTCGTCGACGTGAGCAAGCGTAGCGACGTCGAAAGCTGGATCGCAGCCACAGTCGAAAAGTTCGGGAAGCTGGATGGTGCAGCCAACCTCGCCGGTGTCACTGGTCGACAAGGCGCCGTCGCAGGTATTGAAGAGGTAGAAGATGACGACTGGGACTTCGTCATGAGTGTGAATGTTACCGGGTTGAGGAATTGTTTGCGCGCCCAGGTGCCGCACATGAATGAGGGCAGTTCGATTGTCAACGCGGCCAGTATCCTGGGTATCATTGGCGCACCTAAGCAGTTAGCGTATTGTGCCTCCAAGCATGCCGTGGTTGGTATGACTAGAAGCGCAGCGAAGGAGCTGGGGCCCAAGAAGATTAGGGTGAACTGCTTCTGCCCGTAAGTTAGCACATTGAATCACCTTGCAAATCATGTTTATGCTAACTGATTATAGGGGACCAGTTGATACTCCGATGTTGAGAAAGGCATATGAGATTCGAGGCGCACCAGTCGATTACTCCTTCCTTCCGCTGGGAAGGGAAGCACATCAAACGGAGATTCCGCCGCTCATCGAGTTCCTCATTTCGGACGCGTCATCATTCATGACTGGAACTGCTACGCCGATTGACGGTGGGTGGTACTGCTAGATCTCAAGGCTATGTTGTCCACACAAAGGTCGTTGAAGCGACCAGATCAAGGCTAGTGGGATACATGTAGGCTAAAACAAATGGAAGTAAGCCACAGTATTGGAAAGTTGATATCTCCAACTTTCAATGTGACTTGCCCACTGGTGGCAGTGCTGACTATTCTCTTGGAGGACTTGAAGAGCACACTGCACAATTGTAGACTCAGCTCTAATTTTCCAAAACCCCTCGCATATTGTGACTGAGGATGATCGAACCTCCGAAGTAAGCTTGAGGTAACGAAGTAAGGTTTACGCGAGCTAAAGAATGCGCTTCCTTACACTTAAAGGGTCTCAAGACTCTGCATAGAGCTTTCTTATTGCTGTCGACCTGTAAAGTACGTCCTTGGCGTTGGTCGTGAGCTTTCGTCATGTCGATGTTAGATTGTATAGAAATCTTTCGTTAACCATCCCAAAAGCATAATAGCTTTCACGAATCTAACAACACTTCACTGGACAGAGCGTGTTCTACCCTTCCGTCTTGCATGTCTTCCACAGCTCCATACGCTCTTCATGAGCCGGGATTGTTCCCTCGAATCTCCGGGAGACATGACCAACACCCCCAACATTACATCACTTACTGTACAGTGCTTTGTCGCTATGATACTACCTGGTGATATGGACTCACTCTGGGTATCTCGTAATAAAAACAAGGGAGCGATGTTTGAGGTTCTAGAGCGTTGTATCTTCCTTACGGACTTGAACATTGCATTCCATCACCACCCTCAGGAGTTCCATTTGCTATCCGCGACACGCCGTGGAAACCTCTTGGAGTTCATTAAAAAAACTAAACGACAGCCTTCCTAGACTCGGGAGCTTGACCATTGGACCACAACGTCACACCAGTCATCGATTCTTACAACATGTTGAGCCGATCAACAGCTTCAAAGACTCCGGCAAGCTTCAGCACTTGAGATTTGCGCACCAGATACTCCCCGGTTCCGACGACGAAAGACTTCCAGGCAACTCAGCACCATTTTTGTAACTACTTCCCGCTTCTAGCCGAACTATCGAAATCGATATGCCCAAGGGTGGTATCTCCAAATTTCTCAACCAATTCCTTCAAGAGAACCACGGATTACATTGGATGAGAGATATCGTCGTGCGATGTGCCACGAAGAACCACGCTACAATTCTGGCTCACTTGATCACTCCCGAAGTCTTACTCCATGAATGGAATCGCTCCCCGACCATTCGGGAATTGTACGCTTCTAATCTCAGGCCGAGGTTGGAATGCATGAAAGCCGACTGTACTGGCGGCTTTCCAGATGAGTCTAAAATTTGTGAACAGTGTAGAGATATGGTGGTATGGGAAGACGTACACGAGACGTCATCCGCGAATCTTGCTGCATTCATGGCGTCGCTGCCTGGCAACTCGATCCTTTGACGTAGGTAACTCTTCGCTTGAGAGATCTGTACCTTGCTAACGGAACTCACCGATGCCAGCATGCCCGCTGTCATTGAGGGGCATATAATCTTTAGCGTACAATCCATCTTGACGACCCGGCATGCTGAGATGGGTGGGGCAAAAAGGTCAACGCACGAGATCCTATACACAAAAAGAACTGTTTGTTCGGACGATCTTGATAGGCGGCGAGAAGGCGGTTATGGGTGGTGAAAGACGTTCATGTGGTTGGGAAAGCGCTTTCGAGATCTGTTTGTTTTTGTTCTCCTCTAAGAATATTGTACAATACTATCTCTTCACCCGAATCATCTTGACCAGCGACTCACAACGCTTGCTTTATGCCCTGGGTTCTTTCCCACCAATCTGATCACTCTCCCTGACAAACCCCCCCTTGCCCTGACCAGGCCATACAACCTGCCCTTGATTCTCCTGCTCCGCCGCCCACTTTTTCAGCGTATCCAAACCCACACTCTTCAACGCGCTCTCATGCGTTGACTCAAGTTTAACCTTTGGGACCTCTCCAATACCCTTATCCGCAGCGCTCTTCCACGTTGAAGCCTCGAGGCAGAACCGTTGGCCTGGTCCCACACCGGCTTTTCGCAGGTCGGTACCGTTTGAGGTGGAGAAGTCTAGGAAGCTGTTGGTGAGGATGGCGGCGATGGGATTGCTGCTTGTGCACATTCCGGCGTTGATGGTGGAGGGGAGGTTCGAGGGGGTTTTGGCTTCGGCAGAGTGCTTGTGGAGGGGCGCGTTGAGGACTGCGCTGTATTAGCTAATTGAGCATTATGGGAGTGTGGAGATGAGTAGACGTGCCGTTCTTTTGAGTGACGTCCATCTTTCCTTGTTGGTTCTTGCCTGACATCTTGATGTAGTGTGAATTAAGGATCGCGAGACTTCAATAGTTTTGTCTGCGAATGTAGAGTTGAAGGATGATTTGATGCTGGCGTAGATTCGGTGATTCGTCGAATGCTGGAATTGGCATGTAGTTGCTAGATGTAAGTATGAATACAACAAGACTTGACGTCAATCGACGCTTTTGTTCCTGCATTTCTACGCTTTACTCGCTTCGCTCAAGGCACGATCCAACAATGATGCCTCCATTACCTCCGCTGATGAATGTCTTGACGTCAGCGATATTGGAAGCGTCAGAGCATATTTTGACGTCGTCGCATTATTCCATTCGACAGGAAGATGCATATGTAAAGACAGACTTCCTTTTTGGAGCCAGTCTTCCATGGTAAAGTAGTCGCCTACTCAAGTTGCAGATTCGTTCCTCAGACACCCCTTCCACACAATCCATGAAGATGTATTAGGCCCGATCGATACAAGCGCCATCTCCCCACCTCCGACGGTGCGCATGCATACACACCCACCTTGCACTGCATTTCGAACCACCACACCACATATAGTAGTACTGCATACGCATATCTTCACCCACCTCCCCATGATCACACCGCTCCCCCATCCTCTGGGTCCTTCTCCCTCGTCACTTCGGCCGCGCAACACAATACTTGGCAAGCATCAGACTGTTACGAGTCGGCCTTTCGCAGACACCGACATGCCGACAGCAGCCTGTGCACTCGCCCAAACGCTCACTCTTTCCTTGAACCATGGTCATCGGCCAAATGCAGAACTAGCTCATAGGCTCACACACGTGTTCAAATGCCGTGGCTTCCGTCACCGAATGCAAAGGTGACGGTGACCCAAGTTAGTCAGTCCTGTTCTCTTTTGACCGAGGACAGGCCGCAGGATGGCAAGTGCCACGCCGTCATTTGCCTCATGAACTTAACATATTAGCCATGCCTAGATGAATCGACTTTGAGTGGAGACGGCCGCTCCATCTGAATCGTTTGGGAAATGACGTCGACCTCGTCATTTCAACTTATCGCGTTCCACTGTACATTCCTCATCTCACGACGAGCGTTTGGCGGACACATATTAGTCCACCGGCAGTTTAGTGAACGATCAGTAACGGTGTGGGTAAATACAGGGCACATGCCTGCCCGAGCATCAAACCCCTCAAGGGAGGGACGAACGCATAGCCAGTTTAATGCAGCTGCAGGTCGATCGCAAACGTGGTGCATTGCCTTTTTGAAAGAAGAATGCAAAAAACAAAATTTACAACGGCGGTCACGAACGACGATCCTACAGCATTGATGCAGTTGTAGTGTGCGTGCGAAAAACGCAAATGTTCGCGTGAGCGCAGTTGCAGAAATACCACTTGCGGGGGAGACCACTGCAAGAACTAAATTGACTTGCATGAAGAAGAGGGAACAGACGCAGGTTGACATCGCGGATGGCTGCATGTTAATCTAGGCCCCTAGTCATGAAGATCCGGGGAAGTGCACGGGCGTGATGGTGTTGGACTGGATTCGACCAGCGCGTGGTTGGAACGTGTTTGTATGAATTATCTGTCTATCAATGCATTCGACCTTGCTAGGCTGACGTCCGTGTCCAATCGTGCCTTGCATACACAAGAATCGAGCCTCAAAGCTTCCTCCTCCTCCTCCTCCTCTGCCGCTTCTTGTTAAAGAATGCTAATCATCCGTGTATCAGGCAGTAATGGTTCAACCTATCGAAAGGTTGATTCGTTGTCCGGTCACGGCAGACTTCTAGCCTTGCAGCCTCTTCCGAATCTCAGCGACGACGTTCCGTATGCGCGGCTCCTTGACCTTTTGCTCGGCGCGCGTGATAGCATCGCCTATTTGCAGAATATCTCTACCAGCCTCGCAGAAGTCAGGTCCTAAGCAAAGCAAAGTACCTGTAGCCACAAGCGCGCGATACACAGCCTCTGAATCGGTAGCCGTGGTGAGGATCTTGGATAGATCATCGAGCAGAGAAAGCGCCCGGTCTGCATTGTTCTCGGAATTGAGTAGTACTGAGTAGTTGATGTAGAGTGTAGTGAGCGCGATAATCAAGTTTCGGTTCGTCGATGCTAAGAAGGGCGAGACCAGTGGATGAATGTTGTCAAACTCTGTACTGGCAAGTAATCGTCCCTTTTCTGTTTGGAGCAGATTGCTGAGACACCGTATAGCCATCATTGTGTTGTTGGGCGGTGAGGATTCCGTGAAAACCCCTGATTCAATAAGGTTTGGTAACAGACTTTGCTCAGACGACACTAGGAAGGCTGCCGGTTCCTCGAAAGCAAGGACAAGTCGTAGCAAATCCAAGGCTGGCAGACGCTTCTCTGCCGGCCATTGTGTTGCGGCTTTGACAAGGAGCTCCACGCCTGTAATGTCAATGCCCTTGCCATTTCCTTGCTCCAATGCCGTGACCGTCGCATTCAGCTGTTCCACATCGGGCGGGTTCAGCGAGACACCCTTCTGCCCATCGGCCACAAGTGCCTCGTTGAATTCAGTAAGTTTCTTGAAGATGATCTTGTGGTTTCCTGTCGTGATGGGTAGGTAGTCCTTTTGCGGAAGTATCTTAGTGGCTGGCGGTGCGGGTGGAGGCTGGGTCGCTACTTGATTGGCGTCGCCGGGCCGATACCGTGCCTCCGAGCCCCATGGGTCCGTTCCTTGCGCACTACTCTGACCTAGGGTTGCACCCTGTGTGTTCTGAACAATGAAGTTGGCGACTTGATCGAGGTATGTGAGCGGTAGTTCGTTGTCTTCGATGAACTTGCGCGCAGCTTCGTAGTGGTTCTGGTTGAGGTTGTAGGGTAGCTTCAGCGGAGGCTTGCCATCTTCGATGTCGACGTCGAAGACATAGTCGTACTCTTTACCAGCGTGCGAAATTTTGCGTCCGCCGCTGCCCGCCGAGTCGACGACAGTGCCAACGTTCACCCACTGATTGGCGGCTGCAGACCACTGGTATGCGGACACGTTGCCGTTCATCTCCTTGATCATCTGGACCTGGCCCTCCTTGGTGCCGGAACGTTGTGTGAGAAACTCGGGGCCGGGCAATTGCTCCTTATTGATGTCTCCCACAGTCTGCTGTGGTATCGAAGAGCCCTTGACGTCGTCGTTGAATTGCTGGATCTCGGCTTCTGCAGCATAGCGGGACTGATCACGGGTAAAGACGCGCGCAAGCTTGTCGCTCGCACCAGTGACGATGTCGCCATTCTCGCCGCACACAGCCACTGTCCATACGGAGATGGCTGGGTGGGTGATGGTCTGGATACACTGGTTGCTTTCCCATATGCGCACCGTTCGGTCTTCGCCAGCGCTCACTAGGCCGCCATTGGGAAGGACGGCAAGGGAATAGATGAAGTTCTCGTGACCGTGCAGCTCGGCCACCTGTTGTCCGTTGAGTGTCCAAAATCGGATGACGGCGTCGTTGCCAGCGGAGGCGAACTGGGCACCAGAGGGATGATCCGGAGGCAATCGGCAGAGAGCGCGCACGACTTCAGGTGCTTGTATCGACCGCACCGGAGACGTGGAGCCTGAGGTGTGGAAGATGCGTATTTGCTTGTCTGCGCAGCCGGTGATGATGGTGTTGCTGTCGTAGGCGAGGACGGCCCATACAGAGGCAGAGTGTCCCTGCAGCACTGTAGATTCGCCCCACTTGCCTACTTCCCATAGCCGTGCCTCCATGTCCCAACTGCCGCTGACAATGTATTTCCCGTCCTCACTGACATCCAGCGCGCACACATTGTTGCCATGTCCGATCAGAAGAGCGTCGGCGTCATCGTCGAGGTTCTTGCTCGGCCGCCGTACGTCGATGATTTGGTCTTTGCCGCCCGATACGACAAGGCCCTCGGGGAAGGAGGACGAAGGTGGAACGATGGCGAGCGAGTTGACGAACTCTTTGCCGTGCGTCTTGATGGTACTGTCCCATATGGGTGGGCTTTGTGACTGCTGTGCCCAGACGCGTACTGTGAAGTCTCGCGACGCAGAGACAATGGACGAAGGTGATGGGAATGCTACGCTGCGGACCTGTTGGTGATGTTAGTCGTGGCCCTGCAAAGTCTAGTAGTTGACTTGTATTTGGAGGGAAATCTGCACGTACATCGTCTTCGTGGCCGCGTAGAGTGGCTGATAACTTGAAGTCGGCCATAGTTGGGCCAGGGCGGGGTTGCTGGCTGGTGGTGATGGTGGTGGTTGGCTTAGCAATACAAGAGAGAAGGAAACAAAAGACTACGTTGAAGTGAGAGAAGCGCACATAAAGCTCAAGGTGAGTGAACTCGGCGGAATTGCGACTGCCCGGACGTTGTGAGTGTTTACAGCGACTTGCTTGTCCCAGAGCTCGGTGATTGTCGACGTCAGCCTTTCGCGAGACAACCGAAGCACCCATGTCACTTTCGCATTATGTCAGCCTCGCGTGCCACATTGCTCCTGCCCATTGCGAATCCTTCTATCTCCAACACAACACCATGGGCACGCTTTGACGATACCCTCTAGGTCTCTCTTTCCTTTCTACACACGGGCAGTCACCAGCATATCACGTGTCGCTTGGCCTCAGGTACTCGTACGAGTGGCTTGCGGCTGAGCACCTGGCACCTGCTCTACAAAGCCAATAGCGCCAGCCTCAGCTTCCGCATGTCTGGTCATACGCATCTAGCCTAACGTCCATCTCACCACGATCTTAGATTCCCTTCCATCGGCCTGGTACGTGGTCGCGGGCAACGTCGCTTCCATGGCAGCAACACGGAAGGCTGAGTCTCAGCTTTCGGCGTGCGCGTAGTGTCTTGCTAGACAGCTCCTTCCACACCACCAGCCTCCTCGTTACCGCTTTCACACACTCTGGCCTCGATGATTTACAATTGCTCATTCAGTACGGAGTCGTTGCAGTCGCAGCAACGCATTGATTGTCATCTGTCGTTCTACCTATGCGAAGATCCACCATCGGAGACATATCGGCTTTTGAAACCGGGGTAGGAGTTCTCGACCGAACATACTTTCCTAAAGGCACATCGTGACGAGGATACGTAGCAATGTTACAGTTTCCTAGGAGAAGCACAAAATTCGTTCGTGATCCCGCATCGCACTCTTGGGTACGCGTCCCAAAGAAGCGCGGATCGGCGGCGGTGGGCCCAGAACCTCCCGCACCAGATTTCCTGCCAAACGTCAAAGTCTTGGTCGTCAGGTCGTGGTGCAGCACCGGCTTGAGGTTTCCCATACCATCGCAGCCTGCTCCCCACACATCCTGGACGGAATCCTCCGCCCCGCCTCTTGGCCGTCCGTCTCCATAACGGAGCGCGGCCTTCGCGTTTCGCCGACCGTCTGGAGTCCGTCAGTACCCACGGTAGCTTTTCATGCGCAGGGCAAATGATTTCGCTGGTCTCCCGGATTTCCCTGGTCAGTTGACTCTAGCTGCTACCCTTTGCCGCTTATTTGACATGCCCTGCGCCTCGCATCCACCATGGCTCGCGTTCGGCATTGCGCTGCAGCCACTAGAGCCTTAGCCCTTCGCGTGACATTGCTTACCCTGCCTTTCCACGCTGCGCTTGCAGAAGACCGCCCTGTTTGTTCTAGCCCAGCCCGCGCTACACTTGTGCCAAGCCACTGAGTCCTCTGGACGAAGCGATGCGTGTCAGCTCAAATCTTGCGCTGCCGGCGAGCGATGGGACACCCTGTGACTTGCCTAGATGCGGTCCATGCAACCGCCCATGTCACTGAATTTCGAATGCGCCGTCCAGGACTGACGCCAGCGTGCCATGGCTGGAGACGGCTGCATGCCTACAAGAGCGCCAGTAGCCCTCCCTTCTTGCCTTACTTTCCGCTTTCACCTCGATCTGCAATACCCATCAACACTTTATAGAAGCATTAAGCAATCAGCAATCTCGGCACATACACAATCATCTGAATCGCCAACAGCATAAGATTGCCTGTTTCCGGCGATCTCGGTACCCTTGCCTCAGCCTACCCAGTCTCTCGGATTCGCGCGGCGCCTCCGTGATCAGCGCCCGAACCCTACGTACCCCTACGCGTTCTTGCGCAAGGACAAAATCGTCACACCTGTAGCCGTTGTCCTTTTGTTTTTAACGGCAGGGTCCTACGAGCATCTGCCTCAAGAAGCCTTCCTCCGCCCGCCAAACTCTTCAATTATCAGTAACCTCTCCTCACGCTCGTACCTTAACTCTCTCACACTACATCTCTACAATGGACGCACCAATGATTGAACTCAAGTCGGCCCTGGCCTCGTAAGTTGCATCCCTCTGTCCCTCCAACCCAGCTAAGTCTGTTAGACTGTTTGCATGCGGACAATACTCAGATCTGACCATCGTTTGTGGTGCCAAAAGATACCCAGTACACCGTATACTCCTCGCAACAAGATCCACCTTCTTCGAGGGAGCTTGCCGCAATGGCTTCAGGGAAGCAGAAACTGGAGTGGTTGACCTCAGCGAAGATGACGCAGAAGCTGTTGACCACATGGTGCACTGTACGTATTGCATGAGGCGATGGGACCCTAGACTGTGCTAAAGCTTTCTAGACTTCTACCACATGGACTACCTCACCAAGAAGTCACTCTCGCGTCGATCCTCACAACGATCGAACCGACCTACTTCTCTACGCTCATCGATCACCAAGAGGAGAAGCCCCCCAAAGAAGCTGAACCTTGTTCAAGTTGAAGACCCGCTCCTTGCACTCATGGCAGCAACCAACAACTCAATGCCGCTCACTCCTCCTGCCGACGAGCCCATGTTTCAAAGCATGGATGCATCCTCCAAGCTGCCCGACACGCCGATGGCCGATCAGTTCTTCGAGGATGACGATCTAGAAAGCGAGCAATCAGAGACCGAGTTCGACATTGAGACGACACATCTCATCACACATGCCAAGGTCTACGCCATTGCTGAGAAGTAAGTAGTACACTTCCTTCGTCATTGTTTACTTTTCCACGTTTTGCCTGAATGCGCGCCGCGATTTGCGGGGTTCCTTCATCTGCGCCTGCAGCTCTACTTTCTATGGCTGGGGTGGGCAGGGCGTGGCACGGCGGTTGAAACGCCGACAAACTCCGCCATATGCGTCACCGGCACTCTACCTCGCCAATCGCACTCCGCGCTGCACACCCCACTGTATCTTGCATACACAGCCTTTTCGTCTGTTTTTCTTGTGTACGATTTCAAGATGCACCAATTACCTACTATGGTCCTTGGGCCTTCATGGCTGCATCTTCGAAACAGTCCGCGTCAGCGTACTACTACTATCTCTCCAATCATGCGCCCACCTTTCATCACACCTCCTTTGGAACTTGCTTGCTAACGGTTTATGGCAGGTATGGCATTGCAGGCTTGAAAGCGCTTGCGCGTAGCAAATTCGCAGAGGAGGTCGAGCTGCACCTCAGCAGCGCCGACTTTCCAGAGGCCTGCCAAGAGGTGTACGAGTCTACCTTCCACACTGACCGTGGTCTGCGAGACGTCATCATCCAGACCTTCCGCGCCAATCCCAGCCTGTCGCTGCGACCCGATGTTGAGATGGCCGTGCGAGAAACACCAGGTCTTGCTTTCGAACTCTTCCGCATGGCGAGCGGACTTCCTGTCTCTTCCTGAAGAAAACTCCGTCACAGTCGTTCCCGCATCGAGCTAATCATCGCTGCCCCGCAGTCTACACCAGTATCTGCCCCGCCGCTGCAAGCATACGACTCAACTCTTTGTTGAGTCTCCGTCATCTACCTGTGTAGGATCCTACGCGCGTCCAAGACCGGGATCATCCTGCGGGAGGTACGCAGCCACCACACAAAACGTCTGTCTTGGCTAAGGCACCGTGTTTCACGACAGCCGCAGTCAACCGTCGACATGATGCGGGGTCAGCATGTCTTACTATCCTTGTCGAGCCGCGCATCCGCGCAGTTCAACGTCACACCCGGTGTGCTTAAGCCAATAGGCCCTTATTCTCACCTATTGACTCTGCCCATCGGCAATCTCTTTCTTTCTTTCTTGAGATATTTTGCAGCACTTCTAGCGATGCCAATGAGCGATCTTGTATTATTCTTTTCGTGATGTAACCTTTACAAATATATCTATCAAAACATACGCCCTGTCTCAACCTCGCATCAGCCATATCACTGTGTACTAATAACCCATATCGAGGTACAAATTGGCCCGAGAGGCAAACCAGAAACCTACGTCATCTCATCGGATGCCATTTCGGCGTGTCGATAGCGTTTGCGATTACTATTTTCACCCACATAGCGTTATCAGTGACCACGGACGTGCTTGATGTGATAAAGATAGAAGTAGAGAATAGCATTTGCTACGGTCTACGTCAAGTTCTACAGAAGAGCCGGAGATCGTGCATCAGCCACCTGGCTTACACATGAGGTTTTCTCAACACAGAACATACTTTCCCAGTTTGAGTGTACAACCCCTACCAAGAGATCTACAACGGTTTCGGTCCGTTCCTGGATCTTGCTTCTGGAGGTGGGGCGGATCTACAGTGCTTACCGATCTGTGGCTTTGAAATCAGACGCACGATAGGCTTTGAAAGTGTTCGTGCGAGCTGTTTGTCCGGATCGCGCTGGTGAATGTTTGGGGGTGAAGAGACGGGATGGTCATGGGTGTCACGCGTACCATGCGTGTGCGTCAAACTTCAGATTTTTCTCGAATGTTCTGCCTATACATCACGGATCATTGCTCGTTGGGAGGTATTGCGATATACAGCATCTCAAAGCATGTACTTTGACATCGCGGTCCATGTTTGCGAGCGCATCCATCGAGTATCATTGCATTCCATTGCCATTGCACCTCTCTGCCATTTGACGTAACGTCGCGATGCGGCCATGTATCCAGTCGGTGATCGTCGAGTATTAGACCACATACATATCGAAAGTGGCATGCGACGATGGTCGTGTTGGCAGTGAGGTGTGGTATCGCGGTATCGGAATCTGCGCGCCGTTTGCGTACGATCACACTCATCGCTCATCGCTCGTCGCGTCCTTCCCCTTTGCAGATTCTTATACCCAACGTTGCAAACTTCTCACACGCGCAATACCATCTCCGTCTCTTGCAAAAACTTCCCTTCCGGCCAACCTCAGCCATGACAGACCTCAACTCGCAGCCAGCCAAAATGTATGTTCCAGAAAGGACTCCGATGCTAACAAATTTGTGCGCAGATGAACCCGCCGCCGTTGTTTTATTCCCGTTGAAAAGGCTACCCGAAGAGCTCCTCCTCCATGTCGTCACCCAAGTCCCAGAAGTCGATCTTCACAACCTCAGTTTGGAAGCCAGACATATCGGCTCTATGGCACAGGAGGCACTCCATCAATGTCCCACAATCTCTTACACCGACGATGCTATGCCGCAAGGAATCGTCCGGCTGGCTCGCACCGTCTTCAGCCGTCCGGACCTAGCACGCGCAGTGAACCAATTCACGCTGCGACCCATCATTCATCTTGTCGAGATTCCGTTCACCACCCTGTCCGCGGCTGACAATCAAGCACTCCAGGGCTTCTCCCAGCACACACGCGTGTATATGGGCGAGACTCAGATCGTGGCACTACTCCTTGCTTCCCTTCCAAACTTGAAAGAGCTCGATCTGCAAATACTCTTCAACGGCAGCCTGCACGAGGTGGACAGCGGTCGTTATGGCCATGCATGTAGCGCACAGTGTAGCCCCCCCGAAAAGGCCGGCTCACACCCCCTCGACATCGCCATGAACCCAGGATTTGAAGACGATCCGGAAGCTGCATCTGCATGCTCGTCATATCAGCTGGGATTGGTTGGCATTGCCTTGCCTGAAGGCCATTACCCTTGGTCGGCATTGCAGCGTTGACTGGGATATTGCATCCATGGGTGTTTCCAGGATCGAAGAATTGGAGCTGAATCTCTCTACAGAGGTCTTCATAGACGACGACGACGACGACGACCAGAGATACAACGACCTACCCAAGCTCTTTCAGCGAATGTGCTTCCTGCGATCGCTCACCATCAACACGAGCAATAAGTGCTTTGCTCTAGGGCCAAACCAAATCGAGGCGGATATCCTCGAAGATGATGTGCGAGGAAGCATGGAAATCCTCATCAAAACCATGTTCGCAGTATCGCAGACACTAGAAGTGCTGTGCATCAAGGAAGGCGACACAAACCGGGATTCCTTTGAGTACCTGGAGCCGGTAACAAGCCTGGTCCACTTCAGCCAAATGAAGTACCCTTAAATATCCTTTGAAGGAATTTTGGGGCAGAATTTGGTGTCGAGGAAGAGAATTGCGGAGATGCTGCCAGATAGGCTTGAGAAGTTGCGTCTCTCAGGCCTACCTGCAGAAGCCACGAAAGGGTTGGAAGACGTGTCCGTAGAAGATATCGGGTTGGCATTTCCGACATTGTTGGATTGACAGAGGCTAGAGAGGCTTATGATAGATACATACATGACGCGAAGACAAATAAATCAGTACATCAGATAGCGTGGAGGTTGTCAGAGTCGAAAATTTGGTTGTGCGCGTCCGTGATGATGGGCTGGGGTCATCCAGGCTCCGGTTTTGTCGAGGGCGTCATCGTGCGAAAAGGTCGTGAATACCTCTTGGGTATGCTGAGAGTTTCTGTCGGGAGTCCAGAAAGGATCCGGTGTCTGGCCGGTGGGGGAGAGTATCATATAAGACGGTGTTGGTCTTGGGGACCCGACGACGCCCTAGCGCTAGCGTGGTTCGCGCTGACACCTGCATACATAAACTCTCCGAACCCGAACATCTTCACGTTGCGTCATCAGGCATGCAATATTCTTACCCCTTCGTAGCAACGCTGTATGTGGTAAAGCCGGGAATGCACAACTGTCGCTTATCAGTTCGAGAAGGGGCTCCTGGCGAGCCACACTGATGCCCATGCGCCGCGTCGGCGTAATCTCATGATGGACGCGTCCAACGCGTCGCTCGTCAAGAACCTCAAACGCAACCTCACCGATGTGTAAAATGCCATTCAGCTGTCCACCTCACATCCTCAGGTAAGTCCTCCGTACTGCACTAGCGCGCCCGTCGCAGCATCCGTATCCGGCTCTGACATGGTTTAGGGCCTACAAGAATGGCGATTTCACCGACCTAGTCATCAGCTGCGGCAACTCAACATTTGATGTGCATTCCGTTGTTGTTGGCTCAGCATGCGAGTTCTTCGCGAACAATATCAAATTCGGTGGAAAGGTAAGTCGGTAGCTTTTCCTGCCAATCTTCTGTGTTGACAACAAAGCAGGAGGCCGATGAGCGACGTATCGATCTGCCGGACGATGACCCAGAGATGATCCGACGTTTAATCGCTTACCTTTATCTGGGCGACTACGATCCTACCGATGAAGTTGGCATCGCCGCGTTCGAACAGCTCAAGCAATATGAGCCCAACACAGCAGCAGCGCCCGCTCACCATCCCCGCAGAGGCGTATTTGGAAGCTCTCAGCCTCATGATCAATGCGCTTGCCTTGCGTTGAACCTGAAGAATATCGAGCAGGTGGCGTTGAAAGTAGAGCAGCAGAAGAAGGCATCGCAATACGTCAGCCACCGAAAGCCCGACAACAGCATCGAAATCACTAGCCCGCTTACGATCCACGCGGGCATGTATGCACTCGCTGATAAATATCAGGTGAAGGGGCTTGGCCGACTTGCAAAAATCAAGTTTCGGGATAGTCTGGATCATCACGTCGATTCTGAAGACTTCATCGCCGCAGTACAACTAACGTACAGCAACACCCCAGAGTCCAACCGCGGTCTTCGAGATGAGATAGTTCAGGCTTTCCGGATGTATTTCAAGGTGGACATCACGGAGTTACCGGGGCTGGAGTCGAAGCTGGACACCATTGATGAGTTGTCTTTCTTGCTCCTCAAGTCCTGGCCAAGGAAGATGGAACCTGCAAGCCCTCAGAAGTTTGTCTCGTCTGCAGGTGCTGCTCACACGGCTTCTCACCTGGTCATTACTGCTGGTCCGCCCACCTCCGGTACCATCGCTACTTCCGCCTCTTCCAATGCTCATGTGACGAGCACCGGGTTTGCCTCTTATTCTCATACACCAGGTGCCACTACCTCTAGTACTCCAGCCAACGGAAGCTTGTTTGGAAGTCTCCCCCCACGCACTTCGGGCGGATTTGCAAGCTTCTCGTCATCACCCAGTAGTACTGGTAATGCGGTGTCAAGTCAACCAACTCTTGCTTTCGGATCTCCAGCGTAATGGGTACTCCTGCTATCATACTAATTCGAGCCTTTTCACACTGTCTTACTATGTGGCATACAGCCTTTTGCCGGATTCATCTAGTGACGTTCTCTCGCGACTTCCTCTTCGTTGTTTGAACACGTGCGATACCCCAACCTCCCACTACTCGCGGCAATCACTCCACCGCCATTGACTTTACGGTGCCGATACCTTCCACAACCCTTTGTTGATCGCCGAGCGCACTTTCTCGCCGGATGCAATGGCTGTGCTCAGCTGCGAGTTATATGACACCCGCGTTATTTCTTTCTCTCGTACATCCTCCCGTCAATCGACCCGCGCGAAACCCCGGAGAACTTCAATTGGCACTGCTGCATTCATCGATTTTGATCTCTTTTGGGAATCACACATAATATATACGCATCTTTTGCATCAAATTCACCATGTCGAACGTACCCAAAATGTCGACTTCTAACACAGACGTCGATGCCGCCTTGCCGCATGCCTCACTGCTCGCATACTTCCCTGATTCTGCAGCTGTTTCTAAGGCGACAGATACCGGTATCTCATCGAATGAGAACAGTCATGGTACCTACACGCATAAATTGCTTCATGCTCACACCGACGACGACGACGACGACGACGACGACGACGAAGAGTCAAAACTAGGCTTCTGGGGCGAGGTGGATGGAGCTAAGAGCTCGTCCGGATCATACTCATTCTGCGAAGGCAGATCAGCTTGGAGAGGAGCGGCCGCTTTCTGCTGTCTTTGGTGTGCGTTCTCGGTCATTATCCCCGGCGCTTTTGGCCTCTATTTCGCTGTCGACCTTGCATTCAGCCACTATGGACTGGGGACTGGGATGGCGGAGTGGGTCATGTACAGACAACAGCTCCCACCAAGCAACATCCGTTGGGTGAGTCACTCGCAAGACGACAGTAGTGTCGATGAGCAGCATACTAACGCTTAGCGTGCCTTAGATAGAGTTCTGCCTTGAGACTCCGAACCGTGAGGCACCTGGCCCGCAGGCCTGGCACTAGCTGAAAGCAGGCACCGGCGACCGTTTCACTACCGATACCATTGACTTCATTCTCAATCCAAAGGAAGCATGGAAGATTCAACCAGATGCGATTCTGCTCCTGAGGGACGATGCGTCATACATGGATTAGCATGAACAGATTGGTGCACCCGTTATCTCCCGAGAACAACCACAAGCTCCTAATTTGGGTGACCATATTGCGGAAGATGGTCACCTAGTCCGAGAAGTTTGAGAGGTCAAATGTGGAAGCTATCGCAGGCAACTGGTAATTGACACTGGCATTTATTTTCCAGTATACGTTATTTCGCACATTGTTTGTCTGGCATCTTGCAATAAATCTCATGCATTTGTTCTTTCTAGCTGTGCCCCTTAACGATAGCAACATCGCCGCTCCGAGAACGCGCGCTAATAGTGAAGTCCTCAAACAGTCGAAGCCATTATCTGCTTGTTCAGACTGAGTGACGCAGAGGTCCTCAGAGCTGCGATACGTATCTTTCGATACCATCTCCTTGCGTATGAGGCGTACGAAGTGCGGAAAGTGTGGTTGGCTCGTCGTATCTGGGTCGCCTCTGCGTCATTGTTGAGCGACGCAAGTGGTGGAAAGGCTTCTTCATCGTCGAAATATGGGACCGCTATGTCATCGGCGCGTGACTACATTCGAATCGTTCGTGGGTCTTCCTCGTGGGGTTCTGTGTCGCATGTGGCTCTCTTGGCAGGACAATGCAGGATCACTTCGTAGTGCATCTCGCGACTCTCAATCAAAGCGCTGTACTTTTCATACATCCTGACGCGCTCGTCATCTTGGAAATCTTCACAGATCAAATACACAGCTTTCAGATTCGTAAATCCGTGGCCAAGAAGAAGGTCCTGTGTTATAGTAACGATTTCCAGCTTCTTGATGTGTGGTCGCGAAGGGAAGGGTATCCGTGAAAAGAACTTTGCCACTTGATAGACCTCACCATAGACGTTCATAATCTTCGTCGGTTTCTGGCGGTCCGCCATCTCCATAATCCCCTTTGCCCCAGCCCGCCCATTCCAGAAACGATTTATAACGGATGTAGAGGCGGACACGGTTTATCTTGTCGCACGCACGGATAGCGCAAGGGATTTTCCCTTTCAGAAACATATCAATAGCGGCTGACGCGTCGCGGAAGTGAAAGTCGTTCTCTTCAAGATGCCGTGCAGTGTTTTGGCGAGCTTGGTCCTGTCTGACTTTGCGCGGATCAAAGCGAGCTTCTTTCCGTATTTTTTCTTCATCTTTCTCGATCTTCTCCCCTATCGCTTCTACACTCATAGCCTCGACATCTTCACCGTCTTGTTCACCCAGGGCTCTGATCCCCTCCTCATAATCTTGGAATCATCCGTGCAGCAGATTCGGGATTAGTACTGGATTGAGAAAAACCGACCACCTTGTCAAAGAAGTTGATGCATCTGCTATTGTCCCAGTACATATGAAGTTAAAGCATGGGAGAGCAATGTTGAAGGGAATGCTTGTTGAATCAACGCCGGTTTATATGCTTCAACATAGGCTCTGGCCTAAGCTCGTGCGCTAATCCACATAAGACAAGCGGGGTTATGTGGGTGTGGCTCTCTCACCGATCGCCATCGAAACTGCGCCGAGCTCGCAGTATCCTTGATCAGCATCTTATTAGTAGCGCAATGATCCTGGGTGCGGTAACGTTCTGGGCTTCGCGCTCGAACTTGGAGTCTGTTCGCGAGTGGCTTTACTTTGTGGGTGCGTTGTGAAGTGACGAGCTTATTATGAGTGCACCAAATCGCATAGGATGCCATACTTACCACGACCCAGGCCAATCAGAAGAGACTGAATCACAAGGCGTTTCATGTTCAGTACCTCATCGTAACAGTCACAAGCATTTGTCGATTGATGTCATCAGAGGAAGTGGATTATCATTAATGTCTATCGTGATCTTCTATGGTTCACTTAGGAGCTCGATGACAAGATCAAGTAAGTCCGTTATTCGTAGCCACATGGGCGGCGATCATAGCGCAAACGCTTAAGCAGGAGGAGAGGTAGGCTCAGGGACGCCAGGAGGGCAGTGCCAGTGGTCGTCGTGAGGCTCGCAGGCCTCAGCGGGGGCAGCAGCGGCAGAGGTGGCAGCAGCAGAGGCAGAGGCAGGAGCAGCAGACGCGGAGGCGGTGGCGGAAGCAGTGCTGGTGGCAGCAGCGGAAGATTCTTCCTCAAGAGGGGTGTAAGTGCCAGGGCAGCCAACACCGGGAACGACGATGTCATGGGCGTAAGCTTCAAGAGCAAAGTACTGGAGAGTGTCGCTGTTCCTCGCGGCGTAGGTAGCGTTGTTCTTGGCAAGAGCGAGGGTTCCGGGGTACTTCTCCTCTTCCTCGTCGTTGTAGTGCTCGACGACACCCTCACCAACTGGGGGAAGATGTAGAAGACGGTGGAGAAGATCAGAGGCCCAGAAGGTGTTGGTGGCGCCGTTGGCGACATCGTATCCGAGCATGCACATGGTGGAAAGAGGCCTGCGGATCTCGTAGGACAAGTCGCAGATGACAGTCTCGGAAGTCGCGTTGGAGCCGCGCCAGTGACCGGCCCAACCCTCCTGGTCGCAGTTTCCGTCGATGTTGTCGCAGCGGAAGAGGATGCCAGACTTGTCGCCGTCGGCAATCTTAGTGAACCAACCAAGAGGCTCACCAGTGGGGGCTTCGCCAAAGTACTTGGTGTAGACCTCGGAGTTGTTACCGTAGCGGAGAATGTGGTCGCGGGCATGGCCGACGATGGTCAACGTCTCATCGAGACCCTTTTGGATCATGCTACGCTGGGTAGCGTTGCAAGAAGCGTGGATGGGGAACTGGTGAACAGCACCGGCATCCCAAGCTGTGGTAGCAGGAGCAGCCTCGGCGGTGTGGGTGACCGTGACGGTAGCCTGGCGAGGGGCAAGAGGTCCAGCCATGGCGGCGGAGGCTCCAAGGAGCATGAGAGCAGAGGCACGAGCAGCCATTGTGAAATTGATCTGAGAAACTGAGCTCTGGAAATTGATATGCGAACCGGAGTTCAGTGAGTGTCCCGAGAAGCTGGATACCGTATGCTTGATGAGGATGCTTGCAAAAGAGCTGCAGACCTCTTTATATTCTATCAGAATGGCATGTCACCACTGAGGACTGTTCCTCTCGGTGCTCATGTACCGACGTCTCCGCAACCTTGACCGCCGAGACGTGAAGAAAAGACGCCTCATGGCTGCAGGCGCAGGTACATCAACCGGTATACTCCCGGTCTATCACCTATCTGGAGATGCAAATGCTACACTACACGGATCTGGAGGCTGATCTATACCTTGGCCTGACGTACAATTCGAATGGTTGAGCTTGGCATGGAGGTGCATGGGGGTCTGGACGACAGGTTTTCCACTCAGAACGTGGATTTATGGGTATGTAAGTACCATGATGGGCACCCAATGGAGAGAAATTCTCCCACCCAAGGACATGTTGTCGGGAGGATTACCTGCGTTCGGGAAGGCCGAAGGCATTAATGTGGGTGATCGATGTGTTCCGAAGCGGCCTCCCACGCGATATGTCATGTCAAGAGTGAAGCAAGGTAGAAGTACGACGGTTATCGAGTCACTGTTCTTCAACGGGGCTCATGATTATTCACTGCGCTGTGCTGTAATCTCAGACAACCCCGAAAAGTCTTACTGGAAGTAAGAGAACAACTGCCATATTCTGAATTCTTGAGGTTGAACGACAAAGAACGATACTAACCTGAACTCATAAGGATTCATCCAAGTGTTGGAGTTGTCAGACCTGGTGTTAGTGTTATGCGCCGAAGAGCCTCCTAGGTCCCGGCTACGTCGCGCCTACGATGCATCCCCAACATACCTCGCCAAGACCTCCGCCACCTAAATAATTGCGCTATTCCACCCACCTACTGCATCTGTAGCGAAGCCGTCTACCGAAAAGCAAAGACTCGGCTTCTGTGGCCTCTGATTTGACGTTTGCTCCGAGACAAGACTTGTGCCAAGGTAAACCATCCAACAGGGTACTCAATGCCAAGACCGCCCGTGGCGCTCACTGTGAAGCAAATGCAAGCCCCAGAGACAAATGGATACCGAAGATTTCTTCGCGGCATCCTTGTGGGGGGCTGCCTTGCCCCATCACGGTACATCCGTTCCAATCCGCTGACACGACGAAAAGCTTGAACGAGGCCGATATATCAAGGGCCTAAGCTGGTATCACCTCGAGCAGCTTTACACCCGTCGGTTCGCTCGTCAGACATATCCGGTAGACTCTGAACATGCCTTCAGCCATGCGATCTACCCTCTCTGTTGCAGTCCTGCTGCTTGCGGGCTCTGTGGCTGCGCAGACACCCACCGTCACTGTCACTCAAGTTGGCGCGACTACCACCGTCTTCACTACCGGAACCCCCTCCATCACGGCCGTGTCATCATGTCATCCCCATAACACTGTTCTGTATGTTTGCCCGTTATCAACTTCGGCTGGTAGAGTTTGGCGCTAACTTGCAACAGCTATTGCATGTTTGGCGAAGACGAGTACCAGGTAGTCGGACCCACTGCGACAGAAGAGTTCCAAGCAGAATACACGGAATGTCATAAGCACCAAACCGACACGTAGGTACCACCTATCACAATGTTTGACGAGATGCTGACTCGAGCAGATACTGTGTCGACGATGCCGGCGAAGATGTCCTGCTTATGACCGATGCTGAAGAATCGACAGAAGGCTCCTCGCACACGGAGGAAGAGTCAGCTGCTGAAAGTGAGCCAGCAGGAAGCAAAGGACATTGCCACGACCACGCTGGTGTTGAGCACTGCGTTGGTGGAAGCGAATCCGAAGTCAACTGCGATGCTCCCCAGCGCGACTACAACATCCCCCTTCGAGTCGGTCTACTCTTCGTTATTCTCTTCACCAGTGGACTTGGTGTATTTACCCCCGTCTTGACCCGGAAGTTCAACCTCATTGGCGCCAACAACATCGTCTTCGTCGTCCTCAAGCAGTTTGGAACCGGTATCGTCATCTCTACCGCATTCGTCCATCTGTTCACCCACGCCCAGCTTATGTTCGCAAACCAATGTCTGGGTGTACTGGAGTATGAAGCTACCACCGCTGCCATCTTCATGGCTGGGTTGATGTTGTCGTTCCTGGTCGACTACCTCGGTGCGCGCTTTGTCCAGTGGCGTCAGGGAAAACACACTGCTCCCAACACCGAGGTGGCAGCTAGTGGTGACAAATCTGGAAACAGCTCTCCTTCGGCAGAGCCCACTCATGACTTCAACCGCAGTCATGGAATTGTTCATGCCCACGGCCCTATGCGCGAGGCTACCCCCATGGAAGAGAAGATCAACGTAATGAACCTAGAGGCAGGTATCATCTTCCACTCCATCCTCATCGGTATCACCCTTGTCGTTGCAAGCGATGGATTCTTCATCACACTCTTCATCGTTATCCTCTTCCATCAGATGTTTGAAGGTATTGCTCTTGGAACTTGCATCGCCGAGCTCCCCAAAGCTGCTGCCGGTACAGCACAAAAGCTCCTCATGTGTGGAATCTTTGCGCTCATTACACCCATCGGCATGGCTATCGGTATTGGAACGCTAGACCACTTCAACGGCAACGACCCTAGCACCATCATCGCCATTGGAACACTCGATGCACTTTCCGCTGGTATCTTAACATGGGTTGGACTTGTTGAGATGTTGGCGAGAGACTGGATGCACGGAAAATTACTCAATGCGGGTGCTGCCAGAACCATCAGTGCACTGTTCGCGCTTGTTTGCGGTCTTGTCCTCATGAGTGTTCTGGGCAAGTGGGCTTGATCAAATCGTTCTGGAGGGCTGTACGACTGTACGATGCTGAAGTAATGACTTTACGGTGCCACATTGGGATGAGTGTTTGGGCTCTTATTTAGACCGGATCATAGTCTGGACTTTCACTTAGCTTATACCCTTAATGCCAAACCTATAGAAGAATGCACTTATTTCAAGATAGTGCTCTTCATACTCTGCTTTCCAAAACTGTCCCATACTTCCGCTCTCCATCCTTCTGGGGTGGAATCGTGCTTCATCAATATTCGATACGGCTCACCGACGTATAGCGGGCTCGTAGCACGATACGCTATGGACCTGGGTACTGCCTCCGTGTCCCCATCTTCGCTTGTGTCTCGCCAAAAGTCCAGCATATTGATAAGATTGAGCGGTCCATGTACAACAGAATTTCTGTGGCCCTCTACTTCTCTGCACCACTCAGGCAGATAGTGTATCTTGTGCGCATTGAACGTCAGCGCTGAGAAGCGGAATAACGAAGTGGGCGTCTGGCAGAAGTCTCTCTGGTGCCTGCCAGTCGGCAATTCTTTCTCTTCTGGCTTTGGCGGTACTTTCGCTGGATTCTCAGGCGTAAGCTCACGCTGAAATACCCAACTACGGCGGTCCGTCAATGCAATACCGTGGTCGTTTGAGAAGGTCTTCTCAACACTAATGAGCAGCATCTCTCCTCCATTCTTCAACGTTTTAGGCTCAGCACTCAGCAGTTTCGTCGTCTCCTTGACTTCCTGGCCCACTCTTAGCAGTGCATTTTTGTCTTGCGCCCACGTTAACTCGCCGCCAGCCCACATTCGTCTAGTAAATGGACTCAAAGGGTTCACGGTGCGATCTGTGCCATCAAGTCCCAATTCGGCTTCAACGATGGAGGGAGTGAAGTAGACTAGATGGTAACCGGGTGGGATTGGCGTGCCGGTTGGTGGCGGGTTGAAAGAGGAGGGGGTTCGGTTGAGTGTTATGGAGAGCAGTTGAAGTTGGTTTGCATCGAGGAGTTGTTTACGAATCGATACGGGCCCTTTTTGGAAACGTGTGAGGAGTTCACTACATGCTTCCGTTGCGGAGGCTTGGCGGTTGGAGGAGGTTGTTGACAACAGGCGGCGGGCCACAGAGGTCATGATGCAGCAATATTTCTATCACCCTGGAGCATCGACGTATCAATAAAGTGCTCGCAATGAGTTTGATGATGCGAAATGAACAATTAGTAATGGTCGACAGCTAGAGAGGTGGAGGAAGATGCCGAAGGATAGCCGATATCGATAACGTCATGCTTCACGGAGCAATTTTGGTAACCGACTTCGGCGTCTTCCAAACAAAGCAAACGTCGAGCTTCGGCAACATGTCCGAACCACCACGGAAACGCGCAAAGCTGGCGTGTGTGACCTGTAATGCGCGACGCGTCAAGTGTGATGTCACGGATCGCCATCCTTGTACTAACTGCGCAGCCGGCAACGTCGAATGCGAGACGCGTGAATCGAGGCGCGGAAAGCACGTCAGGAGGCCGCGGGCCGAGACTGAGGTCCGCAGCAGAACGTGAGTTAAGCCCACTTGGAGCACTCTGTGGCAGGTACTAATCCCGAAAAGCCCACCAAGTACATCGGCTCTGAGCCCGCAGCGACACGAGGACGAGGTGGCAGCGTCACATGTTCTCGCGTCGCTATCGTCAAATTTCCACAGCCCCAACAATACCCACACGCCCGCTTCCGGAAGCCAGTACCAACTTCACACTCCGGCAGTGTCGACAGAACAGCAGAGCAATCCACCAACGACAGGGTCTATTCACCAAGACGACGCCGTCTTCCTTGGTGAATCCAGCTCTTTGCGCTATGTGACAACAGGGGAGGCTGGCGAGCTATCTGCAGCAGCAGCAGAGCGCCGACAGTCCTGTTTTCGCCATGCCGTCCCAAACGCCGCAAGAGCAGAATCGTTCGTGCCAGAATGGGAATCCGATCGACGTCTTGCGCGCAAGAAGATCCTGCAAGCAGAGGGAGCCTTTTCATTTCCCCCTGCCGAGGTCCGGCTCGAGCTCCTCCAGGCGTACTTCAAATGGTTTCATCCACACTTCGCAATCATAGATGAAGAAGAATTCTGGGCCTCATACCAAGACTTCACGTTTTCTGCCTTGTCTTTACAAGCTATGATGTTTATTGGCGTTATCCACTGCGAAGAGTCTACCCTCAAGGCTCTTGGGTGGGGAAACCGTCATCGAGCAAAATGGTTCTTTTACATCAGGGCAAAAGACCTATACGATGCTACGTACGAGACTGATAAGGTCACAGTCATACAAGCTCTGTTTCTGATGAGCTTTTGGCGAGCTGGTGCGTTATTGGAGAAGGACGCGCGACATTGGCTAGGCACAGCTATTAGTCTCTCGCAAACAAGAGCACTACATCGTTCCGGGGGCGATACTGATGAGAGACGCGCGAGGGTCAAGAGGAGGCTCTGGTGGGCTATATATGTGCGCGAGCGACAATGCGCATCGGCTCTGGGACTACCGTGCCGCATACGCGACAAAGATTGCGATATCGAGCCATTGTCCTCCGCGGATTTCACTTCTGCTTTTGCGTCATCCACTTCTATCGAGGACCGCCATAGATATACGGTTTACACGATAAGTATGGTGCAGCTGGCAGTCTTCCTGGGCAGAGTAGTGGATGCTGGCTATCTGCCAGGGCGAGATCTTGCCCCCGAAGAAAGAATCAAACTCCGGAACGAGCTACATAAGTGGAGACAAGATCTCCCGAGTGTCATGCAGCTGCATACGGATGCTGGCGACCCACCTAACTTCCAAGCCAGCATGCTCCATCTCGCGTACAACAACCTACTCATTCTACTCCACCGCACAAGCTTCGTTGTAGATGAGAACAGTAACACATCCGCGGACGGGAATGTAGCGCTCCAGGCGGCAGCGCGCAACTCGCGTATAGTCGAGGATATGCTACCAGATGGCAACATCGGTCACGCTCAGATGCACGTCATCACAAACCTCTTTAACACACTTTGCATCCACGTTGTCAACTTCCGGCGCTCGAGCGGTATCAACCGCACGCTCGCTGAACATCGAGCCAAGCTTTGCCTGTTGGGCTTGCAAGAACTTCAAAAGACATGGGAAGTGACAAACTGGGTATTGCAGCTATTCTTCCAATACCTCGATAGAGAAACTGCTTCTAGGTTGGCTATGGAAGCGGATGACGGAGGCGTCGCGAGGAATATTGGCCAGTCTAGTTCGGTCGGCACTACTGCGCAAATGCCGTCGCAGCAAGAAGGTGTCGATAGCATCGCAATTCGTAACACCCAACATGATATGGAAGGTCCTGCGTCAGCTGCCACTAGCCCTAAGCCCTGGTCATGGACCCTGGACGAAGCGGATCAATATCTCTTCACGCAGATTGAGAACGATTTTGCTTTTGGTGAAGGTACCCTGCAGCAATGGTGTCCAGAAGATCTGCTCACAACGGAGTGAATGGGTCTTGTTGTGCCACCACAGTAGTAAGTTATTATTAACGCGTGTGGCTCTTACACTCCGTACTTCATTCTTGCCACTAGGGTACTACAGCGCTAGGTATCTCCGCAAGCATTCGTATGCAATCTCACTCTACAACTCAGTTGTAGATCGCTCCACTAGGCGCATATCCAGTCAATCTCTCTCCATTCGAAGGGCGGAACTTCTCCTCCTTGAACCACACGTGTGCCGACTCAGACAGCTTCTCGACTTCTGAGAAGGGGAATTCCGGCTTGGAGTCAGAGCTCGCAAGGAGGTCGTAGATGCCTTGAGCATAGTCGGGACCGATGTTGTACACCTGTGCGAGGTACTTCTTCTAGTAGGGTGTCAGTATATGTGGAACGACTGAAGGATACACGCAAAAGACTTACCTGAATGTCAGCGTACTTGACAAACTTGAGCATGTTGAAGGTGTTGGTGATGGTGTGTTGCCTCCTCTCCGGCGACATGACCCTGCTCCACAGCTCTTTCGCTTGGTCGTACTCGTTCTTCTTAGCCTCATGCCAGTAGTGGCTCTTGCGGCTCACAACGTTGTCTGAAACCTGGTACGGCGCCTCAGCGACATCAGGACGGAACTTGTGCGCGAAGCTGTTAGGGTTGTATTGCTTGTTCCCTGCGTGGTTGGCATCGACACGCATCTGGCCATCGAACTGGAGAGGCGCGAAGGACTTCGACATAAAGGGGCAGTTGACAGGAATCTGGTGGAGGTTTACTCCAATGCGGTGGTACTGCGCGTCGCGGTAGAAGAACATGCGGAACTGGAGCAATGGATCAGGCGAGTCCTCGATACCAGGGACCATGCTACCGGGTGAGAAAGCAGCTTGCTCAACGTCGCGATGGTAGTTCTCGGGGTTCTTGTTTAGTACAAGACGACCAAACTCCTGCATGGGGAACTGCTTGCGCGGCCAGATCTTGGTTACATCAAAGGGATCGAAGCCAAGCTTCTCGGGATCAGCGTCTTCAGGCTCCATGACCTGTACCATGGCGGTCCATTCGATCTCCTCACCCTTCTCAATGGTCTCCCACAGGTCGCGCTTGGAATAGTCTGGGTCTTCACCACACATCTGTGTTGCTTCTTGCTGGGTGAACTGCTTCTGACCGTGCTTGGCAATGAAGTGGTACTTGATGTACACGAACTTGCCCTGAGCATTGACCCACTTAAAGGTATGGCAACCATAGCCGTGGTTGAAACGCCAGCCTACTGGGGTACCGTGGTCACTGAAGAACATGAGGCCGGCATGGTTGCTCTCGGGTGTGTTCGCTAGAAGATCGAAGATGGCATCGTAGTCAGGAAGGAAGTTCCTGGGGTTACGAGCTTGCGAACGAATTACGTCTGGGCCCTGGATGGGATCGCGGCAGAAGAAGATGGGGAAGTTGAGGCCGACAATGTCGTAGTTGCCCTCCATGGTGTAGAATTTGATGGCGAAGCCACGGGGGTTGCGGGCCTCATCTGGGTATTCGCGACCAACTGTGACAGTCGAGAAACGGATAAAGACGGGAGTCTTTTCGCCTACGCTGGAGAGGAAGTTGGCTTTCTAGGAAAAGTCAGATTTGGCAGATGGTAGGGGATCATGGCACGCTTACCGTAAGGGAGTCAACCTTCTTGGTGCACTCAAAGTATCCAAATGCGCCAGAGCCGCAAGGGTGAACCATACGCTCAAGGTTCTTGGAACGGTTAAACGTCTGCTGCTTCTGGAAGAGGAAGACATCGCTGGCCAAAGGAAGTCCGCCGACAGTCTTGCTGTGTGCCCTACAAGACGTTAACAACTACATCCTTGAGGCGTGCAGGTACTCGCAAGCTTACGGATCAATCCATGGGATACCCTCATTGGAGGTAAAGTAAGGACCATCATCCTCACGCTTTCCGCCCTGGACTGCGCCAGTTATTTTCGCAGCGATATCAGCAGGTCCCTCGTTGGCTGAGCCCATGTGGCTCTGCCTTGGCGCACGTTTTTCCCCAGTAGCGCTCTGGATACCCTGAGAGATGGCCTCGAGGGGATGCTGCAGGGGGTCATTCTGGGAGGCGTTTGCACCGGTCGACATGATGGCGGCAAGTTTGCTTGGTAAAGATGTGGGAATTTCCATGGAGAAGAAACAGTGCGTGCGAGTTTAAAAAGGCATCTTGGAGGGTAAACCATTGCCGCGCACATGGGTAACGGCTGTTACGGTTGTTTGGCATATTGTCAAAGTGATGCGTCTCTGACGCATAGGCAGGAGGGGTAGACTGCCACGACTTCACGTGCAGGACCAGTTGATAGCTGGATTGATGCGTTGAGGTTTAGTGCCATGCGCATCGAAGACCTGAATGGTTTAGATGCTGAGAATATTTCCTTATTCAATACCGCATTTAGTGGGCGTTACCTTTTTCGCAAAGATAGACTAATATATGCTCGCTCATTCGCAGCGGCATTGGCAGTCCGCGGGTATTGTGGAGCGTGGTGGGTAGCAAGGGCATGGGAATTCTGGACTTTGGCATGTTCCGGCATGATGGCAATGTGACGTTTTCGGTCCGATGCATCCTGCATCACCAATACGGCGGTCCGCGGAACGCTACTCCACCTTGCACAATTAATCGGTACCGTACACACGACAGGTGGATGCCGCTCCCAGTCCAATCATGCAGCAGGTAATCGTCATCCAATACACTGTGCGACATCAGCGACAAGTTGCGCACGCATATCCAGAGGGCAAACACCTGGGCAGAGAAAGCGCGCCTCTGGCGAAGGAATGACGTATTATCTTGTCAACAACCATGTGAAACAAAAGCTCGCGACTGACCTCGAAAACGAGTTTGGTACACCCTTCTCTCAATCCTAACTCAGATTTCGATACTCAGCCCATACTGTCACAATGTTCGCTCCTCGCGCCATCGCATCACCACTCACGCGGGCCGCCTTCAGGCCACACTCAATCCGTAGCGCTGCCAGACCAGCCTACTTTCGCATCCAGATAGCGCTCAATTCGACCATTTCAGAAGCCATCACCAAAGACCACCGCGAGCTAGAAACATACTACAAAGAAATCATCAACAACCCGGACAACATCGACCATGCAACCCGCTACGGCAACCAATTTACATGGGAGTTAGCCCGCCACTCTGTCGCTGAAGAACTCCTCGTCTACCCAGCCATGGAAAAGTACATGGGAGAAAAGGGAAAGCAGCATGCAGAGTCAGACCGACAACAGCATCACGAGGTAAACACCACTCCTTCCATGCCAATCCACATCATCCTCCAACTAACACGTCAAACACACAGGTGAAAAAGCTCCTCAAAGAGTTCCAGAACATGGATCCAGCATCCTCATCCTACATCCCCAAGCTCAAAGAGATCTGGTCCCTCCTCGAGCGCCACATCGCCGAAGAAGAACGCGACGACCTGCCTGCCCTCGAAGCCGCCCTGTCCTCTGCGGAAAACCGCGGAAACTCAGAGTCGTTGGCCAAGAACTTTGGTCGCACAAAGGCGTTTGTGCCATCTAGGAGCCATCCTAGTGCGGGCGAGAACCCGTATTTCGAGGGCCCGATGGGCATGTTGGCGGCGCCGATTGATCATATTGCGGATATCTTTCGCAAGTTTCCAGAGGGGACGGTTAGTCCGAATCCGAGTAAGAAGTGAGCATGTGAGCGTGTGAGAGGTAGTTGAATGTAAAACTGTATTCTATGTTATGCATCTGTAGATATTGAGAACATATGGTGTTTGCCTCGATCACGTGTGGCTCTCCGAGCAGTGAAGAAGCATGACCACCTCGAAGCTACGGTGACTTAATGGCTTCGAAGAAATTGCTCCATGTTGCTCTAACCAGCGCTCTCAACAGCAGATATCCATCATTTGCACTGGCCATGTCATGCGTCGCGGATACGAACATCACAGCAACACTAACATCTATAGGTAGCCATATTGAACAATCCAATTCGTTTAGGTATTCCAAAGGTGAAGGTAAATGCGAGTATTGTACAAGAAGGTTCTCGCTCGCTCGCTCGCTCACTCACTCTTCGCCATGCTATGCTATGCCACCCCCGTCGCTATGCAAAACGAAAGTGAACAGAGAACCTACCCCCTAAACGCCAGCCAAGCGCCAAACAACATTCGACAACAAAAGAGTGCCATATACTTCCATAGCCAATCCAGTACTCTGCGAATGCGTTTGCGTTTGCGTTTGCGCCTGACCCTGACACCGCCTTGTGTGGATGAACGATGGTCGGAGCTGTGCTCTGGTGCACTGCTGCTTCGGCGGTGGCGCCTCGAAACGCGAAGTTGAGGCGGGGAGCCAGGGCTTGCACTCTCCGGAACGCCAGAGGATGCGGCGTGCCGGACTTTCCAATGTTTCTTTTTCTAGATTTGTGGGATGTCGGATCTGCCAAGTGGTGTAGTGGCTTCTCCGTCGTGGTGTCCTCGACCACGGACCTGAACGACTCCCCCTGTGTCCTTCATTCTCTTCTACAGTCCAGCTAGCGTAAGCGCATACTCGACATGTTCTCAAAGGAAAGGAAACACGGAGCACTATGCGCAAAGCTATTCATTGCAATCACCTTCCGTCATCGATCTCAACCTTCCTGGGCCTGTCGCGTTCGCGTTCGCGCTCTCGCTCTCGCTCGCGGTCGTCATAGTCGTTCTCATCGTCGTAGCGGCGGCGTCGCTCACGATCGTGATGGCGACGCTCTCGGTCGCTGTCACGCTCCTCGTCATCCCTGTCGTCCTTGGAACGGTGACTTCGCCTGTCGCGGTCGTCACGGTCGCGGCGGTCATGGTCGTACTCCTCTTCTGCGGGTATGTTAGTACTGATCACGAGATGAGATATAATTTCAACGTACCTCTGCTCTCGCGGATCTTCTTGGTACGATCAGCGAGCTTCTGGATTTCTTCCTTGGTCAAGACACGCAGCACGATGACACAGTCCATCCGCTCTTCGAAGCGCTCCTTGGCTTGCTCGAGGGCTTCAGGGTTGACGAGACGACGATCGATCCTCGTCCATCGAGCTCCGACAGGAATGTCCTTGCCCTTCAATGCGTCCTTGTGTGGTGCAACACCCTCGCGGATAGGCTCAGGGTCCTCAGGGAACTTCTCAGTTGGCTTGCGAAGGATACCTTTGACTGGCGCGACGGGTTCCTTAGGGGGTTCGACAATCACTACACTCTTCCCGGTAGACTCCCTCTCCATTGATTCCGGCTCCTGTACCATGCCTCCATCATAGGTGCTCACAGGGCGATCCCTTGGAGGAGACGCACGCGAGCGTTCTTCAGGACCTCGAGACCTGTCACGCTCATCCTTCTTCCTCCGTCGCTCCTTCTCGCGGTCAGAGTCGCTGTCCTTGTCACGAGTGCTGCGGCTAGCACGTTCTGCTTCTTGCTGAATACGTCGTCGATATTCCTCGTCAGGGTCCAGAGCGGCTTCCTGGGGTGCGGGGTCCCTCCGGCGTTCGGCGTCGCGATCAACGTAGTGACGTGGTCGCTCTTCGTCGCTTCCCGCAGTAGACGGTGCAGGTGCCTTACGAGAAGGAACCTTCTCTCTCTCGTCCTCTTCGTATCGACGCTCGCGAGGCTGAGGTATGTACTCGGGTTGCATCGGAGGGTAGTCGGGAGCTGCGATCGCTGCGGGGGGAGCGGCTGGGGCAGCAGCCGGGGGCGGTGGAGGCGGCACAAGCGAGTTGCGGCGGCCTTCGGACTTCCTCTCTCGTCGCTCGTCAGGACGGTCTCGCTTGTCACGCTCATCGTATTCCTTCCGTCGCTCACGCTCACGCTCTCCTGATGAGTCTCGGTCGCTACCACGGTCCTTGTCACGGGACTTCTTCATGTAACCAGCGCCGGCCAGGGTCGCTGCTACGCCTGCTGCTGCACCAGTTATGGTTTGGACCAAGCCACCTTTTTCTTCTCGGCCGCTCTCACGCTCACGGGGGCGCTTTTCGTAGTCCTGGGGTGGAACAACATCCCTGTCACGGGAGGAGCGAGGTTCCGGCATGCGTGCCTCGGCGCGGTCTGGCTGGTAGTAATGGCTGCTAGACTCCTGTGGCCTAGGTCGAGGAGGCTCGGCAGGAGTGTACAGAGGCTGTCTGTCCAAAGCGTGGTGGTCGTGTGCAAGGCTCGGGGGGCCTGGTGCGATGCCGAACCCACGGCTGGTCACTTCACGGTCCTCAAAGGCGGTGCTGTGGCGTTTGTTCTCAACACCACGGCTCGGGCGGTCGTAGTCATCGCGGTAAGCGTCTCGGCGGGGCTCCTGATGGATAGCGGCAGGAGCGCGAGAAGTGCGAGAGGAGGAGGATCGTCCAAGGTTTGAGTCCGGGTAGGGATCGTACTTGGGGATCTCGCGTGCCCGTTCAATCGAGGATGATCTGGCATGGGGCCGCGGGATGCTGTTGATTTTGTCGAAGCCACGAGTGGACGGGGGAGGACCAAGGTCGCGAGTAGAGGTACGAGAGGGGCGATCCGCGATCATGCTGGTGGGGCGAGAGCCACGTTCCAAGCTGCCAGCACGTGGCCTCCGCCAGGCTGGCTCCGTGTCACGGTACATGCTCGCCGGGTCCGTATAGGAGTAGCCATCGCTGTTGCTCAGGTCGGTAAGGCGCGACGGGGGCTTGCTGCTGTCGTGGTAGCTGCGGCCGCCACTTGTGATACTGTAACCCCGGTCTGCATGATCGCGGTGGCGTGCGGGCTCGACCTCAGCAACGAGCTTGGTCAGGTGGCTGCTGTCGTCGACGCTGTAGACCTTCTTGTGGCCTCGTGAAGCAGCCGGGGTGATGTAGGTGTCGGATCCCTTGGCATAGGAGGGGGTGAGGGGGCTTCGCGGCCGGTCGGTGTGGGTGTGGGACGAGTACGGGGTGCGGAGTGGCAGTGAAGTCTGAGGCAGGGCGCTGGTGCTCACGTTGGGGCGGGTCAGGTCGTTGGTGTTTCGTCGTGGGCGTCCTGTGTACGAGTCGTACTTGGTGCTGCTGGCGTGGGAAGACGTCGTGGGGCTGGGCGTGTAGTAGGGCGTGTGGTGCGAGGTGTGCGAGGTGTGCGAGGTTCCAATGCGGTCGACGCTGGAACGCGGCGAGCTGGGGCGGCCATAGTAGGACGAAGTGTAGTAGGGGTCAGCGAAGGTGCCCGTCGAGGACCTGGCGGGGTTGGAGTAGCGGCCTCGCGGGGACGAGGGGCGGTTGTATCGCGTGTCCATGCCGCCTGACAGCGTGACGGTCTTGATATGGAGCGGAGCGGATTTGGCGGCAGTTTTGGCAGCGGGCTGGGTGGACAAAGAGTTACGGCGTGGGGGAAGGGGCGGCGCAACGGTGCTAGAATAAGTATTCGACCTCAGGCCAGGCGGCTTAGTGGGGAGGAGAACGCTGCCCAACATCGTGTCAGCCCAGTCGTGGTTTCAAAATGGGGAAATGTTGGCAAGTGAAGAGAAGAAGAGCAAATGGCACCAACGAAAGAGAATTAGAAATTAGGCCTGGCGAAGAAGACAGCCGCAGCTCGACGTACATAAGGGCGTTTCGACAGCGAGGATGCAGCCGGTGGGCTCAGCCAAGTAGGGTCGACGACTAGCAGCGCGAACAGGTTGCCCGATGGTTGTGGGATAGCCCAAGTTCCCTGGCGTGAGTGGTGACAGGGGGCGGGGGTACTGGCACGGTGTAAAATCAACGTGATATTTGCAGCCGGCTCCCAGGGTATGCCCAGCACGATACTATGGGCGCGAGGTGGGGACCGCGAGGCAGCGAATGAGGCGGACAAGTGCGGTGGGGTGGGCTAACGGCCGATGTGCACACGACGATGGGAGCGATGGGGTGCAGCGCGCGACACGAGATGGACAGTAAGGATAGACAGCAGGAGGGTGAGGATTCGGTCGGGTACAGAGAGCGTGCCCAGGCCGCCGCCCGCCTGGTTTCGAGGGTGCGTGGAGAGCGTCAGATTGCACTATGTCATCGCCCTCGCTTGGGCCCGCCGACCCCTGCGTCGCACAGCCACTCAGGCGCCGGCATCTCTCGCCGCACAGAAACAGGGTCCGCCCGCTGCTGCTCCTCCTCCTACTAGAATTTGGCTAGCTGCAGAGCAGTTACCACGTTCCACCCAGACGCTTCACTCTCGCTGCCACAGGCACGTCAGCACCGTGGTAGCCGCATGCGCGCTCGACCTGTCAACAACGTTGCCCCGCCGCCTAGCTGCCCTTTCTAGCTGTTACAGACGTCTTCCGCCGCCCAACTGACCCCGCTAGCACGGGATAGCCCTGTGATACCCAACTTGACCGCCAGGACTGCCATGGCCTCGTGACTCGTCCGGTGCAAATGCCCTGCGCGGGCCGACTCAGTTCCTCGTTCCGTTCACGATCTTCGCTGTATGAACACGTCGTACAGATCCTGATGCGCAGTGCAGTATCATGTTCGCGATCGATTGGTCTAGCTACAGAGATATGGCCACGGCGTCTGAACATCAAGGCTTCGGCATCTCTCAGCTACCGAAACTTCCTCGCGGTACTAATCCGCCGGATGCGCCGCAACGTAAGCACTGAACATTGGCTGCTTCTTGCTTTTTGCCATCGCCTCCTCCCGCCGATGCTCTACACGTCCTCGATCTGCTGAACCCGCGAAGCCTTGCCCACGCCGCTTTTGGTCGAGTCGGCATCGTCCGTGGCGTGATGGTGCCTGAGCTGCTTCGCCCGCGATTTGCTCGGCATGGTATCCTGAATGCAGCCCCTGATGATGTTGCCCTCGAACAGCTCGCCGATGGACTCCAATCGCACGCCCTTCGTCTCGGGCACGCAGAACACTGTCCAGATACCCATGACAATGCACAGCGAGCCGAATAAAAGAAACGTCCCGTACGTAATGTTGTCCAGCATCAGGGGGGTAATCTTTGCGATGATAAAGTTAAAGAGCCACTGCGTCATCAACGAGGCCGCCATGAGCAAAGAGCGCACATGGTTAGGACTGCACTCCGATGCCAGCACAAATGGGATCGGTCCCCACCCGAAGGAATAGAACACGACGAAGAGATAGACGCACATGATGGCGAAGATTGCGTTGCCATCCAGCTCACCTGTGGGTGGGTGGACTGCCTGGTTGACGCCAATGTAGTACATCGCAAAGGCTTGGCCCATCGAGCCGAGGATCAACGACCATTTCCTTCCGAGTTGCTCGGTGAAGGCCATCAGGCCAATGGCAGTCACGACGATCTTGACGATACCGTACACTCCAGTTGCCTAGTTGCAGGTTAGCTTGGCTCGCATGCAGTCTTCACAAAATACGTACGAATAGCCCGGAAGAGTTGCCAGTAAGGCCAATCTGCTTGAAGATTTGCGGCGCGTAGTAGTTGATCGAGTTGGTCCCTATTTACCACGTCAGTATATGCCTCACATGCAGCTTGTACGTCGGAACTCCTTACCGGTCCACTGTTGCCAGAACATGAGAATCACAACAAAGCTTGAGCGGTACAGCATCTTCTTGCTCGAGCAGGCAGCCTTGAGCTGAGCCATCATTGGCATCTTCTCGTGGCCGTTGAAATCCTGGATAATCTCGTCCAGCTCCTGCACCACCTCAGGGTCCTCGACGCTCTTGCCGCGGACGTGGGCCAAAGCTTTGGCGGCTTGGCTGAGCTTGTTCTTCTCGACGAGCCAGCGGGGAGACTCATTCATGAAGAGCATGCCCACAAGCAGGAAGGCGCCGGGAAGCATCTGGAGGGCAAATGGCACACGCCATTTTGTCGCGTCTGTGGGGCTAGTGATGTCGAGCGATATGCCGTAGTTTACGAAAAAGGACAGGCAGATACCAGTCACGTTGAAGAGTTGCTGCTAGCGTTAGTGGGTCCGTTCCAGAAAAGCAGTCTTGACAGGTCATACCATGCACCCAATACAACGTCCTCGGATGGCCCTTGGCGCATTCTCTCCAATGTAGGTAGGGACGACCGCTGAAATCAGACCAACGCCGAAACCGCCAATGACGCGTCCAATGTAAAGCTGTGTAAGACTTGTCGTACCAATTCCGCATAAGGTTTGAATCAAGGAGCCAATGATGAAAATGACGTCCGCAATGATTAGGGCCCATTTCCGCCCAAACGTATTTGAGACGTAGAAACTAGACAATGCACCAAAGAAACACCCCGCCTGAAGAACAGAGACGATGTTTCCCTGCAGATTGGCAAAGTCCTTGCTGTCCTTGTCTAGGTTAAACGAGTGCTGGAACGCATCCATCGTTAAGACACCTATAGTCGCGTTAGCCGTGATGGTTGCACGTGCGAATGCGCAAACATACCTCCGATAAGACCCGTGTCCCAACCGAAAAGCATTCCACCAAAGGAAGCCACAGCAGTGAGTACATAGGCGCGACGGTACGTCTTGATGTCCGCCCACACCTCGGACATGTTGAGCTTGGCCATAATTGCAGCGCGTCGCAAAGGAAGCTAAATATGACAGAAGAAAACCCGACGCGAATGCGATGGCGATCGACCAATGTACCTAGGTAAGGTAACATCGCGGCAAGCATCCGACTATATATTGTCAGTTTTCCCCAGCCTCGCAGCGCCCAGCTAGCCAAACTCCGAACCCAAAACCCGCAGGCAAAAGGCGAAGCCTATTTGGCTTGGCTGTCGGCATAGTGCAACGCGACGTCGGGGACATGACGTGGGGATTCGTATCGTGGGGACTCCAGATATGCCAGTCACAGGGCGGAGAGCCCCATAGCTGGTGGGTCGGCATGGCGGGTGGTAATTATCCTTCCATTCAAACGCCGTTGCTGCCATTGTGTTGAGGCTCTTGCTGTGAATCCTACGGCTGCAGTGTGGGAAGACGAGTCAAACGTCTGCAGGGCTAAGGGACGGGATGAATCGCTGCCTGTGCACTGCGAGTGCAGTATCTGAAGGAATGTGTGCGGACGTGTTCACGTGCGAAGATGTCGGGTGGCAGACTAGGCCCATGCTTAGCGTTGCTTGCGGGCGGTGAGCTTGTCTTGTGCATGTGAACGGCCACAGCAGCCGATGATTTCTCGAACGTGCGACACTCTTCACGATGCAAAGACCGACTCCAGATTTTACTCTTGCAGTTCCCCTTCTTCTCCATATCCCTTCAAATACCGACCCCAGGTTTTCCTCCTCCACATCTTGCCTCTGCACGGAAGCTAGGCGATTGAAATTGCGACAAGCTTCTCATTGGTCTGGCCACTAAGCAATCCATATGCCGAGCCAAGTCGCCGGCTCCGATGCTGCATCTTGTGTCCCCTAAGCCGACATACGGCCTGATATGGAGCAAGTCCAGAACACATAAGCAGCAATACGTGGAGTGTTCTAGGTATGATCGTGTCAAGGTCACTTTGATGCAAAGGGATAGTCGCATTTTGAATTTCTTCGTTTCTCCATTACCCAACTGAGTACAGCTCTTTCCAGCTCGAAGGCCAAGCGTTCAGATGATCAATCACAAGTTCGCCTTGCCCTTCTGTTCGGGTACTTGCGTCAGCAGCTTATCACTCTGGATAGCCGACTTCAAGTTATCCAAGACCAGTATCTCCATGTCGCGCTGAAAAAAAGACGTTAGTTTTGATCCAGTCTCAATTGATATGCATCGACAGCGGAACTTACCTGTGTCTCGTATGTACCAGTTCCAACATGAGGTAGCAACACCGCCCTCTCGCATTCCAGTAGCCCCGGGTGAATCTTAGGCTCCTCCTCAAACACATCTAGACCACACGTCCAGACCTTGCCGCTCTTCAGCGCGTCCACTAAAGCTGCCTCATCGATCAAAGCGCCTCGTGCGGTGTTTACGATTATCACTCCATCCTTCATTGTGTTGAACTGCTCCTTGCCGATGATGTGTGTAGTGGACGGGTTCAGCGCCAAGTTCAAACTGAGGACATCGGATGTTTTCAGCAGTTCCTCAAAGCTCACGTACTTTGCTCCGTTCTCCTCGTTGCTTGGCAGTTGGTTGCGGTTGTGGTATTGTATCTTCATGCCAAATGCCTTTGCGCGATGTGCGACTGCCGAGCCGATGCCACCCATGCCTAGGATACCGAGTGTCTTGTTCTTGGGGTCGTGACCGAGAGAGAAGTTACCGCGCCATTTGCCTGAGAACTATGTCAGTAACGGTCTATCAAACAATCAGGACTACAAACCGTTGTTGACTGCCATGTATGCTTGCTTGATATTCCGCAGCGCGCCTAGCATAAGCCATATGGCAACGTCTGCAGTCGCGTCGTTGACTGCTATCGGCGTGCTCGAGACCGATATTCCCCTCTTTGTGCATGCTGCGATATCGATGTTGTTGTATCCCGCTCCGTTGTGGCAAACATACTTCAGGCTCTTGGGTAGAGCGTCGAGCAGTTCCGCGTTGAAATCTCCCGTAATCGGATTCGAGTCGTTGCTTCGGTAGAGAGCATAGATGCCGTCAAATTCGCCGCTCTTGCACTTTGAAATGAAGTCTTCTCGGTTACCATCGGGGTACTCGTGCAGCTTCGATGCTACTTGTGAACACTGCTGCCATTCCTTTTGAGCGTGTGACAGCTTGCCAATAAGAAGTGCTGCTCGTTGCGACATGGCGAATATGCGATTTGTGAAGGTGACGAGGAGAGGATTGAGTGTCCAGGTAGGATGGAGGGGTCAAGACGAAAGAGCTGCCGGTTAATGTTATCTTGAGCGCAGCGGCATTTGGTAACCTTTTATTACGTGCTGGCCCAGATCCACCAACGGCGCTGCTCGAAGCGGCCTATCTCGGACCGAACTTTCTTCATGGCGATATCGAACGTGGTAATTCACCCCGCTCATTTGACAGCATGACAGCTTGCTATCTCAACTATTGTTGTGCTACAAAGATCTACCTTGGATTTGGGATGATGCAACCCCACCATGACGGCCTCGGCTGCCCCGCCATCGTCATTCTCAAAACGCTGCAGCGGAGCGATGTCCAACGACAAGAATGAAGCTCTACGTAAGCTCCATTCGTGATAAAATACTTCATTTCGCTATGCGCTACTCCACTCCGATTGCGCGAGTGCTTCGCGTTAAGAATGACACGAGTGTGTAGAACGCGCTCGGCATTTGACACTGCCAGCTAGTTCGACTTCAAACACCGACATGGCACGTGAGTGAGCTAGCTACTTTCGCATGTCCCAACACCGAACAAGCCAAGCGTCGTTTTGGTGCATCGGCGGTCTGTCATCTCCCGAGCCGAAGGATGCAGCTTCCAGACTCAATCCGAACGCCTTCCAACATCAGGCAGCTACAAGGCAGCCATATAAATGGCTGCCTACTCCAGCCTGGCTGTAAATGAAGCTCGGTAATGGACGAAACGAGCGGAATGCATGTATCTGTGGCAGCTGTTGTGGAAACTTTTGGGAAAGCATTTCACATTGCATGGACGTATAAGATCTTGTAGTCCTATGGAATGTAGCATTGCAATTCATCAGTGGAAACCAGCATTCAGTGTCTTAAACCTCTCCACATTCATCGTAAAACAGTATCAAACATGGAACTCAAAAACATTGCAATCCTTGGCGTACGTCTCCCTACCCACCCGTTCACGTTACATGTCACCTCCCTCGAGCTGTTTTACAACGCCCGGCACTAACAAACATACAACAGCCAGGAGGAAACGTCGGAACCGCCATCATCACCGAACTCCTCAAAGACGGTCCCCGCTTCACCATCACAGGTATCACGCAGCCAACATCATCCTACACGCCACCTCCTACCATCACCCACCGCACTGTCGACTACACGTCCTTCGCCTCTCTCCAAGCCGCATTCCAGGATCAAGACGCAGTAGTAAACTGCATCACAGGCGGAGCCACGCATTACGAACCATCTAAACTCATCATAGACGCAGCCGTCGCCGCAGGCGTCAAGTTCTTCTTCGCCAACGAATTCGTTGGAGAAATCACGCGGGAGGCGTTCAGGAGATTACCGGAAGCTTTCGTTGGCGGAAAATGTAGGATCAGGGAGTATCTTGAGGGTTTGGCGAGGGAGGGGAAGATGGCGTGGACAAGTTTGAATGGAGGGCCGTTCTTCGATATGTGTAAGTTATTCCTTTAACGATCTGATGTGAAGCGTGATACTAATCATCATATGACAGGGTTGATGAAAGGTCCTGCAGGCTTCGGTAAGTACACGCTCAGCAACTTCATACCACCACCGTTCCACTAACATCACCAGATATACCCAACCGCCACGCCCGCATCTACGGCTCCGGAAACCACCCTTTACACTGGACACCCCTACCCATTATGGGCCTCGCAGCAGGAAACATGCTCCGCAACCCCCAGCTCGTTCTCAACCGGCCCATCCTCCTCGATCCCATTTCCCCTTGTTCTACTGTCACACAAAACACGCTCTTGCACACCCTCGAAAAGCTTCTTGACACAACCTTCACTATCTCGCATGTTGATGTGAATAAGGTCCACCGAAACGCTTTGATCGTGTTGGAGGAGTGGAAGGCAGGTGGTGAGCAGGAGGAAGGGAAAGCGCAGATGGGTAAGGCGATGAAGGGGTTGGGGTTGTGTAATCAGTTCTATGAGGGCGATGATGAGGACCATGCGGAGGACTTGAATAGGAATGTTCAGAACGAGCTCGTTGGTGTGAAGACCATGGAGTTGGAGGATGCGGTGAGGGACGCGCTGGAGCGGTTTGGGAAGGACTGTCAGGTTGTTCAGGGTATGTATAATGTGGAAGCTTGTGAGCTCTGAATCGCCCATCGCTACCAATTTGTTGTGCAAGTTCGTGGTATCACTACCAGTCTTGAATATGCGGTTACACAACATCACCATGGCATTGACCATTTTGTCTACCCTGCTGTGATGCATGTCATAACATGAAGGGTGACAAGTATCCTGAGGCCATCTTTATTATCCAAGACATGTGTGCCAAGACAGGAAACGGCACCAACATTGGGACACAGTTTATGGCTGTGGGAGTAACAGTAAGCCTGGTAAATTAGTAGCATTTGTGTGGTATACTATATGCTTTTTCTGATGTTGTACAAGGAGACTACAGTTGCTGATTGCTCAGTAACGTCGTTGTCTCTATCTCTCTCTATTTTGTTCTGAACGAATGTGCCCAGAGGAGCAATTTTCATATGTCTTCCATTCACAATGCTGGTGAGTGTACGCGACACACCTAGCCGCCACCAGGATCATATCCTTCATATCCTTCATATCCTTGATTACCTTGACCCCCTTGGTACCCGCTTTGATCCTGACCCTGACCTGGCGGGTGATCTGGATCCAGAAAAGCGGCCGGGTCCCATTCCCACTGATCGAAAGTCGACTCGTAGGTATTTCCATAGAACAGATTCAGTGGCTGACCAAAGTCCGTCAGCCCCGCAGTTGGATCATTCAAATACCCAGTTCCAGGAACGTCGTAGAGATAGAAGTTGCCTGTGTTGGACTGCGAATAGATGTTGCTGTTCATAGGGTCAGCGCTTGGCCATGCAACACCTGACTGTTGCAACGCAAGAGGTTGACTGTACGGCTGATATGGCTGCTGTAGGTCAAAGGCCATGTCCTCTACACCTTGCTGTTTCTGGTACTGATCCGTCGGTTGTGGCTGAGGTAATCGCCGATGAGCCGCTTCTTCTTTGGTCTGCTTGTTCATGACTCTGGCCACGACGTTGTATGCGCTCTCGCTGACTGCGTCGACCGACTTCATTGAACTCAACCATCTTATGAGCTTGTCAACGCAGGCTGTAATGTGTGACTTTTCGACCGTTAAATGAATACCATCTAATGACAACTCAAGAAGCAAGACTGTAAGGGCTTGCATAACTACGAGTGTGGTTAGCCAGGTCGCTTGTTGCAATGTGTGGGGTATGTACTTATGTGAACAGCACACCACCATGGGCCGTGCTCATAAAACCATGCAGGGTTTGGAGGGTCTGGCAGCATGGAGGTGATGTCTAGAGCTGCACCTATGCAAGCCTCGGCAGATTTCTGGTTGAATCGAGTCGACTGTTCGCTCTGTCCCTTTATGCGCAGGTCTAACCGGCAGAGGCAGGGCCGAGTGATGCAGATTTTAGCGTTATGGTAGTAGATATAGAGCAACAGCTGTTCTCGACTCAAGTTGTTCTCCGATGTAGGATCGGTTGCTGCTGTGGGGCCCTGAACCAGAGAATGCAGAGCCCAGGCTTCCAACTCGTCAGATAACGAAGCAATCTCCTTTTGAGCAGCCTTCCACGACTTGGCGGACTTTTGTGCGGAGTATAAGCCAGACAGAATCTTGTCCATGAGGATATCGATCCTGACGTAGGCTACGTCAAACAGATCTATGCTGGTCGTGATTGTGGGCTCGCCGGCAGAAGAGTCGGATCCCTTTCTGACTGCAGCTGATGTAGTGGTTTCACGAGATGCCGTCTCCATTTCAGTACCCTTCGCGCCTGGTGGCGGTACTGTACAGTCAATGGCGCTTACAGTGCGAGGACGTCCAGTTATGCAAGTAAGGACGCATTCAATGGAGTAAAGTGACCACCAAATCTGGGCTAGTGCCTTCTTCCTCTTGGGAGACATGGAAGGATCTTCGTGTCTGAGGTGCAGGCCTGCGGCCTGTGCGTGTCGAAGGGCGATGCCAACCATGTACCAAGCTCTACGACATCCTCGTTAGCATACTTGCTTGCTACAAAGGTAAACGTGTCTAGATTGCATGCGGATTACGACTTACCTGCTTACATGACCTATTGTGAGGTAGTAAAAAGAGAGAAGTCCGAATGCCTAGACATGTGTCAAAAGCTGCTGGGTGCGGCTTTGATGGAGCTTACCTGAATCAGCGCTTGGTCTGGCTGTGCAACGAGAGTATCGATGCTTTGAAGCTGCAGAAGATGTACTGCTCTCCACATATACACTAAGTGATCACGGTCGTCGGCTCGCCATTCTGCACCGATGAGATGAGAATAGCGTGCACCAATAGCGAAGACGAGATTCATAACAGCTTTCCACTTTGGACAGACAATCAGCGTAGGGCTACCCTGGTCTTTGGCAAAGTACGTTTTCAGTTGAGCTTCGAACGTGTCACCTAGGATGGGGAATGGGCTGTGAACGTATGCTTTGTAGTAATCGAACAGCCTCTCGGCAGTCTCAACAGAGGGTATGACGTGTGGATCACCAACATCAATGTCGATGTTGGATTTGTCGAGGTAGAAGTAGTAGCCAGAAAACTTGTCTTGATGGATAGGTGGGCGACCGTGGTTGAGCCGTTGACGGCCGTGGAGGGCTTCAGCACGCTTGTTAAAGGCGTCGCCGTCAGCTCCTGGCGGCCCGTATGGCATATCAGCAGGTTCACCTTCGGGCTGTTCAATCTTGGTCTCAAGGGCTCGCAGCCACTGAACGTGCGAGTTGTGACCCATGTAGCCCGTGTTGTCTGCCGCATCCGTGTTGAGAAGGTCTTCCTGAACGAAGTCTAGGTCTTCATTGGAGCCGACCGAAGCTGAGACGTGAGCTTCCCCGCCATCTACAGAAGTGGCGCTCAGAGCGTCGTCATTGGCAGGAGTGGATGAGGCTCTTCTTGCACGCTTGCCATGAGAGAGGGCAGGGGTTGGTGGAGGAGGCGGCGTGTCGTCTTCGAAGGATGCCAAGGTATCCTCAACTCTCTTCTTGCTCTCATCGTCAAGCTGGCTGCTCACTTCAATCAAGAGTGCAGTCAAGGCGTGCGATTTGCGTTGGGCTCTTTTGCTAGTCAGACGGGGATGTTGGGCAGATGAACGAAGACATGAACAGACCCTTTGAGGCGGTCCTTGCGCTCCAGGTCGTAGTGACAATCATGGTCCTGCCGTTGACAGTTGATACATTGCGGACGATTGCCAGAGCATTTGATCTCTGAGGCTAGTCAGCGAGCCGAAGTTGGGCGATCTGGACATGAGGTAGGGCCCACTTCGTTTACGGCACTGCGTGCACTAGAAGCGGATGTCAGCACCGGCCCAATCGTACAAGAAACTTTACTCACAGCCTTGTTCACTACTTCGGTGCGGGCTCGAGGTGTTCGTGTGGCAGGCGGCATCTGGTATCCATGGCCGGGAATTCTTGGTATGGCCACCTTTGCCTCTCTGGAGCTGGAGCCCTCGGGCGGGTAGCGGCCGTTATCCATTCACTCGGACGTCACCAGGTGCTGGGAGAAGGAGCGAAGCACGTGCGCAGAAGCAGCGGTAGAGGAGAGACTGAGGCGGAGACAACGGCCGCCTGGAGGTCGTAGCGTGGGGTCACGAGTGCAGTCCTGGTTGGAGCAGCAGCTGCGTCGTGGTGACGGAACGGGGGAGCATTCCGGCAGAGAACCTTACAGTACGCATTGAACAGTATGAGCCATAATCGGGTAGTTTTCGAAACGAGGAGGGCGCTCATTAGAGGAAGGCGCTTTGTGCCGTGGCCAATGGGCGTCGAGGTCGGCGACGTCATGTTGTGTACGAGTAGGCAGGTATGTACGTACGTAGGCGAGGGACCTCGAGGACCTCGAGCCTGCACCACCCACGTATAATAGCAATTCCAAGACGGCGCGGCCACGACCCGTATCGCGCATCCGCCTGACAGGTGAGCCAGCTATTGCCCATGGACGAGGACGTGCCGCCAGCCCTCTCCCACCTCAGCCAGCGCGCGGCCTTATCTCGGGCGCGTCCTGCGTTGAGCCTGCAACGGATCGTGGGCGCAGGAGCATGTGAAGCTTGTCGCGGCCGCATCACCAAGGTAAGTCGGCGGCCGTGCGCGAGCGAAACCCACCCACGCCTCTGACACGTCCAGTGCTCGACCGAACGTCCCCAGTGCTCAGAGTGCCGGAAGCGGCATTCGCCATGCAACTACCTTCAGCCTGCGGTCCGGCCCGTCGCTGCCAGTGCCAGGCGATACCATGGCCAGGCCCAGGTCCAGGTGCACCATGATCCCCAGCATGCCCTCCTCCGGCACGTCTTCGCCCATCTGCGCTCCCAGCCATTGCACGTCGCCCAGGAGCTCCTTGGCCACTTGCGTCGCGACACCGATGTGCGCACCATTCTCCGCTTTCTTGAGTATGGCAGTCTACGTCTCCAGCTCAAGCTGGTCCCAGACACGACGTACCAGTTCACCGCTCCCTATCTTGCTGACATGATGCCGCTGTTTGACAGTGCCGACAACCCCTACCTTGCCTCCAGACTGTACAAGGCCCTGTCGCATGAGACTGCCCACCACGGCACCGACATCCAGCAGCAGACTCACAGTGCCATCTACCACGTGCCCTATCCCGGCGCCCGCATGTACGATCCACGAATGTCGCCAGACACCCTGAGGCCGTCCAGGTGGACTTCGATAAGCGACGACGACATCTTTCTCACCCGCCTTCTCGAAGGCTACTTCCTGTACGAATTCCCTCTGTGGCCTTGCTTCCACAAGGATCACTTCCTCGATGACATGACTGCTGGAAGGACTGATTACTCTTCACCACTCCTGGTCAGCGCCATTCTCACCGCAGCCTGCGTAGGTTTTATCTTGTTTTCCTTCCGTCGCCTCCTTGTGAGCTAACACGATCAACAGCACGGCTTGAACACGCTTGAGCAGAGGTCTGAATTTTGGAATCCCAGCACCTATAGCTATCGGTGTATGGCTGAGACCAGACAGCTATGGGAGCTGGAACAGTCACAAGCCGTGTGTAGTCTTCCAACTATCCAGGCAGCTACCATCATAGGCCGAATCTACTTCGCCAATGGCATGGACAAAATGGGCTGGACAATGTGGTCTCACGCTCTAGCGCTTGCGGATAGACTAGACTTATTTGCTAAGGCCGCGCAATACAATAACCAGAAGGACCGCATTTCAAGAACCATCACAGCCTGGGGCATCTTCTCTCAACAAGCGTATGAGCTTACCTGATTTCTTCTTCTCTTCGCCTCCTCTTCCCCTACTACTCCTCCTGCCCCCCTGACCCCAACGTGGTGTTGAGATTGCCTCTGATGTAGGTTCAGGTTCTCTTGCTTTTACCTCATGAAGCCCCCATTGTCTCGACTTCCACCTGAGAACGGCTTGCCCGAGTACCAAGACGCACACGACTTCTTTGGTGAGATTTGGGTCAAATACCCTCTTGCGACACATGTGGTACGCCCCTACCTAACCCTCATGACAAACCACGTTGACAAGCTACTAGACCCCCGTCTACCTAGGACAGACATTTCTATCGCTCATGAAGCTTAGATGCATCATGAATGACATAGCCGGAAAGGCTCTTCCAGAGGACGGCGGAGATAACAATCTCGACATTGAGCAGGCCAGTCGTTATCATTCTATGCTGATTCAATGGTTCCGTGATCTTCCGGAGCCGCTACAACCACAGAATGTTGCTATGCCGACACAGCTTCTGCTACAGTAAGCTTTGCCACATCTTTCATGTACAAATGACTAACCTTTATGTCACAGCATGCAGTTCCACAACCTCGTTACCATGACCTTCCAACCGTTCCTGGAAAAGGAAAAGTCTCTCAACTGGCCCAACAATAGCGGCGCATTCCAAAGATTTACAGGCTTCAGTCCGGCACAACTATATGCTACCTCTAAAGCGAGTCTGCAGACGCTTCTCCATATGTTCTATCACCGTCACGGCTTCGAAGCATATTACATATTCCTACTCCAGGTCCTCGTTCAGCTAGGCTTCGACTCGATCGAGCGTCTACGCACCCCGGAGGCGCAACAAGAGCATTTCCCCGCCATAATGAAAGCCACACGAGCCACACTCATATTGTGCGCCAAGGGCCTGCGCGACCAAGGCCACAACTTCTTCTTATCCGAGCTCGTGTTTCGCATTCTGCGCGACAAGATGAACCCGGTAGACGTCGAGCTGCTCAAGGACTGGGCGCACATCAAGGACGAAGATGAGAGGGAAAAGTCAATGATGGAGCATGTGCATGGCGAGTACCCTGTCAATGTAGAGTCCATCACCTCGGATCCGACCGAACAACGTTTGAATCGGTTATTGCAGACTATGGGCGATCTCAAGCTTCCCAACGATACTGCTGAGCCAACTCAGCAAGAGAGGGCATCGAGGACATGGCGAAGCATCGTGTTTTGAACCCGGCGACGGAGGGAGGGGATTTGAAGTAAGGTGGGGGTTACAAACAACGCGGGATACAATATACGATGTATTGGTTACTTTGCTAGTTGCAATATCAATTCTCAACGCTTTGGCTCAGCGCTGTAGTTTTCATATCCTGTGCATCTTCACACGTGCTCAGCAACCATAGATCGGGACCCACTTTGTCCCACACGGCTTTTTTGCCGGCCACTAGTCCTAACGAAGTACTGTATCCCGAATAAGCCCATCCACCAGCCCTTTGATCCACGATCACGATCACCATGGTAAAAGTTTTCAGCGTACCATGTGCTAGATCGAAGGTCTAGACCAATGGCATGCGGGTGTCCGCAGCCAGACAGCTGCCATTGGCTACGGGTAGTTTGCCCTACAAACTAGCCTCATCTGTATGTTCGAATCGAGGATTATGCGCGTGTTATCGTAAAGGTGCAAGTATCGTCAGGTGAGGTTCCGGTCCTTTGATTAATATCCGTGGATGCGACAGGGGCATGCGCTGACTGGTGATGTCACTGCTTGATTCGGTCGGTCTTTCGGAACGACACATCTCTGAGAGCGGGTTGGTGAGACTGAGCATTTCAGTAGCGGCACTCTTACACACTCCAGCACAGCGTCACATATTCAACAATCGTTTTTTTTTGGGGGAACTTGATGAGATGTATCCCGGGGTCGTGCTGTGTGTATACATCGACCCTCTCTATGGATCTATCGGAGGTGCCGACGCTCATCATTGGCTCTTCTTCTTCTTCTTCTTCATCTCCATCTTTCTCTCGCGCTTATCGGCGATCCTTTGGAAAATACTGCCATCGTATACAGCGCGAATATCCTCCTTGTTATTGTTAGCATCAACAGCAACTCAAAAAAGGGGTCTGTCGTATCGCGTACCTTCATCATCCGACCATCTTCGGGCCAGAGCGTCAAATACGTTGCAGTCCCTGTTTGATATCAGCATCTTCCCCTCTCATACCGTTCGGAAGCGATTAAAGCTTACACTCGAAGATGAATCCACACATCCCAATGGGATCGTTGATATTCCTCTGCCCCTTCAACACGTTCACCAAATCGCCCACGGTCAGATAATCCCGTCCCTCCGCGTACTTTGTAAAAATCTCTTCGAATTTCGATGGTATAAACCGCCCCTCCGTGTCGTACGTGCCTGTATCACTACCGTGTCGCGCTCTGTGCACATTGTTCAGAAAGAGACGGAAGTAGGGGTCCGGAAGCCATCCCGAACACGTGGGATAAGAGAAGTTGATGTGGATGACCAACACGGCGAAGGCGGAGAAGAAGAGTCCGCAGCCTAGGCGGTAGAAGCCGACAAAAGTGTCTTGCGGCCAGAGGATACCATCATGGTCGCGGTCGAAGAAGTCGCAGTGCTGTTGCAGCACAGTTTGGTGCGAGTGCTTCTTTGCCCAGTCGTCTTGCGTGCTCCCTTGAGGTGTCTCCTCTGACGGAGCGAGATTTGCACGTGCAACCGCTATTGGCAATTAGCAGACGACGCAGTAGTAGCGCGAGCCGCGGAGTATGTACCTGCGTGTGGAAGGTTTGATTTCTTTCCCTGGATGTATGGTTTCCTTTCTTCGGTGATGGGTACATTGTGGATCGAGTAGACTGGTACGTCTCCCCCAGACTCTGCATGTCCATTAGCTCCTTCCATCTTTGCAATCATGATTACGGTAGCTATGTGTATGGGAATTAAAGGAAGCCGCACACGACAAAATACAACTCGATTAGAAGCAACGCCCTAAGTATTCGCCTTGCTGTTAGTCGCGAGGCGTGAGCCGCATGTTCCTATTGGATCAAGGGCTCACCATGACGTCAATGACTATGTCAAGAGCCTTGGTATGGCAGTGCAGCATGTCAAAAGAGTTTCACGGGGTTGTTCGCGACGTCTTAAACCGTCGGTTCATTACCGTGTTGTCAGTGTAATGACAATGGTTGCATGCGTGCGCCTGCATGTTTGTACGATGGTTTGTGGCTGCTATCTGTCGAAAGCTCCGCGGCCAATCACCAAAATGTAACCCTGTTGTGGAGCGCGCCGTGGCTTGATCTTCAGGTACGCGTCAGACTTAGATCATCCGGGGTATAATGCCTTGCTCGTATACGTTTGCTGTCTACGTGATTTGTACGTCGTGCTTTGTCCATTGAGGCAGCGTGTTCGCAATATCACGACTGGTAGACTGTAAACACTCTACATTCAAACCCGCTCGCTAGATGGTATGAAGTGACTGGAGGCTGCATGGTACCAATTCCTGCTCTAGCGGGAGGCTATAGGATGCTATGAGCATGCTGCGATCTGGAGCTTAGTGTCTCAAACCTCATCGCTGGGGGTACCTTCCACAGCAACATTACGATGCTGTTTTTTAGTGGCAAGGCATCGTTGTGGTGGAGTTGATTCTGTCGTTGGAGGTATCCATGAATACTTGTGATCGACCAGCAAATCCGATCTGGCTAGCGCGATCTCGGGATGAATGACGCGCATGCACGGGACCGCGGGAACACGCGACTTCCAGATGTCGCGTCTACACGGCACTCTTCTGTTCCGCTATGCAACTCCGCTAGTACCATCCAAGACTACACCTCACCCTCTCCAAACGCGACTTGGACCTCTGACATGAGCCGTCATTCGGCATGTCGTCACCATCGCCCGAGTTTCATTCGTCGCAGTTCTCCATCACCTCTCCACGTCGCATCCCCAAGTCCAAGTTCACGTATAAACAGCTGCATCAGCTCAAGACCTACAGCCCGCAAACGCCCCTCCGTGTGATCGCGCACGTCGATCTCGATGCCTTCTACGCGCAGTGTGAAACCGTCCGCCTCGGCATCGACCCCTCCAAACCTCTCGCCGTACAACAATGGCAGGGCCTGATAGCGATCAACTACCCCGCACGCGCATTTGGGCTCAGTCGACACGTTACATCGACGGAAGCGTTGAAGCAATGCCCGGATCTTATACTACAACACGTCGCGACGTGGAAGGAGGGGGACGAGACATGGGCATATCATGAGAACAGCTTCAAGGACATGGCGACGCATAAAGTCAGCTTAGACCCGTATCGCATGGAGAGCCGCAAGATCCTGAAATGTATCAAGGAGACTCTGCCTGAGAAAGAACAGCGCGTCGAGAAGGCGAGTATCGACGAGGTCTTCATGGATTTGAGCGCGCAGGTGCACACCATATTGCTCGAAAGATACCCCGAATTGAGAGGCCCTGCGCCGTACGACGACCCGACGGAGCCACTGCCGAAAGTACCTACAACCGTGTTGGACTGGGCGGCCGATGCGCTCGTCGAGACAGGCGAGGAAGATGGAGAAGATAGAGATCCAGACTGGGACGACATGTGTATGGTCATCGCATCCGAGATCATTCGAGATGTGAGGAGACATATCAAGGATACATTGGGTTATACCTGCTCTGGAGGCGTCGCGAGGAACAAGATGCTGTCGAAACTAGGCTCAGGATACAAGAAACCGAATCAACAAACCGTTATACGGAACCGCGCTGTCAAGCACTTTCTCTCCGACATGAAGTTTACCAAGATTCGCATGCTAGGAGGCAAACTGGGGGACGAGGTAGTGGCAATGTTCGGGACAGACAAAGTGAAGGACCTTGTGGAACAGCCATTGGACCAACTCAAGAAGCTGGGCGATGACACCGGCAGCTGGATATACTCCATCATCAGAGGCGAAGATAGTAGCGAGGTCAACCCGCGTACGCAGATCAAGAGCATGCTTTCGGCAAAATCCTTCAGACCAGCCATCAATTCGTTCGAGCAGGGTGTAAGGTGGTTACGCATCTTCGTGGCGGACATATTCTCGCGGTGCGTGGAAGAGGGTGTGTTGGAGAACAAGAGAAGACCCAAGAGCATCAACTTGCATCACCGGCAAGGCGCACAAACACGAAGTCGACAAGCACCGATACCCCAGGGCAAACCACTATCAGAGACCATCTTATTCGATCTCGCCAAGAATCTCCTAGCTCAAGTCGTCGTTGATGGGAGAGCGTGGCCTTGCGCCAATCTTTCTCTGAGCGTTGGGGGTTTCGAAGATGGCATTACGAACAACAAAGGGATTGGCGGCTTCCTCGTTCGAGGCGAGGAAGCAAAGGCCATGATGTCAAGTGGCAGAGCTACCATCGGTGGAGGCGAACCACCTGCGAAGCGGAGAAGGACAAAAGGGAATATTGCCAATTTCTTCGGTCCAAGGGATGAGAAGAAGAGCGACTTCGATGCTGCGAGAGCTGTGCTGTGGAAAGCACATAGCGAATCTACCAGAGATGAGAGTGGAGACGAGGCAGAAGGAACAGGAGAGGATCTCGATCCTTTCCACACAGAACAAGACGACGAAGCACAGCGACCATCGACACCACCGTTAGACCGCCATAGTTCAGACATGGACTTGTATCCACCGGACACACCTCCCTCGGCCCAACCCCAACCCGCGTCGCATTCTCCACCACAACAGCATCACGACTCAGTAACACCAGTCCCCCGCGCCAGACCTCCACCACCGCAAAGACCTATAGAAACCTACTTTTGTTCACGTTGTAACCTTCACCTCCCACCAGCCGAGAAGGCCGAGCACGAGGACTACCACTTTGCCCTCGACCTATCGAAGGAAATGCGGCAGGAAGAAAGAAATCCTGCACCAGCTCCTGCAAGAAAAGGCGCTGGTGGTTCAAAACCTTCTAGAGGGCGGGGACGGCCACCGGGAGGCGGATCTGGGAGAGGAGGTGGAAGGGGAGATGGGGTAGAGAAGGGGCAGGCTAAACTGGCTTTTGGAAGGGGAAGCTGATGATATCGAGCGTGTTACGATAAATTAATGTTTGAATGAAGGCACGTTTGGAAGCCAATGCTGTGAGCAAAGGATGCATTTGTGATATAGATGCCCTCATTCGTCTTGCCTCTGCGATGGTACACGACTGACAAAGTGGGATACGTAGCCTGATGTTCACGATCCTTCCTCTCACCACACGACATCGAAATCTAGCCTCACCGATGGCACCTCCTCGCTGCCCTCTGGCATCCTATAAGTAAAGTTCCAAAACTCAAAGTCACTGAATCACGTTAGCGTTACGCTCAATCCCTGTTCCTCTCCCCTCTCCGCACGGCATAATCCTCAGAGAACTTACTTTATGACTTCGCCCGCTCCTCCAACAAGCCCGTTAAACGTGACCTCAGGCTCCAATGCCACAGATCCCGACACCGCAACGTCAATACCCTCTACATCCTTCCAACCCCTTACATCCCTCTTCCCATCCCACCCATTCGTGCCTACCAGGAAGGAAAACGCACTTGACGCATTTCCCATTGGGTACTCGAGCATCAGACTGCCTTCTTCCACAACGACATCCAGCGCCATGGTCTGAGCGTACAGACTCATCCAGCCCACGCTTCCATCCTGTCTCTTCCACTGCACGACCGCGGGGTTGAACGAGTTTTTGTTGATAGACGGGCCGCCGATAACGTTTTCAGAGAATGATTCCGCACCGATGGTCAGATTGGGGCTGAGGTAGGCGGTAATGTTGCGAGGGTAAGTGTCGTAAGGTGGTGAGAAGGCGGAAGTTTTTACGGTATGTGTGCCAGGGAAGGAAGAAAGGGAGGAGAGAGTGTTGTTGGGAACTAGGGTGTTGTGGTAGGGTGCTAGGATGGCGACCAGGGGCCCGATTGCGAAGTCGTTCTTGTGGCCCATGGCATATGGCTGTTTTCGATTGATCAGTTTTGCTTCTCCTTCACTAGAGGTAGCTGCAATTCGTGTCGCAGTTTGCAGTATACATACTGCTAAATCTTGACAAGTAAACACTTGCTAAGATGATGTATACTTTAACCTATCAAAACTGCGACACGACCTGTAGCCATCTCTAGTGTGCTTTTGAAAGAGGATAATACGTACCTTCTTGTTAATAGGCGCCATCTCCTTGCCAACAATGGTCCACATATGCAGCGCCAAAATGCTCAGATACCGATTCATATCGAACCCATACGCACGATCCCAAGGTCCAGCGACATTCTTCAAATCTGCATGGTACAGTTCACCAAGTACCGACCACGTGTCACGAATCATCTTCGGTCCGTACTCGCCCATGATGCTATTACCTGGCATGTACTTTGCCCATAGCGTGAGCGCAAACAGCGAAACACCAGCGTAAGTTCCTGAGTTGAACTCGGAAAGCGTGTTGTCGCGGACAAACAGATCAATGACCTCTTTCGCGTAGGCTTCGCCTGCGGTCGTCATGTTGGAGTCGTTGGCGCGGCGGCCTACGTATCCAGAGACGAAGGCGCGCATGATGGAGGGGTTGCTGTAGGCCGGATATAGGTTATCGTCATCGACGCCGCCGACACGGTAGCTATCTCCAACGGTGGTGTTGAACAGACTCTCCAGTATGTAGTCTTGAACATCTTGTGGCAGGAGATGCGGGAATTCTTCTAGCATGACAACGAATGTTGTGCCGATGAAACCACGCCAATTCGGATCCCATGAGTTGTATATCACAGCTGGATACTGTTCTGTACCCACAGTTGGCTCTTCTGGATAAACTTGATAATCGCCGTACCTTGGGTTATGTCAGCAAGAGTAGCTACAAAGGCATTGGAACATCTTTTCGGACTACCAAACTTACCACTGCTCGCTCTCATTCTTGAACTGCCCTCCAATGACGTTCTTCACGATACGTACTGCCTGCTCGACATCATCGGCTTCGTTGCGCGCCAACAAGCCGGCTGCATACCAGGCGCTCGATCTCGTGTCATGCGTCAGAGCAGCCGCGTCCAAGCTGAATAGATAGCCTCTTTCGTTGTCATAGTACATGTCCATCCAGTCCATCGACTCATACAACAAGCCCGTCGCATACTTTACCGTATCATTACGCGGGAGTAAATTACGGCCTGCGAACACCTGTTGGGCTAGGAGCGTCGAAGCCACCCAGAGCTTTGGGAGCGCTATCATGTTGGATCGTGTGAAGGTGAGCTAAAGGTAGTAGGTTTGCAACCCAACATGGCGGCGCCCATGATGTAGCTGTTGTGACAACGGGCCAAGCTCGACATTGCGGGAGTATCTCCGCTATCGCTGGGTAAAAGCCGAGGGATTCGGCATATGCTACTGCGAGATAACGGTGTCTTCGGCCTTGATGTTCAATCGCGGAGGTGTTAGGCCCGGATAATTGTTTGGCCAAGCGGAGGAAACTTCGGATCTGGACACCGACGTAAAAAGCGACATCATGACTCGTGAAAACACGTGGTGGCTAGATGCTCCGAGGAGGTGACCGGATAGCACGACTATAGTTTGCAAACCTTACAGCGATAGCAAGCAGATCGTCGTGGAAGTAAACGATTCCGTAGGAGAATGCTCCTAGCTTCAGGGTGGTTTTGCGATGTGGTTCTAGAATGGGCCGAGCCGCTTCACCTGCTAAGACGACAGCTAGCTCGCGAGATTTTGCGAGCTGCATCATCGGCTTGCACCTGTGGCGTTATGAGGCGAATCTCGTGAGCTCTTCAAACTTTGAATAGCCTCCTTTTTCAGTTTTTCAACTTGGGAGGTTTAGGGATCTGCGCACCTAAAGTATGCAGATCGTACAACGTCGGTGTGGTGGCAAGATCTACCTCGGCAATGCTCGCAAGCATGTGTTCATCTGTCCCCACATGTAACTCGAAATTCAATCGACATGAACATGCCACAGCTATCAGGACTTCATAGAGCTGACTTATAGCACGCACAGCATAATATTGGCAGGCACAGTCCGGGTGTCGGCATGAGATCTGCATAGTCACGTGGGGCAGATGAAAATGGCGCAAGAAGATTGCCGTAGCGTGGTGATAATCGTGCCGATCGGCGGGTAGAGGCAGAATGCGAGATCAGCCCATTGTTCATGCTAGTCATCGTGCCATTGAGGCGAATTGCAGCGAGTGACTTAGTGGCGCAGAACAGCCCAGAATGTGATGACTTCACCTGGGACGTTGAGAAAGCGTACGAACACGGTGAGCTGATCGTCAGTGTGGTGAGGTTAGTGTGGTGAGCGAGCGCGAAGCATGTACGCAGTCCAGTGCGGGATCAAAGCAAAGTGATGGGCACAGTGATGTTTCCTTCTACGCATGCTGTGCATGGGCAGACAACCGTTCATTCGTAAACATCGACTTCGTGGAGCAACGCCAGTGTCGTAGGTATATACATAGCAAGAAAAGCAGAATCCGGGGAATTGATGCAATTGCATGATAATGATAGCCATGAGCGGAATACATGTCCAGATAGAGGCTGTAAGATCCATGGCAGGAATTGGTTCCGCATCCCGCAGAGCAAAGATCCAGTCATGTGAGGAGAATGAGAAACGAAACCCAATTTCCCAATTAACGTACATAACATCAAACAAAAAGGAAATCCGGGTAGTAAATGCTCCTTTGGGCTACTCCACCAGGCTGGAGAGGTATGGGTTCCATGGCTTGAAGTCCCAGGGAAACAAATCTCTGTCCGGATGCTTTTGGTAATGGCAGACTCCCTACGGTACCCAGAGGGTAGAAGATGGATCCATTAAAACATTAGAGTGGCCAGACTCCAGAGCACCATCCAGTAGCTTGGAAAGAAAGGGTATCTCCGGGTTCGGTATATCGACGCAGGAACAAGGACAAGGCCGTCAATGGAGATGGACTCTATCTTGTACTGTACCTAGAGGTGCCGGACTGTGGATTGCGTGACGACTGAGGTTGTTGCGACAAGGGATATTCTGAGGGGAAAACGTTAGTTGTGAAGTCGCGCAACGACTGCAATGACTTACGACGACCGTCAGAGGCAATGTAGTAGCCAGGAGCGGCTGCTGTGGCACTAATGGGGCTTAGCGATAGACCAAATAGGGTTCGTCATAGTAACCAAAATACCTTGGAGTTGCGTACTGGGTCGCTTGGGTGGCCGGCTGGCGTCCATAGGGATCTGGGGTCTGCGCTGGGTAAGAGGAATAAGCAGACTGCGCAGGGTAATCCCGTCCACTGGGCTGTTGGTAAGATGAGTATGGATCCGCGGGCTGGGTCCTGGGAGCAGCAGAGACGGATGAAGCCTGGTATCCTGGATGCGAACTTCCATACGCGGATGTGGGAGTCGTGGTATAATGGGGATCACTGCTACCATAGCCTGAAGACGCATACGTTGTCGCTCTAGACGACGTTGACGACTGGCGAGGTGGCTGGTCATAGGGATCCGCCGCCGACTTGGGCGCACCGTGTTCATACGGTTTCGTCGGACCCCAATGCTGACGAGCAGCATGTGTACGAGAGTCTTGGTAAGCGACTAATGAAGCGTTAGAGCCCCCAGATACCTTAGTAGTGCGCACTTGAGGACTATGGCTACCTCCACGTCCCACGTCGCCAGGCTGGCGCTCTTGCTGCCAGCGCTGTGAGTCCATCTTCAGATCCTGAATCATTTGCTGGGGTGTTGTTAGCGATGTGCGCGAGCACCGTCCGACAGCTCAACCTACCGATGTGAGAGTGCGGTACGCCGTTATCCAGTAGCCTGGCTGGCCCTGTGAGAGAGTTAGTTTTCCGTCGTACTGGCATCAAGGAGAGATGTGCGGACCTGGTACTCTCCGGTGCCTGTGCCGGGCCTGACAAGCGCATCTGGGCCGAGGTAGCGCTGGATGTCGGCCGTGATGACTTCTCTCGCGATGCCATCGCCTGGCACAAACCACTGATTTGCGCGCGACATGGTTATTGAGAGGCGTGTGGGAAGGTTACGAAAAGAAAGATGACAGTGATGTCAGTCCAGGAATGGGGGCCAAGCTATGGGAGCTAAGATGGAGGGGCTCTAGGCAACCAAGATACGGGCAAAAGCAGTCTCTGGAAGTCCGAGGGCTGAGGTGTCCAGAAAGAGTCCAGAAGAGAGGTGTTCAGAAATGCAGGACGCAGAAGCGGGGTTTTGACCAATATACCGGCACCTTGGGGGGTCTGGCCTGTGACAAGAGTGGACCTTGACGGCGTGGCTGGATGCAGCTTCCTGGTGGGGGCGGTCACAGCAGGTACTCGGAAGTAGAGGGAACTAAGATCCAAGCAATATGCGCACTCTGGCAGACAATGCGCAGCGTACGGGCGACGGGAAGAGTACTTTACTCGAGTGCTCAAAGAGTCGAGGAGCCGCAACTGAAGAATGGCTTGCAGAGGGAGCGGGGGATGATTGGCCGGCAGCGGTGATGGCGGAAGGCGCAAGATGCAGGTCAAGCGGTTGGGCAGCACGCTGAGAGCAGGCTTGTGACACTGGGTTGGCGGAGTTGATGCAGGCTGGTTTCGACGAGATGCGATCGATGGGAAAGCAGCAGAAGGGAAGAGAAAAGAAGACGAAAAGAGCGGCGTACCGTCGGCAGCCGAACTAATTATTCGGATGGGCCAGCAGTCTCCATAGCTCGAGCGTCTGGTGCGCTTTGGACGGTGTGGAGACGGACCTGGGCAGCCCTCAGGTGGCGTCGCTTGGGCAGCAACTGCGAGGATGCCCGAGACCAGCCTGACCCTTCTCAGCTCTAGCGACGGTGATGCAAACGGGCATCGTCGCTTGTCAGCAGCGACTTTAATTCTTTACCGCGTGCGATACCAGCCGTGATTGGGCGAATTAAACCCTTTTGCGCTGCGACACTCGCCCTCCAAGGTTTGCCGGCGTGTGGAGAGGCTTTCGGGGCTAGCCGCTGGCATTTTTACAGACATTTCTTACCTGTCCGCCGGTGAGCCCTGCATCATCACCCCCAACAACAACCAAGGCTACGCCCTGGTCCCTCGCTTCGGCCAGCTGTGACGTTGTGCGCCCAGGTTCGGTCGATCCAGAAAGCCTTCACCGACTCGCTGCCGCCGCTCCAGCATGCCACTCTCCTCGGGCGCCGCCACTTCATGAGCGGCCGAGCCCAGCAGCAGCAGCGTGCACGACGATCCGTCTTCCATCACTGCCTCTTCACAGCATCATCGCCTCCGTGGGCAAGGCGAATACAGGCCCTATCCAAGAGCGTGCAAAGTCTTCAAGCACGGGCTACCAGTAGGAACACTTCCCTCTACCGCACACTAAGGCTCCATCTCCTTGTGCTTCCTCGTCGTGGCTGGTTCTCATTAGTCCAAATTCCAGACCTACCGCTCCAGCGCAATCTTCGTCAGGCACCCATCAGGTCCAGCAGCTCTGCCAGCACAGCACGTGTTTTCGTATCACCACATGCTGCGACGCTCAGTGATGCGCATGTCTTGATTGCACGCAGCCTGTCGTGCTGCCCAAGCCAGCACTCTCCCGACTCTGCAATGGCCACCGTGATGGAACTCTATATCTTCACCACTGATAATCGTCTCTGTCATTTCCACACGCTCCTGTCAGATTAAACTTTAAAGTCGTCGGCTTTTGTTCTCGTGGTCGAGAACTTCAGACGAAAAGAGCAGGAGCATCGGCATAGGTGCCAGCCCGACATCGAGCCATCACGGCATTTTCGTGCTACGACGTGCAGCCAGTGGTCATTGCGCCTCGAGCCATTTTCTCAATGGGTTTCATCTGCTTTCCTTTCGTTTGTTGTCATTGTCACGGTGGAACAGGGTACCCACCGCTTTCTTTCTTCTCCGTTGCATCCCCATCCGCCGGTGTCAGGGTACCCGACCCACCAGTTGAACCCCATCCAAACCTCGCACGGCATCTCCCTCATCTACCTCATCGTCCCCAACATCCCAACATCCCAACATAGACAGAGCATCCTAGTCCGGCCATCTCGGACCCAAGGATGCGCTCTGCCGCTGCTTGGCCGTGCAATCGACCGTCACCTTGGGCGCTGATGCTTCCGCTGTTGTCACGAGCGGCCCGAATACTCCCGGGAACTGCGTTCGAAGGTATAAGCGCGTGGGGGTAGTCGTATGTACCTCTCTTGATGCATTGCATCTCAGCGTACCTGTTAATCTTCGCATATTGCGTTAATGATGCGCAATAGACATAGTAGAGACCATGTAGTATAGTACCATCAGTATCATATCAATATCAAGCCAACGTATATGACAATCATGAGTTCACGCGATTCCCGCCACACGTCTAGGATACCTTCTCCGGTCGCGACGATCTCACTCTGTTCAGCTGACCGCTTACGAATACCTTTAGGCTCATGATTCATCCGACCGCTATAATACTCTGCCTGATACTCTGCCGTGCGTGATATTGGGCACTGATGAATCGACCAAGCAACGGTGTTATCTTCCAGCTCCGGGTTCGCATTCTCCCATCTCCTCCCGAGATGATGGATCACGTCCATTATCCTCCAGTGATGGTCTGCGGAGGACTACCGTACAAGCATCGAGATAATCGACCCAGTCATCAATTGTGCATTCCATGTCGAGCTGAGGCATTCACGACGCGTAATCGGGCGTCACGTAGAGATGTGGTTGGAGTTTCCTGTTGGGCGTGAAGAATCATCATAGTCTAGTCTAATGTGCTATCTAAAGTCGTAATCGTATCTCTCGTCTCGAGGCCAACTGCCGACGTCGTATTCAAGGCCTCCGCAGATTTGGTAAACAAATCATGACCCGTGTCGGGAAGTTACATGTCCGTCGTCTCTCGCAGCTCGCAGAAAGAAGCAAAAAGTAAAGGGGGGGTATCTGGGGGTATAAACAGTTCATCTCGCTGGAACGACAGGCCGGAGCCGAAACAAAACGCCGTCGTAGATGCTGTGTCCCAGCACGTCTTTTTTCGGAAAGTAGCAATGGGTATGTTCGTCCGGGGTATGCAATTTCGTGAAGCAATGAAAGAAAAGGAAAAGCATTAAAGTAAACGCCGTCATGACGTTGCTGGAAATTTCAACTTAGTCGTGAATGGCTGTCGAAACGTGATCTTCCCACAACGTCGCAGATGATGTCATCAGAGTGATGATGGACGGCCAGCGGTGAGGTGCGTTCGGTGGATCATCAAGGTTCGTCGAACGTGTGATTCGTCATACCATGTGCCAGTCGTAGCCAGCAAGCTCAGTAATGAGGCTCGTTCGTGAGGCCAACCAAGTCCTCGAGGAGTGAGATGGCCGCAGACATGCGTCGCGCAATCTGTTCGGACGCCCACGAATTGCCAATGTCCATACCGATGGGGATGATGCCGAAGAGGTGGCGACCATTGCCATAAGCTCCACTGCGACTAGCCACGTTTCCGTAACCACCACCGAAACCGACACCGTTCGCGTTCTTCCACGCAGCTATCTCGGCCTCTTTGATGAGTATGTAGACCGCCATAAGGATCCCGACCAAGTAGGGGATCCAACCTATGAATCCAGTCTTCTTGGACGAAATTGCAATGGGATGCATCAGCTCGAGCTGAAGAGGTGCCTGCTCGATGGGCTTGACTTCGCGGGTGACCATGACGGGAGCGATGCGGTTGGTAGGCTTGGCGATCGCAACCTGGGTGTTGGGTTCGGTGGGCACCGTCTCGAGAGCCGCCTGAGGAAGGAGTTGGCTCGTGAGTACAGGCGCATCGGTCTGGGCAGAGAAATCGGTGGTGGTGGCAGGCATGTCAGTCTGCGTGGAGAGCTCAGTGGTGGTTGCGGGTGCGTCAGTTTGAGTGGAGAGCTCTGCGGTGGAGTTCTGACGCGCAACTGGACTCGTACTGACAGATCCAGTTGGGCTCAGCGCGAGCATAGGAACCATGGGTTCACTCGGCACAAAGCTGGCGATCTCGTACCCAACAAGCGTAGAGGCAACAAACACAGGACTGTGAGGTGAAAGGTTGACAGTCTCTTCCTCGTACATGGCCAATCGCGCTTCAGCAGGCACTACGGGCGCATAGCTGGCGATGTCGCGTACGCCGTATAACGAGAGCCCAGCGCTAGCGACGTCCATAGGCTCAGTGCTAGCAATCTTGTGAACGTCCTGGAAGGAGAGCGCAGGGCGCACAAGCTCGATGGGCTCGGTGCTGGTGGTGTTCTGGGGGCTGAGGGCTAAGGGCGAACCAGCAGGCTCCATAGGCGTATAGCTGAAGACATCGCGCACGTCGTCGAAGGAGTACGGAATGCGAGCGGGCTCGATGGGCTGGGTGCTGATGGCAGTCGGCCTGCTGGTGGTCAAGACCGCACCAACAGGCTGCTCGGGGGTACAGCTGAAGATGTCGCGCACGTTGTAGAAAGAGAGCGGAATGCGCGCTGGCTCGGCAGGCGGGCTGCTGGCGGCTTCGCGCACCTCAATCGTTTGTGTGGGCGACCTCGCGGTCTCGGGCTCGGTGCTGGCAGCTTCGCTGACCTCGATGGTTTGTATGGGCGACTTCGCAGTCTCGGGCACGGTGCTGGCGGCCTGGTGGACGGGACTGGTGGACAGCGGTGCTGGCGACGGATTGCTGGGCGTGACGCTGGCAGCTACGTGAATGTCGGAGGCAGACAATGGCACAAATTCGGGCTCGTAGTCGCTGGCATCGGCTGCGATCCAATCACTGTCGTCAATCCCGGACTGGTCGAGCTCTTCTTCAAGGGTACCCGCCATGCTGCCGATATGACGTTCATCGTCGACTGGCGAAGCAGCCGCGGCTCGAGCCTTCTCGTCGAGTTCGTGGCGGTTGCGCTCAATCTCCTTCTGCAACAGCGCCTCGAGGTGGCTGATGCGCTCGTCCTTGACCTCGATGACGCGTAGAGCCCGCTCGTGTTCGGCGGTGGCTTCGGCGATGTCGCCCTGGAGGTTGTTCTTCTCCTCAAAATTGATGTGCTCTTGGAGTGTGTCCTTTAGCTCGTCGATTGTTGCTTGCGCCTCTTGCCATTGCTCCCGTAAGTCCTTGAACTGCAAGTCTACGTCTTCGAGTTGCACTAAGGCATTGTCGCGCTCGGTGAAGGCGGCTCTGACATTTTGTTGCGCTTGTTCGACGTCGGCGTGGAGGTTCTCGATCTGCTTGCGAGCATCTTCGAGGGTGTTTTCGGTCTTCTGGAGCTCTTGGGCAAGTTTTGCGTTGCGCGTCTCGAGGTTGTGGATCTTCTCCTGCTCTTGCGCAAGCTCCGCAGTGCTTTGCGTAAGCTGAAAATTGGTGTTGTCGCGCTGGCGCCGTAGGTCGGCGAGGTCGTTGTTAGACTTTGCGAGTTGTTCCTTGAGTCGCTCGTGCTGCGTCTCGAGATTGCCGTATCGGTCGTATTCGCGGTCAAGTGACTCCTTGTACTCGTCTCGGTCTCTTCTGATCTGCTCCACAGAATCTTCCTGCCCCGACATGTTGTAGTCGCTCTCCTCCTCCACCAGTCGCGACAAATCCTTCTCTTTAAGCGTGGGTACTTGCTTTGTTGTCGCAAATGCCAAGACACCGCTTCCGGCGTTAGCGCGACCCTTGTCCCCAGCCCCCGGCCCTGGCGGGAAGACATCCAAGCTCAAGCTCATTTTGGCGCCAGCGCCAGTTGGTCCCTGAGCGGGTAGGGGCTTGGAGGGAGGGAAAAAGTGGAAAGGGAAGTAGTCGCGTTCCTTGCCGAACTCCATCCTCTTGCCGTCCATTTTGAAGGTAGTTGTGTATTTAAACTGTGAGTATGAAGATGTAGATGTGAGTAGGGTTTGAAGAGAAAGCAAGAGATGGGAGCAAAGCCTCAGGAAGATATATCGCAATTGTCAGCCAAGCGCTATTGCTATTGTACAATATATTGTATGACTTGAGCTTCCTGCTATTGTGCCTTGAAAAGAGCAGCTCCAGTCTAGAGAAGGTGAAGACGACTTGCGTTCACCTGCTGTACGTGATAGTCCAACATCTGAGTGTGGACTACATTGAGTAACACAGTTACTATTTGAAGGATGGTAGCGACATGTCGCCTCCCGGCTTGTACTTCAAGTTTGATTCCAAACACCTCAGCGACAAGGTAGTCTCCCGGCTTGTATTTCAAATTTCATTCTACCTACCTCAAGCTCCTGGTCGTCGGCAAACACTTTTTTCGTCCCCTTGAATAGCGAGCATGGTTGTGTTCTATCCGTCCAGTCTTCCCTCTTCCTCTTCGTCAGTCGCCGCCATTTCTCAAGATCACATCTAGCCATCGGACAGACAGGATCTCTATCAAAATGTCTTTCCTCACACTTCCAACACTTTGGGGGTCGTCTAGCATGCTTGCCCGGTCCCTTCACTTTGACCACTTTTCCCTTTATTCGTTTCGGGATGTGAGCCGTATTCAGGGTGGGAGCTTTGTGCAGTTTCAGCGGCGCTGACAACTGCCACTTGAGCGACTTCTCCGGATCTTTCTTCCATAGCTTCCTCACGTACTCCAGATCGGCATGTAGGAAATGCGACACACAGCAGAAGTCAGTAACACGTCGATGTAGCATCGTGATGCAGTCGCTTTCGAACTGCGACATAGGTATACCCAGTGCTGTCTCTCGTCGTTGTTTCAGCTTTTGTGCCTTCTCTTTGGTCCGAGCTGCCGCCAGAGCTCCTTTGTTCTCTGTGTACTCAACCATGCGTCTCAGCTCAGTCATACCGAATGCTTCGTAAATGATCTGTTGGCGAATCTCGGAAGGTAGGCCAAGAAGGCTGGCTTTGGGGTACGAATGTCGGAATCGGCCAGTCGGAGCCATGATCCACGGATATATCCATAGTCTTACTGCGCGCTCGCAGGCGATCTGCTTTCTTGCGCCCTGCCGAAGAGTCCGATATTCGAGTGTGCTGGCGATGTTGTACCCATTTCGGCTAAGCTCGCGACGGCGTTTGAGCCTTTCCCTCTCGTGACGATTTTTTCTTTTCGCCATGGTGTAACAGTCTGTCTATGATGTGAGACTGGTCGCTGGGGGTAGTTATGCACGGCGCGTGCTCTGTATTTCCGAGACAGACTGAGGCGACTTCTGGGAAAGTTCCGTAGTGCCTTTGTCCTTTAGAGTATTGTGAGATTGGGTTCTGTGGTAACGATTCGTAATCATCAAACGGTGTCTGGGTGCAGGACCCTGGGCTAACCGCACGTGGCAGCGAGTTCGGCCATGCCCTATGCGTCATATTGACTCACAAGCATGTCAACAAAGACGGTTAGGAAACTATTGAAGATGTGCTATCTTTCGTTTCTCTCTAAGACGCTGATATATAGCGAAAAGTACCGAGCGAGAACCCCAAAGACTATGCGACATGTCTCCCCACATCCAACAAGTTCCCATCATCAGGCCCAGTGAACTTCTTCCTCCCGGTCATGATCCAAAAGATCAGGCTGATCACCATAACAACTCCCGTTGCCGCAGAAGTGTAGTTCATATTCTCGCTCGTCACAGGTGTGACGCTAGGTAGGTTGGACACGACGCAGATGAACGCCAGATATAGGAAGCCGATAATGTTGAGAACAATTCCCCAGCGACCCAGTGAGTATGGGCCTTCCAGACGAGTCTTCTTTCCGGAGAAGTGGGCGAGAATACGGGAAAGTAGAGGCATTAGATACGAGAGGTAGAAGCCTTGTGTAGCGATGGCGATGATGGTGTTAAAGCCAGTTGTTGTACCAAAGTAGATCGAATTGAAGGCCATTTGTACGACAGCTGTTAATACGATGGCGTAAACCGGCACCGATCTTGTCGAGATTCTGCTTAGGACGTTCGAGAAGGGGAGTCCGTTGTCTCTTGCGAACGCGTATACAGCTCTCGATCCCTCTGCCATGAGCGAGTTGGCGCATACTGTGGCGATAATAGCGATCATAGATGCTAGAGTAGATGTTCCAGCTACACTGTTCGTGCTGTTGAATATGATGGCAATGACAGGTACTCCTGTCGCTGTAGCACCCGTCTCCTCGAGATCGCCAATGCAAAAGCACAACGCAACTAGCCAGACAAATCCGGTGAAGAAGCCGATGTAAACCGACATGACTATCGCCCGAGGTGCTTGTTTCCGCGCGTTCTTGATTTCCTCGGTCATATGTGAAGGCGCATCGTAGCAGCACATTCCAAACGCTGATTGAAGTAGTCCAAGGCATGTAGCATACGGCGCATTCCATCCAGTGAAGTTCTCGAAGTCGCTGAACACGTAGCTCGCCGATTGCTTGTGGTCGTTTGTGACCAGAATGGTGATGAGGCAGACGACGAAGGAAGTGAGGTTCCAGATGAAGATTGCTTTCGATAGCTTGTTTAGGATGTGTGGCAGATAGATGTTAGACGCCGCTGCGATGAATGTGATGAGATAGGCGACCAGTACTGTGTGCCAACGCTCTATCGTAAAGCCATAATTCAACTGGGCGGTACCGAGAATGAAGTTTGTAGCAACAAAGTTATTGACTGCGCCCATGCATATGATGCCAATCAGCATGAACCTGTTCACGTTAGGATCTCATTGAGAGGTCATCTTGGACAATACTTACCATCCACAGAGATAACTCATTGAGCGAGCCCAGCGCGTCGGTGCCAGAATAGCCACCCACGAGTACTGCCCGCCTGCAACAGGGTACCTTGAGGACGATTAGCTCAGCCATAACAGTCAGGCAAAAGTGAACATACGCGCTACACATCTCGGCCATTGAGTAAGCAACAGCAAGTGTAACCAGACAGACACACAGCCACCCCCAGATCATAACCGGTGGCCCTCCCGACTCAACACCAATAATGAGTACACCAGAGAGTGCGGTCCATGAAGTGACGATACTGAACGAGAAGCCTACCATCCCAAGTAGACCGAAACTGCGCTTGAGCTCTGCGAACGCGGTCAGTATATGTTTGAAGATGTGACTTTGAGAAACTTACCTTGGGTATATCCCAGCTGCGCCAGTACATCATCGTCGCTGTTGGTCTCCTCTAAGACCTTCTTCTCTTCTGGGCTGCTCGCCATGTTTACCAGCTCACGTTAAACTAGGAAAAAGCTGAACACCCTAGACCCTACATCAATGTTAGGTTACCTCTATCGCCTCTTCTTATCTTAATGTAGTCTGAAGAGCTGTTTAGTTTTTTCTTCTTGTATGAGGTGTGCTCAATAATGAGAGAACCGAGAGAACAAAAGTTAAGAGACCAATGCAAACATGCAGATCGTGCCGAAGACCTTGTTTAATGTATCACCTAGCCGCATAGATATACCTCTACTGGTATCGCGCAATCCCATCATCTCACAGCCATCGAATGACCACCGTCAGCGGCCGAGCCCTGTGTCATCCAGATAACGGGCGCCCCAGGTTGTGCTTCCATTTGGGGAAGTCGCCAAGCATCTCTTACATGTCTTATCGCGCATCAAGCGTGTGAAGTGGGCTGGTCGAGATAGGAAGCGGAAGCGGCATGACGAGGAACCGGGGTGCTGGTAGAAGTGGGGTACGGCGGACGAGATAAGTAGGCGGCCATGCGTAAGTATATGACTGAGAAGCTCAAGTTTCAAGTGCCCAATGGTTCCAACTCTTTTCTATTGACCAGTAAATCCGATGTACAAAAAGATATGGTGGTGATGTGATGGCGCGACAACCGTAGCAGGTGTGGAAGGAATAGAGACGCGTAGGTACCTGCCGATCCCGATAGTCGGCTATCACAAGCCGACGCGATAGGATCACTCAAGACAGTACAAGAAATATACCAACGTAACAGACTGCCGCGCGGAGATGCGATGCTGAGTAACCTTGACGACGCGATGTAGGCACAAAGGGACTACGGCACGCCCACCATCTCAATATTTCACGATATCCAATCTACCTAGGTAGCACATTGCCTCTTCACTGCATCAATTCGAGGGTCGTCATTACTACCCTCTCGTTAGCATCCGCCTACCATCCTTCGAACAAAGTTAGCCAAGTCGACTTGACCTCATCGCCAAAGGACCATGACATCTCAAATCCCCACCACAACACCCTACGCCTGGCCTCATACCTCCTCTCTCCACCCCACCACAACCGCTCTCATCATCATAGACATGCAACGCGATTTTCTCTCACCAGGCGGCTACCTCTCCTCGCAAGGCTACTCTCTAGCCCGTTTCGAGCAATTGATCCCTCGCATCGCATCCTTGCTATCCGCATTTCGCCGCCCAGGCTTCCCCATCGTACACACAAGGGAAGGACACGATGCCTCCCTCGCAACAGTCAGTAGTAGAGAAGCACATCGGAGTCGGGTCAACGGTGCAGAGATAGGGAGCCAGGGTCCGTTGGGCCATCTTTTGATCCGTGGGCAGGAGGGACATGAGATCATTGAAGAGTTGAGGCCGGCGAAGGGAGAGTTGGTTATTGATAAACCTGGACGAGGGGCGTTTACGCACACAGAGCTTGATATGATGTTGAGAGCGAAGGGGGTGAGGAATTTGGTGATTTGTGGGGTTACAGCGGATGCGTGTGTGAGTAGTACGGTAAGGGAGGCGAGTGATAGGGGGTATGATGTGTTGGTTGTGGAGGATGGCGTGGAGAGTGTGAGTGAGGAGTTGAAGAAGTGGAGTTTGGAGAGTGTCAGAGTGGAGGGAGGGTTGTTTGGGGTGACGGGATGGTGTAAAGATGTGGAGGAGGCGGTGGGAAGCTGGATACAGGATAAGAATGAGTGATGAAGTGGGTAGGTTGTGCTGCACAAGATACTTGGATAGCTACAGAGAGGTTTGGGCAGTATGTGCTGCCTTTACTTTAGCTTAAGGGGACCTATACTGCGCGTGTCAACACTGCCTAAGGACGCCTTTACCTTTCTTTGCGCGTCTAACTTGTGGCGAGCTCTTGCTCAATCAGCGCACTCCATATACCACGCTCATTTTCACATCCTCACGCTACATTGCGTCCAAGTCCCACACTCAAATATTCCGCTCTCCACTTCAGCGCTCACTCCTGCTCTTCAACATCGACATATCCGCACTTCATCACACTTGCTCAACATGCCCTTCATCCTCACCTAGCATGCCTTCCCCACAAGGGTGGAAGTCGTGGAACGCTTTATCGACACCTCCGCCGGCGAAACCACCTTCCGGGAAGACGTCCGGAACAACCTACAGCCCTGGACTCAGCTCAACTTCAACCCAGACATTGCTCACATACGCGAAGGTTTCGGCTACGAAGTGCGCCATTACTACAAGAGCCCACTGGGTAATGTCGAGATATTCCCCGGTGCCCAGGGCGTGATTGTGGGGTTAACTCCGGTAGCTTCTGCCATGAGAGTGAAAGGCCGTGTGCGGGTCCATGTTCTTGAGAACTTGATCAGAATAAGATCGTACCGATCGTTATACTCCGGGCTAGCAATGTTCATATCGAGGATCACAAGTTGTACAACGAGATTGCCAGTCGCCAGGGTATACTTGCTTCGAAGAGTGGACAGCCGTTCGACCAGCTCGATGTGGTTACTAAAGCGTACCTTTCGGCTCTGACTGCGGTCAACGCGGAGGAGTGCTAGTGGAGCTGAAGAGATGGGGTCGAAGAATGCTAAGGTTGAGAGGGATTTGTCTGCGGTCAGATGTTGGCAGCAGGCGGTAGGAAGATATGCCAAAGGCAAGGACAGCACGGCATGAGTCAACTTCACAGCACGAAACAATTGAACAGCAATGTGCATGAATATGTATGCATTGACTGAACTAGCTAAGTGAAGATCGAAGCTTCATATTGATCATTTCCAAACCACCCATGAACATAACGCCGTGAAGACCGATAGCCGTGACCAGATCATATCCATAAACAATGTGTGACCATGCGGACAATCCCCGACCAAGAAGCCGCGAGAAGCCGTCGATGCCGGGCGCCGATGTGTCGTGACGAGAAGATGAGATGTTTAACCACCGAAACCGTAGAGGGTACGGCCCTGGCGCTTGAGGGCGTAGACGACGTCGAGGGAGGTGACGGTCTTGCGCTTAGCGTGCTCGGTGTAGGTGACGGCGTCACGGATAACGCTCTCGAGGAAAGTCTTGAGGACACCACGGGTCTCTTCGTAGATCACTGCGGTGATGTTAGACATTGTCTGGCATGGCGACGAAGTTGGGAATGCTTACTAGCTGAAATACGCTTGACACCACCACGGCGAGCGAGACGACGGATAGCGGGCTTGGTGATACCCTGGATGTTGTCACGAAGAATCTTGCGGTGACGCTTGGCGCCACCCTTTCCGAGACCCTTGCCACCTTTGCCGCCTGCGGAGACATGTTAGCATGTTGTCTTATGGTAATGAGGGATGCAGCGACGACATGGTGGGTGTGTAGGAGTATCGTGATGCGCGGTGCATTAGTGGGGCGACGCGTTGAGCCTCAACACCAAGCGCGCCTCACCGCTATCTGCAGCAGCGGCAGCAGCGAGGATAACGTCGATGCGAGGGTAACGAAAGAGGAACGAAGATGTACTTACGTCCAGTCATGTTGTTGGAAGGTTAGTGGAGATGAAGGTGATGGGTATTGGTAAATTACGCGCGTTGGTGCAGCGTAAATGGCGTGAATGAAGATGAAAGCTGGGGGTTGCGAAAAGAGAAGAAAGAAAAGATTCCAAAGACGCGGGTGGGCCGGTTATATAGACGAGGGAGGCGGGCGCGGGTGCCTCCAGATCACACAGAGTGGCGCTAGGCCCGGTCGGGACGAGTCAGAACATGAAATCAAAGGCCTTGCGCCTTCACATCTGGGGGAAAATCAAAAGCGTGGAAAGCAGCACTTCCAAACCTGCGCTCAGCTTGCAGGCGCGCCGGGTTGCTGCTGCAGCTGTCGGCGAAGTGGCCCGTGCAGGAACTTCAATCGCGGCCTGCCGACGCGACTGGAACACCAACTTCGACTGCGCGATAGTTGCCCTGCATGCGGCTACAACGTGCTGCACTCTCTTTAAACTGCCAGAAAACAATCATATACACACAGAGGCTCTTTCCCATATCCTACAGTGTTCTGCACGTTCAGTAGCATTGGCATCACGTCTTCTTTGCCCCTCCCCGACGCGTGCACTATGGGCACAGGTGCACGAACTACACCAGCCACAGCAACAAGCAACTAAGAAAGACGCGTTCGATATCGAAGAAGATCCCTTTAACTACTTCGTCTACTCTTATCTCTTGAAGCTTGTATGCTATGTTTGCCATTCAGTTTCCAGAAACATCAACTTGAACCTTTCACCGCCGTGTCACAGGCTCTCCAACTCAATACGTTCACTAATCCAATGGACCTGCACACAGTTTCCACGACACTCATACTCGTTGCTTTCTTATTAGATGCAAATGAAAGCATAGCGCTATATCAAACGCAACCTATCATGAAGTGGTCAGGTCCCGCTCTTCTCTAGACATACTTGCTGGTTGCACATGCGCATACCTACAGATGCAAACCTATGAGTCACGTACTTAGCATTGCTGCCTAGAGGTGCTTTATCCGGATGTCCTCTGGAGTCATCAATGATCATGTTGGGACACGCCATACAGCACAAGACGTAGCTATGCATGCCTGACCACCACGCCCTAGACTGCTATATTGTATGCTCATCTGCATCGAGAGTGGAATCACTGTGAAGCAGTCATGAGATCTTAAGGTGTCGCGTCAAAGCGTTGTCAATAGATAAAACACGACTTGCACTTCAAAATGATACGTCAGTACTGTGGATGCGAACAAAAAGAGATTCATTGCGAGAGCTAGCTAATCAACACGGACTATAAACAAGGGGCATGTTGCAAACTGTCCATCTGACCAGAAGCGTGACATGACCATATCCACTCGCCACCTGTACCGCTATCCAAGACTGGAGCATGTTTTACTTGGACTCGTCCGTCTTCTTGACAGCAGCCTCCTCATCGGCAGCCTCCTCGTAGACAGGAGGGGCATCGTATGCTGGAAGCTCGGCGTACTCCTCCTTCTCTCCGTGCTCCTCCGCCTCTTCGACATCCTCCTCATCCAGAGCAATCGGCTGGTAGCGCTGGCCACGGACCTTCGCAACGGTAATAGCGATGAGGCATCCAAGAGCCATGCCAACGAGGTATGTGAGTGTACCAGCGAAGATGCCGATGAGGATGGGGACGAAGATGGTGAAGAAGGCGCGACGAGCCATCTTGGCGAAGCTGTGGTGGCGGTGTTGACCCATGTGGTGAGGCTTGTGGTGCGGGTGAGGCTTGCCAGGACGGAAGCGGTGCGGGGGCTTGCCAGCCATGGTATCATGCTCCATAGGGTTGTTGGGACGGGCACCGGCATGGGGTCGCTTATGGCAGCCGGGCCTAGGCTTGCGCATGTCTTTGATCTGCTCGATGCGGTCGGCCATAATGTTCTTCCACTTGCAGTAAAGCGGCCACTCATTGCACTCCTTGTCTGATGGTGTGGCTGGGCTGCGCTCAGCCTCGTTGAAAGATGCGATCATGAGGCGACCTTCCGAATTCTTCAGAACGTTGATCTGGAGTGCAGGAGGGTTGACAGCGGTGCCTTCGACCGAGGTGATCTGGAAGGTCATCGGAAGAAGCTCGGTGCCCTCCTCTGAGATGGTCTCTGCGCCGTCGTAGCGGAACTCATAGCTGGTGACGCGCAGACGCAGACGCTCTCCTGAGGAAGGATCCACCTGTATGACATGGTAAGGCTCGGGAGGGAAGCCGAACGATGGCGGGTATAGTTGGGAGTTGTCGAGGTTCAAAGCGTCGCCATGGGGTCCAACGTCAAAGTCCAGGCGCTGTTGGTTATTAGCATACGAGGCTGTGAGGTATATAGCCGACTACGTACAAAGGCATTCCCAGCATCAGACTTCCACTTGAGGTCTTTTCCATCCAACGTCGCAACGGCGCATCCAGGGCACTCCAGTGCGACGGATCGCTGGCTGGGGTTGATGGCGAGAGATTCAAAAGCGTGGTCATCTCCGAGGTCTTCCACATTCGTCATGGTCGAAGGGATGAGCACGGCGCTGGTGGCCAGCGCCAAATGGGCGAAAACACCCAACTTGCTAGGAGACATCGTGGGTTGTATTCAGAAGACTCTAAAATTTGAAAGGAGAAGAGGTGTTGCAGAACTGAAAGTATCGAGGAGGGCGAGACAGAGGAAGGTGGTGCCTCAGCCGTGCATTACGATTGCCGCCGCGTCATCTGTCACGTGAAGAGGCGGACCCTGAAGTTTAGCTGTCAATATGTCGCACGCGTGAAACAGTCGCCGAGCCAAGCAAAGCAACCAGTGAACCTAGCGACAAGGCGAAGTATACTTCAGCCTTCGGAATGTTGTTGTACTCGGAGTACATTCTACTGCGCGATGCATCGGCCGCTTCTTGTACGCCCGGCTGACTACTTCCTGCACGTTTACCGGAGCTTGCCGACGGTCGTTCGTCTGGTATCGTCAGAGTCCAACGCACAGACCTGGCTTTCATCTGTAGTTTCTAACCGCTCCCTCAATCTATCAAGGTAGTACATATGCTTTTGGGACTTGCGACGATGGATGTAAGCACAGCCGACGTGGGCCTCCAAGACCCCTCAGCAGAGCTCACTAGGCAGCATCAGCCTAGCTCAATCATCGCAACCTCAGTAAAAAAACACGTCACCTCCTTGTCAGTCCCATCTTCAAAACTGCAGGGCTAGAAAACACCATGCGACTTATTGACGCCACAACACTTGAGCTACGGCTCTTCATGGACGAGTCTCTGATACCGCCGTATGCCATTCTATCACACACCTGGGGCGAGGACGAAGTCACCCTCCAGCAGTTTACAGACCAGTCACTGCCAGACGATGCGATGTTGAAAAGCAGCCGCGGCTACTGGAAGATTCTGAAAGCCTGTCAGCAAGCACTGAGCGACCGTCTATCGCTAGTGTGGGTGGATACTTGCTGCATCGACAAGACATCTTCTGCAGAGCTGAGCGAAGCCATCAACAGCATGTTCCGGTGGTATGAACAAGCGGCGGAGTGTTACGCCTATCTTGATGATATCAATATGGATTCGGAAGCCTGGGCTGACGGCCTCATGTCCAATGACGACAAGGAACAGCTGGCCAGGTCGCGATGGTTCACTCGAGGATGGACGTTACAAGAATTACTAGCTCCAAAGGAGATACGGTTCTACGGAACACAGTGGAGATATATTGGCAGGAAGAGCTCGTTGTGTGTGGAACTGGGGTGCATCACTGGTATCAACGCAAACGTGCTTTCAGGTAAAAGCGACATGAGAGACGAGAGTATCGCAAAGCGAATGAGCTGGATGGCCGGGCGCAACACGACACGAATAGAAGACATGGCATATTCCCTGATGGGCATCTTCGACATCAACATGACGCAAATGTATGGTGAAGGGAAAAAGGCCTTTGTTCGTCTTCAGGAAGACATCATGAGGTTTTCCGCAGATCAAAGCCTGTTCGCATGGGAAGAACCCCTTCCACACTCTCATGGAATGCCTACCTCGGTATTTGCGAGTCACCCAAGACAATTCGCCGCTTCAAGCGGGATAATCAACCGCAGATTTGACGACGAATTTAGGCTGCCAGAGGACTATTTGTGTACAAACCGCGGCGTCAAGATCAAGCTCCGCATCCGAAAACCGACTGATTCCTGGGGTGGAGTAGCACGCAGCGAAGACGATTACTTGGCCGTGCTCGACTGCTGCTACGAAGACCTGAGACTTGAGAGCTGCTGGCCTGCCATTACAATCAGACCACTCAAAGGGCCCAAAGGACTGTACATTCGTGTTGGAGGCCCAGAAATCCTCCCTGTCGCTTTTGGCGATGTCAGCGACACCCAAAAGCAAATGGGCGTCATCTCTGTTGGCGATATAGATGACGGAGAATGGGTTTATCTTCGGGCAAAGGTTCCTGGCTGGGCAGCTCGCTGAACATGTGGGAAGTTGCGAAAGGTTGAAGTCGGATACGAGAAAGCTGTGTTGGATACATAGCGGCAAAGAACACGTTTCGAGCAGCACTCCCAGTTTGTCGATGACGATACGATTTGAACTAAGTAATAATGAACAAGACCAACACCAGAAAATGCCCAACGCTACATGGTATCTCTCGCTTCCCAAATGTCCCAAAACGAACTGACATCAACAACACACATCCTAAGCAATATCAACATCCCAAACGCCATGCTAATCATACAATCATGAACCCCAAAACCTTCTATGCTCACATGCGACTAACCTGTACCGGCACCCCGGGATGCATATTAAGCAAATACTGTGGACCGGGCATCGTTCCACCACCATAATGCGTGCGACTCTGACTCCTCACATGCTGCTGCTGCCTCTGTCCATCGGCACCGAACTCCCTACTCCCACTCTGCTCCGCCACATGCCCATACGGCATGCCATTCTCCTCCATCTTGCCCAGCATGACCATTTCATCGTTGTCTTCGCCCAATCCGCGGTTTTGTCGCCTCTCGGCGCGGGAATATGCGGATCCACGTTTCCGGATGCATGACTGGATGATGAAGATGAAGAGGAAGACGGCGATGGATATGGCGGTGTAGATGAGGATGATCGGTCGGGTTTGGCCTGAGAGATGGAGACCCAGACCGCCGGTTAGGATAAGTAGAACTAGAGATGCTGAAGCGAGGGGCGTGTGAAGAGCCTTTTGAAGGCGTGGGAGGTATGGTTTCAGGGATGGGAGGACGCTGGTCAGGAGGAGAGGTAGGAGTGATATGAAGGCGATGATTTGGTGCGGGGTGTTGAACGCTTTCGACTACGTACACGTGTTAGTAAGAAGATGGGAACGTAAGAAAAGAATGACTTACGCGATTGTACTGTGCACTGGTAACTCCTCCCAATACATAACTCACGAGCAGGAAGATCATGATGAGTATGCTGAAGACGACGTGTATCTTGATGTTCTTGAAGAAGCCCACGAGCAGCACATTGAGTGGCCAGAGTAGGAAGAGCGCTAGACATCCTATGACTGCGTGTGCGAGGTTCGCTCGGTCGTGGTCTCGGGTCATATCGCCTAGCATGCTTACGCCGTTCAATGCGTTGCTCTTTGCTGGCACGCCGCCTGGTCCTGTCGCTGTTGCCATGTCCATGGTGAAGTGACCGTAGCGGATGTGTCGTTTAAGGTTTGCAGAGGGTGAATTGGATTGCAGGTTCTGTCCGTGGCCAAAAGCGTAAATCATAGGGTGCGCTGTTGCCTCGGTGTCTATGAAGGAGCGGCAGTTGCCACAGCGTGCTCTCAAGATGAGCATGTCGTCGTCGACTCTGGTTCCTGGGAGGATGGTAAGGGTGACTGAGGAGTTGAAAATTGGTTCCGAGACTTTGGATCCGATACGTGTGGATATCGTTACGTCTGATGCTTGTTAGTATATTTGTTGTGATTCGACCTGACGTGAGTGTGAGTAGACATACTGTCGCTTTTAGAATTGGGGTACATGATGAACATCAGACTCCCTTCCATCTTCTCTCCAAAGCCAACGCCGACCCATGAATACGCCGGGCTGGCGTAGTAGATGAACACATCATCCGAGTCGTCTGCGATGTTGATAGAGAACTGTGTTTCTGTCCGATCAAGGTAGAAGGTCGATGCGGTAGTGACGTTCGTGGTCGTGTTTTGGCATGATATGAGGGCTGGGAAGACTGCGTAACAAGTTAGCAACGCGCATGCAAAGACAAACAATCATATGTAGTCTGAACTACTAGAGATGTGACTTACAAGCCAGCAGCGCAAGTACCACACCCGCTCTCTGCCGTACGCGTAGCGTCGCAAACATATCTCAGTACCAAATAACACCCAAAAGCGCGCGCAATAATCGACCAAGCTGTTCAGTTTCAAAGCAATCAAATCGAAAAGAACGCAGAGAAAGGGAGAACAGAAAAGCAATACCCAATTAATCCCCTCAAAGTAAAGTACCACAGCATAAACAAGCCCTAAACCCAACGCCTCCCCCATCGGGGACCTTATACTTTGCATACAAACCTACTCCTACACGCCAAACCCCATGCCTGCCAACACGCTGCACATGAAACAACCACAAACCCGACCCCACCAACCGCTCGTCCAACCACTCGCCTTGCCGCAACGCCAGCTTAAGAATGTCTTATCTTGGAACGAGGTCGCCTATGACGAGGGGGGAGCCACTCAGCAGCGCAGCGAGCTGGAAATTGAGCTCGTGTGGAGCGGGCGCTTAGGGACGGACAGGGTTTCGAGCGTGCTCGCGGCGTAGTGTAACAGGCGTGGAAGCGCCCGTACAAGACAGGGGCGACGTGCCAAGCGGGGTAAGCGGCGCCCGCGGGCGTCGTCTGTATTTTTAGCCTCGCAGCGCGCGAGTGCTGTATATAGGATACATCGGGGAGAAAGGAACAGCGTATTTGGCAATATGTTGATGATGTAACGTTATGTTCGATCGTCTTAGTGAACGCGATTCCAATGGAAAAGGCATGGGCTTGAACGAACTTGTGGTCTGATCTTGTGTGCACCCTTGCTTTTGCGGCATGCACACAGCCATCACTAAAAGCGGTCCAATGCCAGAAATCACTAGAATAGGTTTTATCGATAGTTCGCAAACAGATTGATCACAACGTCAACGCCAATAAAGCTCATGAATTTGATTGGTAACCGCAGAAAAAAAGAGAATTATGTACCTTCCCGCCATCCGCCACTTTGATCGATTTCCACATCCGAAAAAGCATCAAAGAAAAACTGCAAAAACCACCTCTGTCTTACTCGCTCCGGGTATGCTAGTCATAATCGTCATAGTCATTAGTGCTACAGGCCGTGTCCTCGTTGCAGGTCGCAGAGATCTTGTGAGTCGTTCAGTGTCAAGTTGAGACTTTCTCGGACAAGCGTGCTGGAAGACCGTGAACGTTGCTCGGAGGTGGCGAGACATTCCTAAACACGCTGGCCTCATTGAAGGATTCGCCTGCCGAAACAAACGATGCAGATTGTCGCGGGCTCAACAATTGTGTGAGACTTCCCTGAAGGGCTCCCGAATGTCCAACCCGCAGGTCCGGCGTCAAGTGAAAGCTGTACGAGGGTCCTCGTCCACGTTCAGAATCTAACGGTATCGGCTGCGACGGCTGTCGAAAGATACTTCGTGCTCGTAGAAACGGTCGTCATAAGCTGAGGCTGGGCGAGAGTCGTGGATAGACTTGCGCTCAATCTCGATTTCCCGAATGCGGCTCTTGCGCTTACGACGGATTTCGTCGGAGATCTCCACGAGATGCAAAACGTCCTCCTGGAATAAGTGTCAGTATACTGCACGTTGTACAAGGCGTCGCAAACTTACGTATCGCAGGTACTCCATGACGTAGAAAAAGTCGTCGGTCTCCTCGCATGAGTAGCCGCACGAGTCGATGGCTTCGCGGATCACCAGGTCCTTTGTGATTTCGGTCCACATGTCCTTCTTCTTCTGCTTCACCGATCCCTGGTTGTAAATGTCAGTGGTATGTTCATCGTCGCCGCTGATGAACTTTGATCTGCGAACACCATTGTAGCGCTGCCAGGTAATCTCTTGGGCAGCACCACCGATCCCATCCATGCGCACACGACTGGTGCCGGGTGGCACGTCGATGATGGACCAGTCTTTGGTAACTCCATTCCAAGCTTCACCTGGGTAGGCTCGCTCAAGTGCTTTGCGGTTGTAGAACTCGGCTTCCAAATCAAAGTCCATATCGGGCATGGGGGCTGTGTGCATACGCCCTGGGGGGCTGAACGACCGCTCGCGGTGACGTACCTGGTCGCGGTTGAAGTTGATATCAATATCGAGCTCCTCGAAGTTGCTCCTTCCACGTCCACGGCTGTGGCTCCTGGAGAAATGTTAGGTTGTGTGTAGTGGCATGTGAAGTGAGTACTCACTCTCGTCGGTTGATCTCGATCTCGAGGGTCTCGTTTAGTGGAGGGGGAGGAGACGGCGGCGCCGGTGGGGGAGGCGGTGTTGGCGTGCGGGCCCTGACGACACCTGTAGGACTGTCAGTATTGAACCTGGATTGTGTTAGCCACAACACTTACCATGGTCAATGTGTCGGTGATGTGTGATGATCTCCTGGATGATCGGGGGTCGGATCTCCGGCTCAGGAGCTGGCGCTGGGGGTGGAGGAGGCGGGGATGGAGAGGGCGAAGGAGTGGGTGCTCGCTCCTCTTTGCGGCGGATGATGATCTCGTCTCTTATGACTTCGCGGTTGTTCTGAGGGGGAGACTCGGCGCGTGGACGGCGGATGACAAACTCCTCGCGCTCCCTGGCGACCAGATCGCCGCGGTTGCGTGATGGGGGAGGGAGACTCCTCTCGCGGTTTCTAATCGTCAAGGAGCTCCTCTCTCTGCTGGTGTCCCTGCCATCGCGGCTGAATTCTCGGCGGTTTGCGCGAAGCTCGAAGTTACCGTCACGCTCTTGGAAGCGGATGGAGCCTCGTTCAGCAGAGACGTCCCTGCCGTGGCGGCTGACTTCGCTGCGGGACGCGTGGAAGTCGATGTCGTTTCCACCGCGGCCCCGGAAGCGCACATCGTCGTCGTCCACCTGACGCGGGGCGGGTCGGCTGACAGATCTCACAGGGGGGCCATCGCCACGGCGGAAAATGATGTCGTCGCGCTCTGGCGGGCCACGGGACTGCTCGCGGCGTTTGATGGTGATGTCCGTCTCGTCAATGTCGTCTCCCCGTCCGCGGCGCGTCGGGGCCTCGCTGTGACGGATGCTGATGTCGTCCCGCTCCATGCCCCGCATAGCAGAGGGCGGAGGCGGGGGACGGCTTCGGGTAGAGCGCACATCGTCGTCGAAGCCGCCGCGGCTGCTGCGGGGTCCTGCTCGCGAGAAGTTGTCTTCATCACGACTCCTCAGAACCATGGGGCCAGCAGTCGGGCGGTTGTAGTCCTCGCGGAAGAAGTCGGGGGCACTGCGCCGCGGGTCGGGGCCAGTGCCGCGTCGCAGCTCGAGGTCAAGTTCCTCGTAGTTGCGATCGCTGCGGTTTCCATTGCGGTAGAAGTCGCGCTCACGCTCCTCATAGAGCTCAGCGGTTGGGTAGCGTCGCGACGACATTGTGCGGCTAAGCGACAAGTGAGCGACAGGCGGGGGGGGGGGATAGTGGTGGGGTGACGTGCCGCTCTCACAGGAGACAGCGGATGGGCTGGAAGAAGGAACACGGGCAAGTGCAGTACGGGAAGGGGAAGAGGGTTGGTTATCAAGGTGAGCAGAAGAATGGACTTGTGCCGTGGCCTGACGTTATCGAGAAGGCTGGCCCAGTTGACTCCCCGGCGAGAGTAGTGGGGTTGGTAGCAGGACCAAGGTCGGGCGCTGTCTCGCTCTTTTGCAATGACGTAACCTCCACGCTGCACTAAACCACCCACCCTGATCACCAGCATCCTTCCTGCCCAATGGCCGCCAAAGCCGCTGCACCTCTGGCCCAGTTCGCAGAAGCATCGCAGAAGCAGTCGCCTGCAAGCCCACTGCCGGTCACTGGGAGCGCATGGCTGCGAAAATCTAGACATCTGTCCTTCTGTCATGTGTCACTCGGCACGTTCACAGCCATCGTTCCCACGAGGCGTTCTGGGGCTGCTTGTGTCAGTCTTACCAGAGTACCGCCCCTGGTGTAAACGCGCCGATTGACCCTGGGGGCCTTCAACCGAATTCCAAGGTCGGAATCAGGTACAGTTCGGGCGCCACATGGAGTCGCTACCTGACCGAACGACAGCCGCGCGAACTCTCTTACCATGCAACTTGGACCCATCGAGACAGCCTGATCGGCGCACTCGAGGTCCTGTCGTTGGTGAATCTCACCAGATCTTCGTGCCCAACAGCGTGCGACGGCGCGAGGCGACCCGCCTGTACCACATGCTTGTCTCGGCGTGAACTTGATCTCTTGGATATCCCTTCACATTAAACTTCTCTTCCATAACGTGTCAGACTTCGATGAACTGCTGACTTGATTCTCGTGCGCTGCCCCCGGCACAATCCCTCTCTCGCCCAGCATCCCATGCAAGATGACGTTGTTCGGGCAGACTACCTTGGACTGCAATTTCCCCAGGTAGCGATGGTATTCCAAGATACTCTGGTAGCAACCAATAAGCAGAAATCCTTTTGCGCGACTTACGAGGTCGTGGTCGGTGGCATGTTGCGAGATATGGCGAGAGCAAGTCTTGGACAGCCCTGCCAGTCGAATGAGGTGGCATGTGAGCATGTCCTACGTCATTGCGAAGCTATTGAAGGAGTCCAGGCGTTTGTATGCTCGTAAGTGTTTTTTCGCTGTGTACAACGCCCAGGAGATAGACGCATGGCCCTAGAGTCCCAGAGACTTGGAAGCTGCACTAGATGTCGTTGTACCTCCAGCCTGGTGCGGCAGGTGCGGCGCGACGGTTACGCTAAAGATGCGACCTTCAACACAACCTGAGCTCGTCTGCCACTTTCAACCAGCACATCTTTACGAACATTCCTCTATGCGCTTTTTATCTTACAATTCTCTCTGTGTCTTATTTTCATATGCGGATGTCCCCCGTGTTTTTTTGTTTTTTGTTCTTTTTCCCATAGTGGTGCAGCCGTAGAGTTCCTGCGTCTCCACTTCCGCTAAGTTTGCTACAACTCCCGTATATCCATTCTTATTAGATTTATTTGCTCACACAACCCGCGATGTTTTCAATTTACAATGATAAAAGTTAATCATGTTGCCGAAAGTCAATGAACCGCTCGGCGTGAGACTCGTGTTCCTAGTTGGAACCCCCTAACCTGAAGGTTTTCAGTAATTGTCTTGTCGACTCAAGCTTTAGCCAGCCGCAATGTATTCTCTACACCATTTTTCTTTTCATTCTGCGGATGATCTGTTAAGAACGAGCGTCTTTGTACAGCCCAAGTTCTCCCGGTATGCTCGTAGCACGCTACCTAAGTAGCTCTCCGCTTGTTGGCAGCATTACCTCTATGTTCTGATTGCCCTCACTCATCTCACAATCACGCTTGCCTCGAATCGTGTGTATCTTGAAGCATTGCTTGATTGGCTGGGCGATTCGTTTGCCGTGGCTAGACCGCACCTTCCTCGCGTTCACCAGTGACTGCGTGTTTACATCTCACCGCGCGAGCGTCACGTCGCGGGCCCTAACACAAAACACTCCTGCGTCTTCAGCCATCGTCTATGACTCCATATCTAAACACGTATTGATTCCACTCATTCACGAACTACCACGATCAACATGGCGCGAGGCGCTCGTGGCAGGTCAAACCGAGCCAACCAATGGGCAACCGGCAGCACGGCTTCTCACAGGCGACCGCAAGCACCGCAAAACAAGAATGCGTGTGCAAGTCTTGAGACATTGGAGCGTGAAGGTAAGTCCTGTTTCGCGGCAACACGAGCTCCACGTTCCTCTTCTGTCAACCCCAGAGAGCTCCCCTCTTCACTTCTATCAGAAACCACAATGAATATCGCTAAAATTACATTAGATGAAAAATTGAACGCGAACTTTACAGAACCGTTTCGTAGCATGCCGGCCAGCACTTGTGAACCCAATTACATCCCCCACGATGACATCCCTAGATCTGGACCGCCCAGATCAAATAACGATATACGGGAGTACTTCGAGCTAGCTAAACTGCATGTCGCTGGTGGGACATGGCTAGAAAAGCCCGAGATTCCTAGCCCCTCAGAGATTCTACGTCCGCAACCTGATATCAAGAACGGCAAAGAGGCACTCATCGAGGTTGACGAGACCCTTCGACCACACAAACCAGAAGGTGCATACAAGGATGAAGAAGAATATCTTGGAACCAAGTACGAGATCCTACGAGAGGACGCAGTCCGATCACTCCGCGAAATCATCAACGAGATTCGCACAGAGCCTTTCAAGGATGAGACGGAATACAGCGACCAGAGTATTGGGATCTACGACCCCGTCTACATCACATCACTCGTCTTTTCTCCGCGAGGACTCGCAACGCGTGTTGCTTTCTCACTCAGCCGAGTCAAGAAGCACGTTCGGTAAGTCATGGTATGCGTTCTAATGCTTGGCACTGACTAACAAATGCAGATGGGAGCAATCAAAGAGGCTGATAACTGGTACCCTTGTTGCCTTGTCGCCTACCGACGATGCCTTTCAGACCCAATGCGTTCTCGCCATAGTTGCAGCCCGTCCTATCTCTGCCCTAGAGCAAAACCCGCCTGAGATCGACCTCTTCTTCGCGCGTCCCGAAGACCAACAGATAGATCCTATGCGCAAGTGGATTATGGTAGAGTGCCGGAGCAGCTTCTTCGAAGCGAGCAGACATACTCTACTTGCCCTCCAGCATCTCATGAGAGAGCCATTCCCACTGTCGAAGTATCTGGTCCAAGTCCAGCAGGAGGTTGAGCCTCCACGTTACATCAAGCACAACCCTTTCGTCAATCTTAGCTCTCTCGTAAGCATGGAGGAGAGCGCAGCATATGAGAACGTCAACGTATTGGAAGATTGGCCTACCATGTCTTCGCACACTCTGGACAATTCTCAGAGCAAGGCTTTGAAGCGGATGTTGACAAGCGAGCTGGCCATTGTACAAGGCCCCCCAGGAACGGGAAAGACTTTTGTGTCTGTTGTGGCACTGCAGATAGCCCGCGACAACCTGCGAAGGGATGATTCCCCTATCATCGTCACTGCACAGACAAACCACGCTCTCGACCAGTTGCTCCGACATACGTCACAGTTCGAGCCCAATTACATCCGTCTGGGAGGCAGAAGTAAGGACAAGGAGATCAAGAAGCGAACCCTCTTCGAAGTCCGCCAGGATTTACCCCAGCAAAAACAGCCAGGCAGCCAGAAGGTACAAGCCACTATCGCACTGAGGAAGCTGACCGGTCAGTGTCAGCTGTTACTGGCGCCGCTGGAAGCTAACAAAGGACCGCTCGATCATAAAATCTTGCAAAGTCTGGGGTTGATTACCAAGGAGCAGGCCGAATCACTCGAAATGGATTCACAGTGCACTATGGGGGGCTCACCGACCGATGTTCCAGGAATCTTGATGGAGCAATGGCTGGGAAGGTATCTCAAACCGTGTGATCGACCAATTGGGCCAGAGCAGTTCGACTGGGGATACGAAGAAGAAGACTTCGAAGTCGAACAATTGAAAGAACTTGAGGCGGAAGCCGTGGCTCAGGACGACGATGATATCGAAGCGCTGCGTGGACCAGTGATACTCCTACGGGACAACTACAAAGGTGCTGGAGAGTCGTTGACCACTGCCGGTATCTTGAACATCTTGCGGAAAACGGACGACTTGACGATGATTCCAGTTGATAAGCGCGGTAGCATCTACAACTACTTCAAACGGGAGGCCAAGAGACTGATCAATATCGAAATTCGCAAGATCGCCAGAGGTTATCAAGAAGCAGTCTTCCAACGTAAGGTAGGTATGTGGGAGGAAGACGTACGTGTTCTCAGCAAAGCACGCATCATCGGTTGCACTACGACGGGTCTAGCAAAGTACCGCGCTCTACTTTGCGCTCTTCGGCCACGCATCTGTATCGTCGAGGAAGCAGCCGAGACACTGGAGGCACCTGTTACTGCAGCTTGTTTTCCCAGCATGGAACACCTCATCTTGGTCGGTGATCATCAACAGCTGCGACCTCACACCCAAGTGCGCGCATTCGAAGACGAACCCTACTTCTTGAACCTGTCGTTGTTCGAGCGCCTAGTCTGGAACAACGTCGCTTTCGAGACACTTACCCGACAACGACGTATGATACCAGAGATCCGACGTCTCTTGTACCCCATCTACCAGGATACCCTCAAGGATCACAAGAGCGTTAAAGGTCCCGACAATCGTCCCCCCGTCGAGGGCATGGGCGGCAACAATAGCTTCTTCTTCTGCCATGAGTGGCAAGAGTCCCGAGATGCCAACATGTCGGCAGTGAACTCAATAGAGGCAAAGATGATCGTGCAGTTCTTCGACTACTTAGTTCTCAATGGTGTAGATGCTACCAAGATTACGATATTGACCTTCTACAACGGCCAACGCAAGGAGATCCTCCGTGGTATCAGGGCGCACCCGAATCTGCGCATGTACCCCGGCATCCAGGTTGTCACCGTGGATAGTTACCAGGGCGAAGAGAACGACATCGTCCTGCTTTCCTTGGTGAGATCAAACCACAAGCACTCCATTGGCTTCCTGAGCTCTGAGAATCGCGCCTGTGTTGCCCTTTCTCGAGCAAAGCGTGGCTTCTACATCTTCGGCAACGCAGAGCTTCTAGCTTGCGAGAGTGGTACATGGGCTTCTGTGGTTGACATCATGTTCAAGAACAAGAAGTCGAAAGTGACTACAGGTCAAGAGCGACGCGTGGGCTATCAGTTTCCGCTCGAATGCCGGACCCATGGACGCAAGATATGGTGCGAAGTGCCCGAAGACTTCGAACTCATCAAAGGCGGCTGCGACATCAAGTGCGAAGGCTCGTTGCCGTGCGGTCATCGCTGCCCGTATCCATGTCACCCTTTCGCACACGACATGATCAATTGCACACAGAAGTGCTCCAAGCGTGTCGAGGCCTGTGGTCATCCTTGCGTCGCGGAATGCTGCGATCCTTGCAAGTGCCACATGTGTGAGCGTCGCAGTGGAGGCGTCAAGTCAACGCTGAAACCAGCAAACGGGGCGACGTCGTTTCGTGGAGCCCGGCCAAACACGCGAAGCTTAATGCTCGAAGACACGCTGCCTGCAACCTCTAGACGTGCTGTGCGCTCCGATACACCCACTGCGCGCATGACGACTCCGGGATTTTCAGACTGCAGTACCGAGCAGTGGGATAAATACGCTAATGGCGGTGGTGTCCAGGAAGATGACGCGCGAGCCTTTGCAAAGATGAAAGCAGAGGAGGCCGAATATCACGCTCGTAGGGTATTGACACCTCAGACTGGCATTTCCGCTTCGGACGGCAGGCTTATTGAGATGTCGCCAGTGAAAGCAGGACATGTGTCCAAGAACACAAACCTGCTCCTGGAACTCGATATTGAGCCAGAGCCCAACCACCAGACGAGCCGAGCGCATGTGAGTGCTGCAACTGTCTGTTTCGATCTTCTGGATTGAACGCCTCACGGTAAAGTAGCCGCGACGAGTACTTTTAAAAATCTTTAGCTAACTTTTGTTAGTATGTATCCTCCTAGGTACCACAGGTAGGTGGAGAGATATTAGACGTTGTGGCAACATCTCCTTAGAACAAGGGGGTTTCTGTCCTGCGCTAGAGTGTCTTTTCGTATCAAGAATTTGATGGAACTCATCTCATGCCCGGGGTATACAGCTGAATGTTCAAATCGCTAAAAATATCCATGCTCAGTCCTTCCTGTCTCCGTCCATCTTCACCTCAAATACCTCGCCTGCCAACTTTGCGACCTCACCACCCAGCCCAGCAAGTCCGGCCTTGATACTCTCAACCGTCTGAGGCGTCAGGTTGCCATTCCGCGAATAGAAGTCTACGCCCGCAGGCGTGAACAGTGTCTTCGCGAAGTACGTGACGACCCAACCGTTCCCTGTGCCCTCCTCATCACCATAGCCTAGTATTTCCCACTTGCTCGTTGCAATCACCAACCATCCCTTGCCACGCCAGTTGTATCCTAGATTTGCTACAGCCTCACTCCCCTCTGCATCTGGGGTTGATGCTGTGTTTGGCACATCAAACGGCTTGTCCACACCATGCACAGTCTTAATCTTCTCAGAGCCCAAGGATTGGTACGTGACGACGTCGTCGATTTGCGCGGGCTGCGTGGAGGGAATGGCCGTGTATGTGATGCGCACATTGCGCGACTTCTTCCACATGGGAAGCGTGGAGTGGGTTACATTCCAGGAACCCGATAGCCATGACAGAGTGGGTGGTGCGAGCGAGGGTGACGGTTCGGTGGACGGCAGGGACGATGGAGCGCGGAGGGTTACCATGGTGAGGCGGTTGGTGATTGGCGGTGTTTGTGGAGGTGGACGCGTGGAATCTGGAGAGATTTTGTGGGTATCTCGAGGATAATGACGATTAACGAGGGTTGATGATGATGAATTGGCGGTCGATGAGGTTGGACGGACAACGGATTTTTTTTCGACGTGGCTGGTTGGGCAGCGGTGTGATGTTTCCTGCCAGAGTCGCGACGAGGCTGCGGTACTCAGTCCCCCGACGAGAGAGTCGTCGAAGCTACTATATGCTTCATATTTACTTTTGATTAGATGTAGATCTCAATCCCATCTCTGCTCATCATCGCGTCTCCCATCATCATCAACACCGCGGCACTCGATACTGCGACAGGGCTAACAGATCGACGCTACCGGGAGCCAGTGCAGCCGGACGCACGTGCCAAGCCACCAGCCGCATCCCGCCACTCCAACAATAGATCGTCGTGTCCATCGAAAATCAGACAACCTGACATCACCATGCTGCGCGCGGACGCGTAACGCCCTTCCCATGGCAGTCTTGGTCGTCTGCCACTGCCATGTCCCGCCAGCAACGGACTTCCCAGAACCCGATGTCGCCAATTAATGCATCAAACCCATGTTTCGACTGCGTCGCGGCGGCTCTCGGTTGGCCGGGGGGTGACGAGGCCTGAAACTCTTGCACCAGTTTGTCCGCGTCGCTTCGTGGGCTGTGCAAAGAGTACGAGAAGGCCGTTTGTGAAAATGCTCCGCATGGCTCCACTCTTTGTGGCAGTTTGTGGCAGTTTGATGGTTGGTAGCGCGCCACTTTTTTTCTCTTGGGGCCCAGCTACCAGCTGTTTGCAAATGATTACTGTATACGGGTCTGGGTGGCTAGGCTGAGACGACTGCTGCGTAATGGTATAATAGCAGATGCGACCCCAGGGTCTGATGCTTCTGGAGTAACTGATTTTGCTTTTTACAACGGTTTTCTACATTGAACGATATTGTTCTTTCACATTGTTTGGGAGTATCTGATTGACGGCTTGATCTTTCCCTGTATACGACTTACGACTTCCGTTTGAAGACCGTAACGACCAACGGCTACTAAGCCTATCGTACGAAGAAAGAGACCATCCTACACACAACTCACACAACTCACACAACTCACACAACTCACACAACATGTTCTCAAGAAGCACACTACTCCAAGCTGCGGCTCTCATACCCTTACTCTATACACCCGCCTCTGCACAAAATGCCTGCAATAACTCGCCCGATCTATGCACGCGGCCATACAACAATATCACCTACCTAGGCGCACACAACTCACCCTTCCTCCGCAACAAAGAGACATCCTTCTCCACATCCGGAAACCACTACTACAACACAACAATCCAACTCGACGCCGGCGTGCGCCTCCTCACAGGCCAAGTCCACAAATCCAACGACAGCGGTAACGCAGCCTGGCACCTCTGCCACAGCAGCTGCGACCTGCTCGACGCCGGCACCCTAGAAAGTTGGCTCGGCGAGATAAAAACGTGGATGGACGCCAACACAAACGACGTCGTAACGCTCATTCTCGTAAACTCGGACAACGCCTCGCCCTCCGACCTCGGCGGTGTCTTCTCCTCCTCGGGCCTCGACAAGCTCGCCTACAGCCCGCCAGACCAAACCACCGTACCACAAACATGGCCTACGCTCGACACGCTCATCGGCAATAACACGCGCCTCATGTCCTTCGTCGCCAGCCTGGATGAGCCCTCAGCGGAATTTCCATACCTTATGGACCAGTTCACCTATGTGTTCGAAAACGACTTTGAAAACATCTCCCCCTCGAACTACTCCTGCAACCCGTCTCGTCCCTCAGCCGTCGCTGGAAACCCTTCCACAGCCCTCGAATCCGGTCGCATGTTCCTGCAAAACCACTTCTTGTACGAGACACAGTTGTTTGGTATTCAGTCGCCCAACGAGACGTATGCGAATGTAACGAATGCGGAAACGGGCTTTGGCAGCTTGGGTGAGGCGGTGCAGGAATGCACGACTGTTTATGGAAAGCCTGCGAGCTTTGTCATGGTAGATTTCTTCAACGTGGGACCTGCGATTGCGAGTGTAGATCGTGCGAATGGTGTCTCCGGTGCGCAGGGGAGGAAGCAACTGAGTACAGAGCCGCTGGTGCAGAGCACGGGTGCTGGTGTTAAGGAGAGTGGAAGTCTACTGGCTGTCGTCTTGGCGGTCGGTGTTGCTGTCCTGTTCGGAGCGTAAAGTTGGGATTAGAAGTACGGCATCTTGGATTACCTGCATGGCGACGGCGTTTTGGTCTTTGGATCCTGAGCTTTGACTCGGATATGGGTTATACTGGGTGGCATGGTTTTGACATCGTTCTGGGACAGAACGATTGAGGCGGCGCTTATCACACTTTGCTACGTCTGGATATGTGGTTTAAGTAGAGATAGATATGATCTTACGATTGAATACGATTCATCAACCTAGTTACACAAACGGTCTTCAACACGTCTATGCCTGAGTTTTGTATAGTCGACTATTCTTGGAAAGGCGTGAACTTCTCCAATACATTCTCAGCATCCTTCAAATCTTCCATCAATACTTGCTTATGCGCCTCGCTCCGGACGCGAATCTCGCACTCAAACTTCTGCGGCCGGATGTTGAAGCCTTCTGTATATGCAAAGGTATCGTATTTGACCCCTTCCTTTGGCTGGACATCAAATGCCCACAGAATCTTTGCCAGCGCAATGTACAGACTGTTCTCCGCGAGGTTGGCGCCAGGACAGATGCGCCTTCCCCATCCGAACGAAGAGTGTCCTGATTTCGCTGGATGAGGCTTGCCCGTAAGTGATGTGGGAGCCTTCGAGCGCTCGGCGAGCGCTGCGTCGAGGAAGCGCGTGGGGTCGAAGTGGTGTGGGTTGGGATAGTACTCTTCATTTAGGTTGATGGCCCACGAGTTTCCTAGAACGGTGGTGCCGGAAGGGATGTAGTAGCCTTCGTAACGATCGTCTTCTGTGGATGCATGGGGTGTACCACCTAGGACTGCGACGGGACGCCAGCGGAGAACTTCTTTGACGAGAGCGCGAATGTATGGGAGGCTCGCTTCGTCTTCGAATGTAGGGCTGCGGTGTACGCCAACGACAGTGTCCAACTCACGGTGGGCAGCTTGTAAGCTTTCGGGATGTGTGACCAATGCCAGGAAGGCGGTGCATAGAGTCGATGCCGTAGTATCAGATCCAGCACCGAATAGAGATGCTGGGATGTAGGAGAAGTTGCGATCCGACAGTGGAATGTGCTCTTTCTCCCGTAGCTCTAGAAGAAGTTTGCACAGCGAGTCTGGGATATCGTCACCCTGGACCTTTGCTCTCGCCAAATCTGAGCGCACGACATCTACCAGAGCCATGTTCGCGGCTGCCTCCTCGCGACCACGTGCTTTGATGTCGGCCTTCCAAGGTGCCAGCGCATCTGGAACATGTTTGAGGATAGGGAACGACTCGGCGAGGTACTTTCCGGGTACGTTGAGCGACGCAGCGACATGCATGAACTTGAAGCGCTGGTGGATGACGTTGGCGTTGAGCGAGTCGATGCGATGTCCGTATGCGACACAGAATACGATACTGGAAGTGAAGCGCTCGAGGAGCTTCTCCCAATTCGCAGGGCTTTCGAGCAGCTGGTAGCACAATCGTGATGCCTCTGCTGTCTGAACCGGCTTGTATAGCCTCAGAGCCTTGGGAGTCATGGCCTGGTGTAGCAACTTCCTTCGCACGCTCCACTCTTTACCATATGGCTGTACCAGTATACTAGCATTATCCCATAGTATCTCACCCATAACTACCATGCGTGGTCGCGACGAGTATTTTGTGCTCCGCTTCTCCATCAGCTCAACAGCGATATTTGGGTCGGATATAACGACTGTAGGTTTGCGACCAATCCATATCGTAAAGATAGGACCGTATATCTTGGACCATTTCTGGAACTCGATCCAGGGCTTCGACTTGGGTAGCTGAAGCTTATTGCCAAGGAATGGGAGAGGCGTGGGTCCTGGGGGCATTCGGAGCCATACCCAGACATCGTGAAGGAGCGTTGCGAGGGGTACTGCGAGGACTATTGAAAGCCATAGGTAAGGCGGCAGGTGAAGGAGGGAATCTAGTGCCATGTTAACCAAGTCGCACGCGTGAATAGACACTGCTACTCTGGAGGTTTGTCGAGGATGTAGACGATCATATGTGTTTACAATATCGGAGTTAGCCGATCATAGAGATTCCAGCGTGACGCTCGGCAGTTGTATTTGCTCGCTATTGTTGCTCCGCGATGCATGGCGGGAAGAGGATGCGGGGCGTCATTCGGTCGTTCACCGTGCCAACTGGGCGCTACGACTACCTGCACTCTCCGCTCAAGTACCATTGCACGAATGGATATAAGGCCTGCTCGGGAATATATCGAAGCGACTAGAAAGTCATTGTGGCTGTTGTGAAAGACAGCAATGACGCCGACTTGGAGCTCGGGGTAATTTACCCGCGTTAGCGTGTTGTGGAGAATCCCGCCCCACTTTGGAGAAGACATACACGGGTCTCTCGGCATAGCCAGAGTTGTTGCTGACATATTTCGTATCCAAAGGCCCTGACCTCGAGACTATATTGAGCTGAGTAGAAAAAGCTGCTGATCACAAGCTGTAAAAAGTGCTCAGATCTTCATATCGCTCTGCGAAATCCATTTACACGAGTCACATAGATGAAGTTCATTCACGTAGCGTTGATATCTCTGCGCTATCAGCGTAGACAAATATGAATGTAGCTGTATACGAACATGTCTATTCTTGACGCGTTGTAAATGAAGTGATACCCAGGCGTATACATCACTGTTGTTGGATGAAAGTTGCTACTTTAAGCACCCACGTATACGCTTGGTTGGTTGCACTGGCTGGGAACTTTGCTTCTTCCACATGATGGTAGTTTTCATGATTATGATGACCCGCCATGTCGCAAGTACGCATCTAAGTAGTGCGAGTCTGAGTACGATTCTGACGATCAGTACGATTCTGACAACCAATCCGGCACCCAAGCCTCCACCTCGATATCGAGCTTTTGTAGACGGCTAATGCTGCTTCCGGCCAACTTTTTATTAATTGGACTGCCCGCCATATCAAGCGTGACCTTTCGCAGTTTGGGAAAACCACCGTGGTGATGTCGTGCGAAAGAAATGCCATCCATTATGTGCCAGATGCTGTCTTCGTCCTCATTGAGACGAGTGATGACCAGTTCTTCTAAAGTGCTAGGCAGTATATTGCCTGCCTCTTCAATCCGCTGCTCTACTATGCTGCCTGTTAGCAAGAAGTGGGGCAGTTCGAGATGACGTAGCTTAGTAAAACTGCTGTAATTTGAATGATCGAGTACTCCAACATAGCGTTGATCCTCACAGTCCTTGTCTGATATGTGCAAGGCCAAGCTCTCTAGTGTGTTCATTAGGCCCGAAAGCTGCTCCTCGAAAAAATAATGAATTGGTTCGTCTACGCGAGTGTCCAACATAGATTGGTCGTACATGTCGCCTTTGACCACCGCTCCGTATTCCTGTGGGCTATCCCGGTCGGCTTGCTTGACTACAGTGTTAGAGAGCCAAATTTGCAATTCTCTGAGGGACGAGAAGCGCGAAAGGAAATGGCTCGTCTTCTCGGGCTCTTCAGATGAAAGTTGAGAAGTACACATGTCCCATATAAGTGTATCAACAGAGGATGTAAGGTTATCCGGGACTTTGGTGTCTTCGAGACTGCAACCGCGACCGAGGCGCAGAACCTTAAGCGACGGTAACTCACACCAGGACCACTCAAAGACTTTTGCGTTGAAGTGCAGCTCTTGGAGCTTTTCCAGTCCTTTAGGCGGTTCATTGCTTTGAGTACCAAAGATCAGCTCAAATGGGCTTATTGCATCCGTATAGCGTTCATGATCGTGGTCGTGGCGGTACGATTGCGCTTCGGCCAATACCTCAAGCTTCAACACCTCTAGCTCAGACGTCTGCTCTAAGATGAACTTGACCGAGGCGCATTCGTCGACTTGTACCTGTAAAGAGTGAGGCATGAAAGGCCCTTGAGGAGATAACAGCGATGGGTCGACAAGAACCATACGATCTTCGGGATGTAGTTCAAGACTACGTATGATCTTTCCTAAACCTGGCTTTTGGACCAGAATGTGTGCTAAAGCTGCAATGCCGCTGGGCTCATCAGGTAGAATCCGATCGGGGACACAGATGGCGCGCCAGAGTTGATCTTGAGCAATGGGCTCCATCTTTTTAGACACCAACGCTAGCGCGCGCAGACTGTTGTGATCTAGATCGGACGCGACCTTGGTGAGCAGTTCGTTTGGGAGCTTCTTCGTAGTCGAGTTTTCGGTGTATATCGCGATGGTATTGAGAAAAATTGATTCTTAGTGCAGGTGTTGAAGTCGGTTGAAGTTATGAGAGGCGATGAATAGGGAACATGAAATAAATGCCTGATATACTTAGCGGGTTACAAAAGACCTCATTGTGAATGCGACCACAGACAGCAAATGCATGGCGCTGTTCGCAAGCACTACCTCTTCGCCGAAAATAGTTTTTGATAAAACAGATTCACACTGTTAGCTCAACTCCTCTTCAGTGTGATCTGGTTCGACTCGAGTGAATGCGAGTGCAGCAAAATGGCGAATATGGATGTGGAAGACCCTAACTTCGAGACTATATTGGACTATGTCAGCGTCCACCACTGCAACCAACTTTGAGTGGCTCCCGCTGTCAAAGTGACCTTATCTGTAACCAGCGAGCATAGACGAGCATCAGCCCATACGCGTGGATATAATGGCCGAGGTGTCATACTGTAAGCTAGCCACCCGAACGTTGTGCCTAACGAAGCCCAAACAGCGGGTCGCGCTTCTGGAGACCGTCCTGGTTGCGCATCTGTGCTAATAGTGTAGTGTTACCGACATTGCATACCGGGTTCGGCGCATAGTTCCTGCATATGAGTGGCTCGGAAGACTGACACAATGCTCCATTGGCGAGAACTGCGCCCGTGGCTGAGCCAGATAGCGGGAACCTTGTACGACAGTGACTTCGAGTAGCGACCACGCGCAGCTCACATGGCTGTCTTTGACAGTCGTGATACCGGATCGGTTCGTAAAACGCCATTGAGGTGCCAATGCAGCGGTTCGTATGAGCACAAGCTGACTGTGACCTCTGGATGGTGCTCCGCGTAGTTGTCATCGGTTCTGGGCTGTAGTCATCAAATGGGCTTTCGCGATGATGAAGCGGGCTCTTGGAAGTCGTAGCTTACCCAAAACGGTCGCGTAGTGGCAGTCGCCACACCAAAGATCGCTGGACGGTATATGCAAGGGCGTTAGGCGCATACCGAGCCGGTCACATGTCATGGGCTGGAGCTAGACAGAATCCTTCACCGCCACTAGATATGCTCTTACTTTATGGTTGACGTGCCATTGGAACGTGTACGGGTGTGTGTGAGGTGTCGTGCGTGGTTACGCAGTGCAGGGATTAGACATCGGCTTCAGGCATCAAAGGCCAAGTATGTCCTGCAGTCGGGCGTGGTATTCGCGTCCATGGCCAATTGCCGGTGAAAGGGCCTGTCGCGATGGCTGCTCGCAAGGATGACGCACCGACCCAACGAGGGGCAAGAGCAGGCGGGGCTACTGCTAGGACCCGAATATTCCTCCACGACCTTCCATGGCCGTGACCATGACAAAATTCCAGGGAATGCCGTCCTCCCATTGCGCTGCATGTCGGCGCGCGCAATCTGTCTCCTACAATTGCGTGCAAACAATCCCCGCCACTGGTGTCATGCACTGTCTGATCCTCCGCATCCCGTTCCAGATTGCATGCTCAAAGGCGCTGGCAGCTGTCGAGCCAACGCATCAACTTGACAACACTTAGCATGGCCGTCCGGCAGACTACCCATGCATGTACATGGCTCCACCGGCGCTGCTTTTGCATGACTTTGGTGTCCGCGTCTGCTGCGCTTACTCTGCCTTGCTGCCTTTAGCAACGCACTGATGCCGGCCATCGACGGTACTGCTTCCACAGACGCGACTTTTCGCCATTGCACGCCAATTCGCTCCGCTGAACCTTCTATGCTGATACGAGCTGGCCCTTTTGTCCACTAGTCTCTTGTCCTGACCAATTGGCACATTTAGCATCCAGTATCGCTCCGAGGCATCGTGGATCGGCTGCCGTCCACGGCCAAGGACCTTCATCCAGCCCAGTCTAAATGACGCTCATCAGGCCGGCTCTAGCGGAAGCAGACCTCAGTGGACGTAAGACTATGCACCTTTATCACCACAAGGGCGGGGTCGCGAGCTTGAGCCGGCATGAAGGGGTCAACGCATTACCCCGTTGACCAGCATGCTCCTAGTACGTCTCTGGCTGGAGGGTATAAAAAGAGGCCCTTTCACAGGCCCTACGAACTCCCCTTCTGCTTTCGTATTCACTCACCTCTTCTGAGATATCATTAGATTGCACCACATTCAAGCCCTGTCTTGAGCATCACCACCTTTAGTGCTTCTATCAACCACTCAAGCTATCGTACCTCATCTCTCCTCACTACCAACCAGAGATCCAATCACTACCAAAATGGCTGCCACCCACTCATTCTACCATTTGCCCCAGTCCTCTTACCCAATCAACATGCCACAGAAGCCAGGCTTCTACTACCCGCCCCAACATCATGGCTACGGACGTGGGGCAGCATCGCCACCTGAGGCTCCATCCAGCGTCACAACATCTGGCGTACCTTCTTACGAGCCGTCAGCGGCTTCCAGCAACTACGCCGGTAGCGCAAGCGACTACGATTCGAGCAGTGGCTCCGCGAGCGTGGATCTTCTCGATTACATGGGCAGCCGTGTAAACGGCTCATTCGACCCAATGCCACTAGACCGCAGCTTGGCAAAGCAAGCACAAACGTAAGTTTGTGAAATTCTCACGGCGAACCCGCTCGTGTGAACTCTGAGTACGGTTACTGAGCTAACACGATATGCAGATCTGGCGAACTGAATGCCAAGCATCGCGAGCTTCTCGAATTGCAACAACTTGCTCAGCGCCGACTAGCTGGCGCACGTATGAGCTTCGCAGACGGTATGAAAGCCGCGAAAGACGTGCAAAGAGATTTGCAATACACACAGAAGCGCGTAGAGTGAGTTGATAGCAACTTTGAAGTTGAACAGCATCACTGACATCTTGGTAGCTCCCTCAACGAGCGTGCGGCACGAAAATACCCCGAACAGTTTCGTACAGCCCAAGGCCGATACCCAGCACCTCTTGACTACTAGTTCTTTGCGCTTTTTACAATCTTTGCCTTACGGCCTGTGGATGATACAAACATACAACTTTTCGGATTTCTCAAAACACAGGCGGCATACGTTCACTTTACGATTCTACGGATACCATCGACTTCATTATTTCTTTTGCAACCTACGACGTCTTCATATCGCTTATGGTAGACGTCAAACCGCGAACTGTCGTTCACGATCCACTCTCGGTAGACGGCCTCGCTGCTTTAGCGACCCACACGCCGGCTTTTCTTTTCCCAAAAATATACCGCGGACCGGCCCGCTGTTCAATGCAAGCGCTTAGCGAATGGCAGCTGTCAATCGACTCAAGGCACTCGGATAGTGCGGCGCTGGCGTGGTCCATGCCAACGGTCGACGGGCCAGAGGCGAGCTGCGAGCTGGAAAGCTGGTACGCTTGCTCATTCGTCGAATATGTAAGACTGGAAGGTGGGGCTTGAACGGCGGCTGGAAGTGTTGAGCAAGGCTGCGTATTCTTATTTCGTCTCATTGGTTTGGGAAACGGACTGCTTTTGGATCGGCGTCATGAGTCTATCATATCATGTGACGGACGGACGGGTAGTCAGTCACGGGTGTCTCAATGGGATAGCTTTTCCATCTTTTCTCACGTGTTGATGTAACGATCCACTCCGAAGCGGAGTGATCCACCCACACGCATGCAAAATGCACTTGTTGAATTAGGTTCAGCGTGAGAACTATCGAGAAACCGTGACTTCGATCCTGCTCAAGTGTACCATTGCAGCGGATTTGTACGAACCGCCCGTAAGCTTTCTGACTGTACGCATGCCCGATCCACATTCCAACACTGTGACAGTGACCTCAAACCCAGCTAGTCACTAACCAATACTGCCTAGCCGAACTGTAGTAGACCCATCCCAACGCCCCGACCTATCTCAGCTAATCCCATTCCGTCACACAAGACAACACCGGTTTAGAGTTTCAGATCCCGCCCCGCTACCGTCTATCTAAGACCCAACAGACGCAAGCCACCATATGTCGTACACTCCTGCCCCACCTTCACCCCACCATTCTCCCAACGGCTCGGTCTCGCCAACTCGGAAGCAGGACGGCCCAAGTGTCACTCGGGTAGGGTAAAGGAAAGAGCGGCGGCGAGCTCCGAAACCACGGACTTGTACTTTGACTTACTGGGATACGGGATACAGCATGAGAATGCCGTGTCTTCCGGGGGAGTGTTGAGATCAGGAGTACGGGGTGTCAGATGTATGTGAGGTTATTGGAAAGGAGTCTGACAGTGACAGGTTTCCTGCAGGTGAGAGGGAAGGGGGAGGGATGCTGTGTAACGAGGGGGGTTCCGGACGAGAAGTGAGAAGGATTGTGATGGGTATGTTGGGGTAGAAGTGAGGCGGATACGGCTTGAACTGTCAGGTATGGGAAAGCCCGAGTATAACGAGATGAAAGGGATGTGACGGTGATGGAGTCTGTTCTCTCTAGTAGGCGAGGCATACATCTACAATTATACGGCTTACATATGCCAGACAAGTTCACGAGTAGTCCGTCAAACCTGAACCCCAGCCTATATCGATCCTCGGTTCGCAGCAATAGCACGCGACATCACGCGAGCGAAGCGGCCAGGTACATCCTGGTCCTGTTTCGCTGTCTCGATACCGGTGAGGATCTTCTTGATACCGACCCCGACCTCGGTGTTACCTGTCATCTCCTGGATCTCACTAATGGCGCGCTGTTGGTCGGAATCGGAGAAGGCACCGGATTCCCGCAGGACGTTTGCGAGCTCGGCTTGTGTGTTGACGTTCGGGACGGCGATCTCGGCGTCGAATCGGGCGAAGAGATCGAGCTGTGTGAGCACCGAGCGTTCGGTCGTTGTCGCGAAAATTAGTAAACGACGATCCTGGGGCTGTTAGATGGATTACACGATAGAAGCGGGATAGTGACTCTACATACCTTGGGTGGCTCCTTGGCAAGCAGAACCTTCAGGGCAGCCAGAACGGTGTTACTGAACCTAGGGCCAATGGGCACCCAGTCCAGCAATAACTCAATCGAGTCGATGACTATGACGCTCAACGGACTCTTGTATGCGTCTCGGAAAACCTTATCCAGCTGTTGAACCTTTTGCATTTCACTGTAGCCGATCATATCTTCAGCTGAGATCAGCTTGATGAATGGGTATCCTGAATCAATGGCCATTTTAGCAGCCAGCGCTGTCTTTCCAGAACCCGGTGGACCGTGAAGCGCAACCGAGAGGAGCGGACTCGATTCCGGTTTTCTGACCTGGTTAATGTATAGACGCCCATCCTCCAGTATATCCCTGATAAAGGGCGAATAATGGATGATGCCGTGACGGAATCGCTTGCTGAGTTCCTCTTCAGCAACACCAAAGAGCGGCTTGACGTCGTCGAGTGCGCTCAAGAAGTCTTGTCGCTTGACCTTGATATCTTCGACGTCTGCTTTGACAGTAGTGCCGTCTTTAATATGTCGACCAAATGCGTACGATGTGGCGGCCTTGACAAGACCGTTGAGTTCAGCTCCAGAGAAGTTCTTGGTAAGCTTAGCCAGCTCTTCGACGCTGACGTCTTGCTCAAGCACGTTGTTTTTACGCATCTTTGTTGTGTGAATTTTGAGAATTTGAGCTCGGCCGGACTCATCGGGCAGCGAAATTTCCAGGTGCACTTCGAGACGACCGGGACGCAGCAGAGCTTCATCGATCATGTCCATGCGGTTTGTCATACCAATGAGGAGAATGTTGTGTAGCTGGTCAACACCGTCAAGCTTGGAGAGCAGCTGGTTGACGACGCTGTCGCCTACGCCAGTACCACTTCCTGCGCCAGAACCTCTTTGCTTGCATACAGCGTCAAGCTCATCGAAGATGATGATATGTAGACCACTTTCGTCGCCCTTCTCCTTTTGTTCTTTCTCTGCATCCGCAAACATCTTCCGGATGTTCTCTTCGGACGCTCCGACATACTTGTTCAACACCTCCGGACCGTTAATGACCTTGGGCTCGCGGGCATTCAGCATCTTTCCGATTTGCCGAGCTATCAAGGTTTTACCAGTGCCGGGAGGTCCGTACAGAAGCATACCGCGGACGTGATCGATACCCAGTCTCTCCCGAATACCGGGAGGGAAGATACGGGAGGCGAAAGCTCGTCGAAAGATGGCACCGAATTCAGCATCCAAGCCACCAATGCCCATATCTTCGAACTTGAAGCCTGGCTGAATAATGGAGTTTGCCGCTGCGCGTCGCGCCGACGCCTTTAACTTGATATCTGTCTTGGCATCCTTGAAGAAGTCGACCTGAGTGTGTCTTGTGAGGATGCCACGAGCTCGAGGGTCGGTAATGGCAGGCGCATTCGCCTCATCTTTTTCCATGGACAGATCCGCCAGCGTCACAGTTCGTATCGACAACTTGAGGGGTATGTTCTTGATATCGATCACGAGCTGCTGGCCTGGCGCAAGGATCTGGTTCTCGAAGCTCTTCTTGAAGACGGTAGCGAGCTCGTCCTGATCGTAAGGTGTCTCCGTCGTCTTCCTCCCTGCGAATCCGACTTCAACGTCCACTGCGCCCAGGTACGACTTTCCGCCGCTGTACGCAAAGTGATCGTATGGTGCTGCATTCACAATCTCCTGAGGACCAAGTGAAATGCCGGCCCATGTTCGCTGAAAATCGGTGAGACCAATCTCGCCTGGATTGCATCCTTGCGTTGGACGTGCGGAAAGTGCGTAGTTCCCGTTGACGATGATGGAGATATCGGAGCCGTCGGCGTTTGGGGGGAAGTCTTGAGGGGAAACTGCGACGCTTTATGGTGTTAGAAGAGGCCTGCAGGCTACATTGCAGCTGACTGTACATACATGTTGCCGAAAGCGTATGCGTTGCCTCCAGGGCTCTTGATGGGCCGCAGCTGTCGTGGCGGTCCGCCGCCCCCACCGCCTCCTGGAGGACCCCTTGCGGGCATACGCTGTTGTGGCGGCCGGTCATCGTAACCCGCCATTCTTGTGTCTTGGCCTCGCGGAGGTCCTTGTGGTGGTTGCTGTTGCGGAGGTGGCCGTCCGTAACCGTCGTTACGTGGCGGTGGCCGAGGGGAGCTACCCGGAAGGCCTGGGAGTCGATCGCGATTGAACATGTTTGGTGGAGCAAGTCGCTATCAGATTTGGAGGTATATAAAGTGGTAGATGGAAGCCACGTATCCGTGGGGAGGCAGCAGCGATGAGGCCTCACGGGGTCCCAAAGGTCTCTAGGTTACAGTATAAGGACGACTTTAGCCCAATCGTGGTGTAATGTCTGTTTCTCGATGATCTGTCCGGTTCAAAAGCTACGCTGGCCAAAGCAGAAACAAGCGTGATACAGCTTAACCGTCAGGGTCTGTGATGCCGCGTGGGGAGCTTCAGGAACGCGCTTTGACCAAGCCACACGCCACACGTCATCCCCGCCGCTCCGCCCGCAGTGCCGCCATCATCACATTTTGCTGCGTACACACTACTAAATCTTAACAACTTCGCAGTTGCTAAGCTCATGTATACTTCTGCCTTACTTTTTTTTTTGTAGAATGCGACATACATTATAGTCACTCTAGTGCCGTAACGCCCCGTGTGAAAGCTACGTACCTGCTGACCCGACGAAAGCGCGTCACCGAATCAAGCAGATACCACGATCTTTCGTATCATTCGTTGCCGCTTCCGGCCAATAAGGTCTCATGTGAAGTGGTGGTAACGCGACAACAAGCGCATCCTATCGGGTACTCTGTCCGGACAGAATATGACACTGCAGATAAGATTGACGTCCCCCAGACGCAGCTAGCTTCACGGCCCGTATAGCAACACGTTGTTGAAAGACCTCACACTTCTCAGTAGCCTTTCCCAAGATACACCGCATCGCCTCCACCATACCAAAGGGGACCCGTCCCACAATGCAAACCCTTTTCCTGGCCCACGTTGAACTCTCCACCAGCAGGTATCTTACCTCCATTGTTTTCCGGCCAGTAGTCTTTCTGCAGCCAAGCGTTGATCTCTTCAATCTTGTCGATCAAAGCCTTTGTCTTCTCAGGATCTGGCGAGCCATTTCCGTCTTCCAGGTCTTTGGTGTAGATGAAGCGGCCGATCGTGAGATGGCTGGACGGTACGACGTATCGCGACTCCACCTGAAGACCTGCATCGCGACACATGGAGAACATATCTCGGCGGAGATGATGGTAAGTGAAGTTGTCGTCTTCTGCGGTGCGGCCAGAGTGCAGTCCCTCGCCGGCTGCAGGTACAAAGCCTAACGCTATCGCTGAGGCATCATACCCAATGAGAGGCTTGATGAGGCGCGTGCGGTGGTCGTGGGTATAGTCAGTGATGGCAGGTAGCTTGTCTCGTACACTGTCGACTAGTTGCTGGATCTCTGGTGCCGTCTTCGAATGCGTCACCTCAAGGACTGTAATGTGTTGGTTTTCCCGGGGCATGAGCCAGAGATCTACTTTCGTTAGCATTGCAATCTGGTAACCATGATATTGTGCCTACTTGGTGCTACTGTTCGCAGTTCCTGCTGCACTCGGTTGATCATATCCTTGACTTGCTCTGTAGGACGGCCCCAGAATACCTGCACATGATAAGTTTATCATCGGTGCGAGTTGTACAATGGAATTCTTACGAAACAATTGCGGGGATCTTTGAATCCGGGCTCGACAGTGGGGTCTTCCAGTCTCAAGAGTATGGGGTCTATATTAACACCCTGGAAGCCCTCATCGAGCATCTTCGCCTTTTGCTGCGCATTCCTCGTAGTCCTATGCAGCTGGTATTTCTCTTGAATCCGAACCTGCGTTGTTTGCTGAGTACATGCAAAGACTGAATGTCGAAGTTTCTTACAGGATCATCTTCACATGCCGCTATCAATGCATCATAGGGGTTGCTGAAGGAGGAAGTCGAGACACCAGTGAGGTCCTCAAATGCGTTGACTGCCTGATTAGCCATGATGTTTGCTACGAATCGTCGTGAGTACAGGATAATACAGGGAAGTTGTATGATTTCTTTCAGTATTGCGGTGAGGGTAATACGAGTACCAAGCCACGAGGGTGGGTACGTAGATACACATTGAGCTGAATATTGTCCGACTTCGCTACGTAGGATGGCACCTTCCCTCTCAGAGTAGCCTATCCGCTTCGGCTGTGCATGCCTCAAACGGCCTCACACAAGTCCCCTCGCCCTCAATCCACTTCATGGCATACTCAGCACATGTTGCCTCTCCTCATGTCTTTTCCAGGTCATGCAGTCCAGCGGTGAGAGACGGCATGCGGGGTACATGCCCTGGCCGGATGCCCCACGTGCTTTCGCTCCATTAGCGCGACGCGTCGTCGCGCTACGTGCCAGCATCCCGCATGAACTCCATACACTTTATTGCACCCACCGCGCGAATTGCATGCCATGAGTATACTGCGCCACTTCATCGTTCTGTAATTACTCGAACGGCTGTGCCAATGACAATCTCGTGCCTCACATCGAAATACCCGCAATATGGGACAGAACAATTCGCGTAAACGCAAGCGCGTGGCCGAAGTGTCACCTGGACGCAGCGTATCTGAGTACGACGGTGATGTTATTCATGTTGCACCACGGCAACCCATTACCAACACAGGAAGTACTGAGCGCACTCCTTTGGCCGAGACACATACACAAGGCAATCGCGCTCGCCGCGCGCGCACAGCTCAGCATGTCCATGGTATGCCCTTTAACCTTGACAACACCACTTAATTTGCTTCAAGAATTGACCAGTTGCAGTCGATGCATCGTCCATCCTTAATAATTTCACGCCGCCTCTTCCAGCGGCCGACGATGCCGATCAAATCATACCTTTAGACTGCTGCTACTTCTGCCTCACCCGCGGAGGCAACGCTGCCTACGAGTGCCACACAGAGGAAGGAGCAGATCTCTGTACTCGTTGTATACGAGATAAAAAGAAGAAGTGCAGGTTGCCAACGCCCGAAGAATCGGCAGCGATAGCGGCACGTTGTCCACGATGCACAATACGGGGATTCAAGCAGTGTGACGGAAGAGATCCTTGCAATACTTGCATACGCAACAAAACCGTACATCTATGTCGGAAGCTGCCCGAGAAGAAGCCCAAGCTTGAGGAAGTGGGTGCAAAGACCGAGATCACTCCACAGCCTGAAGGTGTTGCACTAAGGCAGTCCAGCAGAGGCCGGAGAACTCGTCGTAGCGAGGCACACCACACCAACAATGACGCACAGCTTACTACGAAGCATGTGAATGACGGACCTGTTCGCAGCACAACACGCAATGGCACATCTAGATCGAAGCGCAGAAAGGTCTCACTGAGCAGCACACCCGATCAGCATACACAGGTGGCTAGCCCGAAGTCAAGCCCATGCGGGTCGAGTTTGCTCAAAAGTCCGGGGAAACCAACAAACCCTGTCAACGCAAACATTGCTGACGCAAACGAACAAATACATGATGGCGACGATATGCTACTTTCACCCGTAACTTCAAACGATCTTGTCTTAGGTAACGATCCCAAGTCAGCGATGACAACTGGTAATGAGGGTATTCCCATGGAGGACGACGACTCACATCAGCAAAACGAGATTGGCACACCGAACCTCGGTTCCAGTGGACGCTCCAGCAGGGCTCGAACTAAAGTATCCTACGTTCCGCAGTACCTTGACGACGTGTCGGACCAAGAACTGGGTCTCACAGCCGAAGACGAGGATGAGGACGAGTACGTATCAGATAATTACAATGCTCCCACAACAGACGAAGAAGAAGAAAGCGAAGCGGACATTGAGCCTGCATCTGCTGATGAGGAAGCCTCGGGCACGAGTGACGCTGAATCGTTGGACCTTTTGTCGGATGAAGATGTTAGCCTTGTTGAGGCCGACCAAGCGAGGGCGAACCCGCGCAAAAAGATCAAGACTGGAGAACCATCTCGGACTGGAAAAGGCATCGATCTCAGTCTCCCGCCTCTGGCCAGCATTCAAGAGTGCATGTCTGACATGACTGCCAAAGCCGTGCAACTTGGCCTCTGTAAGGCCTTGGAGAGCTTGGAAGGCCGACCGATCAGGGTCGCTACGATGTGCTCTGGCACTGAATCTCCTTTATTAGCCCTGGATGAGATCTCGAAAGGTCAGTCGCATTAACGCCTACAGTGGGTTGTCAGCTAACACTTCCTTTAGCACTGGAAACGATGGGGAGATCTCCGATCCACATTCAGCAAGAGTTCTCTGCCGAAGTCGAGGTCTTCAAGCAAGGATACATTGAAAGAAACTTCGCCCCACAGAAGCTGTTTCGAGACGTCCGTGACTTCCTTCGCGAGGACGTTACTACAGCGGTAACAGCTTACGGCGCAGAAAAGGACATTCCCACGAATATCGACATCCTTATTGCCGGTTTCGTGTGCAAAGATCTCTCCCGGATGAGCAACAAGGGAAAGACTATCGACGACGATGGCGAATCTGGCGATACATGGCGAGCGATCTACACCTATGCGGATCGCTTTCGTCCCACCCTAGTACTGTTGGAGAATGTAAAAAACAAGAAGAAGACCTGGGATGATGTTGTAGAACGATGGGCAGAGATCGGTTACGAAGCTCAATGGACCTACTGCGACACAAAGAACTTCTATCTACCCCAGACAAGAGAAAGGATGTACATGATCGCGATAGAGCGTTCACACTTCGGTAAACATGCGAAGAGCGCGACAAGCGAGTGGAGTGAATTGATGCACAAACTGGAGAGACAGTGCAGCAGCCCTTACGAAGCTTTCCTTCCGGAGTCGCTGAAAGAGTCGAGCGGCTACGGCATCTTGAAGAACGAGCCGGACTGGGCTCTGTGTAAACTCCGCAACGACCACATTCGATCTGAGAAGAGACTGGGGATACTCAGCCCCGTCAGCCGACGAAGCAACAGTGGCACGGTCGTGTAAGCCTGCGCAACCCTGCTATTACTTCGCTACTTAAACTAATGGTTACACAGGCCTCCCGATTTCGCAGATCGGAAATTTTACAGCTCGCAGTCCTCGAGAGTGCATGATGCCATTGACATTGCCCACCTAGAATTTGCTGCCCTCAAAGGCTGTGACTCACTTTACAAGATGGCGCTCTGGGATGTAAGTCAAAACGTCGATCGATTCAAAGCTGACTTAGGTATCGCGCCATGCCTGACACCAAGTGGCCTAGACTTCGCGAGCAATCGACAACATGCTCTCAACGGTAGCCAACTCTTGATCCTTCAGGGGATGCCCCTTGATAGACTACTATTCGCCAACGAAACACAGAAGGACCTACAGAACCTGGCTGGTAATGCCATGTCAACTACAGTGATCGGGGCTTCTCTCATCTCTGCTCTTATCGCCGGATCTAGAGCATTTCGCTTCACCAACGTATCAACACCTAACATGACACAAGTTTCGCCGCTCACTAGCAAGATGATCGCTCAGCCGGACATTCTTGATCATACCATCCTGGAACCAAGCATGTACGAAGATCTCGATCTGGCCGCGCTCAAACACGAAGCAAAGTTCAGTGCGCGTATGTGCAACTGCGAAGGCAAACAGATTATCAGCAAGACCGCGATTCACATCTGCTCGGCATGTGGACATTCAGCTTGCGCCTGCTGCGCCGGCAACCCTAAGCACGTCTATAAGGAAATAATATTGACACAAGCGCGAAAGCTGCCACCCGACGACTTTATCAGACGCTGGAGGCCTAAGTTGCCTCCACGGTTGAAGTTCAAGGCCTTCCCAAATATACATCGTCTCGCTTCCAAATTGGGCGCAGAAGATGCAATTTTGGGTCAATATCTGACTACAGTGTCGGAAGCGCATTTGGACTCCCAGTATTTCTGCATCGACGAGTTTTCCAGGGAGTACAAAGAGTGGAAGATCACTTACAGCTCGCCTCGGGCCGCAATCGAGCTGAAAGTCGGCTCTGACATTCAATGGTCACTTTTCCTCAGAAGCCCACCAGACCTCCCTGGCAATAGTCCCTTGCGCGACTTCCTCCGCAATCCGATCGCACAAAGCAGTGTTGTAGACACTCTTTTTAGTGTTGAGTGGAAAGTACGCATGCCCAGCATCAGCAATCATACTCTTCACGTGAGCGGCTCGATCGAGAAGGTCGGCTCATGGCGGAGTCGGCTCGGTCTTGTGGACTTTAAAGAAGAGACTGTACCAAGGACGATCAAGATCCGGGGCGATGATCCAGAGCTGGCGGCCGTCACCGGCGATTACGAGCATCAACCGCATTGTGGAACTGCGTCGACTAGCCTCTACAAAAGGTCGACGGAGGTGGATAGCATGTACTTGTTTCTCGATCCTAACCCTATCGGTCGATCAGATCATGACAGCTTCGTCTTTAGCCAGGACCATACCCGCAAGCATTATGGAGACAGCCGTATCACTCTAGCTCGTGTGCATCCATCTTGGCGGCCCTCAGATGTAGAGGACGGACGTGTGCAAACCATGTTCGTCACAATTCCTGACGTGCATGCTCCTGCTGTAATGACGCTTGCACCAGCAAGTGTTCCTCTGAACGTAGGCTTTCTTGATGAAGGACGCATGATTGACAATGCCTTGCCAGATTGCTCCCAGGCGCTCACTTGCCTAGATGTCATTCTTCAAAACGAGGTTCCAGTCCGAACTTTCGCAGACTATTCCTGGGCTCTAGAGAGCGCCAAGACGCTACCGGCATGCTCATCCTGGCAGCCAGTGCATTCAAATTGGTCTGGAAAATGTTCTTGTGCACCACTCTATCCGGAGATCCGCTGGAGCATCAACGAAAGAGGCGTAGCGACCGCACATGAGGACCGTCAAGCTGCCGCCACGTTCGAGCGCGCCATAAAGCAGCGTCCTGAAATAGTCTTATTGGAAACTTCTAGAGATCCGTCAGGGACACGAATTCGGGTCGGTGTCAATATCCTGTCGTTGACGCACCGCGCTCAAGGGAGATTCCCAAAGAGCGTCTATACGACTGCTTCCTGGAGGCTGACAACGGATCATGTTCATCTACCGTCACAGCCCTTTCCGAAGTTTCAACTGCAAAGCAACGCGAACGACGTTGAAGATTCCGTAACAGCGCCGCCAGAGTACCTACGAGGTGCGCAGATGAGGTCTGTGTCATGGATGACAAAGCAAGAGCTAGGCAAAATGATAAAGATCACGGAGACAGAAGAGTCAGTGCACTCAAGTCTAGGATGGAGAGCAGAGGTTCTGGCAGAGACAGAGCAAGTTGTTCGCGGTGGTGTGCTCGCCGATCACCCGTCCTTCGGGAAGACTGTCACGAGTATTGGGCTCATTCAAAGCGAATTCGAACAGTGCACAATGGAGGCGCTCATTCAGCACAACCGATCCCTGGCATCTGAGCAGCCTCAGCTTCTGGATTCAGCTGCAACTTTGATCGTTTCTCCTCCCCACATCACGGAACAGTGGAACACAGAGCTCGAGAAGTTTTTAGGCTCAAGGAGATATGTGAATTACAAGATTCTCGTCGTGGAGAGCTATAGTCAGTTGAAGAACCTCACTGTCGAGAAACTCCAGCAAAGCAAAGCCATCATAATCTCATGGACGTTGCTCGCCGATGAAGCCTATGTCGCAGACCTAGCTAAGTTCACCGCACTACCCGAGCCTACAATGACCAGTCGTCGGGCGTTCAGTTGCTGGCTGGATAGAGCCGTTGGCGAGATTCCAAATCAGCTGGCTGTGTACCAGCGTCATGACTACAAAGACTTCCAACGACTGGCGGAGAAACTTCTGGATGGACGGCTTCAGCAACCCGAGTTTCAGGCCTCATTGCCGATTAGCATCCGGCATGGTAGCGCATATCTTTCTTTCGAGGCCATGTCGTCAACTTCAGGTCCATCGAAAAAAGCCAAAGCGAAGGCGAAAGCAAAGGCCACATTAGGGCCAGACAACTCGTCGCACTTAGTGCCGCTACTGCACCTATTCCGGTTCAACAGGATCATCGTTGACGAGTATCAATATCTCAATGATACAAAGAAGATCGGAAACAACTTCGTGGCAACGAGCATTAAACAAGTTGCTGCGCACAAACGCTGGATATTGTCTGGAACGCCAGCCTTATCCAACTTCTCCGATGTCAATCAGCTGGCATCGTTCCTTGGAATCAAACTTGGTCGGCACTTCTGTGAAGACGGCACGGTCACGACATCAGCAGAGAAGATGTCGAGGCTTGACCAGACCGACGTTGAAAGTTTCTTGTCACAAACAGAAGTTATGTCTAGACAGTGGCATGGGGCGAGACATGAACGGGCGCAAGACTTCCTCAATGACTTCGTGAGACAAAATGAGCCTGAGCTTCAGCACATCGCCCGCTCCGAGAAGCTTTTATCGGTAGATTTAAATGCTGCCCACCACGTTGTCTACTTGGAGCTCACTCAACACCTCATCTCCCAGAAGATGCAGATCAAAAAGCTCAACAAAAAGTCTGGCTCGGATAGGAGTAGTAGGCTGAACGATAGTCTAGAAAAATCCGCAAGTGCCGAAGAAGCGCTACTCAGGAGTGCATTGCTCTTTGAGACTGAGGAAGGCAAATCTGCGCTCGAATCCTTGACTGAGAAAAGGTCGCAACAACTACACAGCACGAAGAAAGAGCTGTTGAAAATGCTGTCAGCATTCGAGGGCTTAATGAAGAAGTCTAAGAACAACGAGCCGACCATCGAAGACCTGTATGGCCATTTCCAGAAGGATATATCACGGTCAAATTGGCTCGGAGATGATGAGTCCAGTCAGATTGTTCGCGGCTTGATCAAACAAGCGCAAAAAACACCAAAATCCGGGCTAGCTGATGACCCAGACCTGTCTAAAGATCAGCGCGAGCGACTGATCAAGCAAGAACTATCACAGCTTCGAGATACTTCTCTCGAGTTAGCGCATCGAGCAAGGTCGAGACGCTTCGTCGTTTCTATCCGCGAACATTCAGTGCTTGCAAAGCGCGACGAAGAACCCATTCGTTGCAGTTCGCCGGACTGCAATGGCATAGCTGACATCCAATTGCTCTTCATGATACCGCACTGCGGGCATACTGCATGCAAAGAGTGTCTCGGATCACGAACTGACGACGAGGCCTGCATCCACACTGGCTGCAACTCTCATGCGAACGAGAGTAGCCTGATCCGAATGGCTGATCTAGGCTCCGGCAAAGACCAGATTGAGGGACAAGACTTCGGCAATAAGCTTCAGGCCATCGCTCAGCTCGTTCTAGCCAGTCCAGACGAAGATCAAGGCATCGTGTTCGCGCCAAACGAAGAGATCATCAGTATCTTGGAAAACGTGTTTGACCGCTATGAGATCGCCTACCACTCTCCGGGCCGAAGTGGACATAAGGCATCAGCAGCAAAGCTTATGGAGGACTTCAAGACGAACATCAATGTGAAGAAGAGGAAAAAACTGATCATACTCAATCTGGGAAGCGAGTCTGCCGCTGGCGTGTAAGTCTCTCTTATTTCCAAGCACAGCTCTTTATACTGACCATCTACAGCAATCTCACAGTGGCCAACCACATCATATTCGTTTCACCCTTCTTGGCAAAGACGCAGTATAACTACGACTCAGCCATGGCACAAGCTATCGCACGATGTCGTCGTTATGGCCAGCAGAAGAAGGTTCACATCTACCATGTCATCGCAAAGCGTACGATCGACGTGGATATCCTCGAACATAGGCATAGACGCAGCGACGCGATCACCACCACGGCCGCCGCGGTCAAACTACCAGAACCATCGTCTACAAAGAAAGAAAGGACCAAGCTAGTCAAGAACAGCACGGGCGAGATAATATTGGCACCACTTAGCTGGCTAGCAGATGAAGCCAAGCGAAGAACGATGGAGGTTGAGGAGACAACGGAGCAGTTCACCTCCCTGATTAACTTTTCCGAGACGTTCGAGCAGGAGGACGACGAGTCTTGAGGAGGCATGTGTACAACAGGCGAATGTTTGCGGCGATGTGTGGTCTTCATATCCTGTCTTCTTTACAGACAGTTTTCTTGTTATACCCCAGCATAGTACTTGTACCATGTACGCATACAGTTTTTGCATTAGCAGGTCGCACATATATATCTGGCAGTATACCCCCAACCGGCGTTCAATGTAGAATACCTGAGGTTGCGGGAATTGTGCATCAGAGTCGGTGGCTTTATTTGGTCCATTCCACTTACATTCGAGCTGCCATCGTGATGCAATAACAGTCAGCACTACCACCACCGTAAAACTACCATGTTCCCAATCCGGCGTGCAACATGCAAGGTTAGACGTATTCGTCTAACCCTGTAACATCAGCCCATCAGCCTCAGCCCGCCCTGCTGATCGTAAGCTGAACCACCATCACCAAACCCCACGCTCACCGGTAAACAAAATCCGACCACAGGCTCATCGTCTGTGTACCTTTCACGTATCCCAGCCCGGCCAGGCAAAGTCAGCTCTCCGCCCCACATCCTCTAAACGGTGAGGATAAACAGCACAAAGGCTACCGTTACCCGTATCTGCAACTAGCAGATACCGGAATAGGATGATGCGTCTTTGAATAGTCCGATGGGACTAGTTCACCGATGAGGGTAATGCTGGGTCACAGACTTCGATGGTTTTCAGAGCGAGTTACTTGGATGGGAAGGTTGGGCTGGGAACAGGAGCGGGTAGGAGGGGACTAAGGAAAATCGGCAATGTGTGGATGCGGCGTGGGTAGGAGTGACACCAAGGAGAGAGCGCGCGGGGATGCGGATGTCTGTGGCGTAGTTGCTCGAGGTCTGTCTTATTGGTGTTAGGTAAGGAGGAAGGGTTCTGCACCAAAGCATGACACTTCGTGAGAAATGAAGACTTGAAACTTTGATTCGTTTGTCCTTGGCTTTCCTTCCGCTCAGATAGTACAAAAATGGTGTCAAAAACCAGACCCTTTTCCATCGCCAAACGCCTCGCCCAATGCTACACCGGTCTTGGTGCCTACTCCAATCTGAAGGCCTTGACGCGGCTGGAGGTATTACGCATGCGCGCTTTCGCTTGCACAGCACGCTGTACTCGAACGTATCTTTCTCGTCCTCTACCCTTCTGCCTGAATGCTTATATGACCCATCGGTAACTGGCGTATCGACCGGCTGTTTCTGACTTTCGGATAATCTTGACGACGGAACCTCTCCTCAGACCGAGGTACTTGGCGACTGGGTCCGTGGATTGGATTCTGGGGAGCTGTGTCTGCTTCAAACGGTATCGCTGGAGTAGCTGCTGTTTCTCCTCGTCACTCAGCAGGACGTGTTTGGGGACCAGTTCATGCTTTGTGATGTTGACCAGCAGATCTTGCTCGACAAAGACCTCTACACCGCCCTTGGGGCCGTCGGTGATGCTTGTCGCGCCGCGGAGAAGTCGAAGGGCCATGCCCGTCATGGGCTTTACGGTGACCATGATGCCGGAGTGGAAGGAGCCGTTGACAAGATGGGACATGTAGTCGCGCAGTTGCTTCATCCCAACGTTCTCGTCGGCGTTGAACTCGATCCAGATGGTGCCGATGTTGGGTTGGGGCTCTGGGTTCTTCTTGGTCGGGGCATCGGTGTACCTTCGTAGCATGTCTTCGGAGGGCTGGCAGGAGAAGTTGAGGCGCGAACGGCTGGTCAGAGGTCAGTACTGCGGCCTGGACGTGGCTGTGGTTGGCGCATACTCAGGCTCTCCATCTTCGCGCGCATATTTCCTTGAGAACTCCTCAAGAGACATGGTCATGTCATCTTCAACAATCATGTAGCCCTTTGGTAGAGTCAGCGCGCAGTCCATTGTCGCTCAAAGCGCAAGCGCATGCGCAACGCACCCGGTCGTTCATCATCTCCTTGGTTGTCCGCCAGACCCTCCACAGGCGAATCAGAGACGCGCTGTACTTTTCGCCTTCCATGCTTGCGGTCGCTAAGGTTGATGCGGGGGAACGAGTGTCGGGTGGTGGTGTCGGCGCAACAGGTGAGTGAAGACGGGCGTGTCAAAGAAATCTCCAGAAGTTCCAAAGGCAGGCCGGGCGAGAGGCTTGGCGTGCAGCACTAGCGCGCGGACCTGGAGCTTGGAACCCCACCAATTCCGCCCATCTCGAACTTGGACATGGCCTCCTCAAACGAAATCCCCAACCTAAGAACTCTTCTCGGACAAGGCCGCGGTGGACCATCAAGAGGCAAAGGACGTGGAAGAGGTGGTCTCGGAAGTTCTAGCGAAGGAAGGGCACAAGTTCTCGACGATGCAGTCAAGGGTACGGATCAAGACGCGGCGGGGAGCAGGGTGAGCTGTGTAGAGCTGGGTTATCTTCACGACCCATATGCGAAGTTGTTCGCGACACAACAGACGACGAGGAAGCTGCCGTTGCTCAATCGAGGCACTTATGTCCGTACCTCAGCCATTGACCTTCTCGTCGCCAAGTTCCTTGTTACCTACCCTTCGTCGGCGAAGCAGATCATCTCTCTAGGCGCCGGCACCGACACGCGATTCTTCCGCCTCCTCGACCTGTACCCTCAAACGCGCCTCGTATACCACGAGATCGATTTCCCTTCGAATACGCTTGCCAAGATTACCACCATACAGAGGCAACCGCTGCTGTATCGAAAGCTACCACACATACCGTCGACTTCAGCCTCCTACCACTCAGACACGTACAACATCCATGCACTCGACCTACGATCTCTGGCCGAATCGTCGGAGGAGAAGCCGCCACCTCAGATTCCGAACCTCGATCCGAGCATACCTACATTGATCCTGTCTGAGATGTGTCTGGTCTACCTGGAGCCCTCGACAGTGAAATCAATAGTGTCATCACTACTCACACACTACCTACAACCTGCAACGCCTGCGTCTCTCATACTCTACGAACCCATCCTACCCCAGGATGCTTTCGGCCGCACGATGATCTCGAACCTCCGGAGCCGCAACATACACCTTCATACGTTAATAGCGTACCCCGAGTTGGGCGACCAGCGCGCACGCCTTCAGGGCTATGGCTTCGCAAATGGGGCGAAGGTGGCGGACACAAACACTATTTGGCGAAAGTGGATCAACGAGGAGGAGAAGGAGCGCATTGCAGGTTTGGAGTTTCTAGACGAACTGGAGGAGCTGGAAATGCTGCTCCGGCATTACTGTGTTGCATGGGGCTGGAGGGATGGCGAAAGCAATGTCTTTTCGCAAGCGTGGGCGGGTGTACGGGAGTAGGACGTAGCCGACTCTTCGACTCACCACGCAGCCGTATTTGTATAATTAACGGTCTCGAACCTGATATGAAGATTGGATTTTTGAAGCATGCTTGAGTTATGACGTGACCCGTGTAGAGTGAAAGCCACGTGCCTGCGCGCCAGACGCACTTCCAGGGCTCACGCGCTAGGCCTGAGGCGGCCTTGCCCGAACGGCGCCGTGATCCCCAGACACGGTGCTTTGCGACAACAAGAACGACCAATTACTCACCACTCGCCCTGAATCTGCGCCGTGTCGCGAAGGAAAGGACATCCCTCGCCAATACGAAATGGCGTAATCGCTGCCTTCATATCTGAACTACCACTACATACGTTCCTTACCCCATTTCGGCACAACAAACAAACCAACACGGAGTCGCTCCTACCATGGCGGTGCGCAACACGACACAGCCCTCCTTCAACTTCCTCACCGGCGAGGAGGAGGAGCCAACGCCCGCGCCTGCGACTACCAAGCGAGAACCTCTGCGCGAAACTTTTCGAACCACACTACGAGCCTCACAGAATGCGCCGCACACGGTTGTGCCTTCTGATCCGATCAATGAAGACCTCCGCGCCCAACTCAATACCGTGCGATATGAGCTCGAGACCGCGAAACAAGAAAAGGAGATGATGAAGCTGGAGCATGCGCAAGAACTCCGCGACGCCCAAAACCGTGCCGATGCCGACTTTCGCAAAGCCCAGCAAGTCGAGGCATCGAATACCCTCACTGCGAAGAAATATGATGCGCTGACCAAGGAGATGGCTGAGGCACAGACGAAGGCTGCCAATGAGCGGCAAGCGCTGGAACGGCGATTGCGGGAGAGCCAAGAGAGGGCGCAATCGCTACAAGAGGAATACGATGAGGTTAAGGAGGAGTTGTCGACGTCGCAACGGCAGAACGAGCACAGATACAATACCCTACAAACAGAGCACAAGGCGCTGAAGGAGAGTGTGGAGGAGATGCATGCAGATCTACAAGCCAAGGTCAATGCTCTACAAACGTCGCAGAAGAAGCTTGCGCAGAAGGAAGAGGAAGTCGGTCAGATGGAGGCTGAGGTCTTGCGCCTGAAGGCAATCACAGGAGATGCGGAAACACTGGCAGTCATCAAGAGGGAACTCTCCGATCAGGTCGCACACATCAAGAAGCTGGAGACCCTGACGAGGGAACAGAATGCTGAGCTTAAGCAGTACCGGAAGCAACACAAGGCGATTGAGGTGGTCGAGGAGGAGAAGAGGTCGCTGCAGACAAAGTTGCGCATGATGGATGATCTACAACGGCAGCTAGGAGAGGCAGAGCTGAGGAAGCAGGTCCTAGAAGAAGAGCGTGACTCGTGGACGTCGTACCTGGAGGCCGAAGCAGAGATACACGGTGAAGTCCTCTTCGAGACACCCCAAGACCTCGCGCGAGCCTTCATCCAAGAGCGCATAGAGAGAACGGATCTTCTCAACAGGTTGGGCGAGATCAAGCCCGAGCTCACTGTCAAGGACGCTACCATAGAAGCACTCGAAGAGGAGAAGGCCAAATTGCAAGCCGAGATCCAACAAATCAAGGCCGCCGGGAACACTGCCGCGACGAACAGTGCAGACGCAAAGGTACGAGCGCGTCTCGAACGACAGAAAGCTCTAGCCACAAAGGAAGTCGACTTCCTGCGCGCCCAAGTCAAAGCCTTTGACGACGAAGAGCGTGAAATGCAGCCCGACATATTCGACGCTGCAAAGTCTGAGCGCATAAAGGAGCTTGAAGATCTCGTCGACCAATATCGCAAAGAGATCGACACTCTACAACAAGAGTTCAACAATCTGGAGAAACCCGCGCCTGCGACAACAGGCCAGAAGCGCGCTCTCGACACAGACGAGAATGACGAACGCGTAGGCGAACTACGTCGGAAGAACCGCCAACTACAAGACGACCTTCACGCCCTGCAAAAGAAGCAGAAACTTGTCGAATCCGAATACAAAGCCCAGCACTCGCAGCTGAAGAAGCTGAAAGAGTCTTCGCGAACACGCGTCCTAGAGCTAAAATCCAACCCCACCGCCGACGCCGAAGCCCTCAAGTTGAGCACCGTACGCAATCTCCGCGAAGCCAACGCCCAGCTCATCGACCAGCTGGAAAATCAGAAAACACCACCCTCTACCGTCCCCGCTGCCACACTCGACGCCGCGCGAGACGAGCTCGAAGAAATAAAAACCCAACTCGCCTCCTCTGAGAAGAAGATCAAGCGTCTCAAACAAATCTGGGCAGCCAAATCCCTCGAGTTCAGAGAAGCCGTCGCTTCCATCCTAGGCTGGAAACTAGACTTCATGCCCAACGGCCGCGTGAAAGTGACCAGCATGTTCAAACAAGCGGACGAAGACGGAGAGAACAGTATAGTGTTTGACGGCGAGAACGGGACGATGAAAGTGTCGGGTGGAGAGCAGAGTGTGTTTGCGGGCGAGATACGCGATCAGATTGTGTATTGGGTTGAGGGCAGGAAGGAGATTCCTTGTTTCCTTGCTGCGCTTACGTTGGAGTTCTGGGAGAGGGGCCCGGGCGGGCAGACGATGCATGGGTAGGTGACTAGAGATGGAGATGGAGATTGAGGTGGAGCGAGTCGATGTGTACGGTATAGCGGTATGACGCCTGGTTCGTCCAATGTAATGATGATTTCAAAGTAATGATACAGGTACTCTTTCTCCGTAACATATATCACACCATGCCCAATCTCCGCATCTCCCTCTCCATATTCTCATCCATCACCATCCTCCCCCACCATTCCCTCTCCCTCCCTCTCTCTCTTCCCCTGTCCGTCAGCCCATTCCTTCCCTCGACCTTCTTCCACCACCAAAACCAGCCCATGACCCAACACCATGCGAACGCCACCATGATGAGGAAGTCGTAGCAAAAAAGGGATGCTGTAGCGCCTATGGTCCAAGAAGGATGTTCTGGTGAGAGGCTGGTTGGTTCTCCGAAGTCGTTGATAGTGGTATTTTTTGTACGGTTTGTGGTTGACGCAGTTGGAGAAATTGAGGCGAGTGTAGGTGCAATGGTGTAGTGCTCTGCCGCGGTGGTCGTCGGGGTGGACTCAGTCGCAGTAGTGAAGGTTTTTGATGACTTCGCCTCGATTGTGGTATTGGAGGGCTGAGCAAGGTAAACGAAGATGGGTGTGGTGAGTGTAGATGTATACGCCGTGGTGGTATCTTGGGCGAGTACCAATGCGCCGCCGGCGTGGTTCATGAAGACGAGGAACGCGAGAATAGTAATCACTGGCATAGTTATGGTGTCCACTCGGCAGCGTATTGGGGATGTGTGGTCTCCGCTTGGGTAGAATGTATCGGTAAGGACAGTGGTGCGTGGAGGCAGAGTAATGACAGGAACAGATGGAAGAGTCAAGGGATAGCATAATCTTAAGAGGCACCGAAGTAGATTGATGAGAAGGGAAGCGCACAATAAGTATCGAAGTGTGGTGAGGGTGGATCGGGGGTGGAGGCAAGCTAGCTATTGTCCAATAGCTGTGAAAAGAAGCTTATCATATATACATAAATCTCCCCTCCTTCACCTTGAACGCCGAGACCCTGCTACGAGGCATACATGTTCATCGTATTGTTCTTCATCATTGCGCCTTGTCCCAAGGTAGCGCAAATGTAGATACCCAGTCCTCAACCTCCTTCTTAAGCTCGATGATCTCAGTGATGTCCTCGCCTTCACCAACGTACTCTTTGAAAGCAGCTACACTGGCGGGGTTCTTGCGACCAGTGTCTTCGGCCTTCTTCTTGGCGTCCTTGTCAAGCTTCTGGGTGATTCCGACGGCGCGGTGCACGACATCGGCCACACGCTTGAAGTCTTCGGTCTGGAAGCCACGAGTTGTCATGGCGGGAGTTCCGAGACGCAGACCACCAGGCTTCATCGCGGACTTGTCACCGGGAACAGTGTTCTTGTTCGACGCGACGCCTACAAGCTCGAGAATACGCTCTACTCGTGCGCCGTCTACGCCCCTGTCCTTGAGATCGACAAGGACAAGATGGTTGTCGGTGCCGCCCGAGACGATGTTGTAGCCGAGACCGCCGTTCTCCTTTGAGTCGCCGAGACGCTGGGCGAGGGACTTCGCGTTGTCCAGAACCTGCTGTTGATAATCCTTGAACTCCTTGGTTGAGGCTTGTTGCAGAGCTACAGCCAGAGCAGTGATGGTGTGGTTGTGAGGTCCTCCCTGGTGCCCTGGGAACACAGATGCATTGATCGGGCCCTCCAAGTCATACATCTCCTCCTTCCCCTTCTTGTCGACCTTCCGTACGCCCTTGCGGTAGAAGATCATGGCGCCTCGCGGGCCTCGCAGCGACTTGTGTGTTGTGGTGGTGACGATATCGGAGTGGGGGAACGGTGAGGGGATGACGCCGGCGGCAACGAGACCTGAAATGTGAGCCATATCGGAGAGGAGGTATGCGCCAACATCGTCTGCCAGCTTTCGCATGCGCTCGTACTCAATCAACCGACTGTATGCCGATGTGCCCGCAACGATGACCTTTGGCCTGTACAGATGAGCCAGTTCCGACATCTTCTCATAGTCGATGATGCCAGTCTTCTCATTCAGCCTGTATGGAAGAGTCTCGTAGTATTTGGATACGGCGGAGATCTTCTTGGTGGGTGTTTGGTATCCGTGCGACAGATGGCCGCCATGGGGGAGGTCGAGACTGAGAATGCGGTCGTGGGTGTTGAGGACGGCGGAATAGGCGTAGAGGTTTGCAGGTGATCCGGACAGGGCTGTGTTATGTTAGAAAAAGATACAGCAGTTTCGTCGACTGACTCACGCTGGACGTTGACACCCCACTCGTCAGGGCTCAAGCCGAATGCCTTGAGCGCTCTTTGCTGACATAAACGCTCGGCCTCGTCGATGTGCTCATTTCCTCCGTAGTATCGTGCGCCTGGGTATCCTTCCGAGTACTTGTCTATGGTGCCGTGTCAGCTTCGGGCTATAATGTGAGGGTGCGCAGAACGTACTCTGCATCACGCTGCCGAGCGCATCGAGCACGGCTTGCGATGTGAAGTTCTCCGAGGGGATGAGGTTTATGAAGTGCTTCTGGCGGTTCTTCTCCTACAATAGAAGTACTGTGAGCTTCGTCTTCGCATCTGCGGCTTGGGTATGTGGCAACGAACCCTGTTGATGATCTGGTAGACGGTGGGATCGGCTTGTTCAAGATCTTGGGAGAGAATCTGCCACTTGTTAGTATTTCTGCCCGCTTCATCGTGCTATCATGAGATATACCTTTTGCTGCGCATCCATACTTGTCGCATAGCCCCGCCATTGTTGTGTCTGTATTCTTGCATGGTTGGTAGCAATTGAGGCTGTGGAGCGAGAGGTGAGCTGGCGCACAGGCGCTCTGCAGGCTGCTCTGAGGTTCGCCATGTTGAGTCAATCTGCTATACACAGTGGAAGCGCGGCGCGACCTTATAAACGTGCTCGATGCCAGCCGGACTCGTAGTCTCAATGAGGCAACGAAACGATGGGCCCGCTTAATCACGGACTAGGGCGGCACTGGCAGGGGTCATGGCCTCGGCGCCGTTTCTCCGTTCTCCGGCGGTAAAACATCGACGCTTCCGTCTCGCGTCCTCTCTTCTTTTCTTCACGTAACTAAACCCGAGATGATATGACTGCTTTCAATTCAGCTGCATCCTCACTTGGCCGGCGCAAGCTGGCCGATGTGGGAGCTGTTGACACGCCCCGGCACCCACCACCTAGGGGGACGAAAAAATCTATGATCGGCAATGTTGCGTAGGAGGCATCTGTTGATGCTGTGTTGTGTCCGGCGTGGTACGGTCTGGAGCACGAGATGTACAGTGTCTTCATTCAGTCCCGCTGTCGACGCCTGTCGCTGTGTACGTAGTAATCCAATGTAACCGTTTTCGTAAATATATCTTGTTGTTGCTCTTGAAGAGTGTCTGACCATGTGCTACACCTGGGTATGACGTCGACTATATTAACAAACCTTGACATCGTCGTTATGAGCACGCAAGCCAACAGCCGTCAATCGCAGCTCTCGTATCTTGCGATTGCTAGTCGAGAAGGTTATAAGCAATTTCGAGTTGTAGTCCTGCGATAACACGGCCGGACACGCGCTTTCCTGTCACTTCTACGCTGGTCTGAGGGATGCCCTGGTGGACTCACGACGATACCGCCTGACATCCTCTCCACACCCAGACCGTAATCAGTTTTTCATAAGTGGCGGCATGAGCGTGCGCGCTTGAGCATCGTTTAACAAACATTGATGACCATCTACGCCGGCCAATCCTTCCAGTCCTTCCAGTCCATGACAACTCGTGAGCTTGAATGGAGGACACTACCGCACCTCCTCCTCCAACCGACCGCCAAGGCTACTAGTAATAGTCCTTAGCCTGGAAAGCGCGCGTGACAACGACCGTCACTGCCTCAGACGCGCTTTCCCTGTTTACTGACCTCACGTTTACTGCATCAACCCCATCTTGACCGCAGCCGCAGCCGCAGCCGCAACCTCTGCTTCTAACAGCGGTCATCCAACGGCCACGTGTGAATTCCTCCTACACCACTAACAACCTCAACTAGCAAGGTGTCCGCATATAAAGATCCCATCATGGCGCCCAAACTGAAGACACCGAGCCTGCCTCCTCCAAGAACACCCCACCGTCGCGACTCCAGTCCAGAACTAGGCAGTCCTTCTAAGATAACGCAGTACAATCAAAAGACTGGCCGCCCGGTTCGAAAGAGCGCAGGCAAGATACAGAAAGTGGCAGGCTACGTCGATTTCGAAGACGCCGACTTCGACGCCTTGACCGACAGTGAGTTGACCGAGCTAAGCGACGAGGAAGAAGACGACGATATAAGCCCGCGTAGTCGTTCGGACAAGAAGAAGAAGAAGGGTGCACTGAAGCGCAAGCGAAGTCCCTCACCTCCGTCTCCGCGTCTAGAGCACGTATTCTATCGCCAAGAGCTCGATGACCTCACCGACAACGAGAACGCCGGCGCCTTTCATCGAAGTGCTCCAAAGAAGCCGCCCGTGACCTTGCAATTCAACGTCCCGCTAGGCTTCCATGGTCCGCTCTTCGTCAAGCTCGACAGCACCCTCCTACAGACCGGCGAGCAAGGCAAATTACATGAGATGCAGCCAGGCAGATCGAACAGCCCCCGTGCTACAGATCCGCAGCCAGCTGGAATGCTCGCATTACGTAGCGTAGGCTTCACCGATCTGCCGCCCGAGCTAAGGAACACTATCTATCGGTACCTTTTTGCTCGCAAGAACAAGACCTCGAAGCTCAGGATTCCGATGACGGTCAATGACCCTAAAGAAAGCTTTACCAAGTCTGGTCAATTCCTCAGAACCTGTAAGCTTGTGCATAACGAAGGCTGCTCGATCTTATACGGCGAGAACACATTCTCCTTCCATCGGCACTACGATACTCGTGGACCCTACTGGGAGCCAGTACCCAAGGAGATAGGTTACCAGGACGTACTGCATTTTTTGAGAATGATCGGCCCCGAGAACATTCAATACCTGCGCGATGTCAAATTCGTCTTCGACGACGCACGCCCAAAGGACACACCCTATGTCCTCTCCAACGAGGAGCGCCGCTACCTGAACGACGACTACCTGGCGAACTGCCTCCGCATCCTCCGCAACGCCAAGCTCCGCAAGATCACAATGTACTTCGGCGGACGTCGGCAACTGGGCCGTACCGATGTCAGGTTCTTGGGTTACCTGGAGCAGATCAAGGCCGACGAAGTGGAGCGGGAGTCCGAGAAGTACCATCATCGTGCCGATAGATTCTTGAGCACGATGGCCTGGCATGACCTGAAGGAGATGATGACGCGCAAGGACAAGCTCTACGTGAAAGAGTAGCCCGGCACTCAAGCTGCCCCAGATACCATCTCGCGGCATACTACACATTACATGTACCTTGCGATCCGACCACATCGGGGATCACGACTATCTGCTTCTGTCACTTTAACATTCCCATTCTCCTAGCTTCATGTTGACCTTCGGATTGCTTCGGCAAACTTCCGGTAGATCTAGCGATTACTTTCACCCCAGCGGAAGTACACCTGGCGACCGAGCGTTGGATGGCTATCATATGTGGTGAAGGTTCATTTTGTACAATTTACCCCCGGGCCCATGTTTCCTACCTGTCAGCGGATGACGTTGTCAGGCCCTGTTGGCAAAGGTATAGGCACTTCCTGCAGCATATTACATCAATGTATTTCCCCAACATAAAAATCCAGAGCATTAGATAAAAAGTCTTTCGTGTCGTCGTGATGATTGGCCCAACCCCTCATTATCATTCCTCGATATTACCGCCAATGGCACGTCCATTCGGGCCCCAACAACGGCTAAAATGCGACATCCCCTAGCCCCGACCCCACCAGCTATTCCTCAGCCAGCCTGCAGCCGCGCAACGTGTTGAACCATGGGACAAAAGATGTACCTTGCATAAGCGAGCCCTGCGAACGCCTGCTTAATGCGGTACGCGATGGTGGTGTGGCTGCAGGGCAAATCATATACAGTATATCAATCGGGTCAAGCAGCGGAAAACCGTTGTCAACATGAAACATTGCTGCACGTAGCCGCTGCCAGTCGTTCTTGCGCATGCAGCAACGGATGCACCTTGATGCGTTCGTGCATGCGTCCCGTTACCGGGCTTGAGGGTCGGGCGGAACGCGATCTGGAAGGTGGCCAGAGTCCTATTTAGCCTTCGTATACTATTTGGGCTGGTTTGTGGTCGAGTTCATAAAAGTGGTTTGATATAGCCGGTCTGCCCGATGAGCTCCTCGGACAGGACCGTAGACAGCACGAGACAGGGTAGTGATACGGTGGGGATATTGTACGCGATGCACGTTGTGGCTGGTCGGTGCGGGAGGTACGTCAGCGATCATATACGGAGACCACGGAGATTTTGTGGAATTGGCTAGAGCGGAGGGTCATGTGAGTGATTGGCGCTTGGTGCCCGTAGCTTTTTGCATGTGCGTTCATTCATATCATCGATTCATCTCGACGTCGTCATCGTTCGGTCCGGCGAGCGGTTCTATCTGGGGCGCTCCTCGGGATTGCCGTGCGTATACATCGAACCCACTTATGCCGTCTTTCCTTTCCGCTTCTTAAATTCTTCTATCCAACCAGCTGCCTTGTCCTTTGGTATCACGCTTATGGTTACCAGCCCATCGACGATCTCTGGCTTTCCACTTCCTAGTACTTTGCCTAGACTCATCTTCTTTCCTACTTTGATCAGACCGCCGGCTGCGGTCTCCATGTACGACTCTACGTTGTCGATGGTGTACTCGTGCTTTTCGTCCCATGGCAGCGGGAAGATGTAGTCGAGATGTTCATCTAGCTTCTCTTTCTCAGAAAACGCTTTGATGAAGTCCGACTGCGAGTGCATGGGATACAGCAGTATGACTGGCAGCGTGAGTGTGGAGGATGGATCCAGACTGTTTTCCAGCTTGACAGTGGCGTCTTCCAGATCTGGGGGCTTCTCCGTGCTCCGCGTCAAGATATTCCGGCTCCGCAGGGCAAGTTTGAGCGTTACTCGCTCTGATGCTATCTTTTCTTCCCGTTCGCGGCGCGCCTTTTCGACTGAATCTATGTACTGTTTCCGAGCATCGATCTTGGTCTTGAGAGCCTTGAGAGGGGCATTGTTCGCATCTAGGGCTAGTCCTCTGTCACAAGCCCAGGCTGCTTCTTGTAGCTTGTCTAATGCTAGACCGGCAGTAGCTGATCTGTAGAAGGCTTTGACGTTGGCAGGGTTGATCTTGAGCGTTGACACGCAATCTTGGATGCAAGAGCGATAGTTTTCTGCCGCGTGTCAGCAGACCATAGTCGAAACTTTGGTGAAGAAGCCACAATGCCTGTCTTCAGGATGTGCTTGCAAACTCACTCTTCTCCAAATTGCATAATGCTCGGTTGACGTAGACAGCCTCTCCAATCACCCTTTCCTTCTCCGCCTCCTCCTTCTCGTCAAGCTCAACGGGAATAACGTCCGGACCTTCCGCATCTGGATCGGGGTTTGTTTGTGGACCTTTGAGCGCCGCTATTGCCTTGTCGTAGAACTCTTTCGCGTCTGTCCATTGCTTTGCCCGTGCGCATTCGTTGCCTTGCTGTCGGAAGTTCTCAGCGATCTCGGCACGGGTTCCCTCGTACGCCATTGCTTTCAACGCCTCCAGCGCCATGTTCTCGCCTCCCTCGCCATCTGTTTCATCTAGACTGGTCATGAAGATTGGCATACGGTTCATCTCTTTCAGCAAATCGTCTACTTTTTTCGACTTGACATCAGCCATCGCGGGTGGCAGGTCTGCAGACGCCGCTGGTGGGCCATTTTGATCTGTTTGCGCCATGTCGTCTGTGTTGTTTCGATAGCTTTACAACTGATGTCGGAAATATCACGATATGCTCGCTGTGACTCTGCTCGAATTTTCGGTGGATGGTCGCTTAGTCATGTGATAGCGGGGCTGCTGGGCCCTGACCTCTGGACTTGCCATCACTGGCTGTGCAGGCAACCCAGTCAAAGGGCACCACCAGCCACCAGCTAGCAAGCAAAGCAAGAAGGGATGGCGCAGGACAACGAGAGGGGCACGCTAAAATAGGGTGAGCCGGCACCGGCGCTTCCGCGTCATGCTATATCGTCTAAGCTCCTCGTCCACGCCGAAGGTTCAGGGCGCCGTAGCCGATTACGACGCGAATCTCCTATTTGCTTTTCTGAGACGACAACGAGCTCCAGTAGGGCCGATCAATACCGACTGACACCTGACGAGGCATACATTGTGCGACAGTTGGATCGTGAGCTGTTATGTCGCGTGTCGGATGGAATCATGGAATGTTCTGCCGATTGCAGACCGCCTTATTGCGCTCTCAGCTGTCTGCACAGCAGGACCACTCTCCGCTGGTGGACCAAATATTCCTTGTTACACTCGGGGTCCATTATTCGTGAATCCCATCGGCGAAGTATCGATTCAGAACGAAGGTTGCAAGCAATACCACCACACGGCAAGGCTGTTTATTTGGAGGCGTTCAACGAAACGTCAATTGATCGCGTTCAAGATGCGCTTGCAAGTCGCGCGACGCTTTCAAACTGTACCCTTCCCGTCCGCGGGGGATTGCCCATTTGACAGGCTCAGCCTGGCCAGAGATCAAACGTCATGGGACGTAGATCTTGCTTTCGACTTGTTGGGGTTAGAAGACGGCCTGGGATCCTCAACTTTCACATGCATATATGCCAACCTTCTACTCAACTGCCTGACCGGCCATGACTGATGGCTTCTACGAATGTGCTCTGGCGTGATAACAAGACACCTCGCAAAAGGAACTCTGAGGCTGAGGTTTCTATTACTTTCAACTTGGAGAATTGCGTCGTCGATCTGGACTCGAGTTCGGCTCCTTTGCACCGCCAAGAGCGCACGGACGAATCCTTTCGTCTCAAAGTAGGAAGTCGACTACCTCTGCTTGACTCTCACCTGACTCGGCAGTACAGGATAAGGCTGCTCATTCATGCAACTGCCTACCAGTATGGCAATCCATATATGCCTCCTTTTTGAGGCTGTTAACAGGCATGCGATTGTCAGACCGAAACGTGATCAAAGTATCAGATCGATGTTCTAATTTCAGTCGATGGCCATAATCTAACGGTACCGCACTGGCGCACCGGAGCGTTGGGCGCCATCGAGAGTTTGATAGCTCGGACCGGGACACGAACGTGCCACTCGGTCCATAGCTTTCCACAGTGGGCCAAGTTTGCGGCGTGGTCAAGAGGCTGAAACCCTGAATCACAGCTCATCAACAACGCCAAACTGCGCCGGAGGCGTCCAGAATCACTGATAGGGCCAGGCATGTGCGGAGCTTTGGACGGCGATAATATTCATCTGGCAAATTACCGTCCACGCAACTTTCGTCTGAAGCCAGCTGCGCCCAGGGTCTGATGAACTTGCGCCTCACATCCGCTGATGCTGCTCCTCTCGCACATCTGCCACACCCCCTTCGTCAACACCGTTACTGCCACCCGCATTCGTTACCACCTACCCCTTGTCGGGTCATTTCCTTCACCTCGCTAAGGTATTGGCCGTCGTCGCGGGACGCATTTAAGGGAACGTTGGACCTAAATGCGCAGCCAATGACGCTTGGCTGAGAAGCGGAAAGCGGATGGCCTGAGCCAATAGTGTGCTTGTAGTCCAGGGGACCCTCGGCTCAGCCTGCATGCAGGGATACTTGTGCTCGTTAGTGCGGAGATGTGCATAAGCAGATGGACTCGGACATCGAAACAAATTTGAGCAGGCACAGATGGGGTTTGATTGATCCCAAGAATCCTATTCGTGCCTTTGGGCATAGTCCCGCCTCCTCGTGGACTGTGCGGACTTGTGCCTGCGCTCCGGGATCCTAGCTGATGCATGGGCGATCACAGCGATTTCATGCTCAAGTTGTGCCTGTCCCTCCCTCTCCTCCCTACGCTCCGTGCCGTTGACGACACACGGGTATCATTCTCGTAGGGCCCGCTGCCCGTTGCTTGACAGTTCTTTTCTTACCATCAAAAGTGTTTTAGCACGCGCCATTAGTCGCCTTCTTCATCTCATTTGCATCGTATGTATGGAATGAGTTGAGCACGTTTCTGTATCTATCGACTTTCACCATTGTCACGTCATTCTTTTGAACCGTAAGTACGCGCCATTGATCCGCGACTGGACCTGTTCGTTACGACAGGACTCTTTTCTTGGAAGCCATTCGGTACTGACCTTCCACTGCAGTATCGAGACCATCCGAACGCTGCCGCACCGTCGATATATCTACCCCACGTAATCCGACCCGACGCTATACACTATTCTTGAAGACGACTCATGCTATTCTAAGTAGCTAAGCATTCAATACCCGATCGTAGTACGAAGGACTCGACCGGTACGTGAACCATTGCCAGGTCTATTAGTGGTCGATACAATCGCTATTGTTACAACGATCAGTTGTGGAGGCGCGTCGACAAAGACTCCACAAAGACATCCCTGGCCACGACAACACAAGAGACGACATTGACACCTTCTGACCCTACTACAGGCATGTATTAAGCTATACGTACCTACAGCACCACTTCGTTGTGGTTCTGAACACTCTACTACATAATACACTCTACTGGCCTAGACAACGCACCCGACATGGCTACCGACTACTTTTCCGACCAGGAAACCTTCTTGGCCAACCACCCGCTTCCCACTCCCGCGGGAACCCCATACAGCTCCTTATCCCGAAGAACCTCAACGCACGAAACACCAGGAAGCGATGTTCCCAGCTCACCACCCCCACTTCCACAAGACAACAGTTCTAGTTGGGACGATGCTGCCAACGACGAGAACATCTCAATCCTGGACCCGCGCCGCTTTACCCCAACCTTGCACGCCAACCTAGTCTCTGAGATCCTGAATCTCCGCCGGGAACTTGATTCGAAACATAGATTCATCGATGATTTGGAGACAAACCTAGACACAGCGCGATCCGAAAACGACTCCCTTGCCAAACAGCTATCCTCATCCAACAAGGAAAGCAAAACCGTCAAACGCCAGCTCCAGCACTTCGAGACCGAAACACTCGCTGCATTGGAAGAGATTGCAGGTGAAAGAGACAAGTTCAAGGAAACCAATGCCGATTTGCGAGAGAAACTAGCTGCAGCAGAAAAGAGGACAAGAAGCCAAGATGACGACTCTACCAAGGTGCACGACATGTGGGCTCGCGAAAAAGAAGAGTGGGCAGGAGAAAAACGAATTCTGGAGCGACGTGTTCATGTGTCAGAGACCCGCTTGAGGATGCTTTTGGACGAGATCGCTATCCAGGAAGAAGCTGCCAATGAGGAGGCCGGTGTCGAAAGTGAGGCCGAAGACCCGAGCAAGGACACTGGTATACCGGAGAGCGACGCAGGAAGCGTACGTTCATCGCCACAGCGAAGGTCATCCACACGTCTTGGACGTCATTCCAGGAACAGAAGCAACAGCAGTTACAGGAGCATCGGGCGCAACTACCGGATGTCGTTGATGAGCTCTGATGGGTATGGCAGAGGCAACGGCCTTAGTCTTGCAGACGAGCTCACATTTGATGAAGAAGAGGAAGAGCTGGATGATCTGGAGCTTGACTCGGACGACTTCCCTGAAAATGAAATGCGGGCTCGAAGAGTTCGCGAGTCGCGACAGTCGATGTTACCTGACGAAAAAGCAAAGCGCATCCTAGGATTAAGCAGCGATACCCAGCAAGTTACATGGGATAGCCCTGTCATGGCTGCCGATGATACCGAGCCGCGGAAGTCGTCATATGAAACGGTTCAATCGTCAGTTACATTGACGCCTCGCGATATTACTCTAGTCTTCCCGCCAACACGACCAATCTATGTCGACACCGGTGTGCAACCGTCGCCTCCACCATCGCCTGCCAAGTTGGTCATGGTGGAAGCGACGTCGCAAACTATTGAGCCATCTATCCAGGCAAAGTCAAATGATTTCCCATCTACTGCTGCTGAGGTTGAGGCCAACCAAAGTAGGAAGCGTGTTTCAGTACCCTTGACGTCCAACCCGCCGGTCCAAGCTAGTCCTGAAATTTGCACAACGACCTCAAGCTCGGTACAGACAATCGAACAGCCTCTCAGTCCGCCACCTACGCCTAGGATTCCTCAGCCATCAGACAAAGCACCCTTGTCGCCAGTCTTCCAAACTCAGCTCGTGTCTACGGCAACGCAGACAGACTCGCCGATCGAGCCTGAAGTAGTACCAGAGAAGCCTACTAGAGCTCCACCGCCGGCCCCGATAACAATCCCTTCTATTGCTATCCATGCTCCTACATCAGCTCCTTCATCGCCCAAGGCCCCTATCCTTCCTCCAGGAACCAAGACTGTCTCGACTCAAACCACCGGCGACCTGGTAGCTCCAATGACTTCGACTGCGATGCAGACTGAGCCGATTAGGATCGACCAGAGAGCTGTGAAGCTTCCTGCGCACCTCCTTCCTTCTGCTATAACCTCCAAGCCTGGAACACCCGAGGCAGATCACGTCAAGACAATCAAGAAGGATTATAGCGACGCTGAGAACCCTACTCTCAAGGCGACGTCTCGTCAAGACTTCATTACTCGTCTTGAGAAAGCTGCTGAGAAGAAGATTGAGAACCGCTACCCAGGTAACAACGACAACGGACCTTTGTCGCGCCAGCTTCATGCAGACATGCTCAACCGACCCTTCCGAACAAGCAGCCTTTTTGCCGGTTTCGATGGCCCTTCATCTGATGAAGAGGATGACGATGCAGAGCTGAGCGACGACGACTACAGGAGCCCACAATTCTCTACCCCAATGCTTTCATCGCGTAATGCAAAGAGCGGACGGCCAGTGAACCCACCTACCCCTGTTCCCGAAGACAAGGAATCAACGCCGATGCCTAGGCCATCGGAGGATTCTGTCAACAGTGTATCTATAGCGTCTAAGCGTAGCTCGATGGAGAAACCCTCTAGAGTTGGCAAGGCACAGCGGAACTCTATTGGCCGCCAACCTAGCATCCGTCGATCTGCCATGATTCATAGCGGAACCGCAGCGCACAACATACCGAAGCCACCCTTCCCGGTACCCACTCGATCCAGCTCTCGCAACAAGCCAGTGAGTAAGAGCGAAGGTTCGCAAAGCCCAACCCCTCGCAACAGTGGCTCATACGCTGGTCGCCGTCCATATGGCGTGAAGCATCAGCGGAAAGATAGCCTACGCAAGGTGCGATCTGCTGCTCCTGTCTCCAAGGGCGCACGCTCTCGTAGCAGATCACCCCCACTGCCTGCGACCCCTAGTATTGCCGACACATCTTCGATTCCTCCGCTACCGAGCGACATTGTCAGTGCAAGTGGCTTCCGCCATCGACACCAACTTTCAAATGCAACTGCTGCGACGAGCTACACGGCCAATGGATCTACCAACACTTCTGTCTCGCACACTAGTGTCGTCGATGCGATCGCTGCAGCTATGATCGGAGAGTTCATGTGGAAGTACGTCCGCAAGAGGAAGACCTTTGGTGGCCCTGATACACCAGTGGATGTCAGTCGGGCGGCAGAGGAGGCTTCCCTGGCCAGCCATGGTGTGAGACACAAGCGATGGGTCTGGATCTCTCCATACGAAAGAGCCATCTTGTGGAGTAGCAAGCAACCAACTACCGGTTCCGCGTTGATGGGTAAGAGTGGTCGCAAGCGTAAGTCTCTCGATTCTATGTCATTATATCTCTACTAACATACCACCAGTCGTTATCCAGTCTGTTCTCGATGTCGCCGACAGCTGCCCTGCCCCCAAGAACGAGACACTCTTCAACCGTTCTATCCTCATCCTTACTCCAGCTCGTGCTCTCAAGTTCACCACATCGTCGCGCGAACGCCATTACCTATGGCTAACGGCACTTTCTTTC